ATTTCCTGAAAAAGGACTGATTCTAAAGTCTTAGCATCCCAAGCGTATTTGATAAAAGAAATTTTTTGTACACCAACTATAACCAATCAAGCTGATGTGAGAAAATGAAAAGGTGTTGATCTAAAAGGCTAGGTAACGTAAAGTATTGAGCTGTAGCTGGTATTTAGTTGGGAAAGATTTTTGTACAAATCTATACTATTGTAAAACAAAGCCGTAACCCCTAAGGTAATCTTTCGTTTTCGGTATTGTTTTCTTTATCCAAGAACTGTGTCTACAATTAAGTATGGGGCTGTGCAGAAATCTTTCCTTTCCTCGCATCGTTGACCAATTTTAGCTAGATTTTTCACGGAATTCATGGAAAGGTGAAAGGAGCCGATAGCTTCCAAACAAAAAATAATAAACATTGCAAATGAAATTTAAATAAAAATAACCACGCACGATCCAAGACCACACTTTTTTTAGCAAAATAATCCTCATAAATGTGCGAATAAAAATTTCTTCAGCCATATAGCGATTCCTTAACGTTGCGCAGTGCTTAAACTTGTCCCTAAAAATTAATTCTAATTATTCAGAAGTGTGATAAGATCGATCGATATGAAGAACAATGATGATAATAACTCCAACGGTATTTTCTTTCTTCCAACAGAGCGTTTGTGAGATGAGTGATTCGTTTTGTGGTAGCAATGGGTTGTGAATTTCCAACTGTCAGGAAAACACTGCACAGTAAAGATGTCGCGAAGGGTATTATGGACAGCCATGCAGTAAGTACATTTTAATACAAAATTGCCTTGTGTTTTGACTGGTGTGATACCTAGTGTTTTAACTAGTGTAATATATATATATATATATATATATATATATATATATATATATATATATATATAAATAAATAAATATTATGAGAGGAAAAAAGGGACGCAACTACGTTTCCCGACAAGCCTGTTTCGTGAATCGCTTCACTCTTCAGGGGTTTAATGAAAGAATATTCATGTGATAGTCAATGTTGTCGTTCTTGAGTGTCCAGACACTCTGGACACTCAAGAACGACAACATTGACTATTCTATTTCATGGCGCGTCTTATCATCTGACTCTCCTTACAACAGCTCCTGTAAAAGATGCAACCTCTGCCTAAAAGAAAAATTCCTGATAATTTACCGACCCGACCTCTCATCACTAAATAAGCGTAACGAACTCGTATCTTCATGCCGATACAGAAACAAAGCGTTGCTACGTAACAGCTGAACTTTAAAGTTTTTAAGTTTACCGCGCATTATGTAAATTTTCCTAGTATATACATGATAGTCACATGAATATTCTTTCATTAAACCCCTGAAGAGTGAAGCGATTCACGAAACAGGCTTGTCGGGAAACGTAGTTGCGTCCCTTTTTTCCTCTCATAATATTTATTTATTCTGCTCTGCTTCAACGTATTGAGCACTGTTCCACGCGAAAATCGACTTGCAGACTTCCTATATATATATATATATATATATATAGATAGATAGATACACAAAGGACAATGACAAGTACAATTCACGTGGACCACAAAGTATTGGAGCTGTACGAACATAAGTGGGAAAAAAAGACTGGAAAGCATGAAACACAAATCTGCGTCCTTTTTACATATTTTACTTTGCTTTTACCCTGTTGGAGTCGTCTCTTTTGTCGCACCTGCCATCTCATATCAAACGTCTATACATGGAGTAACTGTTGATTCTTATGGATCATATTTGTTCTTTGCTTTTGTATCATCATAAAGTTTAAAGCGAAGGATAAAGATACTGATTATTATGTTAAAAAAATGTGCCATTGAATATAAAGGAGCTTGGTGGTACAAGGGTTGCCATGGTTCTAATCAAAATGAATTACACCTGAGTAGTTCTTACGGTAATGGAGTCATCTGGGTAGAATTTCGAAGCCATCATTATTCATTAAAACGCACCGAGATGAAAATCAAGAATCGAATATAATTCTTTGCAATAGAGGTTAGTTATTAAGATACTTTGCACCGTAAACAAAAAAATTCAGAAAAGTTTCACTTTTTGTAATGTCTTTAGCTGTTTGAGAGGTACTCAATTGTGGCTTGAGTTCATCTTTCTTTTAGATGTAAACTACTATAGAACCGAGAGACATTTTTTTGTGGATTGAAATGCAGAAAAGTTGGCCGTGAAGATTGTAATTTTCGCGCATTTACGAGCCCTGAATAAGTTCTCTACAAGCGAGCTACTCTCGAACTCTGCACATATGATTAACATCTCTCCATAATTTCTTCGTTAGCATATGGCCTGGAAGGTGGTGTTAAAAACTATGATTTTTCTGCGATTCTTTTTCACCCAATTGAAAAGCCCTTTTTCCAGCCTCGTATTTGGTATGTTTTCATTTTATGTTTGGAATAATAAATCAATTTAGGTCTCACAAAGAGAGCCTCACAACAAATAGTCTTTTCCCAACTCAAGGGTGAATATAATTAAATCAGATGGGGAACTAACCGGTGTGAATAAAAGTTATGATCGTCGAGAATTCATAAGCAAAACTTCATTTTACATTTTTATCAGCATTTTCTGCATTTGACAGAGCTTCAGTCACACGGCGAAAATTACAATCTTAACTTGAAAAGATGGCATGGCAAGCTATTGTAGATTATGCTTACCTACCGAGCGTCGCTCATGCATAATTTACACAACTTAGTCGTTTCATAATTTTTTGTCAGACTGCGGTAAGCGAATACCACTCGATGAAAACAGACCTCTACCTTTTCTGAACTCTTCAACATCTGACAATGCAGCTTTGGATACTAACTCTCGTCTGCAAAGCTGTCTCCGGTGTAAGCCGTATTTCTGAGCTAGACTGGGATGCCACAAACTTTGCTAAGGCAGTAGAGGGGAAAAAGCTAAATGGAAGCGTCATAAAAGAAATCGAGGTGAATTCTGAAACTGTTTGCCAGTTTGAGTGCGTCAGAGAAGTACGATGTCAGTCTTATAACTTTAGAAAAACAAAAACTGATGGGGAGAGCTTCAAGTGCCAGCTGAGCGACTCTGATAGATTTTCTGGGATTGTTAATTTCACCGAAGATGAAGACTTTATTTACCGAGGACCACAGGTAAATTAAATTTCTGTAGGGTAAAGTACATGGTACAAGAGAGTGCTTCATTTTTTGAAAGCATCCAAACAAAAATGGAAAAGCTGCACAAGTTAAAGCTTAACCAAACAAAAGAAAATGGAAAGAAAATCAGAGCACATAACAAAGAATAAGCACCGATTCAGCGATGAGATCTACTTAAGACCTTGGATACTTAAGGCTGTAGATGTAAACAAGAGTTGTTCCGATTAATTGATTATAATTGCAAGGAAAGATGCAAAACGTATAAAAAAAGTGACGTTTAGGCCTCTTAAAAGATTTGAGACACTTCCCTAATTATCTAAGAATTATTCTAAGCGGTTCTCCCGTACATTCTACTCTCACTGACGGTAATATTTTTGCAGTCGGTTTTGTGAAAATATTTTCGTGGAAACGGCAGACTTCTTTATGCTGGTGTTGTCACAGTTAATCCAAAATAGTTAACCAATGAAACGAAGGAATCCTAGGGGACAGCTGGAAAGAGTAACGGTTCCCCGTCGCTTAAATTTGCGTAGTAGGAAAATGTCCGAATTGCCTTTAGACGAGTTTTTGAAAATTTGCAACGACCACAAACAAGTCAATAAAATGCACCTCTACTTATTTTTACAAACATTCCTACCCATCACCAAACTATAAAGTATGAGTATAGAATTAGTCAAGTCATAACTTCGTCCTTGTTCAGGGAAACGAAAATGTTACTCTCGCTGGAAGTCATCAAAGCTGACCGTATTAATGAACAGTTTAAAACTCGAAACACCTCCTACTTTTATCAGAATTTTCCACAAAATTCCTCTTTGAGACAGCAAGAAAATAACGAAAGAAAAAAGGTTCTCTAAAATAATCTATTCCATATAGAGTGCTTGTGAAGAGAACATTTCCCTGTGCAGCGACAAAGGAGTATGCATTCCCAACTACAAGGACGGCACAATAAGATGCAATTGTGACGATGGCTATTCAGGAAAACTATGTCGTAAGTACAATATAAAAAAACCGTCGCCTGTTTAGCTCATGTTGTAGAGCGCCGGAATGATGTGTGGGAAGTCGAAGGTTCAAGCCTCAGACCAGACCAACAGTCAGGGTCTTAAAGTCACTGAGGGGAATGTCCTGCCTTTGCTATAAAATGATCTTTAAATGGTTAAACATTCTAGTCTTCTCGGATGAGGCCGAAAAACCGCAGGCCCCGTTCCTGCATCTTCTCTGTACTCGTTACCAGGGGATGTTAACGAAGTCGTGCACTTCTCGCAAAGGGTAGGGAACGCAGCTCCCAGTATTACATATGGTTCATTATGATGCATGATTTCCTTCAAAACTGTAAACAGCTCAACACAGTCTGGCCAAATCCCCCGAAAAGTGTTGTGAAGCGCCATGAGCTAATGGGTATGGCACTTTAGAAACCCTTCATTATATAACGAGTAATTTTAGAACGAGTTTCGTACAACCAAAATAAAAATAATCATAACGGCAAATAAGAAGAAAGGAAAATTATTTTAAGATGATGAGAACACAAAGGTAAAAACAAACGAACTACCAAAGCAAAGGAAAACGCGGGCGACCAAGCCGTGATTAGTTTTAGTTCTGCATCTGCACCGGTTTCTCGGAGGATGGATAATGCCATCCACTGGATAAGTCATTGTCCGGCGAATAGCGCAGAACTTTTTTTTTTTTAAACACCTATCCAATGGATAGCGATTTATCTCTAAGAAGGTGTTATCCGCTTTTTTTAACAACTGGGCCCTAATTGGTTGAGAAAGTGGGTCGCAGTAAAGAAAAACCAAAACAGTCCAGGATTACCTGTGATTACTCACTTGAAAATCGTTCTATTTGACCCTTGACCTGATTTCTTGCACGAAAAATGTGTTCTTTTACTTTTTCATATGAAAAATAGGGCCCAAGAGCTGTAAGCAACTGCTTCAAGATGGTTATAATTCCAGTGGCGAGTACACCATTAATCCAGATGGCGGCAAACCAATTCAAGTGTTATGTGACATGGATACCGATGGTGGGGGTTGGACCGTTTTTCAGAGACGTTTGGATGGCTCCGTTGACTTCTATCTTGGATGGGAATCCTACAGAAGAGGATTTGGAAATCTGAACAGAGAGTTCTGGCTCGGAAACGACAATCTTCACCGTTTGACTGCTGCTGATGACGTCAAGCTCAGAGTTGACCTGGAAGACTTTGATGGAAACATCAAGTACGCTGAGTACACGACTTTTAAGGTGGCAAGTGAGGCAGATAAATACAGGCTTTTGATTGAAGGATACAGTGGCACGGCTGGTGACGCTATGACCAATAGACATAAGTAAGCAGAAATGGTTTTTTAGGACTGAACTGAAATTAGAGAGGGCTCCGTCATCTGTACAAGTATATTTTATAACGCAGTCTTTCTGTCAACCTGGGGCTCACCTCTTTGGTTTGCTGTGTTTTCTGATCGTTCGGGATCGAGTAGTCCTAAAAGGGTTTGTTGTCGTTAGTAATGGCTAACACAATCTGGGGGAAAGTCATCTTTAGAGTCAAATGAGGAGGTATTTCTCGCGTGTTAAAATTCTGGCTCATGCAACTGTTCGTTATTCTCAGATGTTATGGGAACTAGGCAAAGCATCAGTCACCTTCTTCGACGAACGTTCTTCTCAACGTTACTCCTATCCAGACGATCAGACTTCACATTTAACTTTTGCGCGTGAGCTCTGACCATTTACTGTTTAATTGTATTACTATTAAAATTGGAAAGCATAAGTTTAACTTCTACTCCTCTCTCTCTCGCTTTGGCCGAAAACGAGGTAAGACTGCCAGGAACAGGACCAAGAACTTTAATTTGGTTTCAGATTTACAAAGTCTGAGAACGTTTTCCTTCTACGTTCTTTGTGTTGATGGGGACCCTTGCAAGGGAAAACTACAGCTTAAATTGCTGAAGACAGGATAATGAGGGCAGCACACCTTGCAAACTTTAATCTCACTTATAATTATTTTCCATGGTTTTCCATAATCTAATGCCAGTCTCCCCGCCTGCTTGCGTGTTTGTTTGTGTGTGCCTGCCTACCCATCTGCCTGCGTGTCTGTTTGTCTGTCCATCCGTCTGATTGTCTGTCTGTCACCTGACTGTCTCTCCTTCTATACAATCACCTATCATTTTGCACATTTATTTCTTTGAGCATGTCTCCTTGCCTTCCTGTTCGTTTGTCCACTTCTCTATTTAAACCCTTCCCAACGTGCCCCAGACGTTATATGGTTAGATAATTTACCTAAGACACACGCAACGAAATTAACCTCATTTGTAATTTTCTTTTCAGTAATATGCAATTTACTACGAAAGATCATGATAATGATAGACGTAGTAACAACTGCGCCCAAGTCTACAAGGGTGCGTGGTGGTACAAGGACTGTCACACATCCAATCTGAACGGATTGTACCTCAATGGTGCACATGCTTCCTATGCTGATGGAGTCAACTGGTTTTATTTTAAAGGCTATTACTATTCACTAAAACGAACTGAGATGAAATTCAAAAGCAAAAAATAAACTTCCTTTCAACAAATTAACGATTACTCTGTGTAGTAGTAACACTTCGAGATTCGATTAAATGGTCATCTACTGTCAACAACTAGTTCAATTTTCGGGAAAATAAAATAGATTGATCGTGTTCGCAATTTTCTGTCGGTGATCTGTGTTTTTCTTTCAAGGATCACGATATTAAAGGATGAAAGTGGTGTATAATTCATCAGGAGAGCCTCATGGTACAATTATGCAAGTTGTTCAATCTGAGCGATTTGTTCCTCAAAGGACCACGTTCTTCATACTCATCCGAATGAGATGAAAGTTTAAACTTCAGCTAAAGGCTCTTTTTCAACTCTTTTCTAAAATTTTTGAAATCTTGATAGTAATTGCTTGGCTCGCAAGGTTAACATTGCAAGTCAAACATCTCCTCAAGGGCTCAAATAAAGTTGATTAAAATTGATTGGAAATCTCATCTTACTTACCACGAAAACTTCTTCCCTTAACTTACCTCTAGTTCTCTTTCTAGTTTTTTTTTCTCCAACAGATAAATGAAACTCTCTTGCTAAGGTAACGATGTACAACCATGAATTTAGCTTTAACGGAAACTTCCAGCAATATCATTGAATTTAGTCACAAAGTTAAAATGATAAAAAACCTGCAATGGGGATCTTAGTATAAAAACAAAATAAAGGAACTCAAGGTCTCCATCGAATCCTCCATTTAATAAACATGCCACCGAAGGACAACTTCAGCCGTCATATAATAACTTCAGACCCATTTTCTGAACAAGGGGGATCGCAAATTCTGATGTACAGCATTATCTTTTTTAAAATAATTATAAAACTGTTAGCAAGGACATATGACATCTCCACATTCTTATTTACATTATTATGGTGTAAGCTGGCTCTAATAAACTTCAAAGGTGGACATAGAACTTGAAACTTAAATCGTTCATGATCCATTGCTTGCTTTTCCAAGTGACTTATTCTATCTTCTGTACCTGACTGTCTAATAAGTAATATCATGATTGCAATTATGATTGTTGTGTTGTTATTGTTGTGTGTCTTCCTTATCACCTCGCATGTGAATAAAAATAGTTATGGATGCACCGAATCGCTAGAGGAGATCATCATTCTTCAAATTTTTAAATTTCAGACTAAAAGAAGAACCCCAGGAGAAACAATTTTCGATGAATTAATTATGTGCAGTCAGGATTTTAATTGAGTTGTTTTAACTTCTTCTGACATAGTCGTCCATGGAACATTTCTTTCTGACTCTTGATTTAAGAACCATCCTGGGCCTAAGAAGTTGTTTTGTCTGCTTTGTTGCGGTTCAAATAATTTCTGTTGTAAAAGGTGCAACCTCCAAATGAGAGTAAACTTATCAATAACTGCAAACAACTGGTACCGCAATTGCGCTTATTTTGGAGTTCAGTTTAAAAGCTCTCATTTCTGGCCAGAAAGATAAACAGTTAAGTATCACCGATCTGTTGCCGGATGTAACTTGATAAAGAAACGTGAGAAAATTAGTTAGTAAAATAAACGAGAGTGAAAATATGAATTATGATTAAAGACTCGTGGTTACATGTTCACCTATGTTTTCATCACTCTGTGTCTCAATTAAGCACGTGACATGAAGTATGAGAAAAATAAGCGCTCAAAAGCAAAATAGCCTCAGGGAAATATAGGAAACACAGAAAGCTTTGACAGAGTGCCAGCGGCCCGCGTTTATAGAACTGATGGGCCATTTAAACAGGCCTTAATTAGCCACTGGCTTAAAAGCATTCCACATTTTGTAAAGCACGCTCCTACATCAAAAATTTTTTTTATTACTCTTTCACCTTCTTCATTGATTTTTCTGACAATAAACAAATTCAAACTCCGGTTTTCCTCTGCGACTGAACATGAATCCATTCTAAATGCTTTTTAATTTTGATGAAGAAAAAGTCATATTTTCTCAGAAATTATTAAAAACAATATATACAGCAAAAATGGCTTAAGAAAATTTAAAAGCTCTTTATCTGGCTGAGAATATAAGTAAACTAACTAATTATATGCTTCACTCAGTCTCTGCATAAGAAAAAAAAAGGAACCAACCCTCACTTCATGAGAGATAGTCGGCAACCTAATGCAACTCGAAAGTAATTAGATACCACCAAGTCAACAGGACTAAGCAGATGGTCACCTTAAAAAGCATAGCCTTTTACTTATACTGTTTTTAATTCTGACAATTTCCTTACACCTGCTTACCTAGGCAATAAAAAAGAAAAAAAAATAATTATTCTTCATCACAAACTTTCTCAAGGTGAAGAATAAACATGCATCTCCGTAAAATATATTTTATTTGTGCCTTTGCGTGCAGCATAAGTCTTATTTCAGAGCCAGATCTGAGGGCTGTTATATCGTGCAATTTGACAGAATTTTGATACAAGTACAGTAACATAATGATAAAATAAATTAAAATAATAGTGTTTAAAAAGGGTGGCTCTGAAAGAAAGTTAATGCTATGTTGATTAAGGAGGCCCTCACAAAATTTTATTTACAGAATTGTAAAATGACTTAACATTTGAAGAAGACTACTATATACCCAAAAAAACCTGCAAAATGTTAAATTATATGGTGTATTCTTTTTTCATTCTGGAAATTTCCTTTTACCTAATGGCTTGGTTAGGCAATAGCAATTAAAAGAAACATTCATTCCTTTTCATCATAAACTTTCTGACGGTGAAAATTAAAAATGCATCTCTGTCTGCTATTTCTTCTTTGTGCTGTTATGTACGGCATAAGCCGTATTTCAGAGCCAGATCTGAGAGCTGTTAGATTTGCAAACAAGATAGAAGAACAAAAGCTGAACGGAAGCGTTATAAGAGAAATGGAAGTTGATTCGGAAATTTCTTGTCATTCGGAGAGTGCAGATGAACGGCGTCAATCTTACAACTTTAGAACCATTAAGGGTGACTCGATTCATGCGTCAGCTAAGCGACTCTGATCGATTCGCTGGATTTGTTAACTTTATTGAGGATAATAATTTCATTTACAGAGGAATGATGGTAGGCTAAATCTGTCCTAGTGCATCAACAATGACTTGAGGCTCAATGTATGAGTCATTTTATATTTAAGGGTGGCGGACATCTGCGAAAAAGGGACACAACTTTAAAAAGAAAAACAGACAAATTTCATCGAAAAGTTTTAATCTTTCCTTTGCTTTCCTATCCAAAAGTAGCATGCGCGTTCTGTCGGACCTTGTAATTTATATCTAGCATATGGAAGACTTATTGATGGAAAGCCTTAGCGAAATTACTAACGACAACAGTGGAGGGAGACTGGGAGGCGGGAGCCCGGGAGAACAGGGGGCGGGAGAGGGCGGGAAGCGAGAAAACGAGGGGCAGGCAGCGGGATCTATATGGGGGCGGGAAGCGGGAGCAGAAATAAAGAAGGCGATAGTTTGTTTTTCATTACTGGGTATAATTCAGTCAAAAACACTTATCTAGCAAATTATTTAAATTTTGTGGGAGCAAAATTATAACGAAGGCAAGAAAACCGACATACTTTGGAGCCGTGTGAGCCTTTTAACATTTAAAACAAATATAGAGAAAACTTGAAGTACTACAAAGTCGAGTAGGCTTGTCAGCCCCAATTTACACTCGATTATTAAACAGGCTCTTTGAACTCTCTGAAGAAACATTCTGCGAGATGCTTTCAGACTGCCGAGGCGAATGTGATTTGAAAACAAATGAAATTGAAGAAAATCAAGAAGTTGTCTTCACTTGGCGGAAGAAGAGGCTCTGACCAAAATTTGGAGTTGGAAGAGTTAAGTGTGGTCTTCCCGGCACATGGAAGACTTCTCCTAAACTTTCCGCAGAGGTTTAAAGAAGATTTCAACCTATCGAACAAATCTCATAGTCAGCCGAACAATAATGTTTAATCATGCTTCACTAGCACTTAAACTGAACGTTGAAAATGCAAACGGTTCAACAATCGATGTGCAGTGATTTAAATCATCCTTTGGTGTCAGCTTTTTTATTAGCTCAGACCAGCTACGACTAGTTACTTACGTCAAAAAGGGAAAGCAAGCACGGATACAGGAGAAGCAAACTCTAAACGTTACGTCTGACTCTTGATTTTTTTATTTTATTTTGAAATGGCATTCCTAAATGCATGGAAAAACCTATATTAAATTGAAATAGCTATTACATTACACAATGGACTGAGACTTTTGTCTTTAGAACGAGATGTCAGAAGCGATGGTCAAACTGTTATAACCAGGTTAGTGAAGCTTAGTTTAACCAGGAAAACTCTTTTGTTAAGTATCATTTTGCATTACTGGCTGTCCAAATAACTAGGCGGCATAAATAAGACCTAATTAGTGAGACCAACATAAGCAGATCCCGAGAAAAATAATTCGGTTATTGGTTAGCACTGACTTATTATCTAAATTTTTGTTGAGGAAGTAGATGTTACTGGAGGCTACATAACGTTTACGAGAACATTAGAGCCATAGTCTTCGAGCACCACGCCCCAATTATTAGTGCTGCAGGAAGCGCGTTTCTCCGTCCGAGAAAATGAAAATAATCCTAAAGTCTTTTACCCTTTACGCATCTAAATAATTGGCCAAAGATTTTGAAATGTCCTCCTAACACATCATTTCTTGTCGTTTTATCATGTCCGAACAACCTGGATTTAAATCCGCCAAGAGATCTCTTCATAGCGCTTTCTTTTATTAATTATCATTTGCATTACTGGCTGTCGAAATAACTAAGCTGCATAAATAAGACCTAATTAGTGAGACCAACATAAACGGATCCCGAGTAAAATATGTTCAGTGAACGGTTAGCACCAACTTCTTTTCTAAATTTTTGTTGAGGAAGCCGATGCTACGGGAGGCGACGAAACGTTTGCGAGAACATGAGAGACATAGCCTGCGAGCAGCACGCCCCAATTATTAGCGCTGTAGAATGTGCATTTCTCCGCCCGCGGGAAGATTTGAGACGAGTCGGGAGAGCTTTGCCAGGGGTATGGAATCAATAGTTGGTGCAAGACCCTCTAACCGACTCGCATTGCTCAAGGGCTCACACTTTCCCGTGGGAAGAAACGCACGTGCTGATTGGAAGCTCCTATAATGAGGACCTAATCGCAGGCTTTTAGAGCCAAAACACTAAAATTAATTATATCAAAGTTGTCTCAGGTCCGTCTCTAAATTCGCGTGAAAACTTGACTCTAAAATTCAAGCATATAATTGCAACTACAAAAACATCTTATTGGTAGCTTCCAACGCCGGCTTTGGGAACACTTTTGATTTCACACAGTGACTCTACAATAACGAGTTTTGTTTACTTGATTGTTTTCATTTTCTATCCACTGAAATTTCAACAAGTTTAAGATTAATAATTAATACCGTGAAGTTGAAAACAGAAAAAATGCGATAAACATCAAACGCTGAAAGATGCCAAGGCGTATAAGTGAGAGATTCTGAAGTATCTATCTGCTTAAATTGTTCCTAATGTCTTTGACCATTGCTTTTACATACGGAGACCCTCGAATGATGACAACTGTCTTCCAAGCCGTTAATTTTGCCAAAGAAATAAGAGGTCGACGTCTTAATGGAAGTGTTATTAGAGAAATAAAAGTGGATTCAGAGAGTTCTTGTCGACTACATTGCGTGAAAGAAAGCTCATGTGTGTCATACAACTTTGGATCCACAATGAACAACAATCAAGTAAAGAAAACGTTTCAACTGAAATGATTGTTGAATTCTTCTTCTTCCTTCACTACCCCACCTCTTTGTGTAAAGATAATACTTATAGGGGTCTTTAAAACAAAAAAAATAAAGAAAGTTTTGTTCAATAATAAAAATAAAGAAAGTTGTGTTCAAATATTAAGCCATGTAAACTAGTTCTCTCTTGAATGACTCAAAGCCTGGCCTCTTAATTATATCTTCTAGTAAATAGTTCAGTCCCTGAAAATACGTGAGAATTATGAGTTCTTGTGGTAAATCTGTTTTAAAGGAAAATATTTAATAAACCCAATCTTTCAATTATCTCTATTCTATTTCAGATCTGTGCATGTGTTTGCAAAAATTTTAAAATAAAAGAATCATTTATCAGTGAACTTGAAAGAAAATAAAGCAACAAACTAATGGGGCTCCTTCCTTACGAACGTAACTGTTTGCATGGAAACTTCGAGGTAATTCTATGAATCAAACACAACTTGACATAACATACTGATTTATTCAAGAAAAGGAGGAAACAGAGGTTCTACCTCAAAAAAGGAAAAATTAGGACTAAGATTATCTATGTACTATCTATTTACTATCTACTTATTTTTGTATGATAAAATAACCAGTAAAAATAGTTGACACACAAGGTTAAGGAGATGCTCAGGTCTCTTCTTCAACTTTTAAAACCTTTTGGCTTCAATCGTATTTCTCGGCAGACTGTTCCACTCGCGTACCTTGCGGACGGCGAAAAATTCTTGAAAGCGTCACACTTTGCTAACTTAACAGATGATTTCAAAGAATGGTTTCCTCGAGTAGATTTATACTTTGCAAGTTCGAAAAAAATAACTAAATTAATTTACGCCATACACTATCTACCAAGAGGGAGAGGATAAGTCTGTCTGCTCGTTCAGTTTTTTCGGGCGCTTTTTGTATGTCATCATAACTGTTTCTGACAAGGAAGCTCTTCTTTCGACTTTTGCCGACAGAACCATGTCTTTGGATGACGACTCCAGACCAAGGCTGCACATTTCACCACAGAACGCACAAGATGATTATATATCGTCGAGAAAGCCTCGGGATTCGAAGAGACCAATTTTCTATGGATTAAATCTAATACTTTTTCTTGCTTTGATTCCTAGAGTATAAACGTGTTCGCTTCGTGACAGGTTCGAGGCAATCAACGACAACAATTAGACCCCCATCCCCCATAAAAGGGCAAAAGAGATTAAATTGAAGTAATATGGGATTGGAGGATTCAATGTGTCAACATTATTATCGCCAATTGTAGGTCTCTAGTACTGTTGACGGTTGTAAGACTTGAAATCGACATGTATGTTGGCAAGAACTTGTTCTGTCTCTGTGCACTATTCACCAGTACTTCTGAGTTGTCGGGATTGAAGTGCAAATTCCATTTCTAAGTCCATGCTGCCAGCTCATCGATATCGAATTCTGGTCCCTATTTTTTTTTTCTACGTTTTCCAGTTCCCTTTATACTATATCATCTTAGTGTCATCGGTGGACACCAACTTAATTGTGATGGAGATGTTTGATGAAATTAATTGACATGTATTAAGAACAGAATAAGAACAAGGATCTTGGGAACAACAGACAACAATCTGGTCCAGGAAGAATAAGTGCCACCCACCACGACGCGATTTGGGCAGCCGGTTAAGAGATTTCTATACCAAGATAGTAGAGGTCTATCTATCCCATGGCATTTTAGCTTACGCAGCAATCGTTCTTGGGGTACGAAATCGAATGCTTTCAAAGGGTCTTAAAATGACATCCGTTAGTCTTGATTTGTGTCTGGGTGTCCATAACATGCCAAAAAAGTACACAGCGAAAATATTAAGTTTGCTTCGCTGATTAATCTTTACTTCAGAGAAAATGATGTCGATATGTAGGTACTTTTAAACAATTTGAGCCTCGAGCGCTAAAGCTGTTCTACTGATACTATTTTTCCCCCTCATGGGACAGAGAAGTAATCCCCATTTTCTTTTAAGGCCACCGGTGGGCAGATTTCACAACAATTCAGTGATACTCGATCGTCCTCATCCGAAAAATCCAGAACGTCTAACCATTTAAAGATATCATAGCAAAGGTAACGCATTGCCCTCAGTTATTAAACCCTGAGAGTTAGTCTGCTCCATGAACTTGATGTTGGCAGGTCTGGAAGCTTCCGATCTGATTCAATCTGAGAATATGAAACACGTGCAATTTTAAAAGTCTATCAATCAATCAATTCATAGGATACCTTTATTACAATAACAGTAATAAGGGACTTTTGTTTTTACAGAGCCATTGTGAGGTCAGCTCTTTCCTTTGTGCAAAGAACGATATCTGTGTTCCCAACTATAAAGACAACACTGCAGAATGAAAATGTCGTTATGCTTCTAGATATACTGGAGAACCATGCGGTGAGTATCATGTCTAACGCTTTCACTAGTTTGCCACTTTATATTGACTGAGTGCATGCGTGAAATCTTAGGTATCCCGATTTGGATCAAGTAAAATGACACAGTACAGCTTATCCACCCTGGTCAAATAACGAATTTGGGCTTTACTGATTATTTGTTTCTCTTACAAAATCAGAAGCAAAAAGCTGCGCCCAACTACTTAAAGATGGTTTCACCTCTGACGGCGTGTACACCATCAATCCAGATGGCGGTAAGCCAATACCAGTGTTGTGTGACATGACCACGGACAGTGGAGGTTGGACCGTTTTTCAGAGATGTTTGGACGGCTCTGTTGACTTCTATCGTGACTGGAAAGCTTACAAAGAGGGGTTCGGAAGTTTGAGCGGCGAGTTCTGGCTCGGAAACGACAATCTTCATCGTTTTTCTTTGTTTCTTTCGACAATCTTCAACGTTTGAAAGAAATTTATGGTAATGACGTTTATTACAAAATGTTGAAAGACCTGGCAGACTATAAACGAGCTTGACTAAATCTGGGAAAATGTCAGTGACATCACTTGAATGGAGAAACATAACAATCCACTGGATATCAAACGAATTCAACAACCATTTTGAATATTGGTCAAAACATTTGAGATAGATTGTGATAGTAGACAACGATATCTTGCCGGTACAGATAAACGGTTTGAGCTCCAACCTACTAATCCAAATAAAGTATCTTCACTTTTAAATAAACTAAACAAGTCAAAAGCAACGGGCCTTGACACAATATCTGGGTTTGTCCTTTAATGCACCTGACCTTAGGTATTATTGATATTTTCAATCAATCAGTGGATTAAGTTATGATTGTTAATCCATTCACTTTTAAACAGGTGATGTCAACAATTACATTTTCCGGTGATTTAATAGTGAAAGTATTTTTGAAAGGATAGTTTAGATCAATTGTATTATCTGGAAGAACATGATATTCTTTCAAAATCAATCAAGGTTTCGTGTCGCATTCAACTGTGCATTGTTGGAAAATATAATTTGACAACGTAATAAATGGAGTTTTTTCTTTTGAAAAAAGCTTTTGACACTGTTGATCATCAGATCCTCCTATCGAAATTAAACTATCATGGTGGCAAATCTTTCAAATGGTTTCAGTTTCTTAAACCGCACACAGAAATGTTCTGTGAACGGGTCGCCCAATCTCATTAACTTGGGAACAAATGATCCTCGGTCCACTATTGTTTTTATTATATATCAACGATCTTCCAAATTGTTTATCAAATTGTGAGCCGTGGATGTATGCTGACGACACACACCTTACATATGCGGGCGGTGATCTTGAGAGTATACAGCTTTGTCTGAATGAGGACTTAACAAACGTTTTCAACTGGCTACAAGCGAATAAATTCACACTGAATATGACAAAAACCGTATTCATGCTAATAGGGTCAAGGCAGAGACTGGGTACTCTCACAGCTTCACCAACAATTAGAATGAACAGCACTCAGGTGAGCCAGGTTACTTCTACAAAATCGCTTGGTGTGATTATAGACGATAGGCTCGATTGGCATAGTCACATCGAAAAACTAACAAAAAAGATTGCCTCTGGTATCGGGTGCCTAAAGCGAGTCAGGCATCTGATCCCAGCATCGACCTTACATCTGCTTTACCAAGCTTTAGTAAAACCTCACTTTGATTACTGTGACATTGTCTGGGGTAGCTGTGGGATAACGCTACGAGATAAGCTGCAGAAATTACAGATTAGAGCAGCCCGTGTTTTGACATTTTCCAGCTAGATGCCGATGCAACTAAGCTACTTGAATTTTTAAGTTGGAAAAATCTGACAAGCCAGCAGGAAATTCATAGAGTTACCATGGTTTTCAAATGTCTGCACGGGCTAGCTCCTGAATATCTTAATTCTAAGTTTAGATGGCGTAACTCTGCTTATGACCTCAGGGACTCTGAAAATAAACTCAATGTTCCTCTACCTCGCACTAACTATTATCGAAAAAGCTTTAGCTATAGTAGGGCCACATTATGGAATAGTCTTTCATGTGATATAAGGAACACAGAGTCTCTGGGGTTATTTAAACGCAAGATCAATGCCACTCTATAACGCACGGCATTCACGGAAAACAGCTTTTAGTTATTAGTTAGTGTTTTAATTTTTAAATAGTTTTAGTTAATGTAATTGCTGATGAATTGTTTCGTGCTTAAATAAAGATTATACATAAATAGTCTAGAAATACATTGGTGTTGAATGTGTTGCGTTCTCTCTCTTTGTTTTGGGCCGAATTGATGATCAACCAAAAAGGTTTTAAGAAAAGTCTCATGCAAGCACAACTCTAATCTTCTCTCTTGATATTCTTTAAGATTGAAGTTACCTCTGAAACTGTAAGGTCATTGGAATTGTGGAGGTCATTGGGCAGAATGTCTATTGTTCTCGCGACATTTACTTGCAGTAGCAAAAATATTATATATCTATGATATTAGGGGCGAAGCGTAAACAGGGGGGCTCTCAGCGGTCGAAGATCACGCGTGCTTTCCTCTGTGACAAGAAAACAAGAATAAATTAGGTGAATAAAAACCGCTCGTCAAAACCGTGGAGATTAAGAATGCTGATTTGAAAGATAAATTTTTGTTCTATAGTTTTGCGGCTTTCTGAACTGCCCACATGCAGGGAAAGGCCGCAAACTGCCATATGCTCCTTAGGATGATTAGGGGGATTAAAGTGTCTAGCGACTGGTTTAGATGCGTCCTTGTCATTTCTTTCTACGTTACGAAGGTGTTCTCGCAATCAGTCACCTGATCGTCTTCTTGTTTCACCAATGTAAAACTTTTTGCAATAAGTGCAAGTTAAGTAGTAAATAACATTGGCGGAGGTGCACTAAAGTGATCAGTGATCTTAATGGATCTCTCGGGTCCCGACATTTTCTCTACGTTATGAATGAAAGGACAAGTTTTTCATTGTGAGCGAGCGCATTTGAAAGTTTCAGGTTTCTTTGGTTTGAAATGAAATTCTAGGAGTCTTGATGATGATATTTTTTGCAGTGGCGAGCAATTCTTGTTTAGCTACAAGATCGCTAATCATGTTTTTGACAATGTTTTGATGGATGAAAATGAGATCTTTGTCACCTTTGGCATAAAAAGAGGTGTCAGAAAGGAGATGGCGGTCTGCTTCCTGACGCCTATTTACACCTCGTCAGAAAAAAGGCCGCTAATTAGTGATCATATAAAAGGACCTCTTGTTGCAGCGTTTAGATCACCCCTGATGAAGGCACTAGACAGGAGTGTCGAAACGTTGGGTCTATGAATTGTAACTTCTTCGGTTACATTCATTAAATCTGCAAACCAGTGTAGCATCAAACTATGTGTGAGATGAACTTTGTTCGTCTGTCTCACGATAGAGTCACTTTTGATGTTGATCGCGACGTTTCAACTGCAATGTTCAATGTTCACTACTGCCTAAGTGGTGCACATTACTGCGAGGATCACTTTCATTCACGTCTTTATCCGCAGTTCAAATATATGACTTTCATATATTCTTAACCGCTTAATGTTGCTAGTCTTTATCCGGCGATGAGGTCGACTGTTCACTTGTTGTAGCACGTTGGTAAGCTGCTATTGGTGCATTTCGATCCTCATTATTATTCTTGTTGTTAAATGGTGTTCCCTCATAGGTCCTCATAATCGCCTGTTGTGTTGTTTGATTGTGGGTGTCCAAGCTTCGGGTTTTTCGATTCCGCTATCCCTATTGACGTTGTTTGAATGACGTCCTATATGGATAGCCTCCTTGCCCTATGTATGTACCGGTAAGGTCACGATCAATAAACTTAACCCTTAACCTTTAGACTTTTTAATGCTGACCTCTCTTCCGAAGAACTTAGAAAATTTGTTGTTACAATTGAATTTTAGTTTGCTAATATTGTGAAGATTCTAAAGATGCAAATTGGTCCTCTGGGGGAGTCCATTAAGACTTTCGAGTGCCCTCTTTGTCGTGAAAAAATGACTTTCAATTGAACGCGGCGAAGGAATTTTTTAACGTCTTGCTTGACTGAAAATTGATCGGTTTGTTCGGAAATGGGAACAAAATTTAAGCCCTTTCTAAAAACTGATTTTTCTGAATCGGAAAGTGGTAAATTTTCTGGAATCTAGTTACAGTTTTGAGGCTTTCTAGTGATGAGTCGCTAGTATTTTGAGGACCGATAAGTTGGTCGAGTTTTTGGGCTTTAATTTGGTGCAAGTGGTTAAAAGGTTTAGAACTGGCATCCTGAGTTTTGGCACAAATAGATTGTAATAAAACAGCTGGACACATTTTGGAAAGTTCAGAACGGAAATTTGGAATTTATTCGTTGAGTTCGTTACGTTTTTGGCACATGGCTCTGGTTGTGATTCTGATCATATCACCTGGCGAGTCAAAAAGTTCTGGGTGCACTGAAAATGGTATTGATTAGAACGAGAAAAAGAAATGTATGAAATTGGAGCGAAAACCCTTGAGAATAACTTTGGAATGAAGGCAACGGCCAATGAAATGGATATAGCTACAATAAGAATGGCTAAACCAAATGTTGGATCTTTACTAATAGGGGAGAAAGGGAAAAGATAACTTACGATTTCCTGGCGTAGTTGTCCTACCCAACATATTTCCAGCTATTTAGACAAAATTATGTCACCTATGGTCAAAACTTTACCATCCTAAATTAAGGACAGCCAACGCGCACTTGAAATTTTTCGTGACCTTAATTTCCCTGGCCAAAACAAACTTATTTTCATTAAGGATATAATTATATTCTATCTTATTGCGTCCTATCATAAACTACTGTATTCTGCTCTATCCCGTTCTATTCTACTCTACGATACTGTATCATAAATCTACCTCTTTATCTTTGTCTCTCTCGCGTCTCTTAATTCTTTCTTTAAAGCAATTTGTCAAAGTAGTTCCCTTAAGCAGAATTTGTTTTGCAAGTTTTTAAGAGAAAATCTCTTTCCTCAATGGCTAAACAGAAATGAAAGAAGTCAACATAAGTTTTATTCTTAGTCCAGCCATATGCAGTTTTCCACGAAAGATCAAGATAATGATCTAAAGGATATAAGCTGTGCCCAACACTACAAAGGGGCCTGGTGGTACAACGGCTGCCATTGGTCCAATCTAAACGGATTGTAGTTAAATGGCCAACATGCCTCTCATGCTGATGGAGTCAACTGGACCACGTTAAGAGGCCATCGCTACTCACTAAAACGCACCGAGATGAAAGTAAAAACCAAGGGATAAGATGGTTTCTATCGTGGAGTGACAAAACATGATTCTAAGTATGACGACATCAAAGAAACTTTTTTTACAGCTTCAATAGGATCAATCTAGACCGACTTATAACTATGACAAAGCATATCGTTAGAAGCAGCCACAATATGCTCACTTCTTGTCAATAATTGCAGTAGATAGTATGAGTTTTTTTATGGTGAACCTGGCCCCGGTTGTTCGAAGGGTGGATAACACTATCCACTATCCGGTGGATGCCACAATACGTTTTAGCAATTTATGCATCGGATAACGTTATCCGCCCTGTAAATAACTAAGCCTGGTCTATTCGTGGTTAATCTCAAGGGCTTGTCCATGTCACCATTATTAGATTAACCTTTAGCTTGTGTTCGTATTTTTATATTGGCAAATACTCATTTCCTTGGGTTCACGTCAGCAAGTTTCCGTTCTGTGCTTCTAGTTACTCTCACTTGCGTTTCGTATTCGTTTTTTTCCGGGCACCTTTATCTATTTCATTAATTAATTTAACGTTTTTCACCGGATTAGATTTTTAAAGAAAGCATCAAGTTATGGATGGGCTTAAACTCACGCACAAGCCTTAAGGAAGAAAATCTTAAATGAGACAACATAGAGACAACGAAGATGGGCAGAGAGCAGACGTCAAATTCAAATTTAGTTGAATCTTCAGCGATAAGTCGGGGGGGAGGGTCTGGGGACTCCAGAAAACTAAAAAACTAAAACTCACTAAATACAATTACGAGATAATACAATAAAAACAATAAAACTGAAAACATACAATTGCAACTACCAAAACATCTTATCAGGAGCTGCGCCGGCTGTAGGAACACTTTTGATTTCACGCAGTGACTCTACAATAACAAGTTCTGTTTACTTGATTCTTTTCAATTTCAACAAGTCAAAGATTAATAATTACTATCGTGAAGTTGAAAACCAAATAACTGCGATAAACATCAAACACTGAGAGATGCCGATTGCTTTTACATACGGAGACCCTTCCCTTATTGGAGAAATACAAGAGGATTCAGAGAGTTCTTTTCGACTACATCGTGTGAAAGAAACTTCATGTGTGTCATGCAGCTTTGGATCCACAATAAACAATAGTAAGTTTAAATGTCAACTAAGCGACTCCGATCGATCGCTTTGCTAGCTTCAAGAATTTCACCGAAGACAAAAAATTTCTCTACCGAGGAGTGAATGTAAGAAACTAGATATAATCTTTCTAAAATGAAATAGGTGAGCATTATATTGCTTCTAGAATAAACTTTCTAAAAGTGTATGCTGCCACTATATGTAAACTTAGTGTCATCTTGAGTGTTTCAGGGTTCTAAACAACTTCGACTTACAAAACAAAACTCAAACTTCCTCACTTTTAATGACGGGAAAGATATGATATAACAAGTAAAACAAAGACAGTGCAACCATCTGCGTAATTAAAACCAAATATCCTTTTAAAATGTTCTCGTCTCCAATTGAAAGATGACGATTCTTTGGAATGTTATTCTGAAAAGAATTGGAAAGAGAATAGAAAAAAACGGAACGAAACAGTCCATGTAAAGTTTCTAATATTTCTTCGATCTCATAAGTTCAAGCTCGATTTGTCTTTTTCATTTTTGATAGGAAGTTTCAACTTGATTTTATGAGAGATAAACATCTGCAGTACAATTTCTTTAATCCATAAGAAACATTCCCTATAGTTTTTTTTTTATCAGCAAGTTTATTATGAGAAGATTGTTTTTCTGTGAGGCCACTAAAGTTGATCGTATAATTCATTTGCTATCGTAAATATGGCTTCAATTTTTCTAAAGAAATATCTATCTTTAACGACGCTGATGGGACAAATGCGCATGATTTTTTAAGGAAACGTTTTAACTGAAATGGTCCTTGAATTCTTCTTCTTCGTTCGCTACCTCACCTCCTTCTTCGAATTCTTCACCGTTTGACGGATGCTGATAACATCATGTTGAGAGTTGACTTGGAGGACTTTGAGAGAACATCACATACGCTGAGTACAAGGCATTTAAGATGGCAAACGAGGCTGCAAATTACAGACTCACTCTCGGAGAATATAGTGGCATCGTAAATAGTCAAGAAATTCATCGGTCTCAAAAGTGTTGCGTTCTCTCTCTTTGTTTTGGGCTGAATTAATAATCAACCAAAAAGGTTTTAAGAAAAGGCTCAAGCACGCTTTACTCTCATCTTCTCTCTTCATATTCTTTAAAAGTGAATTTGCCTCTGAAACTGAAGTCATAGGAATCAGGAGTTAGTTTTTAGGAAAATGTCGTTTATATAAACCAGCAAAATCATTTGCTAGTGGTGTGACAAGGCTATGTCCTTTATAGTTTTGAAGGTGTTAGCGTTCATCAGTTAAGAAACAGTACTAGTTTATGAAAAGAGTGAAAATAAGGCAACACAATCTGAATTAAGTATTTGAATCAAAAGTAAATCTGAGGGGGATTACTAAAAGGATACCAAACAGCTCATTAAAGACAAAATTTCCACATCAGGGCCGGGTCGTTAAAAACCCGAAGAAGCAGGCCAAGGATCAGAGTGGATATTTATTTTGTCTTAACAGCTCTGCAGGTTTTCTTGGACTTGTTCTATTTTGCGAAACGAAACGAAACGAATATTGTAGTAATTCTTTTATAATAAGGTAAAGATAGCTTTTACGAGGATTATGGTGTAATCGTCATTTCATAAGAAGGATTTTTATTCATTTTGCGAAGTAGTAATTTCAAAAGAGTTACTACTCTGCGGAATCGACTATTTTCACCCTGCGGTGACAACGTGACCTCTTATTCACGTCCCAAAAATACATTTAAACATAACAAATTAGTATATCACCGAAGATTTTGGCCTCCTCTTACTTCTTAAACCGTTTTAAAATATATTTTGCCAAATAGTAATTTTAGGTGAGATACTATTTTGCGAAATGGACTACTAGTCGATTTCGCAAAATAATAACTCTTCTTAAATTCCTACATTGCCAATTAAATAAAAACCCTTCTTTTTAATTACCGATTACTCAAAAATCCTCGTGAAAGTTATCTTTACCTTACTGCAAAATACATCTGCATTACTCCTCTAGTTTTGTTCTATCTCGCTTGGTTTCGTCTCGTTTCGTTTGGTTTCGCAAGATAGTATTAGCCGTAGTTCTTGATCATATTTCATCATGTTCAATTTTGTCTGGCATGCTGAGAACAACCCCACATAACTTCGAGAGAAGGAATGGATGGTTTCACAAGAGGAAATGCAACACCAAGTTGAATTTGTAATCCTGAATTAGCGTAAATGGCCTCTCACGTACAACTTGAAGAGTCGAAAGGCTGGAGTATAGGGTATCTAGAGTTACTCAGCTCGCACTAAGAATAAAGTAACATTTGATAGATTATATAGCCACAGAATTTGAGAATATCACCCTCTACTTTTAGCTATTGTCAACAACTTTTACATATATCTGCAAATATAAAGTTTTACGAGGGATGTAGTTTAGTTTCTAGCCTTTGTTTGTATGTTGTCGATTCACCATTAATACTTGTCTACTTCTCTTCTAATATTCCTATCATCACTTGCAAAATTAATTATTAGCCGGGCGAAACGTTTTGTAAAAGACTGCTATTTGAATAAAGTTTTTGTTTAAAATTTATTAACTTCATCTACGTGCGTGTGCGTGTGTGTGGTCTCACAAAGTTCCAATGTTCCCTTTAGGTATTTTTTTATATATTACCACGAAATTCGTTCTTACGATTTGAATTCATTCCCCCAAAATATCAAAACACAATATTTTGATTCCTCGACAGTTCATTGTACCATAAAATGTTGTTTATAAGCTTTCGCTAAGCGACCTTTCGGGCGACTTTAAAGTTACAGTTCTGATTTTGGTAAATTGTTTCGTTGCCCTCATCGTATTTCAACAGAGGCATCTTACGAAATTCTTTAAAACTAAAATATTGGTTGAAAATCGTCCTTAAACAGCTAATAATATGGTTGTCCAAAAACATGAATAAATTTTTAAAAATGTTATTGTTTGATTTAAATATTGCCCTATCATGCCGGTTAAAGCATTTAAATCAATCAACATAATGTTTTTCTGCTTTCACTGAGGTTCTGTGTTAATATTTAATGAAAAAGAGCTAAAACCCAAAAGATCCCCATAATTGGCAACATTTCTTGAGAAAACATGTACCCAACACTCCTTCTAACTTCCTTGGTAATTACTTTAGCAAACGGAGAAAGTCGATTGACAACATCCAACTACAAAGCTATTAACTTTGCCAGAGAAATAAGAGGACGACGGCTTCACGGAAGGGTTATCAAGGAAATTGAAGTGGATTCTGAGAGTTCTTGTCGACTGCTTTGCGTGGAGGAAAGTTCATGTCTGTCATACAACTTTGGACCCGGTGAAAACAAGAAGATGTTTAAATGTCAACTAAGCGACTCTGATCGCTTTGCTAGCTTCAACAATTTCACCGCAGACAACACATTTCTCTACCGAGGAGTGAAGGTAAGAAACTTTAGATAGAATTTTTCCAGAATGCAGCGGGCAAGTATTATATTGCCTATATGATAAACTTTGTGTAAGTGTATGCTGACAATAAATGTCAACTACGCGACTCTGGTCGGTTTACTGGACTGAGCAATTCCACTGAAGACCCCCAAGTTCTTTATAGAGGCATAAAGGTAGGTAATTTACCTCAATTTTCGACTCTTTTACTTAATTCCAAGTGGTATTATGCATGATTGAAGGAACGATGCAGATGTTTATATATTGTATTTGGTATTGGTAAAGAAATACAATTTTAGAATTACTGTAGAACTTTTCTTATCATCCTCTGATTTTGAAAGTGTAAGATATAAACTTTAACTTTGCATTGGGCCTGCAAACTTGACGGCTCAGAAACGAGATGTAATCCAGTGTTTTCGATTTGAAAAAGAATGTGTTCATTCGTTATTGGCTAAGAACAGGAAACGTTACTCTACGCCTTTGAGGGACATTTTAAAGTAATAATGAGTACTGATGACTAATGTATTTTATGTTCCTAATCTAATGTTTTCAAAAAATGCTGTCAATGAAAAACTATATTTAAATTGAAATGCTTGCTTCTCTTGTTGTGGATAATAGCTGTAAGATAAATTTCTGGAAGTCTTCGTCATGTTGACACGCATACCATGGAACTTTTTCAGAACAATTCGGTTACACTTGATCGCCCTTAATCATCCGAGAATACTAGAACGTCTAATCATTCGGAAATTTCGAATGAAGCAAAGGCAGCACATTTCTCTCAGTTATTTAAAAACCCTGAGAGTTACTCCGGCCAGTTAACTTAGTGTTGGTCGCTCTAGAAGCTACTGATTTCATCTTAGAAAATAAAACAGGTGATTTTAATCTTAGAAAATAAAACAGGTGCAATTTTAAAAGTTGCGATATCAAAAAAAATCAATCAATTTTTGGTCACAAAAAACAACAAGGTACCTTTTAGTGAGGCGCTTTTCAAGATAAAATTATCGCGTTTGAGTATACGAAAAGAAGTGATTTTGAAAAGCATTTCACTAAAAAAAAATTGCGATAAAACATTTCTTAAAATCATTTCAAGATTAAAAAAAAAAATTGCTAAAAGCGACGACGTTTTCGACGTTGGCTGAACGTCATTATCAAGTCAAAATAAAGTTAGTGATTTTTGGTCTATAAATACTAAAAACAACAAGTTCAATGGCACCTTCAACGTCAGTTGATTATCGCGTTTGAGTATACGAACAAGAAGTGATTTTGAAAAGCATTTTTCTTAAATCATTTCAAGATGATAACGTTTCGACGTTGGCTGAACGTTCAGCCAACGTCGAAACGTCGTCGCTTTTTCTGAGCAATTTTTTTTTTTTCTTAAAATCATTTCAAGATTAAAAAAATTGCTAAAAGCGACGACGTTTCGAAAACGTGATTTTAAGAAATGTTTTATCGTTTTATCGCAATTTTTTATAGTGAAATGCTTTTCAAAATCACTTCTTGTTCGTATACTCAAACGCGATAATCAACTACACTTTTTCAGAAGTCTTGAAAAGTGTAGCAAGCGCCTCACTAAATGTGAAGGTGCCATTGAATTTCTACGCTTGTTGTTTTTTAGTATTTATAGACCAAAAATCACTAACTTATTTTGACTTAATAATGACGTTCAGCCAACGTCGAAACGTCGTCGCTTTTTAGCAATTTTTTTTTAAATCTTGAAATGAATTTAAGAAATGTTTTATCGCAATTTTTTAGAGTGAAATGCTTTTCAAAATCACTTCTTGTTCGTATACCTTTATTTTGATAAAAGTAATCAGTTGCTTTTGTTTTAACAGAGCCATTGTGAGGTCAGCTCTTTCCTTTGTACAAAAAACGAGATCTGTGTTCCCAACTATAAAGACAACACTGCAGAATGCAAATGTCGTTATGCTTCTGGATATACTGGAAAACCATGCGGTGAGTAACATGTCGCACGCTTTTACTAGTTTGCCACTTTATATTGACTGAAAGCATGAGTGAAGTCTTAAGTATCCCAATTTGGATCAAGTAAAATGACTCAGTACAGCTCATCCACCTTGGTCAATTAATTAATTTGAGCTCTATTAAATATTTCTTTTTCTTCTAAAAACAGAAGCAAAATGCTGCGCTCAACTACTTAAAGATGGTTTCACTTCCAATGGCGTGTACACCATCAATCCAGATGGCGGTAAGCCAATACCAGTGTTGTGTGACATGACCACAGACGGTGGAGGTTGGACCGTTTTCCAGAGACGTTTGGACGGCTCCGTTGACTTCTATCGTGACTGGAAAGCTTACAAAGAAGGGTTCGGAAGTTTGAGCGGCGAGTTCTGGCTTGGAAACGACAATCTTCACCGTTTGACGGATGCTAATGACGTCATGTTGAGAGTTGACTTGGAGGACTTTGAGGGGAACATCACATACGCCGAGTACAAGACATTTAAGGTGGCAGACGAGGCTGATAATTACAGACTCACTCTCAGAGAATACAATGGCACAGCGGGAGATTCCTTCATGGATCATAGGTAACATAAATAGTTAAGAAATGCATTGGTGTTGAATGTGTTAGGTTCTCTCTCTTTGTTTTGGGCCGAAGTAATGATCAACCAAAAAGGTTACAAGAAAAGTTTCATGCACGCTTAACTCTTATATTCTCTCTTGATATTCTTTAAGAGTGAAGTTCCCTCTGAAAATGAAAGGTATAGGAATTGTATAGGTCATTGGGCAGAATGCCTATTGTTCTCGCAGTGGCGAAAATATTATAGATCTCTGATATTAGCGACGAAGCGAAAACAGGAAGACTCTCATTGGTCGAATATCACGCGCGCTTTCCTCCGTGATGAGAAAACAAAAATAAGTCAGTTGAATGAAAAGCGCTCGTCGATACCCTGAAGATAAAGAATGCCGATTTGAATGATAATTTTTTGTTCTAAAGTTTTGCGGCTTTCCGAACTGCCTACAGCAAACTGCCATATGTTGCCTAGAATGATTAGGGAGATTAAACTGACAAGGGACTGGTTTGCATGCGTCCTGGTCATTTCTTTCTACGTCGCGAAGGTGTTCTCGGAATTGGTCACCTAATCGTCTTCCTGTTTCACCAATGTATAACTCTTTGCAATAAGTGTAAGTTAGGCAGTAAATGACTTGCCGGAGGTGCACGTTAAGTGATCAGCGATCTTAATGGCTCTCTTGGGTCCCGTCATTTTCTCCATGTTATGAATGAAAGGACAGTTTTTGCATCGTGAGCGAGCACATTTGAAAGTTTCAGGCTGGTCTTTGGTTTCAAATGAACTTTTGACCAAAAAAAGTTGCCTATGTTTTTGTAACGCTTGAATGAAATTAGTGGAGGTTGCGAAAAGACAGTACCAGTCTCTAAATGGTTTTGGACTAATTGAAACATTTTTCTAAGAATGATAGATTTAACTGCGTGGTTGTGAGGGTGAAATGTGAGAGTGAATGGAATGCAATCAGTGTTTACCTTCTCAGCCGTTTTTAATGCTGACTGTCGATCAATTTGTTGGGCACGGTATGAAATTCTTGATAACAAGTACCTATATCTTGCTAGTAAACACTAGTGCATAGAACGTTGCCTTCAATTTAAATTTTGGTGTCTAGAATAGCCAAAGAAGTGTCGGAAACCTCCCAGGTATATTTAAGAACTGGATGAAAGGAATTGACAACGATTACAAATTAAGTGAGCTCCTCTCTGGTAGAAGAGGTAGAGCCGATGTAGCTATCAATGTAGTGGTCGTAAAGTTCAGGTTCAGTGGGGCCGTGGTATTGACTAAAAAATTGTGTTCGATAAAACCTACGAAAAGATTGGCTTAGCTGGATACCATAGTTGTTTCCATGCCGGCTACGCCATTAGTTTGTTTGTACTAGTTGCCATCGAGTGAAAAGTAAAATAAGTGCTAGTTCGGTTAGACGGAGTAGTGTTTCAGAGCTAGGTTCCTTAACAATGCATTGATCGAAAAAGTATTTGAGGGCCCAGAGACCTCCATTGTTGGGAATGACTATAATATCCATAGTGAAAATAAGTTTTTTTTGGCCAAGGGAATTAAAGTAACGAAAAACTTCAAGTGCATGTTGGCTGTCCTTTATGTAAGATAGTCGGCCTGGGTGGTTAGGTTTGTGGATTTTCGGTAAAAAGTAAATACACAAAGTTCTAGGAGTGTTGATGGTGAGATTTTTTGCAGTGGCGAGCAATTCTTGTTTAGTTAGAAGATCGTTAGTAGTGTTTTTCAGAATGTTTTCATTGATGAAAGTGAGATCTTGGTCAACTTTGGCATAAAAAGAGGTCTCAGAAAGTTGACGCAAAGCTTCTTTTTGGTAGAGGTCGGTCAGCCGAACAAAGACTGCACAGCCTGTGTTGACCGCTTTAATAACTATGTCTTTGCGCTTTTTAGTCTTCTTAATGCCGACCACTCTTATGAAGAAAGGTTGGAAATTTGGTGTAACGATTAAATTTGAGCCTTTTAATATCGTGGCGATATTTTTTGATGAAAAAATCTAAAGATGCGAACTGGCCCTCTGTGGGAGTCCATTTAGACTTTCGAATCTGAAGTGTTTCGAAAGTATCTTTGTTCAAGGTGTTAGAATTATCCTCTTCGTCGTGAAAAAATGACTTTCACTTAAAGGCGGGGAGGGAATTTTTTAACGTCTTGCTTGACTGAAAATTCGTCGATTTTTCCGAAATGGAAACAAAATTTAAGCTCTTACTAAGAACTGATTTTTCTGAATCGGAAAGTGGTAAAAAAAATTTTCTGGAATGCGAATTGCTGTTTTGAGGCTTTCAGGCAATGAGTCACTATTTTTTTGATGACCGATAAGTTGGTCGAGTTTTTGTGCCTTAATTTGGTGCAAGTGGTTAAATATTTTAGAACAGGCATCCTGAATTTTGGCACGAATAGATTTTACCAAAGCAACTGGAAAAATTTTAGAAAGTTCAGAGCGGCAATGTAGAATTTTTTCGTGGAGTTCGTTACGTTTTTGGCACAAAGCTCGGATTGTGAATCTCATAATATCACCTGGCGCGAAAAAAAAATTGTGGGCGCACTGAATTTGGTCACGACATTGATTAGAATGAGAAAAAGAAGATGCATGAAAATTGGAGCGAAAACCCTTAGGAACAACTTTGGAATGAAGGCAATGGCCAATGAAATGGATATGGCTACAGTAAGAATGGCTAAACGGAATGCTAGATCCTTGTCCCACTCAACTTATTTCCAGCTATTTAGACAAAATTATAGCACCTATGGTAAAAACGTTATCATCTTACGTTAAGGACAGCCAACACAAATTTTTGAAATTTTAATTTTCTGACCAAAAAACTATATTCATTATATCATTATATTCTATCCTATTGTGCCCTATCCTAAACTACTGTATTCTATTCTATCCTATTTTATTCTACTCTATGATATTATATTATAAATCTACATCTTTATCTCTGTCTCTCTCGCGTCTCCTGATTCTTTCTTTAAAGCAATTTGTCAAAGTAGTTCCCTTAAGCAGAATTGGTTTTCTAACTTTTAAGTGAGAACTTCATTCCTCAATGGCTAAACAGAAATGAGACAGGGCAACTTAAGTCTTATTCTTATTGCAGCGGTATGCAGTTTTCCACGAAAGATCAAGATAGTGATATATATGGTGCAAGCTGTGCCCAGATCCACAAAGGGGCCTGGTGGTACAAACACTGCCATAAATCCAATCTAAACGGATTGTATTTCAATGGCCAACATGCCTCTCGTTCTAATGGAGTCAACTGGTTTACTTTCAGAGGCTTTTACTATTCACTAAAACGCACTGAGATGAAAGTAAAAGCCAAGGGATAAGATGGTTTCTATCGCGGGGTGACAAAACATGATTCCAAGTATGACGACATCAAATAAACTTTTTTATAGCTTCAATTGGATCAATCCAGACCGACTTATAGCTATGGCAAAGCATATCGTTAGAAGCAGCGAAAATATGCTCATTTCTCATCAATAATTTCCATAGTTAGTACGAGTTTTTTATGGTGAACCTGGCCCCGGTTGTTCGAAGGGTGGATAACACTATCCACCGGATAAATCTCTATCCGGTGGATACCGCAATACTTTTTAGCGATTTATCCTTTGGATTGCGTTATCTGTCCTGTGAATAACTAAGCCTGGTCTATTCGTGGTTTAAGTCATGTTTTTTAACTATTTCACCATTATTAGATTAACCTTTAGTTTGCTCGTATTTTTATACTTGCAAATGCTCATTTCCTTGGTTGGGCGCTGATATGGGTTTGAGTATCGCGTTTGCAAGTTTCCCTTGTGTGCTTCTAGTTACTTTCACTTATATTTCGTATTCGTATTTCTCCGGGGTCCTTAATTCGTGGATTTATTTATTTCATTTATTTACTTGATGTTTGCCAGATTTTTAAAGAAAGCATCAAGTTGTGGTAAGGCGTAAACTCAAGCTTAAGTCTTAAGGAAAAAAAACCTTAAATTTGCAAGTTTTTACATAGAGAGACACCGAAGATGGGCAGGGAACAGGCATCAAATTCAAATTATTGAATCTTCAGCAACAACTCGGGGAGGGAACGGTCTAGGGAATCCACACCTCCCCACCCCCTCCCTATAAAACCCGTGAGTTTATTCCATGTCTTTAACCAAAATTCTTTCAACGACGGTACCACATATTACCACTACTGAACTAGAAGTGTTAATTGAGAGTTCAAACTTCATTAAACATGTGTTAAATTAATTGAGCTCCAGTTTATACTGTGTTTTCCGAATTAATGTGTTGTAACCCACCCAATCAAAAATTCCTCGATCCGCTTTGTATCTTTTAAGCCCACAGGACGTTTGTTTACCATTGGAGCGGGGATCAGAAAAATAGTTCAGTAAACGGTTAGCTCTAACTTATTTTCTAAAGTTTTGTTAAAGAATTCGATGTTACTGGAGGCGACGAAACGTTTACGAAAACATTAGAGTCAGCCTGCGAGCAGCACGCCCCAATCATTAGCGCTGCAGAAAGCGCGTTCCTCTGCCAGTGGGAAGATTTGAGACGAGTCGAGAGAGGTTTGCCAGAGGTCTGGAACCAATGACTGGCGCAAGACCCTCTCGCCGACTCGCGTTGCTCAAGGGCTCTCACTGATTGGAGGCTCCTATAATGGGGACCTGATCGCAGTCAAAACGAAGTATGCATTTGCTTAAACTGCTTCTAGTGTCTCTAACGATTGCTTTTACATACGGAGACCCTCGAATGACAACACCTGTCTTCCAAGCCGTTAACTTTGCCAGAGAAATAAGAGGTCGACGCCTTAATGGAAGTGTTATTAGAGAAATACAGGTGGATTCAGAGAGTTCTTGTCGACTACACTGCGTGAAAGAAAGCTCATGTGTGTCATACAACTTTGGATGCACAATAAACAACAAGAAGTTTAAATGTCAACTAAGCGACTCCGATCGCTTTGCTAGTTTTAAGTATTTCACCGAAGACAATAAATTTCTCTACCGAGGAGTGAAGGTAAGAAACTTTAGATCTAGTTTTTCTAGAATGAAGTAGGTAAGCATTATATACCCTGTAGAATAAACTTTTTTAAAATGTATGCTGACGTAATGTGTAAAATTTTGAGTGTTTCAAGGTTCTACACAACTTCGGATTATAGGAAAGAACTCAAATTTCCTCACTTTTAATGAAACAAAGACAGTGTAACCAACTGTGTTATTAAAACCACATATCCTTAATATTCTTGTTTCAAATTGAAAGATGAGGGTTCTTTCGAATATCATTCTGAAAAGAATTGGAAAGAGAATGGAAAAAAATGGGACGAAAATTCTTACAAAGTTCTTAACATTTCGTCGATCCCGTAAGATCAAGTTCGATTTATCCTTTTCAGTTTTGATAAGAAGTTTCGACTTGATTCTATTAATGTGAGAGATAAACATCTGCAGCATACAAAGAATGTTTTCAATTATTTGAATTTCTGTAAAACATATTCATTTCATGGGAAACACTCCATATGCATGCTTTATGAGCAAGCTTATTATGACTGAAAAACATTTCATCTGTGAGGCCATTAAAATTTAAAACTTCATTGTATAATCCATTTGGTATCGTGGCGATGAATTTTGCTCAAGAAAGAGGTATCTTTAACAACGCTGATGTGACAAATGCACATGATTTTTTGAACGAAACGTTTTAAATGAAATGTTCTTTGAATTCTTCTTCTTCCCTCATTACCCCACCTCTTTCAAAAAAAAATACTTATGGGGAATCTTTCAAACATAAAAAATCGTAATTAATTTAAGAGATCCTCGCAGCTAAGAACACTACTGAACTTTTGACTGAAAGTAGGACCTGAAAAAATTCAGGTCCGTACGGGATATGAACCCATGATCTGTGCAATACCGGTGCAGCGCTCTACCAACTGAGCTAACAAGCCAACTGGGAGTTGGTCAATATGTTGGGTCGAAATAAACCATCCAAGTGATGAATAATGATTTTAGATATATGAAATTTATATATTTGCACTGCGGTGCAGAAACGAGTTTAAGAGATCCTCGCAGCTAAGAGCACCACTGAACTGGTAGTTGAAAATAGGACCTGAAAAGCTAGCTCAGTCGGTAGAGCGCTGCACCGGTATCGCAGAGGTCATGGGTTCAAATCCCGTACGGACCTGAATTTTTTTTAGGTCCTATTTTCAACTACTAGTTCACTAGTGTTCTTAGCTGCAAGGATCTCTTACATTCGTTTCTTCGCCGCAATGCAAATATATGGATTTCATATATCTAAAATCATAAAAAATCGTGATAAATAAAATGAAATAAAGAAAGGTTTGCTCGGAATTCGGAGAGCCCAACCGTGTCCTACGTAGCCCGACGTGATTCGCTATTTAAGTGTAAAAGAGTGACGAAGGTTAGAGATTGACAGCTCTGTAAGTGTCACCTGTATAAGCGGTGACTCACACTTTCCTTGAGAGATCGGAGCTAGTCCCCGTTGTAATAACTTGAGTAGTAAGAGTGAATAAAGAAAGGGACAACAAAAAAACGAGTGTTAGGAACTAGCACTATTCGCCATTACTTCTAACTTGTTAAAATTGCAGCGCAGATTCTATTTTTTAGTCCATGCTGCTAGCTTATCGATATCGAATTGTGGCTTCTGTTTTTCTTTTTCTACGTTTTCCAGTTCCTTTCATATCTTAGTGTCATCAGCGGACACTAATTTAATAGTGTTGGAGATGCCACGGAGACACTAATTAACACACGGGTCCAGGAAGAGTAAGTGCCACGCACCACGACACGTTTTGGGCAGCCAAAGAGATTCCTACACCAAGATAGAAGACTGAGGTCTATCTATTCCATGCCATTTTGGCTAAGGTAGCAATCGTTCATGGGGTACGAAATCGAATGCTTTCGGAAGGTCTAAAAATGACATCCGGTGGTCTTGATTTGTGTCTGGGTGCCGGTGAGTCGTTAAAACAAGAAATATATTTAGTTATCTTATTCAACACATTGTCTGCTGTAAATGCACTGCGGGTGCAATCTATAACAAGCCAGAAAGTACGCAGCGAAAACATTAAGTTTGCCTGGTTGATTTAACTTTACTTCAGAAAAAATGATGTCGATATGCAGGTGCTTTTAAACAATTTGAGCCTCGCGGTCTGAAGCCGTTCTACTGATATTTTCTCCGCTCTTGCGACAGAGAAGTGATCCCCAGTTTCTTTTAAGCTCACCGGTGGGCAGATTTCAGAACAATTCAATGATACTCGATCGTCCTTATCTGAGAGGACTAGAACGTCTCACTGTTTGGAGTTATCAGATCAAAGGTAACGCATTGCCCTAAGTTTTTTTTAAAACCCTGACAGTTAGTCTGGTCAGGGAACTTAATGTTGGCCTCTCTGGAAGCTTATGATCTGAATCAATCTGAGAATATGAAACACATGCAATTTTAAAAGTCTATCAGTCAATCAATTCATAGGGTACCTGTATTTTAGTATAAGCAATCAGTTGCTTTTGTTTTAACAGAGTGATTGTGAGGTCAGCTCTTCCCTTTGTGCAGAAAACGAGATTTGTGTTCCCAACTATAAAGACAACACTGCAGAATGCAAATGTCGTTATGCTTCTGGATATACGGGAAAACCATGCGGTGAGTATCATGTCTAACGCTTTCACTAGTTTGCCACTTTATATTGACTGAAAGCATTCGTCAAGTCTTAAATATCCCAATTTGGATCAAGTAAAATGACTCTTACAGCTCATCCACCCTGGTCAATCAATTAATTTGAGCTCTATTAATTATTTCTTTTTCTTCTAAAAACAGAAGCGAAATGCTGCGCTCAACTACTTAAAGATGGTTTCACTTCCAATGGCGTGTACACCATCAACCCAGATGGTGGTAAGCCAATACCAGTGTTGTGTGACATGACCACAGACGGTGGAGGTTGGACCGTTTTCCAGAGACGTTTGGACGGCTCCGTTGACTTCTATCGTGACTGGAAAGCTTACAAAGAGGGGTTCGGAAGTTTGAGCGGCGAGTTCTGGCTTGGAAACGACAATCTTCACCGTTTGACGGATGCTAATGACGTCATGTTGAGAGTTGACTTAGAGGACTTTGAGGGGAATATCACATACGCCGAGTACAAGACATTTAAGGTGGCAAACGAGGCTAATAACTACAGACTCACTCTCAGAGAATACAATGGCACAGCGGGAGATTCCTTCATGGATCATAGGTAACATAAATAGTTAAGAAATGCATTGGTGTTGAATGTCTCATGCACGCTTAACTCTTATATTCTCTCTTGATATTCTTTAAGAGTGAAGTTCCCTCTGAAAATGAAAGATATAGGAATTGTAGAGGTCATTGGGCAGAATTCATATTGTTCTCGCAGTGGCGAAAATATTATAGATCTCTGAGCGGCGAAGCGTAAACGGGAAGACTCTCATTGGTCGAAGATCACGCGCGCTTTCCTCCGTAACGAGAAAACAAAAATAAGTCAGTTGAATGAAAAGCGCTCGTCGATACCCTGGAGATTAAGAATGCCGATTTGAAAGATAATTTTTTGTTCTACAGTTTTGCGGCTTTCCGAACTGCCTACATGTAGGGAAAGGCCGCAAACTTCCATATGCTGCTTAGAATGATTAGGGAGATTAAACTGACTAGCGACTGGTTTGGATGCGTCCTGGTCATTTCTTTCTACGTCGCGAAGGTGTTCTCGGCATTGGTCACCTAATCGTCTTCCTGTTTCACCAATGTAAAACGTTTTGCAATAATTGCAAGTTATGCAGTAAATGACTTGCCGGAGGTGCACGTTAAGTGATCACTGATCTTAATGGCTCTCTTGGGTCCCGTCATTTTCTCTACGTTATAAATGAAAGGACAGTTTTTGCATCGTGAGCGAGCACATTTGAAAGTTTCAGGCTGGTCTTTGGTTTCAAATGAACTTTTGACCAAAAAAAGTTGCCCATGTTTTTGTAACGTTTGAATGAAATTAGTGAAGGTTGCGAAAAGACAACACCAGTCTCTGAATGGTTTTGGACTAATTGAAACTTTTTAAGAATGATAGGTTTAACTGCGTGGTTGTGAGGGTGAAATGTGAGAGTGAATGGAATGCAATCAGTGTTTTCCTTCTAAGCCGTTTTTAATGCTGACTGTCGCAAGTATCTTTGTTCAAGGTGTTAGAATTATCCTCTTTGTCGTGAAAAAATGACTTTCACTTAAAATCGGCGAGGGAATTTTTTAACGTCTTTCTTGACTGAAAATTCGTCGATTTTTCCGAAATGGGAACAAAATTTTAGCTCTTACTAAGAACTGATTTTTCTGAATCGGAAAGTGGTAAATTTTCTGGAATGCGAATTGACGTTTTGAGGCTTTCAGGCGATGAGTCGCTATTATTTTGAGGACCGATAAGTTGGTCGAGTTTTTGTGCCTTAATTTGGTGCAAATGGTTAAATATTTTAGAACAGGCATCCTGAATTTTGGCACGAATAGATTTTACTAAAACAACTGGACAAATTTTGGAAAGTTCAGAGCGGCAATGTAGAATTTTTTTGTGGAGTTCGTCACGTTTTTGGCACAAAGCTCGGATTGTGAATCTCATAATATCACCTGGCGCGAAAAAAAAATTGTGGGCGCACTGAATTTGGTCACGACATTGATTAGAATGAGAAAAAGAAGATGCATGAAAATTGGAGCGAAAACCCTTAGGAACAATTTTGGAATGAAGGCAATGGCCAATGAAATGGATATAGCTACTAACAGTAAGAATGGCTAAACGGAATGCTAGATCCTTGTCCCACTCAACTTATTTCCAGCTATTTAGACAAAATTATAGCACCTATGGTAAAAACATGATCATCTTACGTTAAGGACAGCCAACACACACTTGAAATTTTTGGTGACTTTTATTTCCTTGGCCAAAAAATCTCATTTTCACTGAGGATATCATTATATTCTATCCTATTGTGCCCTATCCTAAACTACTGTATTTTATTCTATCCTATTTTATTCTACTCTACGATATTATATTATAAATCTACCTCTTTATCTCTGTCTCTCTCGCGTCTCTTGATTTCTTCTTTAAAGCAATTTGTCAAAGTAGTTCCCTTAAGCAGAATTGGTTTTCTAACTTTTAAGTGAAAACTTCATTCCTCAATGGCTAAACAGAAATGAGACAGGGCAACTTAAGTCTTATTCTTATTGCAGCGGTATGCAGTTTTCCACGAAAGATCAAGATAGTGATCTATATGGTGCAAGCTGTGCCCAATACTACAAAGGAGCCTGGTGGTACAAAAGCTGCCATATATCCAATCTAAACGGATTGTATTTCAATGGCCAACATGCCTCTCATGCTGAGGGAGTCAACTGGTTTAGTTTTAGAGGCCTTTACTACTCACTAAAACGCACTGAGATGAAATTAAAAGCCAAGGAATAAGATGGTTTCTATCGCAGGTGACAAAACATGATTTAAGTATGACGACATCAAAGAAACTTTTTTTATAGCTTCAATAGGATTAATCCAGACCGACTTATAGCAATAGCAAGCATATCGTTAGAAGCAGCCATAATATGCTCATTTCTCGTCAATAATTTCCGCAGTTAGTATGAGGTTTTTATGGTGAACCTGGCCTCGGTTGTTCGATGGTTGGAGAACACTATTTACTGGATAAATCTATATCCGGTAGATAGCGCAAAACGTTTTAGCGATTTATCCGTTGGATAGAGTTATCCACCCTGTGAATGAGTAAGCCTGGGCTATTTGTGGTTTATCCTCAGGGATTGTCCATGTCACCATTATAAGATTAACCTTTAGTCTGTTCGTATTTTTATCATTTCCTTGGTCGGGCGCTGTAGGTTTGAGTGTCGCGTTGGCGAGTTTCCCTTATGTGCTTCTAGTTACTTTCACTTATATTTCGTATTCGTTTTTCTCCGGTGACTTTTATTCATTTAGTGTTTGTCGCCGAATTAGATTTTTAAAGAAAGCATCAAGTTGTGGTTAGGCATAAACTCACGCTTAATTCTTAAGAATTATTATTATTATTAACGAAGATGGGCAGGGAGCAGACACCAAATTCAAATTTAGTTAAGTCTTCAGCGACAACTCGGGGAGGGGATGGTCTAGGGACTCCACACCTCCCCCCCCTCCTCCCTATAAAACCCGTGAGTAAGTTTATTCCATGTCTTTAACCAAAATTCTTTCAACGACGGGATCGCATATTACCACTGCTGAACTAGAAGTATTAATTAAGAGTTCAAATTTCATTAAATACTTGTTAAATTACTTGAGCTCCAGTTTAGACTGTGTTTTCCGAATCAATGTGTTGTAACCCACCCAATCAAAAATTCGTCGATCCCTTTGTAACTTGTAAGCCCACAGGACGTTTACCATTGGAGCGGGATCAGCTCCGCCTCCCTCCTCCCCAGCCCTCCCCTGACAATGTATTCCTGATTTTGCTTTAATCTCGTATATTTTTTTTCTTTTATTGACGAAAGCTGTATATCTACACTCTTGATACAAAATTATTGTATAACCAATGTTTAATAAACTTGAAATATGAACTTCAAAGTTGAAACCTAAATTTACCACTTGTAAATCGCGATAATTTTAAGATGAAATCTGGTATGAATGAAAACAGATAAGATGTGAAAATGATCCTAAAGTCTTACCCTTTTCGCATCTTAATAAAGTGGCCAAAGAGATTGAAATGTCCTCCAACACATCATTTCTTGTCGTTTTATCATGTCCAAATAACCTGGATTTAAATCCGCCCAGAGATCTACCCATAATGCTTCTTTTATTAATTATCATTACTGGCTGCCGAAATAACTAAGCTGCATAAATAAGACCTAATTACTGAGACCAACATAAACGGATCCCGAGAAAAATAGTTCAGTAAACGGTTGGCACTAACTTATTCTCTAAACTTTTGTTGAGGAAGTCGATGTTACCGGAGGCGACAAAACCTTTACGAGAACATTAGTGTCATAACCTGCGAGCACCACGCCCCAGTCATTAGCGCTGCAGGAAGCGCGTTTCTCCGCCCGCGGGAGGATTAGAGACGAGTCGGTAGAGGTTGCCAGAGGTCTAGAACCAATGGTTGGTGCAAGACCCTCTCGCTGACTTGCGTTGCTCAAGGGCTCATTGGAGGCTCCTATAATGAGGACCTGATCGCAGTCAAAACACTAAAATTAAATCAAAGTTGTCTTAGAGTCCGTGTCTAAATTTCTGTAAACACTTGACTCTAAAATTCAAAAACATCTTATCAGAAGTTGCCAACGCCAGTTATAGGAACGCTTTTGATTTTACACAGTGACTCTACAATAACGAGTCTTGTTTACTTGATCGATTTTAATTTGAAATTTCAACAAGTTCAAGATTAATAATTAATACTGTGAAGTTGAAAACCGAAAAATTGCGATAAACATCAAATATTGAAAGATGCCGAGGAATCTAACTGAGAGATTCCGAAGTATGTATCTGCTTAAACTGCTTCTAGTGTCTCTAACGATTGCCCTTACATACGGAGACCCTCGAATGATGACACCTGTCTTCCAAGCCGTTAACTTTGCCAGAGAAATAAGAGGTCGACGCCTTAATGGAAGTGTTATTACAGAAATACAGGTGGATTCAGAGAGTTCTTGTCGACTACATTGCGTGAAAGAAAGCTCGTGTGTGTCATACAACTTTGGATCCACAATAAACAACAAGAAGTTTAAATGTCAACTAAGCGACTCCGATCGCTTTGCTAGCTTTAAGAATTTCACCGAAGACAACAAATTTCTCTACCGAGGAGTGAAGGTAAGAAACTTTAGATCTAGTTTTTCTAGAAGGAAATAGGTAAGCATTATATACCCTGTAGAATAAACTTTTTTAAAAAGTATGCTGACGTGATGTGTAAACTTTTGAGTGTTTCAAGGTTCTGAACAACTTCGGATTATAGGAAAAAACTCAAATTTCCTCACTTTTAATGAAACAAAGACAGCGTAACCAACTGTGTTATTAAAACCACATATCCTTGATGTTCTTGTCTCAAATTGAAAGATTAGAGTTCCTTCGAATATTCTGAAAAGAATTGGAAAGAGAATGGAAAAAAATAGGACGAAAAATCTTACAAAGTTCTTAACATTTTGTCGATCTCGTAAGATCAAGCTCGATTTATCCTTTTCATTTTTGATAGGAAGTTTCGACTTGATTCTATTAATGTGAGAGATAAACATCTGCAGCATACAAAGAATGTTTTCAATGATTTGAATTTATGTAAAATATATTCATTTCATGGGAAACAGTCCATGCGCATGCTTTATGAACAAGCTTATTGTGATTAAAAAATATTTCATCGGTGAGGCCATCAAAATTTAAATTTCATTGTATAATCCGTTTGGTATCGTGACTATCGTGACTAATTTTGCTCAAGAAAGAGGTATCTTTAACAATCCTGATGTGACAAATGGACATGATTTTTTTGAACGAAACGTTTTAACTGAAATGTTCCTTGAATTCTCTTTCTTCCTTCACTACCCCACCTCTTTCTAACAAAAAAATACTTATGGGGGATCTTTCAAACATAAAAAATCGTAATTAATTTAAGAGATCCTCGCAGCTAAGAACACTACTGAACTTGTGGTTGAAAGTAGGACCCGAAAAAATTCAGGTCCGTACGGGATTTGAACCCATGATCTGTGCGATACCGGTCCAAATAAACCATTCAAGTGATGAATAATGATTTTACATGTATGAAATTTATATATTTACACTGCGGTGAAGAAACGAGTTTAAGAGATCCTCGCAGCTAAGAACACCACTGAACTAGTAGTTGAAAATAGGACCTGAAAAGCTAGCTCAGTTGGTAGAGCGCTGCACCGGTATCGCTGAGGTCATGGGTTCAAATCCCGTACGGACCTGAATCGGAATTCGGAGAGCCCAACCGTGTCCTACGTAGCCCAACGTGATTCGCTATTTAAGTGTAAAAGTATGACGAAGGTTAGAGATTGACAGCTCTGTAAGTGTCACCTTTATAAGCGGTGACTCACACTTTCCTTGAGAGATCGGAGCTAGTCCCTGTTGTAATAACTTGAGTAGTAAGAGTGAATAAAGAAAGGGACAACAAAATAACGAGTGTTAGGAACTATTTTCTAATAATTTATAGAAAGTTGGGACGGTGACCCTCACTTTCCTCGAGAGATCAGAGCTAGTCCCGGTTGTGACAACTAATGTAAAAGGAAAGAATAAAGAAAAAGTCAACAGAACGAGTGTTATAGTAAATTTTACACTTAACAAAAGACCCCCTCCCGCTTAACAAGGACTAAAGGGATAAAATTGAAGTAATAAAGGGTTGGAGGAGTCAATGTGTCACAAATACTTTCGCCGATTGTAGGTTTTTAGTACTGTTAAAGGTTGTAAGACTTGAAATCGACGTGTAAGTTGGCAAGGATTTGTTCTGTCTGTGCACTATTCGCCATTACTTCGAACTTGTTAAAATTGCAGTGCAGATTCCATTTTTTAGTCCATGCTGCTAGCTCATCGATATCGAATTGTGGCTTCTGTTTTTCTTTTTCTACGTTTTCCAGTTCCTTTCATATCTTAGTGTCATCAGCGGACACTAATTTAATAATGCTGGAGATGTTTGATGATATTTCGTTGACGCATATTAAGAAGAGAATAGGAACAAGGATCGTGCCACGGAGACACCAATTAACACATGGGTCCAGGAAGAGTTAGTGCCACGTACCAGGACACGTTTTGGGCAGCCAAAGAGATTTCTACACGAAGATAGAAGACTGAGGTCTATCTATTCCATGCCATTTTAGCTAAGGCAGCAATCGTTCATGGGGTACGAAAACGAATGCTTTCGGAAGGTCTAAAAATGACATCCGTTGGTCTTGATTTGTGTCTGGGTGCCGGTGAGTCGTTAAAACAAGAAATATATTTAGTTATCTTATTCAACACATTGTCTGCTGTAAGTGCACTGCGGGTGCATTCTATAGCAAGCCAGAAAGTACGCAGCGAAAACATTAAGTTTGCCTGGTTGATTTAACTTTCCTTCAGAAAAAATGATGTGGATATGTAGGTGCTTTTAAACAATTTGAGCCTCGCAGTCTGAAGCTGTTCTTATGATATTTTCCCCTCTCTTGCGACAGAGAAGTGATCCCCAGTTTCTTTTAAGCCCACCGGTGGGCAGATTTCAGAACAATTCAATGATACTCGATCGTCCTTAACTGAGAAGACTAGAACGTCTCACTGTTTGGAGATATCAGATCAAAGGTAACGCATTGCCCTCAGTTACTTTAAAACCCTGAGAGTTAGTCTGGTCAGGGAACTTAATGTTGGCCTCTCTGGAAGCTTATGATCTGATTCAATCTGAGAATATGAAACACATGCAATTTTAAAAGTCTATCAGTCAATCAATTCATAGGGTACCTTTATTTTAATATAAGTAATCAGGTGCTTTTGTTTTAACAGAGTGATTGTGAGGTCAGCTCTTCCCTTTGTGCAGAAAACGAAATTTGTTTTCCCAACTATAAAGACAACACTGCAGAATGCAAATGTCGTTATGCTTCTGGATATACGGGAAAACCATGCGGTGAGTATCATGTCTAACGCTTTCACTAGTTTGCCACTTTATATTGACTGAAAGCATGCGTGAAGTCTTAAATATCCCAATTTGGATCAAGTAAAATGACTCAGTACAGCTCATCCACCCTGGTCAATCAATTAATTTGAGCTCTATTAATTATTTCTTTTTCTTCTAAAAACAGAAGCAAAATGCTGCGCTCAACTACTTAAAGATGGTTTCACTTCCAATGGCGTGTACACCATCAATCCAGATGGTGGTAAGCCAATACCAGTGTTGTGTGACATGACCACAGACGGTGGAGGTTGGACCGTTTTCCAGAGACGTTTGGACGGCTCCGTTGACTTCTATCGTGACTGGAAAGCTTACAAAGAAGGGTTCGGAAGTTTGAGCGGCGAGTTCTGGCTCGGAAACGACAATCTTCACCGTTTGACGAATGCTAATGACGTCATGTTGAGAGTTGACTTGGAGGACTTTGAGGGGAACATCACATACGCCGAGTACAAGACATTTAAGGTGGCAGACGAGGCTGATAAGTACAAACTCACTCTCGGAGAATACAATGGCACAGCGGGAGATTCCTTCATGTATCATAGGTAACATAAATAGTTAAGAAATGCATTGGTGTTGAATGTGTTAGGTTCTCTCTCTTTGTTTTGGGCCGAAGTAATGATCAACCAAAAAGGTTTCAAGAAAAGTCTCATGCACGCTTAACTCTTATATTCTCTCTTGACATTCTTTAAGTGTGAAGTTCCCTCTGAAAATGAAAGGTGTAGGAATTGTAGAGTTCATTGGGCAGAATGCCTATTGTTCTCGCAGTGGCGAAAATATTATAGATCTCTGATATTAGCGGCGAAGCGTAAACAGGAAGACTCTCATTGGTCGAAGATCACGCGCGCTTTCCTTCGTGACGAGAAAACAAAAATAAGTCAGTTGAATGAAAAGCGCTCGTCGATACCCTGGAGATTAAGAATGCCGATTTGAAAGATAATTTTTTGTTCTACAGTATTGCGGCTTTCCGAACTGCCTACATGTAGGGAAAGGCCGCAAACTGCCATATGCTGCTTAGAATGATTAGGGAGATTAAACTGACTAGCGACTGGTTTGCATGCGTCCTGGTCATTTCTTTCTACGTCGCGAAGGTGTTCTCGGAATTGGTCACCTAATCGTCTTCCTGTTTCACCAATGTATAACTTTTTGCAATAAGTGCAAGTTATGCAGTTAATGACTTGCCGGAGGTGCACGTTAAGTAATCAGTGATCCTAATGGCTCTCTTGGGTCCCGTCATTTTCTCTACGTTATGAATGAAAGGACAGTTTTTGCATCGTGAGCGAGCACATTTGAAAGTTTCAGGCTGGTCTTTGGTTTCAAATGAACTTTTGACCAAAAAAAGTTGCCCGTTTTTTTGTAACGTTTGAATGAAATTAGTGGAGGTTGCGAAAAGACAGTACCAGTCTCTGAATGAATTGAAACTTTTTTAATACTAATTGAAACCTTTTTTAATAATGATAGATTTAACTGCGGGGTTGTGAGGGTGAAATGTGTGAGTGAATGGAATGCAATCAGTGTTTTCCTTATCAGCCGTTTTTAATGCTGACTGTCGATCAATTTGTTGGGCACGGTATGAAATTCTCAGGTCGGCCTTCTTAATGACGACCACTCTTTTGAAGAAAGGCTGGAAATTTGGTGTTATGATTATTTGAGTCTTTTAATATCGTGGCGATATTTTGTGATGAAAAAATCTAAAGATGCGAACTGGCCCTCTGTGGGAGTCCATTTAGACTTTCGAATCTGAAGTGTTTCGAAAGTATCTTTGTTCGAGGAATCATCCTCTTTGTCGTGAAAAAATAGCTTTCAATTAAAAGCGGCGAAGGAATTTTTTTAAGGTCTTGCTTGACTGAAAATTCGTCGATTTTTTTAAAAATGGGAACAAAATTTAAGCCCTAACTGAGAACTGATTTTTCTGAATCCAAAAGTGGTAATTTTTCTGGAATGCTAATTGCAGTTTTGAGGCTTTCAGGCTATGAGTCGCTAGTATTTTGAGGACCGATAAGTTGGTCGAGTTTTTGGGCCTTAATTTGGTGCAAATGGTTAAAAAGGTTTAGAATTGGCATCCTGAATTTTGGCACAAATAGATTGTACTAAAACAGCTGGACACATTTTGGAAAGTTCAAAGTGGCAATGTAGAATTTTTTTCGTTGAGTTCGTTACGTTTTTGGCACATAGCTCGGATTGTGATTCTCATAATATCGCCTAGCGTGAAAAAGCATTGTGGGTGCCCTGAATTTGGTGACGACATTGATTAGAATGAGAAGAAGATGCGTGAAAATTGGAGCGAAAACCCTTAGGAGCAACTTTAGAATGAAGGTAACGGCTAATGAAATGGATGTGGCTACAATAAGAATGGCTAAACGGAATGCTAGATCTTTACTAATAGAAGGAAAAGGAACAAGGTAACTTACGATTTCCTGGCGTAGCTCCTTGATAAGTTTCTATAGGTAGTTGTCCCACCCAACTTATTTTCAGCTATTTAGACGAAATTATAATACCTATGGTCAAAACTTTATCATCTTACATTAAGGACAGCCAACGCGCACTTGAAACTTTTTGTGACTTTAATTTCCTTGGCCAAAACAAACTTATTTTCACTAAGGATATCATTATATTCTATCCTATTGTGCCCTATCCTAAACTACTGTATTCTATTCTATCCTATTTTATTCTACTCTCTGACTGTATTATAAATCTACCTCTTTATCTCTGTCTCTCTCGCGTTTCTTTATTCTTTCATTAAAGCAACTTGTCAAAGTAGTTCCCTTAAGCAGAATTGGTTTTGTAAGTTTTAAGAGAAAATCTCTTTCCTCGATGGCTAAACAGAAATGAAACAAGGCAACATAAGTTCTATTCTTATTCCAGCAATATGCAGTTTTCCACGAAAGATCAAGATAGTGATCTAAATAATGCAAGCCGTGCCCAGCTCCATAAAGGGGCCTGGTGGTACAACAAATGCCATGCGTCCAATCTAAACGGATTGTAATTGAATGGCCAACATGCCTCTTATGCTGATGGATTCAACTGGGACACGTTAAGAGGCCATCGCTACTCACTAAAACGCACCGAGATGAAAGTAAAAGCCAAGGGATAAGATGGTTTATATCGCGGGGCAACAAAACATTATTTTAAGTATGACGATATCAAAGAAACTTTTTTATGGCTTCAATAAGATCAATCTAGACCGACTTATAGCTACGGCAAAGCATATCGTTAGAAGCAGCCATAATATGCTCACTTCTTGTTAATAATTGCAGTAGATAGTATGAGTTTTTTATGGTGAACCTGGCCCCGGTTGTTCGAAGGGTGGATAACAATATCCACTATCCGGTGGATGCCACAATACGTTTTAGCGATTTATGCATCGGATGGCGTTATCCGAACTGTGAATAACTAAGCCTGGTCTATTCGCGGTTAATCTCAAGGGCTTCTCCCTGTCACCATTATTAGATTAACCTTTGATTTGTGTTCGTATTTTTATATTTGCAAATACTCATTTCCTTGGGCGGGTGCTGATGTGGGTTTGAGTGTCAAGTCAGCAAGTTTCCCTTATGTGCTTCTGGTTACTTTCACTTGCGTTTCGCATCGTGGATTTATCTATTTCATTAATTAATTTAACGTTTTTCACCGGATTAGATTTTTAAAGAAAGCATCAAATTATGGATGGGCTTAAACTCACGCACAAGCCTTAAGGAAGAAAATCCTAAATAAGCAAGTTTCTATTCATAGAGACAACGAAGATGGGCAGAGAGGAGACGTCAAATTCAAATTTAGTTGAATCGTCAGTGATAAGTCGGGGGGGGAGGGGTTTGGGGACTCCAGACCTCCCCCCCCTCCCCCTCCACATCAAACCCGTGGGTAAGTTCACTATATGTCTTAAACAAAAATTCTTTCAACGACGGGATTGTATATTACTACTGCTCAACTAGAAGTATTGAGAATGTAAATTTCTTAAAATATGTGTTAAATTATTAGGGCTCCAGTTTAGAGAAGACTCCGTGTTCTCTGAATCTCAGTTGTAAACCACCCAATCAAAAATTCCTGGATACGCTTTGTATCTTTTAAGCCAACGGGACGTTTGGGGCGGTTATCAGTTCCCCCTTCCTCCTCCCCAGCCCTCCCTGAGAGTGTTTTCTTAATTTTGCTTTAATCTCGTTTATTATTTCTTCTTTTACTGACGAAAGCTGTATGTCTACATCCTTGATACAAAGTTATTGTATACGCAATGTTTAATAATCTTGAAACACGATCTTGAAAGTTGAAAACTAAATTTAGTACTCGTAAATCGAGAAAATTGTAAGATGAAATGAAAACAATCTTGCAGGAAGCGCGTTTCTCTGTCCGAGAAAATGAAAATGATCCTAAAGTCTTTTACCCTTTTCGCATCTAAATAATTGATGTAAGATTTGAGACGAGTCGGGAGAGTTTTGCAAGGGGTCTGGGAGTAATAGTTGATGCAAGACCCTCTCACTGATTCGCATTGCTCAAGGGCTCACACTTTCCCGCGGGTGAAGAAATGCACGTGCTGAGCGGGCTCTTATAATACACTAAAACTCACTAAATACAATTACGAGAGAATACAATAAAAAACAATAAAACTAAAAACATACAATTGCAACTACCAAAACATCTTATCAGGAGCTGCGCCGGCTGTAGGAACACTTTTGATTTCAAGCAGTGACTCTACAATAACAAGTTCTGTTTACTTGATTCTTTTCAATTTCAACAAGTCAAAGATTAATAATTACTATCGTGAAGTTGAAAACCAAAAAATTGCGATAAACATCAAACACTGAGAGATGCCGATTGCTTTTACATACGGAGACCCTTCCCTTATTGGAGAAATACAAGAGGATTCAGAGAGTTCTTGTCGACTACATCGTGTGAAAGAAACTTCATGTGTGTCATGCAATAGTGAGTTTAAATGTCGACTAAGCGACTCCGATCGATCGCTTTGATAGCTTCAAGAATCTAACCGAAGACAAAACATTTCTCTACCGAGGAGTGAATGTAAGAAACTAGATATAATCTTTCTAAAATGAAACAGGTGAGCATTATATTGCTTCTAGAATAAACTTTCTAAAAGTGTATGCTGACATTATATGTAAACGTAGTGTCATCTTGAGTGTTTCAGGGTTCTTAACAGCTTCGAATTACAATGCAAAACTCAAACTTCCTCACTTTAATGACGGGAAAGATATGATATAACAAGTAAAACAAAGACAGTGCAACCATCTGCGTTATTAAAACCAAATATCCTTTTAAAATGTTCTCGTCTCCAATTGAACGATGACGATTCTTTGGAATATTATTCTGAAAAGAATTGGAAAGAGAGTAGAAAAAACGGAACGAAGCAGTCCATGTAAAGTTCCTAATATTTCGCCGATCTCGTAAGTTCAAGCTCGATTTGTCTTTTTCATTTTTGATAGGAAGTTTCAACTTGATTTTATGAGAGATAAACATCTGCAGTAGAATTTCTTCAATTCATAACAAACATTCCCTCTAGTTTTTTTTTTTATCAGCACGTTTATTATGAGAAAGATTTATCTTTAACGACGCTGATGGGACAAATGCGCATGATTTTTTAAGGAAACATTTTAACTGAAATTTTCCTTGAATTCTTCTTCTTTGTTCGCTACCTCACCTCCTTCTTCGAATTCTTCACCGTTTGACGGATGCTGATAACATCATGTTGAGAGTTGACTTGGAGGACTTTGAGAGAACATCACATACGCTGAGTACAAGGCATTTAAGATGGCAAACGAGGCTGAAAATTACAGACTCACTCTCGGAGAATATAGTGGCATCGTAAATAGTCAAGAAATTCATCGGTCTTAAAAGTGTTGCGTTCTCTCTCTTTGTTTTGGGCTGAATTAACGATCAACCAAAAAGGTTTTAAGAAAAGTCTCAAGCACGCTTTACTCTCATCTTCTCTCTTGATATTCTTTAAAAGTGAATTTGCCTCTGAAACTGAAGTCATAGGAATCATGGAGTTAGTTTTTAGGAAAATGTCGTTTATATAAACCAGCACAATCATTTGCCAGTGGTGTGACAAAGCTATGTCCTTTATAGTTTTGAAGGTGTTAGCGTTCATCAGTTAAGAAACAGTACTATTTTATGAAAAGAGTGAAAATTAGGCAACACAATCTGAATTCAGCATTTCAATCAAAAGTAAATCTGAGGGGGATTACTAAAAGGATACCAAACAGCTCATTAAAGACAAAATTTCCACATCAGGGCCGAGTCGTTAAAAACCCGAAGAAGCAGGCCAAGGATCAGAGTGGATTTTTATTTTGTCTTAACAGCTCTGCAGGTTTTCTTGGGCTTGTTCTATTTTGCGAAATGAAACGTAACGAATATTGTAGTAATTTTTTCTATAAAAAGGCAAAGATAGCTTTCACGAGGATTATGGTGTAATCGTCATTTCATAAGAAGGATTTTTATTCATTTTGCGAAGTAGTAATTTCAAAAGAGTTACTACTCTGCGGAATCGACTATTTTCACCCTGCGCTGACAACGTGACCTCTTATTCATGTCCCAAAAATACATTTAAACATAACAAATTAGTATATCACCGAAGATTTTGGCCTCCTCTTACTTCTTAAACCGTTTTAAAATATATTTTGCCAAATAGTAATTTTAGGTGAGATACTATTTTGCGAAATGGACTACTGGTCGATTTCGCAAAATAATAACTTTTCTTAAATTACTACATTGCCAATTGAATAAAAACCCTTCTTTTTAATTACCGATTACTCAAAAATCCTCGTGAAAGTTATCTTTACCTTACTGCAAAATACATCTGCATTACTCCTCTAGTTTTGTTATATCTCGCTTGGTTTCGTCTCGTTTCGTTTAGTTTCGCAAGATAGTATTAGCCGTAGTTCTTGATCATATTTCGTCATGTTCAATTTTGTCTGGCATGATGAGAACAACCCCACATAACTTCGAGAGAAGGAATGGATGGTTTCACAAGAGGAAATGCAACACCAAGTTGAATTTGTAATCCTGAATTAGCGTAAATGGCCTCTCACGTACAACTTGAAGAGTCGAAAGGCTGGAGTATAGGGTATCTAGAGTTACTCAGCTCGCACTAAGAATAAAGTAACATTTGATAGATTATATAGCCACAGAATTTGAGAATATCACCCTCTATTTTTAGCTATTGTCAACAACTTTTACATATATCTGCAAATATAAAGTTTTACGAGGGATGTAGTTTAGTTTCTAGCCTTTGTTTGTATGTTGTCGATTCACCTTTAATACTTGTCTACTTCTCTTCTAATATTCCTATCATCACTTGCAAAATTAATTATTCATTCGGGCGAAACGTTTTGTAAAAGACTGCTATTTGAATAAAGTTTTTGTTTAAAATTTATTAACTTCACCTGCGTGCGTGTGCGTGTGTGTGGTCTCACAAAGTTCCAATGTTCCCTTTAGGTATTTTTTTATATATTACCACGAAATTCGTTCTTACGATTTGAATTCATTCCCCCAAAATATCAAAACACAATATTTTGATTCCTCGACAGTTCATTGTACCAAAGGACATAAGATAAAATGTTGTTTATAAGCTTTCGCTAAGCGACCTTTCGGGCGACTTTAAAGTTACAGTTCTGATTTTGGTAAATTGTTTCGTTGCCCTCATCGTATTTCAACAGAGGCATCTTACGAAATTCTTTAAAACTAAAATATTGGTTGAAAATCGTCCTTAAACAGCTAATGATATAGTTGTTCAAAAACATGAATAAATTTTTAAAAATGTTATTGTTTGATTTAAATATTGCCCTATCATGCCGGTTAAAGCATTTAAATCATTCAACATGATGTTTTTCTACTTTCACTGAGGTTCTGTGTTAATAATTAATGAAAAAGAGCTAAAACCCTAAAGATCACCATAATTGGCAACATTTCTTGAGAAAACATGTACACAACACTCCTTCTAACTTCCTTGGTAATTACTTTAGCAAACGGAGAAAGTCGATTGACAACATCCAACTACAAAGCTATTAACTTTGCCAGAGAAATAAGAGGACGACGGCTTCACGGAAGGGTTATCAAGGAAATTGAAGTGGATTCTGAGAGTTCTTGTCGACTGCTTTGCGTGGAGGAAAGTTCATGCCTGTCATACAACTTTGGACCCGGTGAAAACAAGAAGATGTTTAAATGTCAACTAAGCGACTCTGATCGCTTTGCTAGCTTCAACAATTTTACCGATGACAACACATTTCTCTACCGAGGAGTGAAGGTAAGAAACTTTAGATATAATTTTTCCAGAATGCAGCGGGCAAGCATTATATTGCTTATATGATAAACTTTGTGTAAGTGTTTGCTGACAATAAATGTCAACTGAGCGACTCTGGTCGGTTTACTGGACTGAGTAATTCCACTGAAGACCCCCATTTTCGACTCTTTTACTTAATTCCAAGTGGTATTATGTATGATTGAAGGAACGATGCAGATGTTTATATATTGTATTTGGTAATGGTAAAGAAGTACAATTTTAAAATTACTGTAGAACCTTTCTTATCATCCTCTGATTTTGAAAGGGTAAGATTTAAACTTTAACTTCTCATTGGGCCTGTAGACTTGATGGCTCAGAAACGAGATGTAATCCAGTGTATTTTTATCTTGAAGCACCTGTTTCGATTCGAAAATGAATGTGTTCATTCGTTATTGGCTAAGAACAGAAAACGTTACGCTACGCCTTTGAGGGACATTTTAAAGTAGTAATGAGTACTGATGACTGACGTATTTTATCTTCCTAATATACTATTTTCAAAAAATGCCATCAATGAAAAACTATATTTAAATTGAAATGCTTGCTTCTCTTGTTATAGATAATAGCCGTAAGATAAATTTCTAGTAGTCTTAGTTATGTTGACACGCATACCATGGAACTTTTTCAGAACAATTCGGTTACACTTGGTCGCCTTTAATCATCCGAGACTACTAGAACGTCTAATCATTCGGAGATTTCATAGCAAAGGCAGCACATTTCCCTCAGTTATTTTAAAACCCTGACAGTTAGTCCGGCCAGTTAACTTAGCGTTGGCCGTTCTGGAAGCTTATGATTCCATCTGAGAAAATAAAACAGGTGTAATTTTAAAAGTCTATCAATCAATCAATTCACAGGATACCTTTATTTTGATAAAAGTAATCAGGTGCTTTTGTTTTAACAGAGCCATTGTGAGGTCAGCTCTTTCCTTTGTACAGAAAACGAGATCTGTGTTCCCAACTATATCGACAACACTGCAGAATGCAAATGTCGTTATGCTTCTGGATATACGGGAAAACCATGCGGTGAGTATCATGTCTAACGCTTTCACTAGTTTGCCACTTTATATTGACTGAGTGCTTAAGTATCCCCATTTAGATCAAGTAAAATAACTCAGTAAAGCTTATCCACTCTAGTCAATTGATGAATTTGAGCTTTATTAATTATTTCTTTTGTTTACAAAACCAGAAGCAAAAAGCTGCGCCCAACTACTAAAAGATGGTTTCACTTCCAATGGCGTGTACACCATCAATCCAGATGGCGGTAAGCCAATACCAGTGTTGTGTGACATGACCACGGACGGTGGAGGTTGGACCGTTTTCCAGAGACGTTTGGACGGCTCTGTTGACTTCTATCGTGACTGGAAAGCTTACAAAGAGGGGTTCGGAAGTTTGAGCGGCGAGTTCTGGCTCGGAAACGACAATCTTCATCGTTTGACGGATGCTAATGAAGTCATGTTGAGAGTTGACTTGGAGGACTTTGAGGAGAACATCACAAACGCCGAGTACAATACATTTAAGGTGGCAGACGAGGCTGATAAGTACAGACTCACTCTCGGAGAATACAATGGCACAGCGGGAGATTCCTTCATGTTTCATAGGTATCGTAAATATTCAAGAAATACATTGGTGTTGAATGTGTTGCGTTTTCTCTTTGTTTTGGGCCGAATCAATGATCAACCAAAAACGTTATCTTAACTCAGTCTTATCTTCTCTCTTGATATTCTTTAAGTTAAAAGTGAAGTCGCCTCTGAGACTGAAAGTCATAGGAATCGTGGAGGCATTGGGCAGAATGCCTATTGTTCTCGCCACATTTACTTGCAGTGGCAAAAATATTATAGATCTGATGCGTTTTTTTGGAAATGAGAACACAATTTAAGCACTTACTGAGAACTGATTGTTCTGAGACAGAAAGTGGTAAATTTTCTGGAATGCTAATTACAGTTTTGAGGCTAAGTTGCTAAGTCGGTCGAGCTTTTGGGACTTAATTTGGTGCAAATGGTTAAATAGTTCAGTTCTTTTCTAAGTTTTATGAGAGCATGTCTTTCCTCAATGGCTAAACAGAAATGAAACAAGGCAACATAAATTTTATTCTTATTCCAGCCATATGCAGTTTTCCACGAAAGATCAAGATAGTGATCTACGTCCTGCAAGCTGTGCCCAGCTCTTCAAAGGGGCCTGGTGGTACAAAAGCTGCCATGCGTCCAATCTAAACGGATTGTATTTGAATGGCCAACATGCCTCTTATGCTGATGGAGTCAACTGGAACACGTTTAGAGGCTTTCACTACTCACTAAAACGTACTGAGATGAAAGTAAAAACCAAGGGATAAGATGGTTTCTATCTTGGGGTAACAAAACATGATTCCAAGTATGACGACATCAAATAAACTTTTTTAATAGCTTCAATAGGATCAATCCAGACCGACTTATAGCAATAGCAAAGCATATCGTTAGAAGCAGCCATAATATACTCATTTCTCGTCAATAATTCCTGTAGTTAGTATGAGTTTTTTATGGTGAACCTGGCCCCGGTTGTTCGAAGGGTGGATAACATTATCCACTGGATAAATCTCTATCCGGTGGATACCGCAATACGTTTTAGCGATTTATCCGTTGGATAGCGTTATCCGCCCTGTGAATAACTAAGCCTGGTCTATTCGTGGTTTAACTCAAGTATTTGTCCATGTCGCCATTATTAGATTAACCTTTAGTTTGCTCGTATTTTTATATTTGCAAATGCTCATTTCCTTGGTTGGGCGCTGATGTGGGTTTGAGTGTGGCGTTAGCAAGTTTCCCTTATGTGCTTCTTGTTACTTTCACTTATATTTCGTATTCGTATTTCTCCAGGGACCTTAATTCGTGGATTTATTTATTTCATCTATTTACTTGATGTTTGCCATCGAATTAGATTTTTAAAGAAAGCATCAATTTGTGGATAGGCTTAAACTCACGCACAAGTCTTAAGGGAGAAAATCTTAAATGTGCAAGTTTTTATAAAGAGAGACAACGAAGATAGACAGGGAGCAGACATCAAATTCAAATTTAGTTGAATCTTCAGCGACAAGTCGGGGGGGGGGGAGGGACTGGGGACTCCAGACTTCCCCCCCCCCCCCTTCCACATCAAACCCTTGAGTAAGTTTATTACATGTCTTTGACCAAAATTCATTCAACGAGGGAATTGCATATTACTACTACTCAACCAGAAGTATTAAGAATTAAAATTTCTTAAAATACGTGCTAAGTCATTTGGGCTCCAGTTTAGACAAGACTCTGTGTTTTGTAACCCACCCAATCAAAAAATTAAATAAATACGAACTTTAACGTTGAAACCTAAATTTAATTGTAAGATGAAATCTGGAAAGACTGAAAACATATGATATGACAATAATTCTTAAGTCTTTTACCCTTTTCGCATCTAAACAATTGGTCAAAGATTCTGAAATGTCCTCCAACGCATCATTTCTTGTCGTTTTTTCATGACCAAACAACCTGCATTTAAATCCGCCCATAGTGCTTTCTTATGTTGATCATCATTTTGCATTACTGGCTGTCGAAATAACTAAGCTGCATAAATAAGATCTGATTAGTGAGAAAAATAACTCAGTAACTGGTTTGGCACTAACTTGTTTTCTAAATTTTGTTAAAGAAGGCGATGTTACTGGAGGCAACGAAACGTTTACGAGAACATTATAGTCATAGCCTGCGAGCAGCAAGCCCCAGTTATTAGGGAAGGAAGCGCCTTTCTCCATCCGCGGGAAGATTTGAGACGAGTCAGGAGAGGTTTGATAAGGGCCTGGAACCAATAGTTAGTGCGAGACCCTCTCGCTGACTCGCATTGCTCAAGGAGTCATACTGTCGCGCGGGCGAAGAACGCTCTTATAAAGAGGACCTGATCACAGGCTGTTAGAGTCAAAACACTAAAATTAAATCAAAGTTGTCTTAAGGTCCGTGTCTCTCTTTCCGTAATAACCTGACACTAAAAACTCACTTAATACAGTCACAAAAAAAAAAAAAAACTAAAACTAAGAACATACAATTGCAATTACCAAAACATCTTATTGTGAGCTGCCAACGCCGGCTGTAGGAACACTTTTGATTTCACACAATGACTCTACAATAACAAGTTTTGTTTACTTGATTGTTTTGTTTTTTTTTTCTTTTTACTCTATCCATTAAAATTAACAGCGCTGATGTGACAAATGTACGTAATTTTTTTAAAGAAACCTTTTAACTGAAATGTTACTTGAATTCTTCCTCATCCTTCACTACCCCAACTCTTTCTGTAAAAAATACTTATGGGGGAACTTCGACAAAAATAGAATGAAATAAAGAAAAGTTTGTTCAGAGTATATAACCACGTGAATTAGTTCTTTCTGGAAGGACTCAAGACCTGCCTTCTAAACTATATCTTCCGATAAGTAGTTCAATTCCTGACAGTACGTGAGAATTATAAGTTGTTGTGGTAATCTGTTTAGAGGGTGATATTTAAGTGGCGATCTCTGTAAGAGCGGTCCAGGGCATTTCGCATCGGAACAAAGTTTTCCCTCAAACTTTGCCCAATAATCTATCTTTGGTAGCAAGTAAATAAAACCACATTAGTTTCTGGAAGTACGTTAAAATAAAATTTTTAGAGCTCTCAAAAGTCAAAGCTGCTTAAAGACCTTTTTTGACCTCTTGCGACATCCAAAATTTCGGAAGTTGAATAGCCTGGTCCTCGTATCACACCGCATGCAGCAAAAAATCATTTGTATTATTAAACTGTGTGATATGTCAGGTGTATTAACAATTATTTTTTAAATTATCAATTTTGATATTCGTTTATTCAGGGTTCGTCATAATTTACTTTTAAACACTCGTTAGACAGCTTTCTGAAATTGGTCAAAAGTATTCTTTCTTTCTTGGTTGATATTGCTCAAGTCCAGACCAGACAATTGAAAACTCCGCTTGATTTCTTCTGATAAGATGTTTGGTTTGGCGAAAAAAATACTTGAAAGCGTTTCTCTTTGCTAAGTCACTGAATTAAAGATTCTTTCTGCTAAATACTATCTCCCAAGAGGGAGAGAGGATAAAACCATGTCCTCGTTGGATGGCGATTCCAGAGCGGGGCTGCACACTTAATCACAGGACGCACAAGATAATTATATAGCGCCAAGAAAGCCTTGGGATTCGAAGAGCCTAACTTTCAGGAAATTAAAGCCCATACTTTTTTCGGCTTTAACGACTCCAGTATCAATATGTTCGCTTCATGACAGGTCCGAGGCAATCACAACGCCAACAATCCGCGTCAAAATTAGTTGACACATAATTTGCGTATAGAATAACACTCCTGTTTCTACCACACCAATATCATTGACAAGACCCCCCCCCCCTCCTCCTTAACAAGGGAAAAAAAGATTAAATTGAAGTAATAAGAGGTTAGAGGTGTAAATGTGTCAACAATACTGTCGTCCATTGTAGGTCTTTAGTGCTGCTAACGGTTGTAAGACTTGAAATCGGTACGTAAGTTGGCAAGGATTTGTTCTGCCGCTGAGCACTATTCGTCCGTACCTCTGACTCGCCATTTCTTAGTCCATGCTGCTAGCTCATCGATTTCGAATTGTGGCTCCTGTTTGTCTCTTATTACTTTTTCCAGTTCCCTTTATATCTTAATCAGAGGACACCAAGTTAATAATGGTGAAGATGTTTGATGATATGTCACTGACGCATCAGTTAAGAAGAAAATAAGAACAAGGATCGTGCCTCAGGGAACACCAGATAACACTCGGGTGTTGTCGATATGTAGGTGCTTTTAAACAATTTGAGCCTCGTGGTCTAAAGGTTTTCCACTGTTACTTTTTTGCCCCTCATGCAACCGAGAAGTGATCCCCAATTTCTTTTAAGCCCACTGATGGGCAGATTTCGGAACAGTTCAGTGATACTCGATCGTCCTTATCTGAGAAGACTTGAGAACATCTAACCATTTGGAGATATCATAGCAAAAGTAGCATATTGCGCTCAGTTATTTTAAAACCCTGGGAGTTCGCCGCTGTGGTATCTTATGATCTAATTCAATCTGAGAATATGAAAACTGTGGGCTTTTAAAGGTCTATTCATTAATCAATTTATAGGAAACCTCTATCATAATAAAAGTAATTAGGCGTTTTTGGTGTTTACAGAGTGATTGTGAGGTCAGCTCTTCCCTTTGTGCAGAAAACGAGATCTGTGTTCCCAACTATAAAGACAACACTGCAGAATGCAAATGTCGTGATCCTTCTAGATATACTGGAGAACCATGCGGTGAGTATCATGTCTAACGCTTTCATTAGTTTGCCACTTTATATTTACGGAGTGCGTGCGTGATATCTTAAGTATCCCCATATAGATCAAATAAAATGACTCAGTACAGCTTATCCACTCTAGTCAATTGATGAATTTGAGCTTTATTAATTATTTCTTTTTCTTACAAAATCAGAAGCAAAAAGCTGCACCCGACTACTTAAAGATGGTTTCACTTCCAATGGCGTGTACACAATCAATCCAGATGGTGGTAAACCAATACCAGTGTTATGTGACATGACCACAGACGGTGGAGGTTGGACCGTTTTCCAGAGACGTTTGGACGGCTCTGTTGACTTCTTTCGTGACTGGAAACCTTACAAAGAAGGGTTCGGAAGTTTGAGCGGCGAGTTCTGGCTCGGAAACGACAATCTTCACCGTTTGACGAATGCTAATGACGTCATGTTGAGAGTTGACTTGGAGGACTTTGAGGGGAATATCACATACGCCGAGTACAAGACATTTAAGGTGGCAGACGAGGCTGATAAGTACAGACTCACTCTCGGAGAATACAATGGCATTCCTTCATGTATCATAGGTATCGTAAATAGTCAAGAAATACATTGATGTTGAATGCGTTGCGTTCTCTCTTTGCTTTGGGCCGAATCAATGATCAACCAAAAACGTTTTCTTAACTCAGTCTTATCTTCTTTCTTGATATTCTTCAAGAGACTACCTCTGAGACCGACAGTCATAGGAATCGTGGGGGTCGTGGGCAGAATGCCTATTGTTCTCGCCACATTTACTTGCAGTGGCGAAAATATTATAGATCTGATATGGTTTTTTTGGAAATGAGAAAAAAATTTAAGCGCTTACTGTGAACTGATTGTTCTGAATCAGAAATTGGTAAATTTCCTGGAATGCTAATTGCAGTTTTGAGACTTTCAGGCGATGAGTCGCTAGTATTTTGAGGACCGATAAGTTGGTCGAGTTTATGGGCCTTAACTTGTTACAAATTGTTAAAAAGTTTAGAGCTGGCATCCTGAATTTTGGCACAAATGTATTGTACTAAAACAGCTGGACACATTTTGGAAAGTTTAGAGCAGCAATCTAGAATTTGTGCGTTTGTTTGGCACATGACTCTGATTGTGATTCTCATAATATAACCTGGCGTGAAAAAACATTGGGGGCGCACTGAATTTGGTGACGACATTGATTAGAATGAGAGAAAGAAGATGCATGGAGATTGGAGCGAAAAACCTTAGGAATAACTTTGGAATGAAGGCAATGGCCAATGAAATGACTGCAATAAGAACGGCTAAACGGAATGCTAGATCTTTTCTAATAGGAGGAAAAGGAACAAGGTAACTTACAATTTCCTGGCGTAGATCCTTCGTAAGTTTCTATAGGTAGTTGTCCCACTCAACTTCTTTTCAGCTATTTAGACAAAATTATAGCACCTATGGCCAAAATTTTACTATCTTACATTAAGGACAGTCAACACGCACTTGAAATTTTTCTTGACTTTAATTTCCTTGGCCAAAACAAACTTATTTTCACTGAGGATATCATTATATTCTATCCTATTGTGCCCTATCCTAAATCACTGTATTCTATTCTATCCTATTTTATTCTACTCTATGATATTATATTATAAATCTACATCTTTATCTCTGTATCCCTCGCGTCTCCTGATTCCTTCTTTAATGCAATTTGTCAAAATAGTTCCCTTAAGCAGAATTGGTTTTCTAAGTTTTAAGTGAAAATTTCATTCCTCATTAGCTAAAGAGAAATAAGAGAAGGCAACATAAGTTTTATTCTTATTCCAGCCATATGCAGTTTTCCGCAAAAGATCAAGATAGTGATCAATTTAAAACAAGCTGTACCCAACGCAACAGAGGGGCCTGGTGATACAGCAGCTGCCATGAGTCCAATCTACACGAAATGTATTTCAATGGCCAACATGCCTCCTATTCTGATGGAGTCAACTGGCAAACTTTCAGAGGCTATCACTACTCACTAAAACGCACTGAGATGAAAGTAAAAGCCAAGGAATAAGATGGTTTCTATCGCGGGGTAACAAAACATGATTCTAAGTATGACGACATCAAAGAAACTTTTTTTTTATAGCTTTATAGTATGAGGTTTTTTATGGTGAACCTGGCCTCGGTTATTCGATGGGTGGAGAATACTATTCACTGGATAAATCTCTATCCGGTAGATAGCGCAAAACGTTTTAGCTATTTATCCGTTGAATAGCGTTATCCGCCCTGTGAATGAGTAAGCCTGGGCTATTTGTGGTTTATCCCCAGGGATTGTCCATGTCTCCATTATTAGATTAACCTTTAGTCTGTTCGTATTTTTATATTTGCAAATGCTCATTTACTTGGTCGGGCGCTGATGTGGGTTTGAGTGTCGCGTTAGCAAGTTTCCCTTATGTGCTTCTAGTTACTTTCACTTATATTTCGTATTCGTTTTTCTCCGGTGACTTTTATCCATGAATTTATTTATTTCGTTCATTCATTTAGTGTTTGTCGCCGAATTAGATTTTTAAAGAAAGCATCAAGTTGGGGTTAGGCATAAACTCGTGCTTAAGTCTTAAGGAAAAAAAACCTTTAATTTGCAAGTTTTTATATAGAGACAACGAAGATGGGCAGGGAGCAGACATCAAATTCAAATTTAGTTGAGTCTTCAGCGACAACTCGGGGAGGGGACGGTCTAGAGACTCCACACCTTCCCTCCCCCCCCCCCTATAAAACCCGTAAATTTTGCTTTAATCTCGTTTATTTTTTTTCATTTACTGACGAAAGCTGTATGTCTACTTTCCTGATACAAAATTATTGTATAACCAATGTTTTATATACTTGAAATATGAACTTCAAAGTTGAAACCTTAATTTAGCATCTGTAAATCGAGATAATTCTAGATGAAATCTGGTATGACTGAAAACAGATATGATGTGAAAATGATCCTAAAGTCTTACCCTTTTGGCATCTTAACAAAGTGGCCAAAGAGATTGAAATGTCCTCCAACACATCATTTCTTGTCGTTTTATCATGTCCTAATAACCTGGATTTAAATCCGTCCAGAGATCTACCCATAATACTTCTTTTGTTAATTACCATTTTGCATTATTGGCTGTCGAAATAATTAAGTTGCACAAATAAGACCCAATTACTGAGACCAACATAAACGGATCCCGAGAAAAACGGTTAGCACTAACTTATTTTCTAAACGTTTGTTGAGGAAGTCGATGTTACTGGAGGCGACGGAACGTTTACGAGAACATTAGAGTCACAGCCAGCGAGCAGCACGCCCCAGTCATCAGCGCTGCAGGAAGCGCGTTTCTCCGCCCGCGGGAAGATTTGATTCGAGTCGGGCGAGGTTTACCAGAGGTCTGGAACCAAAGGTTGGTGCAAGACCCTCTCGCCGACTCGCGTTGCTCAAGGGCTCACACTTTCCCGCGGGAAGAAACGCACGTGCTGATTGGAGGCTCCTAGTTAAAACAGTAAAATTATATCAAAGTTGTCTTAGGGTACGTGTCTAAATTTCTGTAAAAACTTGACTCTAAAATTCAAATATACAATTGCAACTACCAAAACATCTTATCGGAAGCTGCCAACGCCAGTTATAGGAACGCTTTTGATTTTACACAATGGCTCTACAATAACGCGGAGTCTTGTTTACTTGATTGATTTTAATTTCTATCCATTGAAATTTCAACAAGTTCAAGATTAATTATTAATACCGTGAAGTTGAAAACCGAACAAATTGCGATAAACATCAAATATTGAAAGATGCCGAAGAATCTAACTGAGAGATTCCGAAGTATGTATCTGCTTAAACTGCTTCTAGTGTCTCTAACGATTGCCTTTACATACGGAGACCCTCGAATGATGACACCTGTCTTCCAAGCCGTTAACTTTGCCAGAGAAATAAGATGTCGACGCCTTAATGGAAGTGTTATTAGAGAAATACAGGTGGATTCAGAGAGTTCTTGTCGACTACATTGCGTCAAAGAAAGCTCATGTGTGTCATACAACTTTGGATCCACAATAAACAACAAGAAGTTTAAATGTCAACTAAGCGACTCCGATCGCTTTGCTAGCTTTCAGAAATTCACCGAAGACAATAAATTTCTCTACCGAGGAGTGAAGGTAAGAAACTTTATATCTAGTTTTTCTAGAATGAAGTACGTAAGCATTATATTCCCTGTAGAATAAACTTTTTTTAAAATGTATGCTGACGTGATGTGTAAACTTTTAAGTGTCTCAAGGTTCTAAACAACTTCGGATTATAGGAAAAAACTCAAATTTCCTCACTTTTAATGAAACAAAGACAGTGTAACCAACTGTGTTATTAAAACCACATATCCTTAATATTCTTGTCTCAAATTGAAAGAGGAGGGTTCGTTCGAATATCATTCTGAAAAGAATTGGAAAGAGAATGGAAAAAAATGGAACGAAAATTCTTACAAAGTTCTTAACATTTCGTCGATCTCGTAAGATCAAGTTCGATTTATCCTTTTCAGTTTTGATAGGAAGTTTCGACTTGATTCTATTAATGTGAGAGATAAACATCTGCAGCATACAAAGAATGTTTTCAATTATTTGAATTTCTGTAAAATATATTCATTTCATGGAAAACACTCCATATGCATGCTTTATGAGCAAGCTTATTATGACTAAAAAAAATTTCATCTATTAAAATTTAAAATTTCATTGTATAATCCATTTGGTATCGTGACTATCGTGACTAATTTTGCTCAAGAAAGAGGTATCTTTAACAACGCTGAGGTGACAAATGCACATGATTTTTTTGAACGAAACGTTTTAACTGAAATGTTCCTTGAATTCTTCTTCTTCTTTCACTACCCAACCTCTTTCAAAAAAAAAAATACTTATGGGGGATCTTTCAAACATAAAAAATAGTAATCAATTTAAGAGATCCTCGCAGCTAAGAACACTACTGAACTTGTGGTTGAAAGTAGGACCTGAAAAAATTCAGGTCCGTACGGGATTTGAACCCATGATCTGTGCGATACCGGTGTAGCGCTCTACCAACTGAGCTAACAAGCCAACTGGGAGCTGGTCAATATGTTGGGTCCAAATAAACCATTCAAGTGATGAATAATGATTTTAGATGTATGAAATTTATATATTTGCACTGCGGTCAAGAAACGAGTTTAAGAGATCCTCGCAGCTAAGAACACCACTGAACTAGTAGTTGAAAATAGGACCTGAAAAGCTAGCTCAGTTGGTAGAGCGCTGCACCGGTATCGCTGAGGTCATGGGTTCAAATCCCGTACGGACCTGATTTTTTTCAGGTCCTATTTTCAACTACTAGTTCACTAGTGTTCTTAGCTGCAAGGATCTCTTACATTCGTTTCTTCGCCGCAATGCAAATATATGGATTTCATATATCTAAAATCATAAAAAATCGTGATAAATAAAATGAAATAAAGAAAGGTTTGCTCGGAATTCGGAGAGCCCAACCGTGTCCTACGTAGCCCGACGTGATTCGCTATTTAAGTGTAAAAGTATGACGAAGGTTAGAGATTGACAGCTCTGTAAGTGTCACCTTTATAAGCGGTGACCCACACTTTCCTTGAGAGATCGGAGCTAGTCACCGTTGTAATAACTTGAGTAGTAAGAGTGAATAAAGAAAGGGACAACAAAATAACGAGTGTTAGGAACTAGTTTCTAATAATTTATAGAAAGTTGGGACGGTGACCCTCACTTTCCTCGGTAGATCAGAGCTAGTCCCCGTTGTGACAACTAGTGTAAAATAATAGAATAAAGAAAAAGTCAACAGAACGAGTGTTATAGTAAATTTTACACTTAACACAAGACCCCCTCCCCCTTAACAAGAACTAAAGGGATTAAATTGAAGTAATAAAAGGTTGGAGGAGTCAATGTGTCAAAAATACTGTCGCCGATTGTAGGTCTTTAGTACTGTTAAAGGTTGTAAGACTTGAAATCGACGTGTAAGTTGGCAAGGATTTGTTCTGTCTGTGCACTATTCGCCATTACTTCTAACTTGTTAAAATTACAGTGCAGATTCCATTTTTTAGTCCATGCTGCTAGCTCATCGATATCGAATTTTGGCTTCTGTTTTTCTTTTTCTACGTTTTCCAGTTCCTTTCATATCTTAGTGTCATCAGCGGACACTAATTTAATAGTGTTGGAAATGTTTGATGATATTTCATTGACGCATATTAAGAAGAGAATAGGAACAAGGATCGTGCCACGAAGACACCAAATAACACTCGGGTCCAGGAAGAGTAAGTGCCACGTACCAGGACACGTTTTGGGCAGCCAAAGAGATTCCTTTACCAAGATAGTAGACTAAGGTCTATCTATTCCATGCCATTTTAGCTAAAGCAGCCATCGTTCATGGGGTACGAAATCGAATGCTTTCGGAAGGTCTAAAAATGACATCCGTCGGTCTTGATTTGTGTCTGGGTGCCCGTCAGTCGTTAAAACAAGAAATATATTTAGTTATCTTATTCAACACATTGTCTGCTGTAAATGCACTGCGGGTGCAATCCATAACAAGCCAGAAAGTAAGCAGCGAAAACATTAAGTTTGCCTGGTTGATTTAACTTTACTTCAGAAAAACTGATGTAGGTGCTTTTAAATAATTTGAGCCTCGCGGTCAGAAGCCGTTCTATTGATATTTTTCCCTCTCTTGCGACAGAGAAGTGATCCCCAGTTTCTTTTAAGCCCACCAGTGGGCATATTTCAGAACAATTCAATGATACTCGATCGTCCTTATCTGAGAAGACTAGAACGTCTAACTATTTGGAGATATCACAGCAAAGGTAACGCATTGCCCTCAGTTATTCTAAAACCCTGAGAGTTAGTCTGGTCAGGGAACTTAATTTTGGCCTGTCTGGAAGCTTATGATCTGATTCAATCTGAGAATATGAAACACGTGCAATTTTAAAAGTCTATCAATCAATCAATTCATAGGGTACCTGTATTTTAATATAAGTAATCAGGTGCTTTTGTTTTAACAGAGCGATTGTGAGGTCAACTCTTCCCTTTGTGCAGAAAACGAGATTTGTGTTCCCAACTATAAAGAGAACACCGCAGAATGTAAATGTCGTTATGCTTCTGGATATACGGGAAAACCATGCGGTGAGTATCATGTCTAACGCTTCCACTAGTTTGCCACTTTATAATGACTGAAATCATGCGTGAAGTCTTAAGTATCCCAATTTGGATCAAGTAAAATGACTCTGTACAGCATATCCACCCTGGTCAATTAATGAATTTTAGCTCTGTTAATTATTTCTTTTTCTTATAAAAACAGAAGCAAAAAGCTGCACCCGACTACTTAAAGATGGTTTCACTTCCAATGGCGTGTACACCATCAATCCAGATGGCGGTAAGCCAATACCAGTGTTGTGTGACATGACCACAGACGGTGGAGGTTTTCCAGAGACGTATGGACGGTTCCGTTGACTTCTATCGTGACTGGAAAGCTTACAAAGAGGGGTTCGGACGTTTGAGCGGCGAGTTCTGGCTCGGAAACGACAATCTTCACCGTTTGACGAATGCTAATGACGTCATGTTGAGAGTTGACTTGGAGGACTTTGAGGGGAACATCACATACGCTCAGTACAATACATTTAAGGTGGCAGACGAGGCTGATAATTACAGACTCACTCTCGGAGAATACAATGGCACAGCGGAAGATTCCTTCATGGATCATAGGTAACATAAATAGTTAAGAAATACATTGGTGTTGAATGTGTTGGATTCTTTCTCTTAGTTTTGGGCCGAAGTAATGATCAACCAAAAAAGTTTCAAGAAAAGTCTCATGCACGCGTAACTCTTACATTCTCTCTTGATATTCTTTAAGAGTGAAGTTGCCTCTGAAACTGAAAGGTCATAGGAATTGTGGAGGTCATTGGGCAGAATGCCTATTGTTCTCGCGACATTTACTTGCAGTGGCGAAAATATTAGAGATCTGTGACAGTAACGGCGAAGCGTAAACAGGAAGGTTCTCATTGTTCGAAGATCACGCGCGCTTTCCTCCGTAACGAGAAAACAAAAATAACTCAGTTGAATGAAAAGCGCTCGTCGATACCCTGGAGATTAAGAATGCCAATTTGAAAGATAATTTTTTGTTCTACAGTTTTGCGGCTTTCCGAACTGCCTACATGTAGGGAAAGGCCGCAAACTGCCATATGCTGCCTAGAATGATTAGGAAAATTAAACTGTCTGGCGACTGGTTTGGATGCGTCAGGGTCATTTCTTTCTACGTCGCGAAGGTGTTCTCGGAATCGGTCACCGAATCGTCTTCCTGTTTCACCAATGTATAACTTCTTGCAATAAGTGCAAGTTATGCAGTGAATGACCTGCCGGAGGTGCACGTTAAAGTGATCAGTGATCTTAATGGCTCCCTTAGGTCCCGTCATTTTCTCTACGTTATGAATGAAAGGAAAGTTTTTGCATCGTGAGCGAGTACATTTGAAAGTTTCAGGCTGGTCTTTGGTTTAAAATGAACTTTTGACCAAAAAGAGTTGACTATGTTTTTGTCACGTTTGAATGAAATCAGCGGAGGTTGCGAAAAGACAGTATCAGTCTCTGAATCGTTTCGGATTAATTGAAGCTTTTTTGAGAATGATAGATTTAACTGCGTGGTTGTGAGGGTGAAATGTGAGAGAGAATGGAATGCAAGCTGTCTTTAATGCTGACTGTCGATCAATTTGTTGGGCACGGTATGAAATTCTTTACGTGTGGTGGATGCGAAGATGAATACAACAAGTACCTATATCTTGCTAATAAACACTAGTGCATATAACGTTGCCTTCAATTGAAATTTTGGTGTCTAGAATAGCCAAAGAAGTGTCGGATACTTCCCAGGTATATTTAAGAACTGGGTGAAAGGAATTGACGGCGATTATGAATTAAGTGAGCTCCTCTCTGGTAGATGAGGTAGCGCCGATATAGTTATCAATGTGGCAGTCGTAAAGTTCAGGTTCAGTGGGGCCGTGGTATTGACTAAAAAATTGGTGTTAGTTGTATCCATGCCGGCTACGCCATAAGTTTGTTTGTACTAGTTGCCACCGAGTGAAAAGTAATTGAGTATAAGTACTACTTCGGCTAGACGGAGTAGTGTTTCAGAGCTAAGTTCCTTAACAATGCGTTGATCAAAAAAATATTTGAGGGCCCCGAGACCTCCATTGTTGGGAATGACTATAAAGAGATGAAATATCCATAGTGAAAATAAGTTTGTTTTGGCCAAGGAAATTAAAGTCACGAAAAACTTCAAGTGCGTGTTGGCTGTCCTTTATGTAAGATAGTAAAGTTTTGACGTAGGTGCCATAATTTTGTCTAAATAGCTGGAAATGAGTTCGGTGGACAACTGCAGGCAGAAACGATGGATCGGCCTGGGAGGTTAGGTTTGTGGATTTTAGGTAAAAAGTAAATACACAAAGTTCTAGGAGTGTTAATGGTGAGATTTTTTGCAGTGGCGAGCAATTCTTGTTTGATTAGAAGATCGCTAATAGCGTTTTTGACAATGTTTTGATTGATGAAAGTGAGATCTTTGTCAACTTTGGCATGAAAAGAGGTGTCAGAAAGCTGATGCAAAGCTTCTTTTTGGTAGAGGTCGGTCAGCCAAACAAAGACTGCACAGCCTGTGTTGACCGCTTTAATAACTATGTCTTTGCCCTTTTTAGTCTTCTTAATGCCGACCACTCTTTTGAAGAAAGGTTGGAAATTTGGTGTTACGATTGAATTTGAGTCTTTTAATATCGTAGCGATATTTTTTGATGAAAAAATCTAAAGATGCGAACTGGCCTTCTGTGGGAGTCCATTTAGACTTTCGAATCTGAAATGTTTCGAAAGTATCTTTGTTCAAGGTGTTAGAATTATCCTCTTTGTCGTGAAAAAATAGCTTTCAATTAAACGCGGCGAAGGAATTTTTTAAGGTCTTGCTTGACTGAAAATTCGTCGATTTTTTTTAAAAATGGGAACAAAATTTAACCCCTAACTGCGAACTGATTTTTCTGAATCCGAAAGTGGTAATTTTTCTGGAATGCTAGTTGCAGTTTTGAGGCTTCCAGGCGATGAGTCGCTAGTATTTTGAGGACCGATAAGTTGGTCGAGTTTTTGGGCCTTAATTTGGTGCAAATGGTTAAAAATGTTTAGAAATGGCATCCTGAATTTTGGCACAAACAGATTGTACTAAAACAGCTGGACACATTTTGGAAAGTTCAAAGCGGCAATGTAGAATTTTTTCGTTGTGTTCGTTATGTTTTTGGCACATAGCTCGGATTGTAGTTCTCATAATATCACCTAATGTGAAAAAGCATTGTGGGCGCACTGAATTGGTGGCGACATTGATTACAATGAGAAAAAGAAGATGCCTGAAATTGGAGCGAAAACCCTAAGGAGTAACTTTGGAATGAAGACAACGGCTAATGAAATGGTTATGGCTACAGTAAGAATGGTTAAACGGAATGCTAGATCTTTACTAATAGGAGGAAAAGGAAAAGGGTAACTTACGATTTCCTGGCGTAGCTCCTTGATAAGTTTCTATAGGTAGTTGTCTCACCCAACTTGTTTCAGCTATTTAGACAAAATTATAATACCTATGGTCAAACCTTTACCATCTTACATTAAGGACAGCCAACTTGCACTTGAAACTTTTTGTGGCTTTAATTTCCTTGGCCAAAACAAACTTATTTTCACTAAGGATATCATTATATTCTATCTCATTGCGTCCTATCCTAAACTACTGTATTCTGTTCTATCCTATTTTATTCTACTCTACGATTGTATTATAAATCTACATCTTTATCTCTGTCTTTCTAGCGTTTCTTTATTCTTTCTTTAAAGCAATTTGTCAAAGTAGTTCCCTTAAGCAGAATTGGTTTTATAAGTATTAAGAGAAAATCTCTTTCCTCAATGGCTAAACAGAAATGAAAGAATGCAACATAAGTTTTATTCTTATTCCAGCAATATGCAGTTTTCCACGAAAGATCAAGATAGTGATCTATCTAGTGCAAGCTGTGCCCAACACTGCAAAGGGGCCTGGTGGTACAAAAGCTGCCATGGATCCAATCTAAACGGATTGTATTTTAATGGCCAACATGCCTCTCATGCTGATGGAGTCAACTGGCTTGCTTCCAGAGGCAAACAGTATTCACTAAAACGCACTGAGATGAAAGTAAAAGCCAAGGAATAAGATGGTTTCTATCGCAGGTGACAAAACATGATTTAAATTTGACGACACCAAAGAAACCTTTTTTTTAGCTTCAATAGGATCAATCTAGACCGACTTATAGCAAAGCAAATCGTTAGAAGCAGCCATAATATGCTCATTTCTTGTCAACGATTCCAGTAGTTAGTAAGAGTTTTTTTATGGTAAACCTGGCCCCGGTTGTTGGAAGGGTGGATAACACTATCCGCTATCCGGTGGATACCACAATACGTTTTAGCGATTTATGCGTTGGATGGCGTTATCCGCCCTGTGAATAACTAAGCCTGGTCTATTCGTGGTTAATCTCAAGGGCTTGTCCATGTCACCATTATTAGATTAACCTTTAATTTGTGTCCGTATTTTTATATTTGCAAATGCTCATTTCCTTGGGCGGGCGCTGATGTGAGTTTGAGTGTTGCGTTTGCAAGTTTCCCTTATGTGCTTCTAAATACTTTCACTTATATTTCGTATTCGTATTTCTACTGGGACCTTTATTCGTGGATTTATTTATTTCATCTATTCATCTGGTGTTTGTCACCGAATTAGATTTTTAAACAAAGCATCAAGTTGTGGATAGGCTTAAACTCACGCACAAGTCTTAACGAACAAGACCTTAAATCCTCAAGTTTTTATGTATAGAGACAACGAGGATGGGCAGGGAGCAGACATCAAATTCAAATTTAGCTGAATCTTCAGTGACAACTCCAGGGGGGGGATCTGGGAACTCCCCACCTCTCCCACCTCTCCCACCTCTCCCACCTCTCCCACCTCTCCCACCTCTCCCACCTCTCCCACCTCTCCCCATCAAACCAGTGAGTAAGTTTACTAAATGTTTTCCACCAAACTTATTTCAACGACGGAATTGCATATTACTAATACTCATCTAGAAGTATTAAGAATTTAAATTTCTTAAAACACGTGTTAAATTATAAGGGCTCCAGGTTAAACAAGACTCTGTGTTCTCTGAATCAAAGTTGTAACCCGCCCAATCAAAAATTCCTGGATACGCTTTGTATCTTTTAAGCCCACGGGAAGTTTGTTTACCATTGGATTTTGCTTTAATCTCGTTTATTTTCTTCTTTTACTAACGAAAGCTGTATGTCTACATTCTTGATACCAAATTATTGTATACGCGATGTTTAATACACTTGAAACACGAACTTGAAAGTTGACACCTAAATTTAGTACTCGTAAATCGAGATAATTGTAAGATGAAATCTGGTAAGACTGAAAACAGATATGATATGATAATAATCCTAAAGTCTTTTACCCTTTTCGCATCTAAATAATTTGTCAAAGAGTTTGAAATGTCCTCTAACACATCATTTCTTGTCGTCTCATCATTTTCGAACAACCTGGATTTAAATCCGCCCAGAGATCTCTTCATAGTGCTTTCTTTTGTTAACACTTTTGTTAGCACAGCGGGAGATTCCTTCGTAAATCATAGGTACCGTAGATAGTCGAGAACTTCATTGGTCTTAAAAGTGTTGCGTTCTCTCTTTGTTTTGGGCCGAATTAATGATCAACCAAAAAGGTTTTAAGAAAGTATCAAGCACGCTTTACTCTTACTCTGCTTCTCTCTTGACATTCTTTAAAAGTGAAGTTGCCTCTGAAACTGAAATGTCATAGGAATCATGGAGTTAGTGTTTAGGAAAATGTCGTTTATATTAACGTCGTTTATCTAAACCAGCACAATCATTTGCCAGTGGTGTGACAAAGCTATGTCCTTTTTAGTCTTGAAGGTGTTAGCGTTCATCAGTTCAGAAACAGTTTTTGAAAAGAGTGAAAATCAGGCAACACTCTGAATTAAGCACGTAAATCAAAAGTAAAACTGAGGGGGATTACTACAAGGATACCAAACAGCTCATTAAAGACATCCACATCAGGGCCAGATCGTTAAAAACCCAGTGAAGCATGCAAGCCAGGGATCAGAGTAGATTTTTATTTTGCCTTAGCAGCTCTGCAGGTTTTCTTGGGCTTATTCTATTTTGCGAAACGAAACGAAACCAGGCGAGATATAAAGAAACGAAAAGAATAATGCAGACTGAAATATTTTCTAATTAGGTAAAGATAGCTTTCACAAGGATTATGGAGTAATCATCATTTGATAAGATGGATTGTTATTCATTTCGCAAAGTAGTAATTTCAAAAGAGTTACTATTCTGCGGAATCGACAATATTCACCCTGCGGTGACAACGTATGTCACAAAAATACATCAGCTAAACAAAACAAATTAGTATATCACCAAAGATTTTGGTCTCCTCTTATTTCTTAAACCGTACTTAGATATATTTCGCCAATAGTAATTTTAGGTGAGATACTATTTTGCGAAATGGACTACTAGTCGATTTCGCAAAATAATAACTCTTCTTAAATTACTTTGCCAATTGAAAAAACAAACCCTCTTGTTAATTAAAGATTACTCCAAAATCCTCGTAAAAGTTATCTTTACCTTACTACAAAATATATCTGTATTACTCCTTTTAGTTTTTCTATATCTCGCTTGGCTTCGTCTCGTTTTGTTTTGTTTCGCAAAAAGTCGTAGTTCTTGATCACATTTCATCGTGTTCAATTTTGCCTGGCATGATGACAACAACCCCACATAACATCGAGATAACGAATGAATGGTTTCACAAGAAGAAATGCACAACCAAGTTGAATTTGTAACCCTGAATTAGCGTAAATGGCTTCTCACGTGCAACTTGAAGTGTCGAAAGGCTGATATAGGGTATCTAGAGTTATTCAGCTCGCACTAAGAATAAAGCACCATTTGATAGATAATTACATAGCCACAGCATTTGAGAATATCACCCTCTGCTTTTAGCTATTGTCAACAACTTTAACTTATATCTGCAAATATAAACTTTCACAAGGGATGTAATTTATAAACGTTAAGAGCCAGATGTATAAAGCAAACTGCTTGAAGAGCAAGAAAACAAAAGTGAGAAATCTAGACCAATCACATAACGGCGTAAGGCAAAACTTAAACAATTAAAGATCACTTTCGATACTCAGTTGGAAATTTAGCGGATTGTCTTGGTCGATCTAGTTTATGGAGTAGCTCACAAGATCACACCAGCACGGGCTCTGTTTTATATAATAATGATTTAAAAGGATCTTGGTATTAACAGGCAAGTCAAGAATTGAAAGAAAGCGACAAAACTTTTAAGTCTGTAAAACGTGTTTCGACAGAAGCTTTTGTCATCTTCAGTTAATTCATGTACAAAGCGTTGGAAGTTGAAATATAATAAATAGAACAATGCTAATTATGATAAATAATGACAACAAGAAAAGAGGTAAAGCATGAAAGTGTGATAACTAAAAGGATAGCTTTAGATTTACATGGGGTAATTGTTGATTCAAGGATGGTTGTCCTCTTTGAATATGAATAGCCTCTTTTATCTTGAGTTGAAAACCAGAAGAGGCGTGATCTAAAACATGGAAGTTATCTGCTGAACACAAAGCGCGACAATGTGCAGAATCTTTCAGATGCTTGAAAATGTGAGAGGCCCTGTCACTGACTAAGTGCTCTCTAACACCTGTGGAAAAAGTTAAAAGTTTTGTCGCTTTATTTAGATTTAAAAGGAGGTTTAAAGGTTTTCTGTTAGAAAATACCATTGCATTTGACGTAAGAAATATTCGATTCAACACAATACAAGATATCTTGACTCAAATTTCACTCAACAAGACCGAGATATTGGTCGATTAAGTTAACGGAGAACTCTCTTCTTTTTCATGTAAGGTGTATAATTAGTCAATCGCTTATTTGTTGTAATCAATGGTAATAAAAATGTTAAATAAATTATTCTGTCGTTAAGACTCTTTTATATCTAAGGTACTTGCTAGCTACTGTAATGTAAATTTCGGCTAAACTCCAGAATACCTGGCCACTTTGGTCCGCCTCACCTACATGTGTCGGGAGGCTTTGAAGATCGAGGCCTAACACAATAGACGCTATTCTTATTCAATGACATGTAAATGAGTGGCCGGGTATTCTGCAGTTGCTCCTAAATTTCATCTAGAATTGCTGTATTCTTGCATATCCTGTTATGCGTTCAACCACGGCTCGTCTCGATTATCTTTAGTTAACTGCGAGCAGTGGAACTTGTAATTAACTTGTGAACTTGCAACTTGAGACAGTCAACCTGTGAGACTAAACAATTCTAACACCCAATAGGATGGAGACACCTCTATAATTAGCAATGGTTTAGTTCTTATTATTTTGTGGCTTGTATCACCATTTTGACCGTCATATCAATGCGCCGCGGTAGTTATTTAAACACTGAGTTCTGTAAGACTTGATTGCAATAAATGACGTTAAGATTAGGTATAGATTGTCATTTCCGTGTCATTTACTCCAAATTGTACCAATCTACTTATCTCTGATTCAACTGAATCGCCTTATGATGTAATGTCTGAGAGATTTCATTGTTCTTAACCAGTGTGGTTCGTTTTGACAGTCTTCCTACCTCTTATGTGTAATGAGATGCATTTATGCAAATGAGTGAGCATGCGCGTCGAGAGTGTGTTAGCGAGTGTGTTAGAGTGTGTTCCATGTGCTCGGGTCAGTAACCAAATTATCGTGTACACAATTCCTAATTATCGGAATAAAATCAATTCAGCAACCCACTCAGAGTCATTACATTATGGAGACCTATCTTAAGACGTCATTCTGATGTACCAAAGGTTTTCGCTGGGGTTCCTGTTTGTTTGGTTACCCGCTCTTCAGATCACATGACCTTCCTGACTCACTGTGCATCGATTGTCTAACTTTTAACCGTTTGTAGTAAGGAAATACCGTTAGAGCCTTTACTTATTTAATTTATACTAAATTCTGTTCAAGCCGGCAACCCATACTTTATCATGTTGCACCTTTTCTAGCCTTTGTTTGTATGTCGTCGATTCACCTTTAATACTTTTCTACTTCTCCTCTGATATTCCTATCATCACTTGCAAACTTAATTATTAATCGGCAGAAACGTTTTGTAAAAGATTGCTGTTTGAATAAGGTTTTTGTTTCAAATTTTATCAACTTCACCTGCGTGCGTGTGCGTGTGCGTGTGTGTGGTCTCAAATATTTCCAATGTTCCCTCTATATATTTTTTTTATATATTACCACAGAATTTATTCTTAAGATTTGAATTCATTCCCTCATAAATGTTGCCCTATCATGCCAGTTAGAGCATTTAAATCAATCAATATGATGTTTTTCTACTTGCACTACGGTTTTGTGTTAATAATTAATGAAAAAGAGCTAAAACCCTAAAGATCACTATAATTGACAACATTTCTCGCGAAAACATGTACGCAACACTCCTTATAACTTTCTTGGTGATTACTTTAACAAACGGAGAAAGTCGATTGACAACATCCCACTACAAAGCCGTTAACTTTGCCAGAGAAATAAAAGGAGGACGGCTTTATGGAAGTGTTATCAAGGAAATTGAAGTGGATTCTGAGAGTTCTTGTCGACTACATTGTGTGGAAGAAAGTTCATGTCGGTCATACAACTTTGGACCCGGTGAAAACAAGAAGATGTTTAAATGTCAACTAAGTGACTCCGATCGCTTTGCTAGCTTCAAGAATTTCACCGCAGACAACACATTTCTCTACCGAGGAGTGAAGGTAAGAAATTTTAGATATAACTTTTCTAAAATGGAGCAGGTAAGCATTATATTGCCTATAGAATAAACTCTCTAAAAGTGTATGCTGACACTAAATGTCAACTGAGCGATTGTGGTCGGTTTACTGGACTGAGCAATTTCACTGAAGACCCCCAAGTTCTTCATAGAGGCATAAAGGTAGGTAATTTATCTCAATTTGCAATTCCTTTAACTCATTCCAAAGAGGATATAGTATTTGATTTAAGGAACGACGCAGATGTTTATATGGTGCGTTTGGTAATTGTAGAGAAATACAATTTTAGAATTACTGTAAAACCTTTTTTATCATTGTCTGATTTCGAAAGGCTACGAGTTAAAATTTAACTTTTCATTGAGCCTGTAAATTTGATGGCTCAGAAACGAGATCTTAGCCAGTTTAATTTTATCTTGAAGCACCTGTTTCGATTTGAAAATGAATGTGTTGATTCGATATTGGCGAAGAAAAGAAAACGTTACTCTACACCTTTGAGGGACATTTTGAAGTAATATTGAGTACTGATGACTGATTTATCTTCTTAATCTAATGTTTTCAAAAAATGCCATCAATGAAAAACTATGTTTTAATTGAAATGCTTGCTTCTCTTGTTATGGATAATAGCTGTAAGATAGATTTCTAGTTCTTAGTCATGCTGGCACGCATACCATGGAACTTTCTAGAACATTCCGATGGGTCACATGTTAATGAAGTAAAACTACCAAAATAGTTGTGTTGTAAACTTCCGGAATGTTCCGGAATACTTTTTTATTAACAAATAGAGAAGCCTTCGCTGTGCTTTGTTCTGTTGTAAAGCACGCAGGAAGCGGCTAGGGCACGAAAGAGAAAGTGTTTCTCTCCGCTTCTTGATGGACCTCAGCATGATCGCAGCCGCTCTGACACCGGCATGATTGCTATGAATTTTAACATTTATGCCAGTTTGGCTTTATTTTTCATCATTCCTGTTTTGTTCTGTTCGGGTTTTTGAACACGAAACTATATATACTATACGAGTGTTAGCTGTGTTTGATTTTTATTACAGTACGTAAAAATATACATGGAAATATTACTCAGTTCTGATTGGTTAAGATAAATGCAGCTTTCAGGTAATTCAATGCAGAGGAGGGTTAATTCATTGCAAAGAAGTAACAAACCAGACATTCTGATTGGTCAATAATCAAAGAAACTTACAGATAGCGAATGAAATGCGAGCCTTGGATGTCGCAACATCTGGATACGCTGAAATTTGCGAGCGAAACAATGACTGGCGTTTCAAGAAGGTTTTCTTTCGCCACCACAACAACAATAGTTGGTTGACGCTTTGGAAAAAAGTGGTGTTTAGAGAAGGGAATTGCCGAGGAGATTGAAAATTACGAGGCGACCCAGCTTAACACCTTGCTCGAGCGATTCTACGCCTAAATTAAAAACAAACATGGTTAAACCTCACAGACGGCGATTCCATTTCATCGAAAGTGATTTGCAAACAGACTTGACAACTCCTTGAACTGTTTAGCCGAACTTTGAGCTTTTTTGCGCCTAAGGGTTGTGAAATATTATTGTATATTATTGTTTTGATCTTACGCAGTTGTTTTGACCGAACGTACGGTTTGAATAAATTATTTTTGCACTCGATGTACACGCTTTGCTTCTGCTAGGCTATCTCGTATTTTTTTATGTATGTTATTAATACGTAATCGCATAATTTTTCTCGTGCACTTTGGGATAAATAAGCACTTGTAAATTTTTTTAAAGACCACAAATTGCACTCGCCCTAAATTGTTAATTTTTAGAGGTATATGAGAACTCAGTCGTGAGGTAATAGTTGTACTAGTTGTTGTTGTTGTTGTTGTTGTTGTTGTTGTCGGGAGTGACTCAGTATTTAAAAAGCTATACCGATAGAGAGCTACCGTGGAAGATTGTTCATTTCAACGAGCTTTGGAAACAACTGTGAGTTTGTGTCAGTCGTGAGCTAAGATATAGACTGTAGTGGGCTTAAGTAAGTATGCTAAAGATAGTAACTGTACTGCCTTTAGGAGTCGCTCCTTATTGAGAATATTACTCGTTGTTCGCTCCATGACAGCTCGACGTGATCATAACGCCCAGGTCTTTAGTACTGTTAACACTTGAAATCAGCATGTAAGTTAGTGGGGCTATGTTCTGCCTGTTTCGCAGTACCTCGTACTTGTTGTAGATTCAATTTCTTGCTGCTACCTCATCGATATCGAGTGGTTGCTGCTGTTAGTCCTTTTCTGTGTTTTCCAGTTCCTGTTATATCTTAGCGTCATCAGCGAATATCTTTAGTTGTAGTAGAGATGTTTGACGATAAGTCATCGACGCATATTAAGAGGAGAATAGGACCAAAGATTGTGTCACGGGGAACACCAGATAGCACTCGGGTCCAAAAAGAGTGGGTGTCACGCACCTCGACTCGTTGCAGGCGGCCAGTAAAGAAATTTTAAAACTAAAACAGAAGGGGTCGATCAATCTCGTGGTATTTAAGCTTAAGCAGCAATCGTTCGTGGGTTACGGAATCGATGCTTTTCAAAAGGTAAAAAAAAAATTATATCTGTTGGTCTTGATGTCGCTCAGTGGAAAGGAAAAACCTTTAATTTTCTTATTCAGCACATTCTCTGGTGTAAATGCACAGCAAGTGCCAGCCGTAAGAAGCCAAGACAGTAGATTTCAGAACAAATCGGTTACACTTGATCGCCCTTGATTATCCAAGAAGACTAGAACGTCTTATCATTTGCAAAGGCAGCACATTCCCCCTCACATATTTTAAAACCCTAAAGTGTTGGTAACTGAACTTACTGTTGGCTGCTCTGGAAGCTTATGATTCCATCTAAGAAAATAAAACAGGTGCAATTTTGAAAGTCTATCAATCAATCAATTCATAGGATACATTTATTTTTATAAAAGTAATCAGATACTTTTGTTTTAACAGAGCCATTGTGAGGTCAGCTCTTTCCTTTGTGCAGAAAACGAGATCTGTGCTTCCAGCGATAAAGACAACACTGCAGAATGCAAATGTCGTTATGCTTCTAGATATACTGGAGAACCATGTGGTGAGTATCATGTCTAAGCTTTCATTACTTTGCCACTTTATATTGACCGAGTGCGTGCATGAAATATTAAGTACCCCAATTTAGATGAAGTAAAATGACTCAGTACAGCTTATCCACTCTGGTCAAATACTGAATTTGAGCTCTATTAATTATTTCTTCTTCTTACAAAATCAGAAGCAAAAAGCTGCGCCCAACTACCTAAGGATGGTTTCACTTCTAACGGCGTGTACACAATCAATCCAGATGGTGGTAAACCAATACGAGTGTTGTGTGACATGACCAAGGACGGTGGAGGCTGGACCGTTTTTCAGAGACGTTTGGACGGCTCTGTTGACTTCTTTCGTGACTGGAAATCTTACAAAGAGGGGTTCGGAAGTTTGAGCGGCGAGTTCTGGCTCGGAAATGACAATCTTCACCGTTTGACGGATGCTAATGACTTCATGTTGAGAGTTGACTTGGAGGACTTTGAGGGGAACATCACATACGCCGAGTACAAGACATTTAAGGTTGCAGACGAGGCTGATAAGTACAGACTCACTCTCGGAGAATACAATGGCACCGCGGGAGATTCCTTCATGTATCATAGGTATCGTAAATAGTCAAGAAATACATGGGTGTTGAATGTGTTTCGTTCTCTCTTTGTCTTGGGCCGAATCAATGATCAACCAAAAACGTTTTCTTAACTCAGTCTTATCATCTCTCTTGATATTCTTTAAGTTAAAAGTGAAGTTGCCTCTGAGACTGACAGCCATAGGAATCGTGGAGGTCATTGGGCAGAATGTTTATTGTTCTCGCGACATTTACTTGCAGTGGCGAAAAGATTATAGATCTGACACGGTTTTTTTGGAAATGAGAACAAAATTTAAGCACTTACTGAGAACCGATCATTCTGAATCAGAGAGTGGTAATTTTTCTGAAATGTCAATTGCTGTTTTGAGGCTTTCAGGCGATGAGTCGCTAGTATTTTGAGGACCGATAAGTTGGTCGAGTTTATGGACTTTAATTTGGTACAAATGGTTAAAAAGTTTAGAGCTGGCATCCTGAATTTTTCCACAAATAGATTGTACTAAAACAGCTGGACACATTTCGGAAAGTTTACAGCGACAATTTAGAATTTGTTCGTTTGTTCGGCACATTGCTCTGATTGTGATTCTCATAATATCACCTGGCGTGAAAAAGCATTGTGGGCGCACTGGATTTGGTGACGACATTGAGATAAAGAAGATACGTGAAAACTGGAGCGAAAACCATAAGGAATAACTTTGGAATGAAGGCAACGGCCAATGAAATGGATATGGCTACAATAAGAATGGCTAAACGGTATGCTAGATCTTTACAAATAGGAGGAAAAGGAACAAGGTAACTTACGATTTCCTGGCGTAGTTCCTTCGTAAGTTTCTATAGGTAGTTGTCCCACCCAACTTATTTTCAGCTATTCAGATAAAATTATAGCACCTGTGGTCAAAACTTTACCATCTTACATTAAGAACAGCCAACACGCACTTGAAACTTTTCGTGACTTTAATTTCCTTGGCCAAAACAAACCTATTTTCTCTGAGGATATCATTATATTCTATCCTATTGTGCCCTATCCTAAACTACTGTATTCTATTCTGTTCTATTTTATTCTACTCTACGATATTATATTATAAATCTACATCTTTATCTCTGTCTCTCTCGCGTCTCTTGATTCCTTCTTTAAAGCAACTTGTCAAAGTAGTTCCTTTAAGCAGAATTGGTTTTCTGAGTTTTAAGGGAAAATTTCATTCCTCATTAGCTAAACAGAAATGAAAGAAGGCAACACAAGTTTTATTCTTATTCCAGCCATATGTAGTTTTCCACAAAAGATCAAGATAGTGATGTGTATGAGGTTTTTATGTTGAACCTGGCCCCGGTTGTTCGATGGGTGCAGAACACTATTCACTGGATAAATCTCTATCCGGTAGATAGCGCAAAACGTTTTAGCGATTTATCCGTAGGACAGCGTTATCCGCCCTGTGAATAAGTAAGCCTGGTCTATTTGTGATTTATCTCCAGGGCTTGTCCATATCACCATTATTAGATTAACCTTTAGTTTGTTCCTATTTTTATATTTGCAAATGCTCATTTCCTTGGTCGGGCGCTGATGTGGGTTTGAGTGTCGCGTTAGCAAGTTTCCCTTATGTGCTTCTAGTTACTTTCACTTATATTTCGTATTCGTATTTCTAGGGGGGCTTTTATCCGTGGATTTACTCATTTCATTTATTCATTTAGTGTTTGTCACCGAATTAGATTTTCAAAGAAAGTATCCAGTTGTGGATAGGCTTAAACTCACGCGCAAGTCTTACGGAAAAAAAACCTTAAATGTACAACTTTTTATATAGAGAGACAACGAAGATGGGCAGGGAGCAGACATCAAATTCAAATTTAGTTGAGTCTTCAGCGACAACTCGGGGAGGGGACGGTCTAGAGACTCCACCCCCCCCCCTCCCTATAAAACCCGTGAGTAAGTTTATTCCATGTCTTTAACCAAAATTCTTTCAACGACGGGATTGCATATTACCACTAAAAGTATTAATTAAAAGTTCAAATTTCATCAAACAAGTGTTAAATTATTTGAGCTCTAGTTTAGACTGTGTTTTCCGAATCAAGTGTTGTAACCCACCCAATAAAAAATTCCTGGATCCCTTTGTAACTTTTAAGTCCACAGGACGTTTGTTTACCATTGGAGTGGGGATCAGCTCCGCCTCCCTCCTCCCCAGTCCTCCCCTGACAATGTATTCCTGATTTTGCCTTAATCTCGTTTATTTTTTTCTTTTACTGACGAAAGCTGTATATCTACACTCTTAATAAAAACTTGCGTTGCTCAAGGGCTCATTGGAGGCTCCTATAATGAGGACCTGATCGCAGTCAAAACACTAAAATTAAATCAAAGTTGTCTTAAAGTCCGTGTCTAAATTTCTATAAACACTTGACTCTAAAATTCAAACATAAAATTGCAACTACCAAAACATCTTATCAGAAGTTGCCAACGCCAGTTATAGGAACGCTTTTGATTTTACACAGTGACTCTACAATAACGAGTCTTGTTTACTTGATCGATTTTAATTTGAAATTTCAACAAGTTCAAGATTAATAATTAATACTGTGAAGTTGAAAACCGAAGAGTTGTGATAAACATCAAATATTGAAAGATGCCGAGGCATTTAAGTGACAGATTCCGAAGTATGTATCTGCTTAAACTGCTTCTAGTGTCTCTAACGATCGCTTTTACATACGGAGACCCTCGAATGATGACACCTGTCTTCCAAGCCGTTAACTTTGCCAGAGAAATAAGAGGTCGACGCCTTAATGGAAGTGTTATTAGAGAAATACAGGTGGATTCAGAGAGTTCTTGTCGACTACATTGCGTGAAAGAAAGCTCATGTCTGTCATACAACTTTGGATCCACAATAAACAACAAGAAGTTTAAATGTCAACTAAGCGACTCCGATCGCTTTGCTAGTTTTAAGAATTTCACCGAAGACAATAAATTTCTCTACCGAGGAGTGAAGGTAAGAAACTTTAGATCTAGTTTTTCTAGAAGGAAATAGGTAAGCATTATATACCCTGTAGAATAAACTTTTTTAAAATGTATGCTGACGTGATGTGTAAACTTTTGAGTGTTTCAAGGTTCTAAACAACTTCGGATTATAGGAAAAAACTCAAATTTCCTCACTTTTAATGAAACAAAGACAGTGTAACCAACTGTGTTATTAAAACCACATATCCTTGATGTTCTTGTCTCAAATTGAAAGATGAGAGTTCGTTCGAATATCATTCTGAAAAGAATTGGAAAGAGAATGGAAAAAAATAGGACGAAAATTCTTACAAAGTTCTTAACATTTCGTCGATCTCGTTAGATCAAGCTCGATTTATCCTTTTCATTTTTGATAGGAAGTTTCGACTTGATTCTATTAATGTGAGAGATAAACATCTGCAGCATACAAAGAATGTTTTCACTTGTTTGAATTTATGTAAAATATATTCATTTCATGGGAAACAATCCATGTGCATGCTTTATGAATAAGCTTATTGTGATAAAAAAATATTTCATCTGTGAGGCCATTAAAATTTAAATTTCATTGTATAATCCGTTTGGTATCGTGACTATCGTGACTAATTTTGCTCAAGAAAGAGGTATCTTTAACAACCCTGACGTGACAAATGCACATGATTTTTTTGAACGAAACGTTTTAACTGAAATGTTCTTTGAATTCTCTTTCTTCCTTCACTACCCCACCTCTTTCTAACAAAAAATACTTATGGAAGATCTTTCAAACATAAAAAATCGTAATTAATTTAAGAGATCCTCGCAGCTAAGAACACTACTGAACTTGTGATTGAAAGTAGGACCTGAAAAAATTCAGGTCCGTACGGGATTTGAACCCATGATCTGTGCGATACCGGTCCAAATAAACCATTCAAGTGATGAATAATGATTTTAGATGTATGAAATTTATATATTTACACTGCGGTGAAGAAACGAGTTTAAGAGATCCTCGCAGCTAAGAGCACCACTGAACTAGTAGTTGAAAATAGGACCTGAAAAGCTAGCTCAGTTGGTAGAGCGCTGCACCGGTATCGCTGAGGTCATGGGTTCAAATCCCGTACGGACCTGAATTTTTTTCAGGTCCTATTTTCAACTACTAGTTCACTTGTGTTCTTAGCTGCAAGGATCTCTTACATTCGTTTCTTCACCGCAATACAAATATATAAATTTCATATATCTAAAATCATAAAAAATCGTGATAAATAAAATGAAATAAAGAAACGTTTGCTCGGAATTCGGAGAGCCCAACCGTGTCCTACGTAGCCCGACGTGATTCGCTATTTAAGTGTAAAAGTATGACGAAGGTTAGAGATTGACAGCTCTGCAAGTGTCACCTTTATAAGCGGTGACTCACACTTTCCTTGAGAGATCGGAGCTAGTCCCCGTTGTAATAACTTGAGTAGTAAGAGTGAATAAAGAAAGGGACAACAAAATAACGAGTGTTAGGAACTATTTTCTAATAATTTATAGAAAGTTGGGACGGTGACCCTCACTTTCCTCGAGAGATCAGAGCTAGTCCCGGTTGTGACAACTAGTGTAAAAGGAAAGAATAAAGAAAAAGTCAACAGAACGAGTGTTATAGTAAATTTTACACTTAACACAAGACCCCCTCCCGCTTAACAAGGACTAAAGGGATTAAATTGAAGTAATAAAAGGTTGGAGGAGTCAATGTGTCACAAATACTGTCGCCGATTGTAGGTTTTTAGTACTGTTAAAGGTTGTAAGACTTGAAATCGACGTGTAAGTTGGCAAGGATTTGTTCTGTCTGTGCACTATTCGCCATTACTTCTAACTTGTTAAAATTGCAGTGCAGATTCCATTTTTTGGTCCATGCTGCTAGCTCATCGATATCGAATTGTGGCTCCTGTTTTTCTTTTTCTACGTTTTCCAGTTCCTTTCATATCTTAGTGTCATCAGCGGACACTAATTTAATAGTGTTGGAAATGTTTGATGATATTTCATTGACGCATATTAAGAAGAGAATGGGAACAAGGATCGTGCCACGAAGACACAAATAACACTCGGGTCCAGGAAGATTAAGTGCCACGCACCAGGACACGTTTTGGGCAGCCAAAGAGAATTCTACACCAAGATAGTAGACTGAGGTCTATCTATTCCATGCCATTTTAGCTAAGGCACCAATCGTTCATGGGGTACGAAATCGAATGCTTTCGGAAGGTCTAAAAATGACATCCGTTGGTCTTGATTTGTGTCTGAGTCAGTCGTTAAAACAAGAAATATATTTAGTTATCTTATTCAACACATTGTCTGCTGTAAATGCACTGCGGGTGCAATCTATAACAAGCCAGAAAGTACGCAGCGAAAACATTAAGTTTGCCCGGTTGATTTAACTTTACTTCAGAAAAAATGATGTCGATATGCAGGTGCTTTTAAACAATTTGAGCCTCGCGGTCTGAAGCCGTTCTACTGATATTTTCCCCTCTTTTGCGACAGAGAAGTGATCCCCAGTTTCTTTTAAGCCCACCGGTGGGCAGATTTCAGAACAATTCAATGATACTCGATCGTCCTTATCTGAGAAGACTAAAAAGTCTAACTGTTTGGAGTTATCAGAGCAAAGCTAACGCATTGCCCTCAGTTATTTTAAAACCCTGACAGTTAGTCTGGTCAGGGAACCTAATGTTGGCCTCTCTGGAAGCTTATGATCTGATTCAATCTGAGAATATGAAACACATGCAATTTTAAAAGTCTATCAGTCAATCAATTCATAGGGTACCTGTATTTTAATATAAGTAATCAGGTGCTTTTGTTTTAACAGAGTGATTGTGAGGTCAGCTCTTCCCTTTGTGCAGAAAACGAGATCTGTGTTCCCAACTATAAAGACAACACTGCAGAATGCAGATGTCGTTATGCTTCTGGATATACGGGAAAACCATGCGGTGAGTATCATGTCTAACGCTTTCACTAGTTTGCCACTTTATATTGACTGACAGCATGCGTTAAGTCTTAAATATCACAATTTGGATCAAGTAAAATGACTCTTACAGCTCATCCACCCTGGTCAATTAATTAATTTGAGCTCTATTAATTATTTCTTTTTCTTCTAAAAACAGAAGCGAAATGCTGCGCTCAACTACTTAAAGATGGTTTCACTTCCAATGGCGTGTACACCATCAATCCAGATGGCGGTAAGCCAATACCAGTGTTGTGCGACATGACCACAGACGGTGGAGGTTGGACCGTTTTCCAGAGACGTATGGACGGTTCCGTTGACTTCTATCGTAACTGGAAAGCTTACAAAGAGGGGTTCGGAAGTTTGAGCGGCGAGTTTTGGCTCGGAAACGACAATCTTCACCGTTTGACGAATGCTAATGACGTCATGTTGAGAGTTGACTTGGAGGACTTTCAGGGGAATATCACATACGCCGAGTACAAGACATTTAAGGTGGCAGACGAGGCTGATAAGTACAGACTCACTCTCAGAGAATACAATGGCAAAGCGGGAGATTCCTTCATGGGTCATAGGTAACATAAATAGTTAAGAAATGCATTGGTGTTGAATGTCTCATGCACGCTTAACTCTTATATTCTCTCTTGATATTCTTTAAGTGTAAAGTTCCCTCTGAAAATGAAAGATATAGGAATTGTAGAGGTCATTAAGCAGAATGCCTATTGTTCTCGCAGTGGCGAAAATATTATAGATCTCTGATATAAGCGGCGAAGCGTAAACGGGAAGACTCTCATTGGTCGAAGATCACACGCGCTTTCCTCCGTAACGAGAAAACAAAAATAAGTCAGTTGAATGAAAAGCGCTCGTCGATACCCTGGAGATTAAGAATGCCGATTTGAAAGATAATTTTTTGTTCTACAGTTTTGCGGCTTTCCGAACTGCCTACATGTAGGGAAAGGCCGCAAACTGCCATATGCTGCCTAGAATGATTAGGGAGATTAAACTGTCTAGCGACTGGTTTGGATGCGTGAGGGTCATTTCTTTCTACGTCGCGAAGGTGTTCTCGGAATCGGTCACCGAATCGTCTTCCTGTTTCACCAATGTATAACTTTTTGCAATAAGTGCAAGTTATGCAGTTAATGACCTGCCGTAGGTGCACGTTAAGTGATCAGTGATCTTAATGGCTCCCTTAGGTCCCGTAACTGCGTGGTTGTGAGGGTGAAATGTGAGAGTGAATGGAATGCAATCGGTGTTTTCCTTCTCAGCCGTTTTTAATGCTGACTGTCGATCGATTTGTTGGGCACGGTATGAAATTCTTGACGTGTGGTGGATGCGAAGATTAATATAACAAGTACCTATATCTTGCTAGTAAACACTAGTCCATAGAACGTTGCCTTCAATTGAAATTTTGGTGTCTAGAATAGCCAAAGAAGTGTCGGAAACTTCCCAAGTATATTTAAGAACTGGATGAAAGGAATTGACGACGATTACAAATTAAGTGAGCTCCTCTCTGGTAGAAGAGGTAGCGCCGATGTAGCTATCAATGTAGCGGTCGTAAAGTTCAGGTTCAGTGGGGCCGTGGTATTGACTAAAAAAATTGGTGTTCGATAAAACCTACGAAAAGATTGGCTTAGCTGGGTACCATAGTTGTATCCATGCCGGCTACGCCATTAGTTTGTTTGTACTAGTTGCCATCGAGTGAAAAGTAATTGAGTATAAGTACTAGTTCGGTTAGACGGAGTAGTGTTTCAGAGCTAGGTTCCTTAATAATGCGTTGAGACCTCCATTGTTGGGAATGACTATAAAGAGATGAAATATCCATAGTAAAAATAAGTTTGTTTTGGCTAAGGAAGTTAAAGTCACGAAAACTTCAAGTGCGTGTTGGCTGTCCTTTATGTAAGATAGTAAAGTTTTGACGTACATGCCATAATTTTGTCTAAATAGCTGGAAATAAGTTCGTTCGACAACTGCAGGAAAAAAAACGATGGGTCGGTCGGCCTGGGTGGTTAGGTTTGTGGATTTGAGGTAAAAAGTAAATACATAGGAGTGTTGATGGTAAGATTTTTTGCAGTGGCGAGCAATTCTTGTTTAGTTAGAAGATCGTTAATAGTGTTTTTCACAATTTTTTGATTAATGAAAGTGAGATCTTTTTCAACTTTGGCATAAAAAGAGGTGTCAGAAAGTTGACGCAAAGCTTCTTTTTGGTAGAGGTCGGTCAGCCGAACAAAGACTGCACAGCCTGTGTTGGCCGCTTTAATAACTATGTCTTTGCGTTTTTTAGTCTTCTTAATGTCGACCACTCTTTTGAAGAAAGGTTGGAAATTTGGTGTTACGATTATTTTAGTCTTTTAATATCGTGGCGATATTTTTTGATGAAAAAATCTAAAGATGTGAATTGGACCTCTGGGGGAGTCCATTTAGACTTTCGAATCTGAAGTGTTTCGAAAGAATCTTTGATCGAGGAATCATCCTCTTTGTCGTGAAAAAATAGCTTTCAATTAAACGCGGCGAAGGATTTTTTAAGGTCTTGCTTGACTGAAAATTCGTCGATTTTTTTAAAAATGGGATCAAAATTTAACCTCTAACTGCGAACTGATTTTTTTTTAATCCGAAATTGGTAATTTTTCTGGAATGCTAATTGCAGTTTTGAGGCTTTCAGGCGATGAGTCGCTAGTATTTTGAGGACCGATAAGTTGGTCGAGTTTTTGGGCCTTAATTTGGTGAAAATGGTTAACAAGGTTTAGAAATGGCATCCTGAATTTTGGCACAAACAGATTGTACTAAAACAGCTGGACACATTTTGGAAAGTTCAAAGCGGCAATGTAGAATTTTTTCGTTGAGTTCGTTATGTTTTTAGCACATAGCACGGATTGTAATTTTCATAATATCACCTAGCGTGAAAAAGCGTTATGGGCGCACTGAATTTGGTGACGACATTTATTAGAATGAGAAAAAGAAGATGCCTGAAAATTGGAGCGAAAACCCTTAGGAATAACTTTGGAATGAAGGCAACGGCTAATGAAATGGATATGGCTACAATAATAATGGCTAAACGGAATGCTAGATCTTTACTAATAGGAGGAAAAGGAACAAGGTAACTTACGATTTCCTGGCGTAGCTCCTTGATAAGCTTCTATAGGTAGTTGTCCCACCCAACTTATTTTAGATAAAATTATAATACCTATGGTCAAAACTTTACCATCTTACATTAAGGACAGCCAACACGTACTTGAAACGTTTTGTGACTTTAATTTCCTTGGCCAAAACAAACTTATTTTCACTAAGGATATCATTATATTCTATCTTATTGCGTCCTATCCTAAACTACTGTATTCTGCTCTATCCTATTCTATTCTACTCTACGATACTGTATTATAAATCTACCTCTTTATCTCTGTCTCTCTCGCGTTTCTTTATTCTTTCTTTAAAGCAATTTTTCAAAGTAGTTTCCCTAAGCAGAATTGGTTTTATAAGTATTAAGAGAAAATCTCTTTCCTCGATGGCTAAACAGAAATGAGACAGGGCAACTTAAGTCTTATTCTTATTCCAGCCATATGCAGTTTTCCACGAAAGATCAAGATAGTGATCTATATGGTAAAAGCTGTGCCCAACTCTACAAAGGGGCCTGGTGGTACGAAAGCTGCCATGCGTCCAATCTAAACGGATTGTATTTGAATGGCCAACATGCCTCTCATGCTGATGGAGTCAACTGGGGCACGTTGAGAGGCCATCACTACTCACTAAAACGCACCGAGATGAAAGTAAAAGCCAAGGGATAAGATGGTTTATATCGCGGGGTAACAAAACATGATTCTAAGTATGACGACATCAAAGAAACTTTTTTTTTTTTATAACTTCAGTAGGATCAATCCAGCCGACTTATAGCAGTAGCAAAGTGTATCGCTAGAAGCAACCATAACATCCTCACTTATTGTCAATAAGTACCGTAGTTAGTATGAGTTCTTTATGGCGAACCTGGCCCCGGTTGTTCGAAGGGTGGAGAACGATATCAACTGGATTAATCTCTATCCGGTAGATACTACAGTACATTTTAACGATTTATCCGTTGGATAGCGTTATCCGCCCTGTGAATAACTAAGCCTGGTCTATTCGTGGACAATCTCAAGGGCTTGTCCAGGTCACCATTATTAGATTAACCTTTAATTTGTGTTCGTATTTTTATATTTGCAAATGCTCATTTCCTTAGGCGGGCGCTGATGTGAGTTTGAGTGTCGCGTTTGCAAGTTTCCCTCATGTGCTTCTAATTATTTTCACTTATATTTCGTATTCGTTTTTCTCAGGGGACCTTTATTCGTGACTTTATTTATTTCATTTATTCATGTAGTGTTTGTCACCAAATTAGATTTTTAAAGAAAGCATCAAGTTGTGGATAGGCTTAAACTCACGCACAAGTCTTAAGGAACAAAACCCTGCATGTGCAAGTTTTTATGTATAGAGACAACGAAGATGGGCAGGGAGCAGACATCAAATTCAAATTTAGCTGAATCTTCAGTGACAACTCGAGTGGGGAGGGTCTGGGGACTCCCCATCTCTCCCACCTCTCCCACCTCTCCCCATCAAACCAGTGAGTAATTTTACTAAATGTTTTTCACCAAAATTATTTCAACGACGGAATTTCTTAAAATACGTGTTTAATTATTAGGGCTCCAGTTTAAAACAAGACTCTGTGTTCTCTGAATCAAAGTTGTAACCCACCCAATCAAAAATTCCTGGATACGCTTTGTATCTTTTAAGCCCACGAGAAGTTTGTTTACCACTAGATTTTGCTTTAATCTCGTTTATTTTCTTCTTTTGCTAGCGAAAGCTGTATGTCTACATTCTTGATACAAAATTGTTGTATATGCAATGTAAAATAAACTTGAAACACGAACTTGAAAGTTGAAACCTAAATTTAGTACTCGTAAATCGAGATAATTGTAAGATGAAATCTGGTAAGACTGAAAACAGATATGATATGATAATAATCCTAAAGTCTTTTACCCTTTTCGCATCTAAATAATTTGCCAAAGAGTTTGAAATGTTCTCTAACACATCATTTCTTGTCGTCTCATCATTTTCGAACAACCTGGATTTAAATCCGCTCAGAGATTTCATAGTGCTTTCTTTTGTTAACACTTTTGTTGGCACAGCGGGAGATTCCTTCGTAAATCATAGGTACCGTAAATAGTAGAGAACTTCATTGGTTTTGAAAGTGTTGTGTTCTCTCTCTTTGTTTTGGGCCGAATTAATGATCAACCAAAAAGGTTTTAAGAAAGTATCAAGCACGCTTTACTCTGCTTCTCTCTTGACATTCTTTAAAAGTGAAGTTTCCTCTGATACTGAAAAGTCATAGGAATCATGGAGTTACTGTTTAGGAAAATGTCGTTTATATTAACGTCGTTTATTTAAACCAGCACAATCATTTGCCAGTGGTGTGACAAAGCTATGTCCTTTTTTAGTCCTGAAGGTATTAGCGTTCATCAGTTAAGAAACAGTTTTTGAAAAGAGTGAAAATTAGGCAACACTCTGAATTAAGCACTTGCATCAAAAGTAAAACTGAGGGAGATTACTACAGGGATACAAAACAGCTCATTAAAGACATCCACATCAGGGCCGGATCGTTAAAAACCCAATGAAGCATGCAGGCCAGGGATCAGAGTAGATTTTTATTTTGCCTTAGCAGCTCTGCAGGTTTTCTTGGGCTTATTCTATTTTGCGAAACGAAACGAAACCAGGCGAGATATAACGAAACGAAAAGAATAATGCAGACTGAAATATTTTCTAATTAGGTAAAGATAGCTTTCACAAGGATTATGGAGTAATCGTCATTTGATAAGAAGGATTTTTATTCATTTCGCAAAGTTGCAATTTCAAAAGAGTTACTATTCTGCGGAATCGACTATTTTCACTTTGCGGTGACAACGTGACCCCTTATTCATGTCACAAAAATACATCTAAACAAAACAAATTAGTATATCACCAAAGATTTTGGTCTCCTCTTATTTCTTACACCGTACTTAGATATATTTCACCAATAGTAATTTTAGGTGAGATACTATTTTGCGAAATGGACTACTAGTCGATTTCGCAAAATAATAACTCTTCTTAAATTACTCTGCCAATTGAAAAAACAAACCCTCTTGTTTATTAACGATTACTCCAAAATCCTCGTGAAAGTTATCTTTACCTTACTACAAAATATATCTGCATTACTCCTTTTAGTTTTTCTATATCTCGCTTGGCTTCGTCTCGTTTTGTTTTGTTTCGCAAAATAGCCTTATACCCCATTCACACCAGCAAAACATGTTTTGTTAAACTGGTTTTCATTGAATGAAAATTATAAACAGAGCACTGAAAAACTTGATTTTCCTTTGGATTCAAGTACTTGCTAACTTGCATTTCCAATGTGCTACATTCAAGTCAAAAATATTCGGTTAAATAGTTTCTAAAAAGAAAAAAAAAATTAAACTGTGTTTAACAAAACAACTTTTAAACATGTTTAAGCTTTGGTGTGAATGCGGCATTAGTCGTAGTTCTTGATCACATTTCATCATGTTCAATTTTGCCTGGCATGATGACAACAACCCCACATAACTTCAAGATAACGAATGAATGGTTTCACAAGAAGAAATGCACAACCAAGTTGAATTTGTAACCCTGAATTAGCGTAAATGGCTTCTCACGTGCAACTTGAAGTGTCGAAAGGCTGGAGTATAGGGCTAGATAGATAATTACATAGCCACAGCATTTGAGAATATCACCCTCTGCTTTTAGCTATTGTCAACAACTTTTACTTATATCTGCAAATATAAACTTTCACAAGGGATGTAATTTATAAAGGTTAAGAGCCAGATGTATAAAGCAAACTGCTTGAAGAGCAAGAAAACAAAAGTGAGAAATCTAGACCAATCACATAACGGCGTAAGGCAAAACTTAAGCAATTAAAGATCACTTTCCATACTCAGTTGGAAATTTAGCGGATTGTCTTGGTCGATCTAGTTTATGGAGTAGCTCACAAAATCACGCCAGCACGGGCTCTGTTTTTTATAATAATGATTTAAAAGGATCTTGGTATCAACAGGCAAGTCAAGAATTGAAAGAAAGCGACAAAACTTTTAAGTTTGTAAAACATGTTTCGACAGAAGCTTTTGTCATCTTCAGTTTATTCATGTACAAAGCGTTGGAAGTTGAAATATAATAAATAGAACAATTCTAATTATGATAAATAATGACAACAAGAAAAGAGGTAAAGCATGAAAGTGTGATAACTAAAAGGATAGCTTTAGATTTACATGGGGTAATTGTTGATTCAAGGATGGTTGTTCTCTTTAAATATGAATAGCCTCTTTTATCTTACGTTGAAAACCGGTAGAGGCGTGATCTAAAACATGGAAGTTATCTGCTGAACACAAAGCGCGACAATGTGCAGAATCTTTCAGATGCTTGAAAATGTGAGAGGCCCTGTCACAGACTAAGTACTCTCTAACACCTGTGGAAAAAGTTAAAAGTTTTGTCGCTTTCTTTATATTTAAAAGGAGGTTTAAAGGTTTTCTGTTAGAAAATATCATTGCATTTGACATAAGAAATATTCGATTCAACACAATACAAGATATCTTGACTCAAATTTCACTCAGCAAGACCGAGATCTTGGTCGATTAAGTTAACGGAGAACTCTCTTCTTTTTCATGTAAGGTGTATAGTTAGTCAATCGCTTATTTGTTGTAATCAATGGTAATAAAAATGTTAAATAAATTATTCTGTCATTAAGACTCTTTTATATCTAAGGTACTTGCTAGCTACTGTAATGTAAATTTCGGCTAAACTCCAGAATACCTGGCCACTTTGGTCTGCCTCACCTACATGTGTCGGGAGGCTTTGAAGATCGAGGCCTAACACAATAGACACTATTCTTATTCAATGACATGTAAATGAGTGGCCGGGTATTCTGCAGTTGCTCCTAAATTTCATCTAGAATTGCTGTATTCTTGCTAGATTAGGTTAAATATTCTGTTATGCGTTCAACCACGGCTCGTCTCGATTAGCTTTAGTTAACTGCGAGCAGTGGAACTTGTAATTAACTTGTGAACTTTCAACTTGAGACAGTCAACCTGTGAGACTAAACAATTCTAACACCCAATAGGATGGAGACACCTCTATAATTAGCAATGGTTTAGTTCTTATTATTTTGTGGCTTGTATCACCATCAAACTTTACAGAATTTTGGCCGTCATATCAATGCGCAGCGGTAGTTATTTAAACACTGAGTTCTGTAAAACTTGATTGCAATAAATGACGTTAAGATTAAGTATAGATTGTCATTTTCGTGTCATTTACTCCAAATTGTACCAATCTACTTATCTCTGATTCAACTGAATCGCCTTATGATGTAATGTCTGAGAGATTTCATTGTTCTTAACCAGTGTGGTTCGTTTTGACAGTCTTCCCACCTCTTATGTGTAATGAGATGCATTTATGCAAATGAGTGAGCATGCGCGTCCAGAGTGTGTTAGCGAGTGTGTTATAGTGTGTTCCATGTGCTCGGGTCAGTAACCAAATTATTGTGTACACAATTCCTAATTATCGGAATAAAATCAATTCAGCAACCCACTCAGAGTCATTACGTTATGGAGACCTATCTTAAGACGTCATTCTGATGTACCACAGTTTTTCGCTGGGGTTCCTGTTTGTTTGGTTACCTGCTCTTCAGATCACATGACCTTCCTGACTCTATGTGCATCGATTGTCTAACTTTTAACCGTTTGTAGTAAGGAAATACCGTTAGAGCCTTTACTTATTTAATTTAAACTAAATTCTGTTCAAGCCGGCAACCCATACTTTATCATGTTGCACCTTTTCTAGCCTTTGTTTGTATGTCGTCGATTCACCTTTAATACTTTTCTGCTTCTCCTCTGATATTCCTATCATCACTTGCAAACTTAATTATTAATCGGCAGAAACGTTTTGTAAAAGATTGCTGTTTGAATAAGGTTTTTGTTTCAAATTTTATCAACTTCACCTACGTGCGTGTGCGTGTGTGTGGTCTCAAATAGTTCCAATGTTCCCTCTATAAATTTTTTTTATATATTACCACAGAATTTATTCTTAAGATTTGAATTCACTCCCTCATAAATGTTGCCCTATCATGCCAGTTAGAGCATTTAAATCAATCAATATGATGTTTATCTACTTGCACTAAGGCTTTGTGTTAATAATTAATGAAAAAGAGCTAAAACCCTAAAGATCACTATAATTGACAACATTTCTCGCGAAAACATGTACGTAACACTCCTTATAACTTTCTTGGTGATTACTTTAACAAACGGAGAAAGTCGATTGACAACATCCCACTACAAAGCCGTTAACTTTGCCAGAGAAATAAAAGGAGGACGGCTTTATGGAAGTGTTATCAAGGAAATTGAAGTGGATTCTGAGAGTTCTTGTCGACTACATTGTGTGGAAGAAAGTTCATGTCGGTCATACAACTTTGGACCCGGTGAAAACAAGAAGATGTTTAAATGTCAACTAAGTGACTCCGATCGCTTTGCTAGCTTCAAGAATTTCACCGCAGACAACACATTTCTCTACCGAGGAGTGAAGGTAAGAAATTTTAGATATAACTTTTCTAAAATGGAGCAGGTAAGCATTATATTGCCTATAGAATAAACTCTCTAAAAGTGTATGCTGACACTAAATGTCAACTGAGCGATTGTGGTCGGTTTACTGGACTGAGCAATTTCACTGAAGACCCCCAAGTTCTTCATAGAGGCATAAAGGTAGGTAATTTATCTCAATTTGCAATTCCTTTAACTCATTCCAAAGAGGATATTGTATTTGATTTAAGGAACGACGCAGATGTTTATATGGTGCGTTTGGTAATTGTAGAGAAATACAATTTTAGAATTACTGTAAAACTTTTTTTTATCATTGTCTGATTTCGAAAGGCTACGAGTTAAAATTTAACTTTTCATTGAGCCTGTAAATTTGATGGCTCAGAAACGAGATCTTAGCCAGTTTAATTTTATCTTGAAGCACCTGTTTCGATTTGAAAATGAATGTGTTGATTCGATATTGGCGAAGAAGAGAAAACGTTACATACATACTACATACATACATACATACTTTATTTATTCCAGAAGCAGATGATAACTATTATATACAAATAAAACTAAAAAGAAAATACTTCTAGAAAAGGAAGTTAAGAGGTTATCCCTGTGTAAAAACTCCCTCAAAAGAAAAGACAAAATATAAATCAAAATCATTACAATCAAATATAATCAAATATTTAAGTAAGATTTAAGTTTAGATTTAAAATGCTGAAAGCTGTCAGCTTCCACTATATCACCCGGTAACTCGTTCCATAATTTGACAATCCTAATAAAAAAAGAATTTTTGTAACAATTAAGTCTAGCTGGTTTAATATAGAGTTTGTATTGATGATTTGCTCTCGTAGACCGAATCGTGGCAATATCAAAGAAGTCTTCAAAATTTAAATGATAAAAACCAAAACTATCTTATAACATTCGACTAAAGATAAGTAAGTTCTACGGTCAGAGAGAGGGCCATTTTAACAGTTTGCATCGGTCTTCATAGGACATTTCTCCTTTGCGTTGATTTAAAGCGAGTCTTGAGGCTCTTCGCTGTACATTTTCAAAGGGCATGGATGTCCTTAACAAGGTAAGGACACCAAACAGGTACCGCATATTCCAAGATTGGCCGTACCAGAGACATGTACAGCATAGAAAAAACATTTGTGTTAGCGGTGCCTACTGAGCGTTTAATGGAACCTAAAACTTTGTTCGCTTTATTGACAGTGATACTTATGTGATGGCCCCATGAAAGATCTCTAGTTAGTGTGACACCGAGATCTTTAAAATTAGTCACGTCTTTCAGGGGCTTTTCTAAGAAATAATTAGTTACCGACTTATCGCGTAAATGCGTGATTCGCATAGATTCGCATTTGTCTGCGTTGAAACGTAGCTGCCACTTACGAGCCCATGCGCTAAGATTATTAAGATCATCCTGAAGAAGCTGACTATCTTTTATAGGGTCAATTATCTCTCTGTAGATCTTCGTGTCGTCTGCATATAATTTTACTGTAGATGATAAGAATTCAGATATGTCATTAATATACAATAAAAACAATAGGGGCCCGAGAATGGTTCCCTGTGGAGTTCCGGAGGTAACGCACGACCAATCAGAATAAGATCCCCTAACGACTACACGTTGTTTGCGCCCCACCAAAAAATGTCTCAGCCAGTTGAGTAAACATTCGTCGATGCCGCTACATTTCAATTTTAAAAGCAGTCGCTCATGAGGAACGCTGTCGAAGGCTTTGGCAAGATCCAGAAAAACAACATCGGTAGGAGTGGATGAATTACGGGATTTCGCCCAGTCATTAAACGTTGATAACATTTGAGTTGTAGTAGATCTTCCTCGTAAAAAGCCAAATTGGTTGCTATTGATAAAGTCGATTTCGCGCCAGAACTTAATCATCCTATCAAAAACAATTTTTCACAGATCTTACAAGCAATTGAAGTAAGGGAAATTGGGCGGTAATTTTCTCTCGAAGATTTGGAACCCTTCTTATGTAGAGGAGTAATGTCGGCATGTTTCCATTCCTCAGGCAAAAGGCCAAGAGACAACGATTTGTTTATCATATACGTTAACGAAGGTGCTAATTCCGAAGCACACGACTTAAAAATGCACGGCGCGATATGGTCAGGCCCAGGAGACTTGTTGGGCTTGAGTTTCAGAAGATGGCGTTTGACCTCATTGACAGAACAATCAATTTTCGCAAGTTTCTTGTCAACAGTGCAGTCTTGAGTGGGAAAATTTGCATAATCTTCGGTAGTAAACACCGAAGAGAAATATGAGTTCATACTCTGAGCAATACTGAAGTCGTCAGTCAGAGCACATCCATCGACGCTTATAGAGATGAGATTATTAGTGCCTCTTCTCTTGGACTTAACAAAATTCCAGAAAGGTTTCGGATTTTCATTTTCCTGTAGATCAAGTGCAAGTTTCTTTATATACGACCATCTAGCTGTGTTACAAAGTCTCTTAACAGAATTGTTGAGTTGCCGATATTTTTCCCAAATAGTTGAATTGTTTTTTTCTGCGAGCTCTATTATACAATAATTTCTTCTTTTTGCACAAAACAATAAGTTCCTGTGTAATCCAGGGGCACTGGATCTCTTTTTATTCTTGCGTTTGGGAATGCACTCATCCACTGCTGTAAATAACAAGTCTTTCCAGCAAGCCCAATTATGATTAATATCGCTGTCGAAGAAGGCGCAATGCCATGGAATATAAGATAACAGCGATCTTAAGTGATCCCAGTCGGCTTTACCATAGCAATACAACAACTTCTGTGATTTACGCTGGACGTAAGGTATACCAGATAACGAGAAGGAGATAGAATTGTGATCTGAAAAGGGTTCTCCAACAACCAAATGGTTTACGAGGTCGGGCGAAGTAGTGAGAACTAAGTCTAGGATGTTCGAGTCTCTGGTAGGTTCATTTATCAACTGTGTCAAAAATTGTCTTGGACGATGTCCATCATGAGTGTGTAAATATCAGATTGACGCAAGAATCTGTTATTCAACCAATCAATCTCCGGAAGATTGAAATCGCCAACAAGAATCAACTCGTTCGTCGAAAACTCTTGCAAAACAGCTTGTAAGTCCTCTAAAGGCTTAGGATCGTTATTGGGAGGACGATAGAAAACTCCCAAAGTGACTTTGCGATTGTATGAGAAAAGAAGATCGACGAAGATGAACTCTGAATCGTTCTGTGTAGTATCACGGGGAACCGCTTTGATGTGTTCTCGCGTAGCAATCAATACCCCGCCTCCATGACGTCCATTGAGCTTTCGGTCCCGCCTAAATACCGAGTAGTTACTAGGAAAGATTTCACCGTCAGGGATGGAGCTGTCCAGATGAGTTTCAGTTAAAACAATTATATCATAGCCCAGAGCGGCAATGGCTAAATCCAATTTGCTTGATTTGTTGACGATGCTTCGTGCATTAGCATAAAAGGTTAGAAGACGAGAGGACTTTTGCTGTTCCGTAAAATTGTGCCGCTCGGCTCCATTTGGACCAGGATTTGGGTTTACGTCGCCGCTCAACTGGAGAAGAATAGTTTGGTAACTTGCAACAGAGTTAGGATAATAACTGATTCTTGACGAAGAAAAACCTCTTCGAAGGATTGGCAAAACAATATGTCGCCTAGTCCAGGACGCTGTGAAGATATTTAAGTTCATTGAAACTACAAAATCATCTTGTAGAACCAAGAAGAAATCGTCAGCTAAACGCGGGAACATTTGAGATTGGCCCTGATCAGTCGTTTTTCCGCGATATAGAAGAATTAAACTGAGAATAAAACAAAGAAAACCGGAGAATCGAAATGAGTGACCGTCAGCCATGACGCCTCGCCTCGCCTCCTACTCTACACCTTTGAGGGACATTTTGAAGTAATATTGAGTACTGATGACTGATTTATCTTCTTAATCTAATGTTTTCAAAAAATGCCATCAATGAAAAACTATGTTTTAATTGAAATGCTTGCTTCTCTTGTTATGGATAATAGCTGTAAGATAGATTTCTAGTTCTTAGTCATGCTGGCACGCATACCATGGAACTTTCTAGAACATTCCAATGGGTCACATGTTAATGAAGTAATACTACCAAAATAGTTGTGTTATAAACTTCCGGAATGTTCTGGAATACTTTTTTATTAACAAATAGAGAAGCCTTCGCTCTGCTTTGTTCTGTTGTAAAGCACGCAGGAAGCGGCTAGGGCACGAAAGAGAAAATGTTTCTCTCCACTTCTTGATGGACCTCAGCATGATCGCAGTCGCTCTGACACCGGCATGATTGCTATGAATTTTAACATTTATGCCAGTTTGGCTTTATTTTTCATCATTCCTGTTTTGATCTGTTCGGGTTTTTGAACATGAAACTATATATACTATACGAGTGTTAGCTGTGTTTGATTTTTATTACAGTACGTAAAAATATACATGAAAATATTACTCAGTTCTGATTGGTTAAGATAAATGCAGCTTTCAGGTAATTCAATGCAGAGGAGGGTTAATTCATTGCAAAGAAGTAACAAACCAGACATTCTGATTGGTCAATAATCAAAGAAACTTAGATAGCGAATCAAATGCGAGCCTTGGATGTCGCAACATCTGGATACGCTGAAATTTGCGAGCGAAACAATGACTGGCGTTTCAAGAAGGTTTTCTTTCGCCACCACAACAACAATAGTTGGTTGACGCTTTGGAAAAAAGTGGTGTTTAGAGAAGGGAATTGCCGAGGAGATTGAAAATTACGAGGCGACCCAGCTTAACACCTTGCTCGAGCGATTCTACGCCTAAATTAAAAACAAACATGGTTAAACCTCGCAGACGGCGATTCCATTTCATCGAAAGTGATTTGCAAACAGACTTGACAACTCCTTGAACTGTTTAGCCGAACTTTGAGCTTTTTTGCGCCTAAGGGTTGTGAAATATTATTGTATATTATTGTTTTGATCGTACGCAGTTGTTTTGACCGAACGTACGGTTTGAATAAATTATTTTTGCACTCGATGCACGCGCTTTGCTTTTGCTAGGCTATCTCGTATTTTTTTAAGTATGTTATTAATACGTAATCGCATAATTTTTCTCGTGCACTTTGGGATAAATAAGCACTTGTAAATTTTTTTAAAGACCACAAATTGCACTCGCCCTAAATTGTTAATTTTTAGAGGTATATGAGAACTCAGTCGTGAGGTAATAGTTGTACTAGTTGTTGTTGTTGTTGTTGTTGTTGTCGGGAGTGACCAACTCAGTATTTAAAAAGCTATACCGATAGAGAGCTACCGTGGAAGATTGTTCATTTCAACGAACTTTGGAAACAACTGTGAGTTTGTGTCAGTCGTGAGCTAAGATATAGACTGTAGTGGGCTTAAGTAAGTATGCTAAAGATAGTAACTGTACTGCCTTTAGGAGTCGCTCCTTATTGAGAATATTACTCGTTGTTCGCTCCATGACAGCTCGACGTGATCACAACGCCCAGGTCTTTAGTACTGTTAACACTTGAAATCAGCATGTTGTAGATTCAATTCTTTGCTGCTACCTCATCGATATCGAGTGGTTGCTCCTGTTAGTCCTTTTCTGTGTTTTCCAGTTCCTGTTATATCTTATATAGCGAACATCTTTAGTTGTAGTAGAGATGTTTGACGATAAGTCATCGACGCATATTAAGAGGAGAATAGGACCAAAGATTGTGTCACGGGGAACACCAGATAGCACTCGGGTCCAAAAAGAGTGGGTGTCACGCACCTCGACTCGTTGCAGCCGGCCAGTAAAGAAATTTTAAAACTAAAACAGAAGGGGTCGATCAATCTCGTGGTATTTAAGCTTAAGCAGCAATCGTTCGTGGGTTACGGAATCGATGCTTTTCAAAAGGTAAAAAAAAAATTATATCTGTTAGTCTTGATGTCGCTCAGTGGTTAAAACAAGGAAAAACCTTTTAATTTTCTTATTCAGCACATTCTCTGGTGTAAATGCACGGCAAGTGCCATCCGTAACAAGCCAAGACAGTAGATTTCAGAACAAATCGGTTACACTTGATCGCCCTTAATTATCCAAGAAGACTAGAACGTCTAATCATTTGCAAAGGCAGCACATTCCCCTCACTTATTTTAAAACCCTAAAGTGTTGGTCACTGAACTTACTGTTGGCTGCTCTGGAAGCTTATGATTCCATCTAAGAAAATAAAACAGGTGCAATTTTAAAAGTCTATCAATCAATCAATTCATAGGATACCTTTATTTTTATAAAAGTAATCAGGTGCTTTTGTTTTGACAGAGCCATTGTGAGGTCAGCTCTTTCCTTTGTGCAGAAAACGAGATCTGTGCTCCCAACGATAAAGACAACACTGCAGAATGCAAATGTCGTTATGCTTCTGGATATACTGGAGAACCATGTGGTAAGTATCATGTCCAACGCTTTCATTACTTTGCCACTTTATATTGACCGAGTGCGTGCATAAAATATTAAGTACCCCAATTTAGATGAAGTAAAATGACTCAGTACAGCTTATCCACTCTGGTCAAATACTGAATTTGAGCTCTATTAATTATTTCTTCTTCTCACAAAATCAGAAGCAAAAAGCTGCACCCAACTACTTAAAGATGGTTTCACTTCTAACGGCGTGTACACAATCAATCCAGATGGTGGTAAACCAATACGAGTGTTGTGTGACATGACCACGGACGGTGGAGGCTGGACCGTTTTTCAGAGACGTTTGGACGGCTCTGTTGACTTCTTTCGTGACTGGAAATCTTACAAAGAGGGGTTCGGAAGTTTAAGCGGCGAGTTCTGGCTCGGAAACGACAATCTTCACCGTTTGACAGCTGCTGATGACGTCATGTTGAGCGTTGAGCTTGAAGATTTTGATGGGAGCATCAAGTACGCTGAATACACGACTTTTAAGATAGCAGACGAAGTTGATAAGTACAGGCTTTTAGTTGAAGGATACAAGGGCACGGCTGGGGACTCTATGAAACCACACAAGTAAGAGAGATATTCGGTTTGACAGAGAGTGTATCTATTATCAGTCAGGAGAGGGGCACGTTATGAATAGCATTTGATTGGCACAAACATTAGAGTAAAGAGATACTGTCTATTCTATTCTATCATATTCTATCCTATTTTATCCTATTCCATCATATTCAATTGTGTTCTGAGCTTGTCCTCTTCTTTTCTTATTTTACCCCGTTAAATTCTATTCTATTTTACTCTATTTTATTCGATTTTATTCTATTCAATTCTATTCCATCCGATCCTATTATATTACATTTTTTTTGAAGTATAATCTTTTCTATTCTCTCCTATTCTATCTTGATCAACCGTATTCTATACTAATCCCATTCTTTTCTATTCCAGGCTTTTTTACTTTTGATTCAGTCTAATCTATCTTATTCTTTCCTATTCTATTCTGTTCTATCCTATTACCTTTTATTCCTTTTTATTCTGATCACTTCTACCATATTCTTCTTCCTAATCCTATTCTTTTGAGTCCTATCCCATTCTAACGTATTACATCCTTGTCTACTCTGTTTCACCCTTAGATATTTATATTTCATTCCTTTCTATTCTATACTATTCTAACCTTTTCTACCGTATTCCTTTCTATTCTATAGTATTCTTACCTTTTCATATTTCTTTCTACTCTATACTATTCTTACCTTTTCTTTTATATTTCTTTCGATTCTATGCAATTATAACCTTTTCTATCATATTCCTTTCTATTCTATACTCTTGTTACCTTTTCATATTTCTTTCTATTCTATACTATTTTTACCTTTTCTTTACATCGCCCAGAATTCAGCGACATATCCGGGACTTTCATTGAGACGCTGGCGCTAAATTTAAAAGCTAATTAGAAAATGATTGTCAAACAATAAAGGAAAAGGGCTGAAAATGTCGAGGAAGGCTTACGTTCTCTTCGTTTACGGATAAACTACTTTTCAAATGCTACTTTTACCATATGGCTTTTAAAGAAGAAAGTTCAATTGAATAGTGTATCATTCTCACTTTGTTCTTGCGCTTTCAGAAGAGGTCGCAAATTTGCCTTGAAAATTGACTATGTTAGCATCCTGCTTGTATGAGAAGTCGATCTCAGCGCACTTTCAGGCGTAATTTATCTTCACTCAATTGCTAGATTTCTCTTTTACCATATGGTTATTTTTATTTGACATTCTAGAAAGCGTCATAGAAATTTTCAAGGGATTCCAAACTTTGGAAGTAGTCGCAAAACGCGAATTTCGAAAACGTTTGCTAAGCATCGTAGTGTTCTATCCAAATTTGTCCTTTGGAGACCCCCACGAGAATACAAGTGACCTATTTTAAACTTCCCGCGAGAATATCAAGGTATGCTAAGCTCCGCCTCCGCAAACAATCGCGCACACGCCGCCTAATTAGTATTGAAATTGAGGTGGTAACTAGACAATGCTTAAAAAACTGTAAAAGCTTTTAAGATATGATCGCTGAGATCGCTGCAGAAATATTCAGCAATCGTTACTATCACATGGAAACCACACTCCTATTATTGTCGCAAGATAGACTCTAGTTCTATCTCGACGATCGTCGCACTCACAAGCCGGTTGTCGGAAGCATCGCTCATATTTTTCTCTACCGATTGAAGCGATTTTGACGAAGTAGATTCTTCATGATACTTTTTTTCTAAATTTTTCTTTTTTCTATTTTCTATTTTCATGATACTAATTTTTATAATTCCGATAACATTTTGACCAACGGGAGTCTGTCAGTCCATATAAGAATTCGCTGCAAACGAATTTGCTAAACGCTTTGTTAAGAGCGTGGCTATTGTTAATTATTGCTATTGTTCACTTTATGTCACCTTGGGATTTACTTTACGCATCCAACCGTTTGATTGACAGCAGCTGAAATCTGCAAAGAGACTCATGTATTCCCAAAGCTTTACCTGCTGACCAATCACAACCGACTAGTTCAGGATATGCAAATTATTATGCTGCCCGCTGATTAAATGGGCACTGCAAGTACATGTCGCGAAAGACAATAGCATTCTGGGCGATGTAATATTCCTTTCTGTTCTATACTATTCTAACCTTTTCTTTTATATTCCTTTCTATTCTATGCTATTCTAACCTTTTCATATTTCTTTCTATTCTATACGATTCTTACCTTTTCTTTTATATTCCTTTCTATTCTATACTATTCTTACCTTTTCATATTTATTTCTATTCTATACTATTCTTACCTTTTTTTATATTCCTTTCTATTCTATACTATTCTAACCTTTTCTACCGTATTCCTTTATATTCTATACTATTCTTTACCTTTCTTTTATATTCCTTTCTTTTCTTTACTATTCTAACCTTTCTACCGTATTCCTTTCTATTCTATACTCTTCTTACCTTTCATATTTCTTTCTATTCTATACTACTCTTACCTTTTCTTTTATATTCCTTTCTATTCTATACTATTCTTACCTTTTATACTAGTTTATCCTATTGTATGTTTTCTCTCCTAATTTTCCCTATCCTATGTTATCCTTTTTTTATCCTATCCTATCCAATTCTATGAGGGTTTCATTGAGGTTGTGGCTTTTACGGATAATACGGTAATACGATACGGCTAATCGTTAATTTCTTTTCATTTTTGTTAAAAGAAACATTTTTTCGGCTAACTTTTTTAACGACTGACGGTTAACATTAGTTGATTTTGGCGTCAAAAGGCTAAAATTTTTTGTTGTTTTACGGCTAACAAGTTAACCTCGGCTAGACTTTATTTTATGTTATTCTATCTCATCCGATTTTATTCTATCTTATTCTATCCAATTCTTCCCTGCTATATCTCATCCTACTGTGTCCTATCCTAAACTACTGTATTTCATTCTATCCTAAACTATTCCACTCTATGATTAATAAATCTACCTCTTTATCTCTGTCTCTCTCGCGTCTTTTGATTCTTTCTTTCAAACAATTTGTCAAAGTAGTTCCCTTTAGCAGAATTAGTTTTGTAAGTTTTAGGAGAAAATCTCTTTCCTCAATGGCTAAACAGAAATGAAACAAGGCAACATAAGTTTTATTCTTATTTCAGCCATATGCAGTTTTCCACGAAAGATCAAGATAATGATCTAAAGGTTACAAGCTGTGCCCAACGCTACAAAGGGGCCTGGTGGTATAAAAGCTGTCATGAGTCCCACCTAAACGGATTGTATTTGAATGGCCAAAATTTTCCTGAAGGAATCAACTGGGTTACTTTCAGGAACAATTACTACTCACTAAAACGCACTGAGATGAGAGTAAAAACCAAGGGATAAGATGGTTTTTACCGCGGGATGACCTTAAAACATGATCTTAAAGTGCCTATGACACGAAATTTTTTTTTGCATAAATACTTAGCTTATCATATGTACAAACCAACTCCGAAAGAAGGAAAATTTCAAAAGACTTAAAACTCGGTTTTTTCGGGCCCTCAAGTGCTCTTTTTTGTCTTAAAAGTGTCCCGTGGATTGGTAACGAATTAGCGGGTGATGACGTAGAAAACTGTGAAAACTCGCAGTTGACACTTACAAATCTCTCACATCTCTAGTAATTTTATATCAGTCAGCGTTAAAATATTCTTGAAATACTCTTGAAATAGTGTCTGATAGCGATGTGAAACTACCTTCAGAAAGCTCTACCGAGAGTTGTGACACATCGTACTCAGGTAGTAGGGAAGGAATGGAAGTTGCAAGTACGGTTAAGCCCAACGAAGGTGAACCGCGCGTAGCAAATGAATTCTCGTTACTGAATGTTTAGTTTGCTGTGTTTTGTTTTCCAAGGCGAAATGTGTGTTAAGAATGGGTAGCTGTGTTCGTTTCTGTTACCATGACATTTTATTCCTTCGCACCACGTGCGGCGAAGGTTCCCCTCGGTAAGTGCTCTAGATTTTCGCTGCTGTAGAGAAATTTCCTCTGTAAGCCAAACTTTTGACGAAAGAATCAGATGTATCAAGAGGCACGATGATTTTTCACCGAGAAGCTACTGCAAGTTGCTCCTTTCCTCGGAGATTGCAAAAGCAGAGGCTATCATCGAGCCATTCAAATCTAACGGAAAACGAGTGAGTTTATAGTCGCCTGATTCAAGTTATCTCAAATATGTCTCTCCGTTGGATACCGCAATACGTTTTAGCGATTTATCCATTAGATAGCGTTATCCACCCTGTAAATAACTAACCCCGCTCTATTCGTGGTCTCAAGGGTTTGTCTATGTCACCATTATTAGATTAGCATTTAGTTTGTTCTTAATTTTTATTTGCAAATGCTCATTTCCTTAGGCGGGCGCTAATGTGGGTTTGAGTGTCAAGTTTCCCTTGTATGCTTCTAGTTACTTTCAGTTATATTTCATATTCGTATTTCTCCGGGGACCTTTGTTCGTGGAGTTATTTACTTCATCTATTCATTTAGTGTATGTCACCGAATTAGATTTTTAAACAAAGCATCAAGTTGTGGATAGGCCTTAACTCACGCACAAGTCTTAAGGAACAATACCGTAAATGTGAGAGTTTTTATAAATAGAGACAACGAAGATAGGCAGAGAGCAGACATCAAATTTAAATTTAGCTGAATCTTCAGTGACAACTTGGAGGGGGGGAGGGGTCTGGGGACTCCACACCTCTCCCTTCCCTCCATCCCATCAAACCCGTGAGAAAGTTTACTACATGTCTTTCACCAAAATTCTTTGAACGACGGGATTATATATTACTACTGCTCAACTACAATCATTAAGAATTTATATTTCTTAAAATATGTCTTAATGCGTTAATGACCAAAGTTCTTTTAACGACGGGATTATATATTACTACCGCTCAACTAGAAGCGTTAAGAATTTAAATTTCTTAAAAAATATGTGTTAAAATTATTTGGGCTCCGGTTTAGACACAACTTTGTGTTTTCTGAATCAGAGTTGTAACCCTGCCAATAAAAATTCCTAGATCCGCTTTGTATCTTTTAAGCCCCCAAGACAATCGTTTACCATTGGAGCGGGGATCAGCTCCGCCTCCCTCCTCGCCAGAGTGTATTCTTGATTTTGCTTTAATCTCGTTTACTTTCTTCTTTTACTGACAAAAGCTGTATGTCTACATTCTTGAAACAAAATTATTGTATGACCAATGTTTAATAAACTTGAAATACGACCTTCAAAGATGAAACCCAAATTTAGCGCAAGTAAACCGTGATGATTGTAACATGGAATCTCGTAGGAGTAAAAAAAGGTATGATATGAAAATAATCCTAAAGTCTTTTATCTTTTCGCACCTCAACAATTGGCCGAAGATTTGAGACGAGTCAGGAGTGGTTTGCTGGCGGTCTGGAACCAGCAGTTGGTGCAAGACCCTCTCGCTGACTCGCACTGCTCAAGGGCTCATACTTTCCCACTGGCGAAGAAACGCTCTTATAAAGAGGACCTGATCGCAGGCTTAGAGTCAAAACATTAAAATTAAATTAAGTTGTCTTGAGGTCTGTGTCTAAATTTCCGTAAAAACCCAAATCTAAAATTTACTAAATACAAGTGCAAAAAAAATACAATAAAAACACTAAAAAACTAAAAACATAAAATTGCAACTACCAAAACATATTATTGGAAGCTGCCAACGCCGGCTGTAGGAACACTTTTCATTTCACACATGACTCTACAATGACAAGTTTTGTTTACTTCATTGTTTTTATTTTCTATCCATTGAAATTTCAACAAGTTCAAGATTAATAATTAATACCGTGAAGTTAAAAACCGAAAAATTGCGATAAACATCAAATACTGAAAGATGCCGAGGCATCTAAGTGAGTGATTTCGAAGTATGTATCTGCTTAAACTGCTTCTAGTGTCTTTAACGATTTCTTTTACATACGGAGACCCTCGAATAATGACAACTGTCTTCCAAGCCATTAACTTTGCCAGAGATATAAGAGGTCGACGCCTTAATGGAAGTGTTATAAGACAAATACAAGTGGACTCAGAGAGTTCTTGCCGACTACATTGCGTCAAAGAAAGCTCATGTGTGTCATACAACTTTGGATCCACAACAAACAACAAGAAGTTTAAATGTCAACTAAGCGACTCCGATCGCTTTGCTAGTTTTAAGAATTTCACCGAAGACAACAAATTTCTCTACCGAGGAGTGAAGATAAGAAACTTTAGATGTACTTTTTCTAGAATGAAGCAGGTAAGCAAATAGAACAAACTCCTTATAAGCGTATGCTGACATGATGTGTAAACACTTGAGTATTTCAGGGCTCTAAACAACTTTAGATTAGAAGACAAAACTCAAACGTCCTCATTTTTAATATGATATTTTATATGATATGATATAACGAGTAAAACTAAGACAGCATAACAAACCTTGTTATTAAAACCATATATTCTTCATGTTCTCGTCTCTAAGTGATTTATATTAAGCGCGTAATTTAAATTTTCTTCACCGTTTGACGGATGCTAATGACGTCATGCTGAGAGTTGACTTGGAGGACTTTGAGGGGAACATCACATACGCCGAGTACAAGACATTTAAGGTGGCAGACGAGGCTGATAAGTACAGACTCACTCTCGGAGAATACAGTGGCACCGCGGGCGATTCCTTCATGTATCATAGGTATCGTAAATAGTCAAGAAATACATGGGTGTTGAATGTGTTTCGTTCTCTCTTTGTCTTGGGCCGAATCAATGATCAACCAAAAACGTTTTCTTAACTCAGTCTTATCTTCTCTCCTGATATTCTTTAAGTTAAAAGTGAAGTCGCCTCTGAGACTGACAGCCATAGGAATCGTGGAGGTCATTGAGCAGAATTTTTATTGTTCTCGCGACATTTACTTGCAGTGGCGAAAATATTATAGATCTGACACGGTTTTTTTAGAAATGAGGAAAAAATTTAAGCGCTTACTGAGAACTGATTATATTCATATATATATTATATTCTATCCTATTGTGCCCTATCCTAAACTGCTATATTCTATTCTATCCTATTTTATTCTATTCTACGATATTATATTATAAATCTACATTTTTATCTCTGTCTCCCTCGCGTCTCTTAATTCCTTCTTTAAAGCAACTTGTCAAAGTAGTTACCTTAAGCAGAATTGGTTTTCTAAGTTTTAAGTGAAAATTTCATTCCTCATTGGCTGAACAGAAATGATAGAAGGCAACATTCTTAATTCCTTCTTTAAAGCAACTTGTCAAAGTAGTTACCTTAAGCAGAATTGGTTTTCTAAGTTTTAAGTGAAAATTTCATTCCTCATTGGCTGAACAGAAATGATAGAAGGCAACATTCTTAATTCCTTCTTTAAAGCAACTTGTCAAAGTAGTTACCTTAAGCAGAATTGGTTTTCTAAGTTTTAAGTGAAAATTTCATTCCTCATTGGCTGAACAGAAATGATAGAAGGCAACATAAGTTTTATTCTTATTTCAGCCATATGCAGTTTTCCACAAAAGATCAAGATAGTGATCAATTTAAAACAAGCTGTGCCCAACGCAGCAAAGGAGCCTGGTGGTAGAGCAGCTGCCATAAGTCCAATCTAAACGGAATGTATTTCAATGGCCAACATGCCTCTCGTGCTGATGGAGTCAACTGGTTTACTTTCAGAGGCAAACAGTATTCACTAAAACGCACTGAGATGAAAGTAAAAGCCAAGGAATAAGATGGTTTCTATCGCAGGTGACAAAACATAATTTAAATATGACGACACCAAAGAAACCTTTTTTTTAGCTTCAATAAGATCAATCCAGACTGACTTATAGCTATGGCAAAGCATACCGTTAGAAGCATCAAGCATAAACTCACGCTTAAGTCTTAAGTAAAAAAAAACCTTAATTTACAAGTTTTTTATATAGCGACAACGAAGATGGGCAGGGAGCAGACATCAAATTCAAATTTAGTTGAGTCTTCAGCGACAACTCGGGGAGGGGACGGTCTAGGGACTCCACACCTCCCCCCCTCCCTATAAAACTCGTGAGTAAGTTTATTCCATATCTTTAACCAAAATTATTTCAACGAAGGTATCGCATATTACCACTGCTGAACTAGAAGAATTAATTAAGAGTTCAAATTTCATAAAACATGTGTTAAATTATTTGAGCTCCAGTTTAGACCGTGTTTTCCGAATCAATGTATTGTAACCCACCCAATCAAAATTCCTGGATCCGCTTTGTATCTTTTAAGCCCACAGGACGTTTGTTTCCCATTGGAGCGGGGATCAGCTCCGCCCCCCCCTCCTCCTCCCCAGCCCTCCCCTGACAATGTATTCTTCATTTTGCTTTAATCTCGTTTATTTTTTTTCTTTTACTGACGAAAGCTGTATGTCTAAATTCTTGATATTAAATTATTGTATAACTAATGTTTAATTAACTTGAAGTATGAACTTCAAAGTTGAAACGTAAATTTAGCACTTGTAAATCCGGCGAGATAATTCTAAGATGAAATCTGGTATGACTGGAAACAGATATGATGTGAAAATGATCCTAAAATCTTTTACCCTTTTCGCATCTTAACAAAGTGGCCAAAGAGATTGAAATTTCCTCAAACACCTTATTTCTTGTCGTTTTATTATGTCCAAATAACCTGGATTTAAATCCGCCCAGAGATCTATCCATAATACTTCTTTTGTTAATTATCATTTTAGTTACTGGCTGTAGAAATAACTAGCTGCATAAATAAGACCCAATTACTGAGACCAACATAAACGGATCCCGAGAAAAATAGTTCAGTAAACGGTTAGTACTATCTTATTTTATAAACTTTTGTTGAGGAAGTCGATGTTACTGGAGGCGACGAAACGTTTACGAGAACATTAGAGTTATAGCCTGCGAGCAGCACGCCCCAGTCATTAGCGCTGCAGGAAGCGCGTTTCTCCGCCCGAGGGAAAATTAGAGACGAGTCGGGAGAGGTTTGGTGTAATACCCTCTCGCCGACTCCCGTTGCTCAAGGGCTCACACTTTCCCGCGGGAAGAAACGCACGTGCTGATTGGAGGCTCCTATAATGAGGACCTGATCGCAGTCAAAACACTAAAATTAAATCAAAGTTGTCATAAGGTCCGTGTCTAAATTTCTGTAAAAACTTTACTCTAAAATTGAATATACAATTGCAACTACCAAACCATCTTATCGGAAGCTGACAACGCTGACTGTAGGAACGCTTTTGATTTTATATAACGAGTCCTGTTTACTTGATTGATTTTAATTTCTATCCATTGAAATTTCAACAAGTTCAAGATTAATAATTAATACTGTGAAGTTGAAAACCGAAAAAATTGCGATAAACATCAAACACTGAGAGATGCTGAGGAATCGAACTGAGAGATTCCGAAGTATGCATTTGCTTAAACTGCTTCTAGTGTCTCTAACGATTGCTTTTACATACGGAGACCCTCGAATGACAACACCTGTCTTCCAAGCCGTTAACTTTGCCAGTGAAATAAGAGGTCGACGCCTTAATGGAAGTGTTATTAGAGAAATACAGGTGGATTCAGAGAGTTCTTGTCGACTACACTGTGTTAAAGAAAGCTCATGTGTGTCATACAACTTTGGATCCACAATAAACAACAAGAAGTTTAAATGTCAACTAAGCGACTCCGATCGCTTTACTAGTTTTAAGAATTTCACCGAAGACAACAAATTTCTCTACCGAGGAGTGAAGGTAAGAAACTTTATATCTAGTTTTTCTAGAATGAAGTAGGTAAGCATTATATACCCTGTAGAATAAGCTTTTTAAGATGTATCCTGACGTGATGTGTAAATTTTTGAGTGTTTCAGGGTTCTAAACATCTAAATTTCCTCACTTTTAATGAAACAAAGACTGTGTAACCAACTGTGTTACTAAAACCACATATCTTTGACGTTCTTGTCTTATATTTGAAGAGGAGGGTTCGTTCGAATATCATTCTGAAAATAATTGGAAAGAGAATGGGAAAAAGGGACGAAAATTCTTACAAAGTTCTTAACATTTCGTCGATCTCGTAAGATCAAGTTCGATTTATCCTTTTCATTTTTGATAGGAAGTTTCGACTTGATTCTATTAATGTGAGAGATAAACATCTGCAGCATACAAAGAATGTTTTCAATTGTTTGAATTTCTGTAAAATGTATTCATTTCTTGGGAAACAGTCCACATGCATGCTTTATGAGTAAGCTTATTATGACTGGAAAACATTTCATCTGTGAGGCCATTAAAATTTAAAATTTCATCGTATAATCCATTTGGTATCGTGACTACGACTAATTTTGCTAAAGAAAGAGCCTGATGTGACAAATGCGCATGATTTTTTTTTAACGAAATGTTTTAACTGAAATGTTCCTTGAATTCTTCTTTTTCCTTCACTACCCCACCTCTTTCTAAGAAAAAATACTTGTGGAGGATCTTTAAAACATAAAAATCGTATCAATAAATAAAGGGTTGCTCGGAATTCGAAGAACCCAAGTTTCTGTAAATTATTAGAAAATCGTTCCTAACACTCGTTATTTTGTTGTCCCTTTCTTTATTCACTCTTACTACTCAAGTTATTACAACGGTGACTAGCTCCGATCTCTCAAGGAAAGTGTGAGTCACCGCTTATAAAGGTGACACTTACTGAGCTGTCAATCTCTCTCCTTCGTCATGCTTACACACTTAGCGAATCACGCTAAGCTACGCAGAGCGGAGTTCGCATACTAAGTAGATACCTTCGCGATGTTTACGTTTTACGAAATGTCTTTCTTACTTAAATTTCTTAGTCTTACGGTCAAGTTTGGGCAAAACAAAAACAAGGTTGACAATATAAAAATTATAATAAACTTAGTAACAACTAAAATCATACTTAAAAAGATATCGTAAGAGAAAATAGTCTTTGAAGGCTGTTGCATAACAGCAGAATAAAGACAAAATTCGGAGAAGAAAGGGCGTACCCAAGGTACCGCCCCTAAACGAGCTACGTGCTAGCCGCATAAGTTATCTAATTACAAATTCAGTGCGGAAGATGAAAAGAACTACATGTTTACACTTTAAGTCACGTCTAAGAAAAAGAGGTGTCGAACGTGCTTAATTAAAAACTGAAAACTATTTTCCTGATTGAAAATACAACGTGGATTTAGCCTAAAAACGAGATTATTAAATGGATGAAAGTATAAAGAAGGGTTATTTCCAGGAAATTCCTGTACAGGATCAATTTTTTATAAAGTAGAGTCATTTTCTTAGCAATCAATCATCTTTTAGCAACATAATAGAAATATACTGATATCTAGTCGCAAACCGCAGTTTACGCAAAAACAGCTTTCTCCATGTCAAGTTCACGATCATAATATGGAAAAGGCAATCAAACACGCTTGGAAATTTTGACCTCAAATTGGGCCAAGGAAATGTCCACTAGATTCCAGTCCTTTTAAGGCCAAATTTCGCTCGGCCATTTTCATGGCGACTCAGAGGGACCCGGGGAGTCATCTATTTTGCCTGTTTGCGGGAGACTTGTAATGAAAACAAACGTTTGGCGCTAAAAAATAAAATCTATTCCTTTCAAGCTTTAGTTTGATATCTGATTCATCGACTTTGTCCATATTTCTTGATTTTTGCATTCGTAGTGAACACAGGGCTCCAAAGAACGATCGCAGTTACAAATATAAGTCTTCAGTCGACTTCAAAAACGGAGGTAAATAATGTTAAAGCACTCGTTTTGCTCAAAAAGGAAACGGTAGAACCACAGAAGAGATATTGATCGTTTATAATTTCGAGTTGAGCGGTCATAATTTTGCTTTTATATGTGTAAAAATTTGTAACAAAAATACTCAATTTTAATTGAAAGGAAATAGCCTGTGGCCCATGACCGTGGCGATCGGGCAATGGGAAGTAAGAAGAGAAGAACCCCTCGGAGATCGCTTGCATTTTCGCAGAAGAAACGATTCCCTGTAGCTGAACTAGCTAGAGAAAGGGCTACCCTTCGAAAAGAGTATCTGTCAAAGAGTAAAGAGCTCTCTGCTCTGAGAAAAAAGTTAGAGCGCCTACAAAAAAATGGCGAGAAAATACGAGAATGTGTGGATCAGCTTGAGCTTGAGGTGACCCCGCCAACTCAAAGCCGTGCGACAGCATTTGAAATCTTGCAAAACACTTCTACAAGTAGGAAAAAAAGCCCAACTGAACTCACTGGAGAGGGTAAATTAAATTTACCGAGACGAAGTGCCCACAGAAGGCAATTAGAGACCCTGATTGCTGCTTCAGAGGTGAACGGAGGTTCCGTGGAAGATAGAACTCCTGCTCTTGATGGAATGTTTTCCACTGTTCTCAAATATGGCAAAATGGCTGATATTTCTAAATATTTCGATTCTTCTAAAAAGCTTAAAAGGGCAGCTGCGATGAAAATAAATGCTCAAGCGAAGGAGTACGAGGAAAGCAATGAAAATTTAATCCGTTCCTTATCTCTACTGTATGCAGGGGGGATCATTGGAAAAGTAAAATACCAGCAGGGGAGATCAGCAATGGTTATGAGACATACTGGGAAAAGAACCATGAAAGGTTATCTTTCAAGGGAGAGAATCAAATTTGGCTTTGGAGTTCCCATTCCAAGGCCACTTGCTTACAGTGCTCTCATGCACAAAATTGAAGAAATCAATGTTGGAGAGACCTTGTCAGTGAGAGAAACACTGTGCACTACCTTACCCAGGGATCAACGAGTTGATGGGGTCTACAGAGACTTAGAGACAATGCTAATTATGCTTAGTCAATTTTACTTTGAAACAAATGAATTTAGAAAGGACAATGACAAACTTAATTGGTTTGGTCACAAAGAAGGATCCTTTAAAGTGGCAATTGGGGGGGATGGAGCACCCTTTGGGAAGTGGGATGACTCAATGTCCTGGTTGGTGAGTTTCTTAAATGTTGGGCCAAGAGTGGCTAGCCCAAATGACAATTTTCTTTTATTTGGTGCCAACTGCAAAGAAGACCACCCATGTGTAGAGCAATTTACTCTGCAATTAACCTCCAAGATTGAAGCAATTGAGAAGAAAACATATACAGTGTCAGAGAAGCAAGTAACCTTCACTTTTGAACTGGTTCCCTCAGACATGAAATTTCTGGCTTTCCTTAATGGGGAACTTAACAATGCTGCCACTTATTTTTCCAGCTTTGCAAATGTATCAAGAGAGGACTGTGTTACACTGAATGGAAAATTTGGGCTAATGAATGATTGCAAGTGGAAACCATGGCCATACAAAGATAGATTAAACATTGCCAAACAGGTAGAAAGTTTTAAGGCAAAGCTTCCCTCCAGCCTTGCAGCCTCAACAAAAAGAACAAAAATCACCAAATTTATTGCCAGTAATAAATCAAGGCAGGAATTTCAGCCACTGATTGGAAAGTTGTGTGATAAAGAGGTTGTAGAGCCCCTTCACCTTAAAAACAATGGGGTACAGCATTTACACACAATGCTATTAAACCTAGCAATTTCTTCAAGTAACCTCCCACGGAAGATCTCCAGCCTATCAGACCTATCCCCAGCATGTGCAATGTCAAGGTACATGAAGGCACTAGAGTGTGATGTAAAAGCTGGACGTTTGAAAAAGCAGCTAGGAAAGTGGATGCTGGAAGATAGGTCTAAGGACAAAGACTTTTCTTACAGACTGACTGGAAAGGACTCAAGACTTATTTTGCATGGGTTTATGTACCTTGTGAATGCCATCAGGGGGGATTCAGATGATCCCAAATTGCTTATGAAACTTTTGTTCATTGTTTTCATTGCAATGAAGCTCAGAGATTGTGCCTCCATTTTTTCAATGTACCACATTACTCAGCCAGCCATTGATGAACTCAAGGTCTTAGCTCGGGATTACTTCACAGCAGTCACACTCTTCACAGGCACTGTATCAGGGACAGTTTGGAGCATTGGACATTTGGTCCCAGTTCACACCCAGTGGGTATTTGAGAAATATGAAACTGGATTAGGAGTGAACACCATGCAAGGGAGGGAAGCCAAGCATGTTCAAATTGCCAGCTATGCAAGAAACAGCCTTTATAAAGACCGCTGGAATCAGGTATTCAGGCATGATTACATCAGTAAACTTTGGCTCCCTCTCCGCTAGCCATCTCTCTTGACATATCATCAATCAAGAGACAGCCTCATCCCCAATCGCATTACCACAGATGCACAACACTTTTGCTCCTGTGGGTTTTCCAAAGGTGAACACGACGACAAATGTTTCTTTTGTGGTCATAAATTCATGGATGAGATCAAGAAGTCTGTTGCGGAGGGAAAGCCTACTAGAGAGTGTTTGAAGTACTTGTCTTAACTTGGTCGTGGCTTAGTCTTACAAGCCTAGTGGCCCATGACTGCCAGAGCTTATCCCAGTTTCCGTAGCATGAAGCAACTATTGTCAGGTTTCCTGACAGTTTGCTATACATACATACATACATACATACATACATACATACACACACACACACACACACACACACACACACACACACACACACACACACACACACACACACACACACATACATACACATACACATACACACACACACACACACACACACACACACACACACACATACACACACACACACACACACACACACACACACACACACACACACACACACACACACACACACACACACACACACACACACATACATACATACATACATACATACATTTTATTGATGCTCCCTAGAAAGGGTTTTTTTTCAGCTAAACACAATACAATTACAAATACAGATTTAAATTTAAATTAATTAAGAATATAAATGTAATTATAACTATAATAAATGTCAAAAATATTCTAAATGTAACGAATATTCTAAATGTACAGTGTTGTTAGTAAATCTGCTTAATAGTTTCCTTAAGAGAATAATTTTTATTGTTAGGGGTCTGCCAGAGACTGTTCCCCTTTTCTATATTTTAATTCCACTGAGGGCATTGCAACAATAACATATAAGACAATTAATGTACCCACAATTGTGTTAGAAGTGTATAAAATCATAAATATAACATCTATTACATATATGTTGTTGTCTCGACTCGATTACAATTTAAGAATGTACCACTGCATCCAATCAATACTGGAAAAACAAACTGCTCCTGTTTCAATGCTGAATGATGCCAAATGCATTCCAGTACCCGTAATGGAAATTAAATTGTAAAATTTCCTCTTTAAACTTGTATCTCATAATTCCATTCTTCCTGTCGTCAACAATAAGTTTTACCACCCCTTTTCCAGCTCCTAGCTCCTTTGTAAATGCTTCGCAGTCCTCAAATTTATTGAACAAAGCACACAGTCTTCTCATATTTGTGAATGTTATTGTCACTGAACCGGGTTTCTCCGAAACATCTACACCATAACTTGTGCGATTTACGATCCCTTTGTTTAATAGACTGAACACTTCCTGCGGCATCGGAACATCGAAACAGATCACCCAAGGATGGATTTTACTCATCCGTGGAGTAAGGCGTGTATTAATTCCATTCTTAGCTATTATCATTGTTCGTTCCAACATTGGATATACATGACTGATTTCATGCTCGTGTCGATAGCGAAGGGGACCATATTTTCCTTTCACAACAGCTTCGGCCAGTTTCTAGTGCGTTAAATGTCTCATCTAGATCTTTCAACTTGTGAACATTTGAAATCTGGCGTTCGAATTTCGATTTCTGCCGCTTTAATGCTCCTTTGATCCCATTAAAAAGTTCTTCTTGGTCAGGCTCACTTTGGGACGCCATTTTGATTTGTTTGTGTACATGGGCCCAGACCCTGCGCGGCCGAAAGAGTTTGGCCCAATTTGAGGTCAAAATTTCCAAGCGTGAAACTCTACCTGTAAGATAAGACCGCCGAAAGGAATAAGAAACGATCAACTGCTTACTTCAATGTTTGCTGAATGGCTTACGCAGATATATTATTTCCATTTATTTTCACGCTCAAATAAGTCAAAAATCACCTTTAATGAAAATTCTTACCAGACGCCACTTTCGTCTTTTAACAAAATTAAACCTAATACGTTTTTCGGCTTTGATTACTAGAGTATAATTACGTTCGCTTCAGGTTCGAGGCGATCACAACGCTAACAATCCACGTCAAAATTAGTTGAAAAATCATTTTGAAGAGTTCAGAGTCTATTTATGTGCAGAGTAACACTCCAGTTTCTACCATACCCTAAATCATTCAAAAGACCCCCTCCCACTTAACAAGGACTAAAGGGATTAGATTGAAGTAATAAGGGCTAGGGGTCGGAGGAGTCAATGTGTCAACAATACTGTCGCCAATTGTAGGTTTTTAGTACTGTTAAAGGTTGTAAGACTTGAAATCGACATGTAAGTTGGCAAGGATTTGTTCTGCCTGTGGACTATTCGCCAGTACTTCTAACTTGTCAAAATTGAAGTGCAGATTCCATTTTTTAGTCCGTGCTTCTAGCTCATCGACGTTCTACGTTTTCCAGTTCCTTTCATATCTTAGTGTCATCAGCGGACACAAACTTATTAGTGTTGGAGATGTTTGATGATATTTCATTGACGCATATTAAGAAGAGAATAAGAACAGGGATCGTGCCACGGAGAACACCGGATAACACTCGGGTCTAGGAAGAGTAAGTGCCACGCACCACGACACGTTTTGGGCACCCAAAGAGATTTCTACACCAACCGAGGTCTATCTATTCCATGCCATTTTAGCTAAGGCAGCAATCGTCCTTGGGGTACGAAATCGAATGTTTTCGGAAGGTCTAAAAAGGACATCCGTTGGTCTTGATTTGTGTCGGTCAGTCGTGAAAACAAGAAATATATTTAGTTATCTTATTCAACGAATTGTCTGCTATAAATGCACTGCGGGTGCAATTCATAACAAGCCAAAAAGTACTCAGCGAAAATATTAAGTTTGCCTGGTTGATTTAACTTTACTTCAGAAAAAATTATGGCGATATGTAGGTGCTTGTAAACAATTTGAGCCTCGCGGTCTAAAGCTGTTCTACTGATATTTTTCCCTCTCTTGCGACAGAGAAGTGATCCCCAGTTTCTTTTAAGCCCACCGGTGGTCAGATTTAAGAACAATTCAATGATACTCGATCGTCCTTATCTGAAAAGACTAGAACGTCTAACTATTTGGAGATATCAGAGCAAGGGTAACGCATTGCCCTCAGTTATTTTAAATCCCTGAGGGTTAGTCTGGTCAAGGAACTTAATGTTGGTCTGTCAGGAAGCTTATGATCTGATTAAATCTGAGAATATGAAACACGTGCAATTTTAAAAGTCTATTAATCAATTTATAGGATACCTTGATTTTAATATAAGTAATCAGGTGCTTTTGTATTGACAGAGCGATTGTGAAGTCACCTCTTCCCTTTGTGCAGAAAACGAGATTTGTGTTCCCAACTATAAAGACAACACTGCGGAATGTAAATGTCGTTATGCTTCTGGATATACAGGAAAACCATGCAGTGAGTATCATGTCTAACGCTTTCACTAGTTTGCCACTTTATATTGACTGAGTGCGTGCGTGAAGTCTTAAGTATCCCAATTTGGATCAAGCAAAATGACTCAGTACAGCTTATCCACCCTGATCCATTAATGAATTTGAGCTCTATTAATTCTCTCTTTTTCTTCTAAAAGCAGAAGCAAAAAGCTGCACCCAACTACTAAAAGATGGTTTCACTTCCAATGGCGTGTACACCATTAATCCAGATGGTGGTAAACCAATACAAGTGTTGTGTGACATGACCACGGACGGTGGAGGTTGGACCGTCTTCCAGAGACGTATGGACGGCTCCGTTGACTTCTATCGCGACTGGAAACCTTACAAAGAGGGGTTCGGAAGTTTAAGCGGCGAGTTCTGGCTCGGAAACGACAATCTTCACCGTTTGACGAATGCTAATGACGTCATGTTGAGAGTTGACTTGGAGGACTTTAAGGGGAGCATCACATTCGCTGAGTACAATACATTTAAGGTGGCACACGAAGCCGATAATTACAGACTCACTATCGAAGAATACAATGGCACAGCGGGAGATTCCTTCACGTATCATAGGTAACATAAATAGTTAAGTAAATACATTGGTGTTGAATGTGTTGGGTGGAATGTGTTTAGACAAAATTATAGCACCTATGGTCAAAACTTTGTCATCTAACATTAAGGACAGCCAACACGCACTTGAAATTTTTCGTGGCTTTAATTTCCCTGGCAAAAAAAAACTTATTTTCACTGAGGATATTACTATACCTACGTCTCGTGTTTCTCCCTACACTTCTTTCGTGCTCTAGCCGCTTCCTGCGTGCTTTATAACAGAACAGAGCACAGTCAAGGCTTCTCTATTTGTTAACTATTGTCCCCTATCCTAAACTGCTGTATTATATTCTATCCTATTCTATTCTACTCTATGATATTGTATTACAAATCTACATCTTTATCTCTGTCTCCCTAGCGTCTCTTAATTCTTTCTTTAAAGCAATTTGTCAAAGTGGTACCCTTAATTAAAATCCGTTTTCTAAGTTTTACGGAAAAATCTCTTTCCTCAACGGCTAAACAGAAATGAAAGAAGGCCACAGAAGTTTTTTTCTTATTCCAGCGATATGCAGTTTTCCACGAAAGATCAAGATAATGATCTAACGGATATAAGCTGTGCCCAACACTTCAAAGGGGCCTGGTGGTACAACGGATGCCATGCGTCCAATCTAAACGGATTGTATTTGAATGGCCAACATGCCTCTTATGCTGATGGAGTCAACTGGGCCACGTTAAGAGGCCATCACTACTCACTAAAACGCACTGAGATGAAAGTAAAAACCAAGGGATAAGATGGTTTCTGTCGTGGGGTGACAAAACATTATCTCAAAGTGCCTATGACACGAAATTTTTTTGTGTAAATACTTAGCTTATCATATGTGCAAACCAATTCTGATAGAAGAAAAATTTCAAAAAACTTGAAACTCGGTTTTTTTCGGGCCCTAAAGTGCTCTTTTTTTGTCTTAAAAGTGTTCTGTGGACTGGTAACGAATTAGCAGGTGATGACGTAGAAAACTGTGAAAACTCTCAGTTGACACTTACAAATCTCTCACATCTCTAGTAATTTTACATCAGTCAGTGTTGAAATACTCTTGAAATACTCTTGAAATAGTGTCCGATAGAGATGTAAAACTACCTTCAGAAAGCTCTACCGAGAGTCGTGATACATCGTACTCAAGCAGTACGGAAGAAATGGAAGTTGCGAGTGCGGTTCAGCCCTACAAAGGAGAACCGCGTGCATCAAATGAAGATTTCGACGAAGACTGAGGAAGACGGTTTCTCGCCTGCGGTGTTTCGGTCAAGATTAGAAAAAACAACTCCCGTCACTGAATGTTTAGTTTTCTGCGTTTGTGTTTTTTTTCCATGGCGAAATCTGTGTTAAGAATAGGTAGCTGTGTTCGTTTCTGTTGCCATAACATTTTATTCCGCACCTTAGGCGGCGAAGGTTACCCCCGGTCAGTGCCCTAGAGTTTCACTGCTGTAGAGAGATTTCCTTAGTAAGCCAAACTTTTGACGAAAGAATCAGATGTATCAGGAGGCACGATGATTTTTCACCGAGAAGTCACTGCAAATTGCTCCTCAGTTTCCTCAGAGATTGCAAAGACAAAGGCTATCGTCGAGCTGAATTCATTGGTTATCTTCTCTTGATTTGACCAGTGACATGTGTTCGTAACAGGCGCCTTCGGAGCATAAGGCCGACGACATTGAAGAGTAAAATCGCCTCGATTTTGACGGTCAAAACGCGTCCATTTTGGCCATACAGCTATATCCTTTGGAAAGCAGTGTATAGAAATATTCGGCATTTGTGTATTAGTCTTGTAGCTAACATCATTTGGGGCCCCGGCCACCCAATCTGTTCGTCCTTTCTTTTAGACTTCTCCTTTCTCCACCATGATTGTCGACGTGTCTTCACAGTTTTCTACGTCATAGCTATGTTACACTTTTTGGCCGCCAAATTGTACTTTCGATGCACAAAAAAATGGTCAAAGAGAACTCACTAAGCGCTAAGGTCAGTTATTTCTAATTTTAAATACAACAAACAACCAGAAAATGCGGGGGAAAATGTGTCTTAGGCACTTAAAGTAAGACGACATCAAAGAAACTTTTTTTTCATATCTTCAATAGTGTTTCGGCCGCGACGAAAATTAGATACGTCATAGCTACTTAATTAGGTTAATCACCGTTAATAACATTAGTACTGCAAGCTTCCTCCCGAAGTCGACATCTGAGGCCATCGGGTATGTAAAATCTGTGGTTCGTTTTCTTTGAACTTTGTTCATATAACCTGATAAACTGTTTGTAATCATAGGTTTCGAAAGACTCATCAATAAACAATAGAAAGTCCTTTGAAACGTGGCTATTTTATACTGTTAACGCTTCGGTCGAGGAAACAAATAGCATCAACCCAGAGCAACTTATAGCTAAAGCAAAGCATATCGTTAGAAGCAGCGATAATATGTTCATTTCTCGTCAATGATTTCCGTAGTTAGTATGAGCTTTTTTATGGTGAACCTGGCCCCGGTTGTTGGAAGGGTGGATAACACTACTGCACTGGATAAGTCTCTATCCGGTGGATACCGCAACGCGTTTTAGCGATTTATCCATTAGATCGCGTTATCCCCCCTGTGAATAACTAAACTGGTCTATTCGTGGTTTATCTCAAGGGCTTGTCCATGTCACCATTATTAGATTAACCTTTAGTTTGTTCGTATTTTCATATTTGCAAATGCTCATTTCCTTGGGCGGGCGCCGATGTGGGTTTGAGTGCGGCGTTTGCAAGTTTCCCTTGTGAGCTTCTAGTTACCTTCAGCTGTACTTCGTATTCGTTTTTCTCCGGGGACCTTTATTCGTGGATTTACTTATTTCGTTTATTCATTAAGTGTTTGTCACCGAATTAGATTTTTAAACAAAGCATCAAGTTGTGGTTAGGCCAAGTCTTAAGGAACAAGACCTTAAATGGGAGAGTTTTTATAGATAGAGACAACGAAGATAGGCAGGAAGCAGACATTAAATTCGAATTTAGCTGAATCTTCAGTGACAACTTGGGGGGGAGGGTCTAGGGACTCCACACCTCCCCTCCCCCCCCCCCTCATCCCTAAACCCGTGAGTAAGTTTACTACCTGTCTTTAACCAAAATTCTTTTAACGACGGGATTACACATTACTACTACTCAACTAGAAGTATGAAGAACTTTAATTTCTTAAAGTATGTGCTAAACTTTTTAGGGCTCCAGTTCAAACAATCCTCGGTGTTCTCTGAATCAAAGTTGTCACCCTCCCAATAAAAATTCTTGGATCCACTTTGTATCCGTTTAAGCCCACACGATGTTTGTTTACCATTGGAGCGGAGATCAGCTCCGCCTCCCTACTCGCCAGCCCTCCCCTAAGAGTGTATTTTGATTTTGCTTTAATCTCGTTTACTTTAACTGACGAAAGCTATATGTCTACACTCTTGATACAAAATTGTAAATAAACTTGAAATACAACCTTCAGAGTTGAAAACTAAATTTACTATCACTAGTAAACCGTGATGATTGTAACATGGAATCTCGTAGGAGTAAAAAAAGGTATTATATGAAAATAGTCCTTAAGTCTTTTATCTTTTTCGCTTCTCAGTAATTGGCCGAAGATTTGAAATGTCCTCCAACATATCCTTTCTTGTCGTTTTATCATCTTCGAACAACCTGGATTTTAATCCGGCCAGGCATCTCTACATAGTACTTTCTTTTGTTAATTATCGTTTTGCATCACTGGCTGATCGAAATAACTAAGCTGCATAAATAAGACCTAATTAGTGAGAACAACATAAACGGATCCCGAGAAAAATAATTCAGTCAATGCCTAGCACTAACTTCTTTCGTAAATTTTTGTTGAGGAAGTCGATGTTACTGGAGGCAACGAAACGTTTACGGGAACATTAGAGTCATAGCCTTCGAGCTGCGCGCCCTAATTATTAGCGCTGCAGGAAGCGCGTTTCTCCGCCCGCAGGAAGATTTGAGACGAGTCGGGAGAGGTTTGCTAGGGGTCTGAAACTAATAGTTAGTGCAAGATCCTCTCGCTGACTCGCATTGCTCAAGGGCTCATACTTTCCCGCAGGCGACGAAACGCTCTTTTAATGAGGATCTGATAGCAGGCTGTTGGAGTCAAAGCTCTAAAATTATATCAAAGTTTGATTTTTCTTTAAATCAAAGTTGTCGCAATGTCCGTATTTCTGAATTTCCGTAAAAACCCTACTCTTTGAAGTCTTTAATAAACCATAACATAAAGGATACATATCCTATGTTACATAACCGAGAAACTGTGTAATGATAATTACACCCTAAGCGATGTTAATTATATTGCTGGGGTTTAGGCTTCGGCAGAATTTCATTTAACGGATGATGGCTTAGGGCCCTAGCTCCATTAAATAATTTATTATCCTGTATATGCTTCCTACTCTGAAATTCACTAAATACAATTGCAAAAAAATACAATAAAAACACTAAAACTAAAAACATACAATTGTAACAACCAAAACATATCATTGGAAGATGCCAACGCCAGCTGTAGGAATGCTTTCGATTTCACACAGTGACTCTACAATAACGAGTTTTGTTTACTTGATTGTTTTTATTTTCTATCCATTGAAACGTCAACAAGGTGAAGATTAATAATTAATACCGTGAAGTTGAAAACCAAAAACTTGGGATAAACAAAAAAAACTGAAAGATGCCGAGGCATGCAAGTGAAAGATTCCGAAGTATGTATCTGCTTCAACTCCTTCTAGGGTCTCTAACGGTTGCTTTTACAAACGGAGACCCTCGAATGATGACATCCGTCTTCCAAGCCGTTAACTTTGCCAGAGAAATAAGAGGTCGACGCCTCAATGGAAGTGTTATTAGAGAAATACAGGTGAATTCAGAGAGTTCTTGTCGACTTCATTGCGTCAAAGAAGTTTCATGTGTGTCATACAACTTTGGATCCACAATAAACAACAACAACAAGTTTAAATGTCAACTAAGCGACTCCGATCGCTTTGCTAGCTTCAAGAATTTCACCGAAGACAACAAATTCCTCTACCGAGGAGTGAAGGTAAGAAACTTTAGATCTAGTTTTTCTAGAATGAAGCAGGTAAGCAAATAGAACAAACTCTTTAAAAGAGTATGCTGACATGATGTGTAAACTTTTGAGTGTTTCAGGGTTCTTAATAACTTCGGATAAAAGACAAAACTTAAACGTCCTCGCTTTTAATGACGGAAAAGATATGATGTAACGCGTAAAACTAAGACAGTGTACCAACCTTGTTATTAAAACCATATATCCTTCATGTTCTCGTCTCTAAGTGAAAGAAATAGATTCGTTGGAATATATTTCATTATTCCATAAATTCCATGTAAATTTCCTTTATATTAAAATATTTCGTCGAACTCGTAAGTTCAAGCACGACTTATCTTTTTCATTTTTGATAAGAAATGTCAACTTGATTCTATGAAAGATAAACATCTGCAGCAGAGTTTCTTCATTTCATAGAAAACAGTCACATGGGTTTTTTATCAGCAAGTTTGTTATAAAAAGATTGTTTTTCTGTGAGGCCATTAAAGTTTTATTGTATAATCCATTTCCAATACTGAATATGACTTTAATTTTTTTAAAGAAAGATTTCTCTTTAACGACACTGATGTGACAAATATACGCGTGATTTCATTAAAGAAAAGTTTTAACTAAATTGTTCCTTGAATTCATCCTTCACTACCCTACCTCTTTCTGTAAAAAAAATACTCATGGGGGAACTTTAACACAAAAAAATCGTGATAAATAAAATGAAATAAATAAAGGTTTGTTTTGATTATGAAGCCATGTAAACTAGTTCTTTCTTGAAGGATTCAAGACCTGTCGTCTGAACTAGATCTTCCGTTCAATCCCTTACAGTACGTGAGAATTATGAGTTGTTTTGGGGACAAAAATTTCAAAATAAAAGAGTACTTTATCGGTGAACTTGTTGGCAAATAAGGAAACAGATCATAAAAAATTTGAAGTAATTCTGTGAATCAAACGCAACAAGACAAAAACTAATGATTTATTCTAAAAAAGGAAGAAACAGAGGTTGGGCCAATAACGTTCCACCTGAGGAAAAAATAAGGATTAAGATTATCTATGTACTATCTATTTGTTTATATATGATACAAAAACATAAGTAAAAGTAATTGAGAGACTACGTTAAAGAGACGCCTGATGGTCTTAAGGTGTTCTACTGACACTATTTTTCCCCCTCTTGCGACAGAGAAGTGATCCCCAATTTCTTTAAAGCCCACCGGTTGGCAGATTTCAGAACAATTCAGTGATACTCGATCGTCCTTATCCGAGAAGACTAGAGAACATCTAGCCATTAGGAGATATCATAGCAAAAGTAGCATATTACCCTCAGTTATTTTAAAACCCTGAGTGTTCGCCGCTGTGGTATCTTATGATCTAATTCAATCTGAGAATATGAAACCCGTGGAATTTTAAAGGTCTACCAATTAATCAATTTATAGGAAACCTATATTATGATAAAAGTAATTAGGCGTTTTTGGTGTTTACAGAGTGATTGTGAGGTCAGCTCTTCCCTTTGTGCAGAAAACGAGATCTGTGTTCCCAACTATAAAGACAACACTGCAGAATGCAAATGTCGTGATCCTTCTAGATATACTGGAGAACCATGCGGTGAGTATCATGTCTAACGCTTTCACTAGTTTGCCACTTTATATCGACTGAGTGCGTGCGTGAGATCTTATATTGTATCCTTATTTAGATCAAATAAAATGACTCAGTACAGCTTAGTCACTCTGGTCAAATGATGAATTTGAGCTCTATGAATTCTTTATTTTTCCTATAAAAAACAGAAGCAAAAAGCTGCGCCCAACTACTTAAAGATGGTTTCACTTCCAATGGCGTGTACACCATCAATCCAGATGGCGGTAAACCAATACAAGTGTTGTGTGACATGACCACGGACGGTGGAGGCTGGACCGTCTTCCAGAGACGTATGGACGGCTCCGTTGACTTCTATCGTGACTGGAAACCTTACAAAGAGGGGTTCGGAAGTTTGAGCGGCGAGTTCTGGCTCGGAAACGACAATCTTCACCGTTTGACGAATGCTAATGACGTCATGTTGAGAGTTGACTTGGAGGACTTTGAGGGGAGCATCACATTCGCTGAGTACAATACATTTAAGGTGGCACACGAAGCCGATAATTACAGACTCACTATCGAAGAATACAATGGCACAGCGGGAGATTCCTTCACGTATCATAGGTAACATAAATAGTTAAGTAAATACATTGGTGTTGAATGTGTTGGGTTGAATGTATTTAGACAAAATTATAGCACCTATGGTCAAAACTTTGTCATCTAACATTAAGGACAGCCAACACGCACTTGAAATTTTTCGTGGCTTTAATTTCCCTGGCAAAAAAAACTTATTTTCACTGAGGATATTATTATGTTCTATCCTATTGTCCCCTATCCTAAACTACTGTATTCTATTCTATCCTATTCTATTCCACTCTATGATATTGTATTATAAATCTACCTCTTTATCTGTCTCCCTCGAGTCTCTTTATTCTTTCTTTAAAGCAATTTGTCAAAGAAGTACCCTTAATTAGAATTCGTTTTCTAATTTTTACGAGAAAATCTCTTTCCTCAATGGCTAAACAGAAATGAAAGAAGGCAACATAAGTTTTATTCTTATTCCAGCCAAATGCAGTTTTCCACGAAAGATCAAGATAGTGATCTATCTAATGCAAGCTGTGCCCAACTCTATAAAGGGGCCTGGTGGTACAACGAATGCCATTGGTCCAATCTAAACGGATTATATTTGAATGGCCAACATTCTGCTGAAGGAGTCAACTGGATTACTTTCCGAGACCATCACTACTCACTAAAACGCACTGAGATGAAAGTAAAAACCAAGGGATAAGATGGTTTCTATCGTGGGGTGACACTTCCTTAAAGTGCCTATGACACGAAATTTTGTTTGCGTAAATACTTAGCTTATCATATGTGCAAACCAATTCTGATAGAAGAAAAATTTCAAAAAACTTAAAACTCGGTTTTTTCGGGCCCTAAAGTGCTCTTTTTTTGTCTTAAAAGTGTCCTATGGACTGGTAACGAATTAGCAGGTGATGACGTAGAAAACTGTGAAAACTCTCAGTTGACACTTACAAACCTCTCACATCTCTAGTAATTTTACATCAGTCAGTGTTGAAATACTCTTGAAATACTCTTGAAATACTCTTGAAATACTCTTGAAATACTCTTGAAATACTCTTGAAATAGTGTCCGATAGAGATGTAAAACTACCTTCAGAAAGCTCTACCGAGAGTCGTGATACATCGTACTCAAGCAGTACGGAAGAAATGGAAGTTGCGAGTGCGGTTCAGCCCTACAAAGGAGAACCGCGCGCATCAAATAAAGATTTCGACGAAGGCTGAGAAAGACGGTTTCTCGCCTGCGGTGTCTCGGTCAAGATTAGAACAAAAAATTCTCGTCACTGAATGTTTAGTTTTCTGCGTTTGTGTTTTGTTTTCCGTGGCGAAGTCTGTGTTAAGAATGGGTAGCTGTGTTCGTTTCTGTTGCCATAACATTTCATTCCGCAACTAAGGCGGCGAAGGTTACCCCCGGTCAGTGCCCTAGAGTTTCACTGCTGTAGAGAGATTTCCTTAGAAAGCTAAACTTTTGACGAAAGAATCAGATGTATCAGGAGGCACGATGATTTTTCACCGAGAAGTCACTGCAAGTTGCTCCTCGGTTTCCTCAGAGATTGCAAAGACAGAGGCTATCGTTGAGCCAGTCAAATCGAACGGAAAACGAGTGAGTTTATAGTCACCTGAATCTCAAATACGTCTCTTAATAGAGAAAAACTACTTTAGTTTTAGTGTAGCATTGCCGTATGACCCATTCTGCTCCAAGGAAATAACTGACATTAGTATTATAAATGAATACTTCGTATGCATCGACTTTCACATAGCACTTGAATTCGCTACCATCTAATTCAATAAGATTTGTGTTTCTTTATTTACTGTTGCTACTTTTAGTTTCTTGAGGGCGGGGAGGATTGATGGCTCGTGGGATGGATTTTCGGAGAATACACGGCCCCTTTCGAGCTTGTGTTTATGCCAGTATCCGCCAGAGGTTTCGCACTGTTCACGCAACAGGATATCGGTCAGCTCAGGAAAGGTCTTGAACTCCATTACAAATGATGTAATTCTGTCATTAAAATACGATGAAACTACATCTGGTGGGATTTTTATAAGATAAAAAAAAGCGCAAATGTTGTTATGCGAAAAGACAAGGATTAGGATTGCATCTCAAGAGCGTTAAATAAACAACAATAAGGAGTTCATCATTCTTGGCTTGCGAAATGTCAGCCGAAGAGGATGACGAACAATCGTGTGCGGTGTGGGAACAGGCTCCTTAATCAGCATTCCTTTTAGCTGACATGTCTTCGTAACAGGTGCCTTCGGAGCAGAAGGTCGACGACATTGAAGAGTAAAATCGCCTCGATTTTGATGGTCAAAACGCGTCCATTTTGGCTATACAGCTATATCCTTTGGAAAGCAGTGTATAGAAATATTCGGCATTTGTGTATTAGTCTTGTAGCTAACATCATTTGGGGCACCGGCCACCCAATCTGTTCGTCCTTTCTTTTAGACTTCTCCTTTCTCCACCATGATTGTCGACGTGTCTTCACAGTTTTCTACGTCATAGCTATGTTACACTTTTTGGCCGCCAAATCGTACTTTCAATGCACAAAAAAATATCAAGGAGAACTCACTAAGCGCTAAGGTCGGTTATTTCTAATTTTAAATACAGCTATCAACCAGAAATGCGGGGGAAAATGTGTCATCAAAGAAACTTTTTTTTCATATCTTCAATAGCATCAACCCAGACCGACTTATAGCTAAAGCAAAGCCTATCGTTAGAAGCAGCCATAATATGCTCATTTCTCGTCAATGATTTCCGTAGTTAGTATGAGCTTTTTTATGGTGAACCTGGCCCCGGTTGTTGGAAGGGTGGATAACACTACTGCACTGGATAAGTCTCTATACGGTGGATGCCGCAACGCGTTTTAGCGATTTATCCATTAGATCGCGTTATCCACCCTGTGAATAACTAACCCTGCTCTATTCGTGGTTTATCTCAAGGGCTTGTCCATGTCACCATTATTAGATTAACCTTTAGTTTGTTCGTATTTTCATATTTGCAAATGCTCATTTCCTTGGGCGGGCGCCGATGTGGGTTTGAGTGCAGCGTTTGCAAGTTTCCCTTGTGTGCTTCTAGTTACCTTCAGCTATATTTCGTATTCGTTTTTCTCCGGGGACCTTTATTCGTGGATTTATTTATTCCGTTTATTCATTTAGTGTTTGTCACCGAATTAGATTTTTAAACAAAGTATCTAGTTGTGGATAGGCTTAAACTCACGCCCAAGTATTAAGGAACAAGACCTTAAATGTGAGAGTTTTTATAGATAGAGACAACGAAGATAGGCAGGAAGCAGACATAAAATTCGAATTTAGCTGAATCTTCAGTGACAACTTGGGGGGGGGGGGGTCTAGGGACTCCACATCTCTCTCCTTCCACCCCCCCCCCCCCTCATCCCTAAACCCGTGAGTAAGTTTACTACCTGTCTTTAACCAAAATTCTTTTAACGACGGGATTACACATTACTACTACTCAACTAGAAGTATGAAGAATTTTAATTTCTTAAAGTATGTGTTAAAATTGTTAGGGCTCCAGTTCAAACAATACTCGGTGTTCTCTGAATCAAAGTTGTCACCCTCCCAATAAAAATTCTTGGATCCACTTTGTATTCGTTTAAGCCCACAAGATGTTTGTTTACCATTGGAGCGGAGATCAACTCTGCCTCCCTACTCGCCAGCCCTCCCCTGAGAGTGTATTTTGATTGTGCTTTAATCTCGTTTACTTTAACTGACGAAAGCTGTATGTCTACACTCTTGATACAAAATTGTTGTATAACCAATGTTTAATAAACTTGAAATACGACCTTCAGAGTTGAAAACTAAATTTACTATCACAAGTAAACCGTGATGATTGTAACATGGAATCTCGTAGGAGTAAAAAGAAAGGTATTATATGAAAATAATCCTAAAGTCTTTTATCTTTTTCGCTTCTCAGTAATTGGCCGAAGATTTGAAATGTCCTCCAACATATCCTTTCTTGTCGTTTTATCATCTTCGAACAACCTGGATTTTAATCCGGCCAGAGATCTCTACATAGTACTTTCTTTTGTTAATTATCGTTTTGCATTACTGGCTGATCGAAATAACTAAGCTGCATAAATAAGACCTAATTAGTGAGAACAACATAAACGGATCCCGAGAAAAATAATTCAGTCAATGACTAGCACTAACTTCTTTCGTAAATTTTTGTTGAGGAAGTCGATGTTACTGGAGGCAACGAAACGTTTACGGGAACATTAGAGTCATAGCCTTCGAGCTGCGCGCCCCAATTATTAGCGCTGCAGGAAGCGCGTTTCTCCGCCCGCAGGAAGATTTGAGACAAGTCGGGAGAGGTTTGCTAGGGGTCTGAAACTAATAGTTAGTGCAAGATCCTCTCGCTGACTCGCATTGCTCAAGGGCTCATACTTTCCCGCAGGCGAAGAAACGCTCTTTTAATGAGGATCTGATAGCAGGCTGTTGGAGTCAAAGCTCTAAAATTAAATCAAAGTTTGATTTTTCTTTAAATCAAAGTTGTCGCAATGTCCGCATTTCTGAATTTCCGTAAAAACCCTACTCTTTGAAGTCTTTGAAGTCTTAAATAAACCATAACATAAAGGATACATATCCTATGTTACATAAACGAGAAACTGTGTAACGATAATTACAATAATATGTTATGGCCAAATTAAATTATGTAATCATAACAGGTTGTGTTCAAAAATTAGTCCATTCACAAATGTGTTCATGAAACGTTCTGTGTTAATCTTTGGGCGGAGGCAAACCTTGCGATGTTAATTATATTGCTGGGGTTTAGGCTTCGGCAGAATTTCATTTAACGGATGATGGCTTAGGGCCCTAGCTCCATTAAATAATTTATTATCCTGCAGATGCTTCCTACTCTAAAATTCACTAAATATAATTACAAAAAAATACAATAAAAACACTAAAACTAAAAACATACAATTGTAACAAGCAAAACATATCATTGGAAGATGCCAACGCCAGCTGTAGGAATGCTTTCGATTTCACACAGTGACTCCACAATAACAAGTTTTGTTTACTTGATTGTTTTTATTTTCTATCCATTGAAACGTCAACAAGGTGAAGATTAATAATTAATACCGTGAAGATGAAAACCAAAAACTTGGGATAAACAAAAAAAAACTGAAAGAGGCCGAGGCATGCAAGTGAAAGATTCCGAAGTATGTATCTGCTTCAACTCCTTCTAGGGTCTCTAACGGTTGCTTTTACAAACGGAGACCCTCGAATGATGACACCCGTCTTCCAAGCCGTTAACTTTGCCAGAGAAATAAGAGGTCGACGCCTCAATGGAAGTGTCATCACAGAAATACAGGTGGATTCAGAGAGTTCTTGTCGACTACATTGCGTCAAAGAAATTTCATGTGTGTCATACAACTTTGGATCCACAATAAACAACAACAACAAGTTTTAATGTCAACTAAGCGACTCCGATCGCTTTGCTAGCTTCAAGAATTTCACCGAGGACAATAAATTCCTCTACCGAGGAGTGAAGGTAAGAAACTTTAGATCTAGTTTTTCTAGAATGAAGCAGGTAAGCAAATAGAACAAACTCTTTAAAAGAGTATGCTGACATGATGTGTAAACTTTTGAGTGTTTCAGGGTTCTTAATAACTTCGGATTAAAGACAAAACTTAAACGTCCTCACTTTTAATGACGGAAAAGATATGATGTAACGCGTAAAACTAAGACAGTGTAACCAACCTTGTTATTAAAACCATATATCCTTCATGTTCTCGTCTCTAAGTGAAAGAAATAGATTCGTTCGAATATATTTCTGGAAACAATTGGAAAGAGAATGAGAAACGGAACAAAATTCCATGTAAAGTTCCTTCATATTAAAATATTTCGTCGAACTCGTAAGTTCAAGCACGACTTATCTTTTTCATTTTTGATAAGAAATGTCAACTTGATTCTATGAGAAATAAACATCTGCAGTAGAGTTTCTTCATTTCATAGACAACAGTCGTCATGGATTTTTTTATCAGCAAGTTTGTTATGAAAAGATTGTTTTTCTGTGAGGCCATTAAAGTTTTATTGTATAATCCATTTCCAATACTTAATATGACTTTAATTTTTTTAAAGAAAGATTTCTCTTTGACGACACTGATGTGACAAATATACGCGTGATTTCATTAAAGAAAAGTTTTAACTAAAATGTTCCTTGAATTCTTCCTTCACCACCCCGCCTCTTTCTATAAAAAAAATACTTATGGGAGAACTTTAACACAAAAAAATCGTGATAAATAAAATGAAATAAATAAAGGTTTGTTTTGATTATGTAGCCATGTATACTAGTTGAAGGACCTGTCGTCTAAACTAAATCTTCCGTTCAATCCCTGACAGTACGTGAGAATTATGAGTTGTTTATGGTGACAAAAGTTTCAAAATAAAAGAGTACTTTATCGGTGAACTTGTTGGCAAATAAAGAAACAGATCATAAAAAATTCGAAGTAATTCTGTGAATCAAACGCAACAAGACAAAAACTAATGATTTATTCTAAAAAAGGAAGAAACAGAGGTTAGGCCAATAGCGTTCCACCTGAGGAAAAATTAGGATTAAGATTATCTATGTACTATTTATTTGTTTATATATGATACAAAAACATTAGTAAAAGTAATTGAGAGACTACGTTAAAGAGACGCCTGATGGTCTTAAGGTGTTCTACTGACACTATTTTTCCCCCTCTTGCGACAGAGAAGTGATCCCCAATTTCTTTAGAGCCCACCGGTTGGCAGATTTCAGAACAATTCAGTGATACTCGATCGTCCTTATCCGAGAAGACTAGAGAACATCTAGCCATTAGGAGATATCATAGCAAAAGTAGCATATTACCCTCAGTTATTTTAAAACCCTGAGTGTTCGCCGCTGTGGTATCTTATGATCTAATTCAATCTGAGAATATGAAACCCGTGGAATTTTAAAGGTCTACCAATTAATCAATTTATAGGAAACCTATATTATGATAAAAGCAATTAGGCGTTTTTGGTGTTTACAGAGTGATTGTGAGGTCAGCTCTTCCCTTTGTGCAGAAAACGAGATCTGTGTTCCCAACTATAAAGACAACACTGCGGAATGCAAATGTCGTGATCCTTCTAGATATACTGGAGAACCATGCAGTAAGTATCATGTCTAACGCTTTCACTAGTTTGCCACTTTATATTGACTGAGTGCGTGCGTGATATCTTATATTGTATCCTTATTTAGATCAAATAAAATGACTCAGTACAGCTTAGCCACTCTGGTCAAATGATGAATTTGAGCTCTATGAATTCTTTATTTTTCCTATAAAAAACAGAAGCAAAAAGCTGCGCCCAACTACTTAAAGATGGTTTCACTTCCAATGGCGTGTACACCATCAATCCAGATGGCGGTAAACCAATACCAGCGTTGTGTGACATGACCACGGACGGTGGAGGTTGGACCGTTTTTCAGAGACGTTTGGACGGCTCTATTGACTTCTTTCGTGACTGGAAATCTTACAAAGAGGGGTTCGGAAGTTTGAGCGGCGAGTTCTGGTTCGGAAACGACAATCTTCACCGTTTGACGGATGCTAATGACGTCATGTTGAGAGTTGACTTGGAGGACTTTGAGGGGAACATCACATACGCTGAGTACAATACATTTAAGGTGGCACACGAGGCTGATAATTACAGTCTCACTCTCGGAGAATACAATGGCACAGCGGGAGATTCCTTCATGTTTCATAGGTATCATTATTAGTCAAGAAATACTTTGGTGTTGAACGTATTACGATCTCTCTCATGCACGATTAACTCTTTTCTTCTCTCTTCATATTCTTTAAAAGTGAAGTTGCCTCTGAAACTGAAAGGTCATAGGAATCGTAGAGGTGGTGTTTAGGAAAATGTCGTTTATGTAAACCAGACACGAGCACAATCGGTTGCCAGTAGTGTGACAAAGCTCCTTTTTAGTCATGGGAGTGTTTGTTTTCACCACTTCAGTAACAGTTTTCGAAAAGAGTGTAAAATGGGCAACACTTCCAATTAAGCATATGAATCAAAAGAAAAACCGAGGGGGATTACTAAAAGGATACCAAACAGCTCATTAAAGACAAGATTTCTCCATCAGGGTCTAGTCGTTCAAAACCCAATGAGGCAAGCCAAGGATCAGAGTAGATTTTTATTGCACCTTAACAGCTCTGCAGGTTTTCTTAATCATATTTCATCATTTTCAATCTTTCCTGGCATGATGACAACAACCCCACATAACTACGAGATAACGAATGAATGGTTTCACACGAGGAAAGGCAAAACCAACTTAAAATTCTAATCCTGAATTAGCGCAGATGACCTTTTTGAACATTTACGCCCACCTGGAAGCCTAAATATTGAATGGCCCTAACACATAAGTTAACGATAAATCTTGAAAGAGAACTCTCAGAAAAACATCTGAGTATTCTCTTCCATTCTTTTGCATTTACCATGCATGTTTCTATCTCAGCCTGTTTTGATTTGTTTTGAAACTTTTAACAATAATTTTTTCTTTCAGTTCAAGTCAGTTTTCCACCAAAGATAAAGATAATGACCAGGATGAATATCGGCACTGCGCGGACAATCATAAAGGAGGCTGGTGGTTTGCTGCACCTGGGTGCATCCGCTCTTTTCTTAACGGGTTATACGGTTCTGACGCCAGCCCGTCTGGAATTATCTGGGAAGGATTTCAAGGATTATATACTGCACTCAAGCGTTCTGAGATAAAAATCAAGCCGAAAAATCTTTGATTTTGTATTTCTTTGCACCTACTGAGCTCTATTTATCATGTTACTGAAAGCCCCCTTATGTACAACTTGAAGTTTCGAAAGGTTGGAGTATAGGGCATGTAGAGTTACTCAGCTCTCACTAAGACTAAAGCACCATTCGGAAGATCAGTATCTAACCGCGTTAAGAAACGCGACCTGGCTGCCCGTATATAATAGTAGTGATGCAAATGAAAGTTTGTCGAGATTCCTTCACATTTTAACAGAATTAACAATAGACAAGCACCTTTGAAAATTATCAAAATTAAAAACAAGTCAAATAAACCTTGGGTAACTGGAGGTTTAAGAAAATCAATTAAACTTCGTCATCAGCTGTATAAAAAATGCCTGACAACCCGTAACTCCTAATATCATGATAAATACAAACTTTATCGCAACAAAATAGTGGCCATCAACAAAATATATCGCGCACTTTATTATGGTAATATACTTAAAGACTCTACAAACTCTAAGAAAAATGTGGGATAACATTAATGTGATAATAAACAAAAAGAGGTCATCTTCCAACATTGAAAAATTGCAAGTAAACGACGAAAACTTTGAACAGCTGTTCTCAATATCAAATGCGATCAACAAGTATTTCTGCGGTATTCAAGCCGAACTTGCATCTAAACTGCCCAAATCACATCACCGTTCCTCTTCTTACGAGCACAGGAAAAAAGAAACGTTTCGCGTTATTAGAGTAAATGAAGTGGAGGTCTTTTTGTTATTAGAAAGTATTGATATTAAGAAAAGTTCATCCTTTGCCATTATCTTCTGCCGCACCAATAATTTATAGTCCATTGACTTATGTAATTAATTTATCATTTAAGCAAGGCATATTTCCAGACAGTTTAAAAGTTGCCAAAGTTATCCCAATTTTTAAACAGGGCTCTCGCTCCTTATGTACCAACTATTGCCCCATATCAGTCTTTTCAGCCTTGAGTAAAATTTTTGAAAGATGCATTCTTAATCAACTAATATTTCATTTCAACACGGAAAATATTCTTGTATCGAACCAGTTTGGCTTTGAGCCAGAAAAACTACAACTGACTGCTTGGTTGACTTAGTAGATGATATAACTAAAGCTATTGACGAAGGTAGCTATTCTGTATCTATATTTCTAGACTTAAGCAAAGCCATTGACACAACTAACCATTCCATTTTACTTTCCAAACTTGACCTATATGGTATTCGTGCCGGTGAAAACCAGTGATTCAAGTCCTCACTTAAGCAAACGGAAACAAAAGGTGTTCGTTAATGGTGTTGAGTCTAATTTCTACTTATTGAAATTAGGAGTACCACAAGGGTCAATATTAGGGCCGTTCCTCTTTATAGTTCATATAAACGATATGGTCAGAGCTACTAATTACTTTACTGTAAGACTTTTTGCAGATGACACATCTTTAACAGCAGTTGGTAGTGATTTAGATGTATCGATTCCTTTCTGTCATAGCATGATCATATTGATTATATTAGCGGTAAAATTAGCAAAAGTCTAAACATAATCGCAAAACTGAAACGACATGTAACAGTTCAATCTCTTGTAAGTGTATACTATGCACTTGTACATCCTTATTTAATATACGGCTGCATTTGAGGGGTAATAATTACGAAGCTCCACTGTCTCATTAAAGCTACAAAACAAAGCAATAAGACTCATCAACAATGTACCAATTCGTGACCATGTTAATCCCCATTATGTAGGCCTTGGCCTAATTAAGCTTCCTGACATAATTAAATTGAGTACGTGTCAACTATTCTACGATCATATTGTAGACAAAAAATCTTCTAATTTTGCACTTTCTTTTGTATCTGAGATCCATGATTATGCCACTAGAAGTACATCTTTGCAACACCTAAACCCTAACCCCTTCAGAATAAATATAAGGAAATTATTTTCAAAAGTTATAGGATACTACTATTGAAATGATATTCCTATATCTATACGGGAGAAGCCCACTAAAAAACTTTTTAAAAGAGCACTTTTCACACATTACCTTTCTCAGTACTGATTAATGTCTTCCTCTGACCATGTTTACTTAAATATTTGTTGTTTAAGGTGTGATTCCTATTCCCTCTCTTATATTTGTATCTTATATCTTATTGTATGGCTTCTTTTACTGTATGAAAAAATGCAATTTAAGTTAAAGGGCATTGAATTAGCTTGCTATATTATGCCCTTCTCCATCCTCTTATCTCACTTGTAATTATTCATTAGACTCTAATCTGTTGAAATGGAGGAAAATATAAATAAATATAACCACAGCATTTAAGAATATCACCCTCTACTCATAACTATCGTCAACAACGTTTTCTTATTTCGGAAAGTAAACACCTTTCACAAGGGTTGTAGTTTAGAAAAGTTAAAAGCAGGATGTATAAAGAAAACTGTTTGAATTGCAGGTAAACACAAATCGAGACTGGTTTTTAGATGTGAATCTTCGTGATTGAAAGCGAGAAGTTGGCGCAAGCTCTCTTGAGTAATCACACAGCGAAGTAAGGTAAAACCAAAGCCATTAATGATCACTTTTTATACTCTGTTTTTATAATGACGATTTAAAAGGAGGTTTAAAGGTTTTCTGCCAGGAAACATACCATTGCATTTGATGATAGAAATATTCGATTCAACACAATACAAAAACTCATGATCGAAATTTCACTGAACAAGACCTGGACAGCGGTCGATCAAGTTATCGGAGATCTCTTTTCTTTTTTTGTTAAAGGTATAAAGTTAGTCAATCGCTTATTTATTTATTTATTTTTTGTTTATTTATTTATCCAGGAGCATTCAATTTAGCAGAGCTTGCTTAAATTGAGCCCTGATAAAATACAAAAACAAAGACATTAAAACATTAAAAATTAGACAAATAATTAAGTTATAAAAGCGACACATACCGCAGGCGTTACTATTTAACATGGCGATTTAGCTTGATTTTTAATTCGCTGAATGTCTCTACTTGTCTAATGTTTCTCCGAAGGGTGTTGAAAGTCCGAGTGCCGTTTATTCTGAAGCTCCCTAGATACTTAGATACTTAGCAGTTTTTGCGAAGGAAGGGCGCAGCAAATCACGACTTCTGGTGTTATAGCCATGGAAAAAGTGCGCGTGCCTAAACTCTGAAAGTAAGTAAGAAGGCGCTAATCCGTAAATAAATTTATGGACTAAAACGCATTTGAGACAATTTCTGCGTGCTTGTAGGCTGGGCCACCCAAGTGTTGATTTTAACTCCTCAGCCCCGATTGACCGACCCTCAATAATACATGGGGCACGTCTATTTAGCTTATCTAGGTAGGCTTTGTTCCCAGCCCCACAATTGTCCCAGACAGGCAAACAGCAATCGAACAATGGCAAGACTATAGTACTGTAGAGCATTTGGCAAGTTGGCTTAGGGAGAACCTTACGCGCTCGACGCAAAACACCTATTCGAGACGAGATCTTGTTACCAGTATATTCTATGTGGTCCTTCCAAGATAGAGTGTTGTCTAGGAGGACCTCAAGATATTTGAACCTGTTAACCCTTTCTAAACGCGTGTTACTGATTTCTATAGCTAGACCGTCAGCCTATGCCGTCCTCTGATGGGTACCAATAAGCACAATCTTCGTTTTTTCAAGATTAGGTATTAGAAGGAAATTAACATAGAGCCAGCTTGGAATATTAGTTAGGCCGCTCGTTAACTGAGCTTGAATTTCACGGACTGACTTGCTTGCAAAATGGATAAGGGTATCGTCAGCATATAGCTCGACACCGCAACCTTGAACCGCCAAAGGTAAGTCATTTATGTAGATGATAAACAGTAAAGGGCCAAGCACGCTACCCTGGGGGGGGGGAAGCGTTATTTGTTGTAATCAATTCTGTTACGCGTTAAACCACGGCTCGTCTCGACTAGTTTTAGTTAACTGCGAGCGGTGAAACTTGTCATCAACTTGTGAATTTGCAACCTGAGACAATTTACCGTGAGACTAAACAATTATAACACTCAATAATATGGAGAAACCTCTATTTTCAGCCATGGTTTAGTTCTTATTATTTTGTCGCTTGAGTATCACCATCAAACTTTACCGGGAATCTTTGGCCGTCATATCGATGTACAGCGGTAGTTATTCAAACACTGATTTCTGTAAAACTTGGTCGCAGTAAATGACGTGAAGATAAAGTACGGACTGTCATTTCGTGTCATTTATTCTAAATTGTACTGATCTTCTTACCTCTGATCAAGTGAATCGCATTGTGAGGTAATGTCTGAGAGATATCTTTGTTCTTAACCAGTCCTCTGTGCATCTATTGGTAACTTTTAACCATTTGTAGTATGAATGCACCCTTAGAGCCTTTATTTATTTCATTTTTTTCTAATCGACACAAAACCAATAGAAGGAATTTTGATCCGTATAGAATTGTACAATGATATTGTCTCCCCTAGTTATGTATTTGTATTCTCTCCTATTCTGATTTCCCATGACCTGCTTGATGCGTATTATCTAAGAAAATGAACCGGCGTCTGACATTTCTACTAAAACATATTTGAAATCGAGAAACTGGATGTCTTTCTTGCAGTTAACATCTTGGCGTTCGTGGTGTTAGTAAAATGTTTCTGTCAGTGAAGAATTAGTAGCTATTCTACAAATAGCGGTAACTGTTCGAGGTATGGTGTAGAAACCTTTTTAACTACTTTGCTGATGCCGAGTACAAATGAAATGAAATCATCACCTCAGAGGGAGCGTAAATGAGTTTCATGTGGTAGTACATATTTATAGTCAGCAAAAGCATCTGTGATCCAGGTGATGTAACAAGTCTTTAAATGTCTCAGGAATTCATTGTGAAGCACAGGAAACTTAAACATAACTGCACGAACCTTCAGAGGTCTTGCTGAGGCATGTACACAAAGTTTAGCTGGAAACAAGACCACCTTAATTCTTGCACGTAGCGGATCACAGTGGAAAGAAGCCGATTGTCGTTTCTGTTTTCATCAGAAACACAGCCATGAATGTGCCTTTGCTGGTGTAAAGCATTTTGCGCCTTAATTCTTGGTAAGAAGGAGTAAATTGTATTTTTTCGTTGTTTTGTGGAATCAAGACAAAATGATAGGACCTTTTATTTTCTCTTGGTGGAATCCTGTAAAGTGATATTAATATCGAAGTATATCAAAAACCCACGCAGAAAAAAGAACATCAGTATCTATTATTGTAGATAAAATAACATAAAAGTATGTCAATAAAGCAACTTTAGAATCCAAACTGATTGTTCAATTCCCTGATGACTTGAACTATCTAAGGGAGAAAAATCGTTCCTTTTAATAAAACTTGAGTCAGTTGGGTTTTGAAAGTATATTAAGCTGTAAGGCGGAGGAAAATTTCTAAACCACCATCGTTTTCTAACTACGCAGCAAGACTGTCGAGTTGGAGTTTCTGGTTCACATTGTTGTGACAAAAGAGGGGAGAAAAATTTGGCAAAGAACAGATTGGATGCACATGTCTCTAAAATGACATTTTGTCTTAACATTGTCATAATATTGATCAGAATCTCGATAAGTTTGCCACATATGGTGAAAGAGTGCAAGGTTAACTATGATTGTATTTTTTCTTTCGATTAGGTCCGAACAAAACATTTGTCCACGAATTTGCCTTTCTCTTACAGATTCTTATCGTAGGTCATTATCACATAAACGTGGTCAGCTTAGTCAATACAGCGAAGGTCAAAGCAAATGGTGCTCGATAATAATCCACTTAGATTTATCATTTGACTGTTCTATCGCCAACGTAGATGAAAAAGTTCATAGCGGAGATCTTTTAACGGACATTGTAAATCACCAACTGCTTACTCAACAGTTGTGAAAAAGTGTATCGAAACAATTCAACAATAAGCGAAAACACTGACGGCCATGTGCAATTATTAGTAAAACTTTCATCAAAGGTTATGCAATTCTTACATAATTATCAATTGGTGGTTGAAGCATGACCTAGTTCTGAAACTGACGAAGAAGTCTTTTAAACATGATTGAGCTCTATCAATTTTTACGAAGTCGTAAGGAGCTTATGATAACCAGCTCTATTTACGTATAATCGCATCGAGTATCCAATCTAGTCTTTAATCAGATACGTAGTCATTGGTACTTCGAGCCTTTTATCTTCCTCGTGAGAACGCACTGAGCCTTTTTTTTAAGGCAGAACTTGCGTAGAGAAGAGGACGGGATAAAACATAACCTTGAATTTCATACTCCCTTATTTCCCTGGCACAACTTAACGCTTTGTTACCACGAATGCCTGGTGGCAGGTGAATTTTTATCTAATCCTTGAGAGTCAAAACAGTTAAAATCTGCCCAGATGTTATCTATCGAGAAGCGAAAGGAGATTTAACACGACGTACTTGTTTATCATCACTCCTCGAATCCGTTTTTGTTTTATAATTGCATCCTTGTGTTTTCAGTTCCTAAACTTCTAGACACCATGGACAAAAGGTAACTTTAGGATTCTACTCCAATTACTACCGGGAATATAAGTGTTTTCCCTCATAGAATTTGTAATGAACGTTGTAAAAACATTTTATATATCAATGAAATACCTGACAATTTTTAAAGTTTCCAATGTAAATTTGATTTAATTTAGTGCGTGTCGATATGTGTTCCACACGCTATCGATTAAGAGCAGCAACAAAACGAAACATCTTGTTCTCGAAGTTTCGCTCGTTAATTAGCCCAGTAATTAATCAATTTGTCCATAATATCGAATCGTCAATGACGGATCACGAAATACCGGAAATACAAACCTGTACAGTATGTAAGATATCAGCACTCGTCTTAACGGCGGTAGAGCTGAGTCGACCTGTGGGAAATGACAATTTTAAATGTCTCTAGGCGATCAAATGTAAATTGCCAGAAACCAAATATCAACTGCAGCAGTCTTTCAAAACCTACAGGTCATCAAGAACGACAGGGACGGGAATAAAAGAAGCAAGCGGATGTCAGTTTGTTTTGTATTTAGAGGCATTTTTTTTATTTATAACAGTGTGTAAAGAGTAGGGATTTTTTTTAATTTTAAGTGTTGCATGACTTCAAAAGTGAGCAATTTCAATCTTCTTGCGGTGTTTTGGTAGCCAAACGATTCATGAAAAGGCTCCGAGCAGGACAATGCGGGTTTGCAATGGCTTGTACGAAGGTAAAACGTTCCCATGCCATAGCTCTTCGCCCCCAGATGAAAATACTTATAACCTCGAGTTTATAGAAAATGTGATGACAATTTAAGCGCGAACCAGACTGATTGCATGAAAAAACCACAAACCACAAGTGGTTAGCTTACAATGCTGGAATAATCGTCAACCAATCTAAGTGGAGCATTAGAAAGTTAAAGAAACCTAACCTTTGGTTAATTCTTAAATCAGATTAAGCCATCTTACCGATAAATTTAGATAAATGTATGCTCAATACTTTCTTTTTTATCAGTGGTGTCAACATAACGCAAATAATTCAATAAAACACTTGTACATACCGTGTATACAAGAAATTTATTACAAAATGTCGCGGCTAATCCGACTGTTTGCTCATGAGCAAACTCAGTTTTAAAATATAATTTTTCAATTAAGGTAAATGCCATTTTACACACTAAAATATAAAACTGCAGTGTCAGCGAGTTGTAAAGGAAAGTGCTCTTGTTTTCTGCATAAGGTGACCTTTGTTCTTCTCGCTGACCAGTATAGGTGTAGATAGGGTATCAAATTAAGACTAAATTACTCCTTCATGTTAAAAATATTAGTTCTCTCTAATTATAATCAAACACGTCTATTCCATGTTATTGGCAATAACTTGAGCATATATCGCTCATAAAAAAGTTTCCAAATTACTTACTTATAAGCTTTAGAGGTGTTCCACGGTAAAATGTTCAGAATTCTCTCCTTAGTTGGCAGACAAATATTGTCAAAGATTTGAAGAATAAACCATCATGAAACACGATGAAAAACAAATGAAAACAGTACAAGATGCGAATAATTTTACTCCTAAGTTATATAGCCTTTTCAAAGCATGGTGAAATAGCCATAAAATATAAAGACAAGATGACGTTACCAAAAAGGGCATTCTTCAAATTCAGTAGATCAGGTATATTTTTTGCTAGACATGCCTGTAATAAATGTGACACGAAGCCGAAGAAAACGCAATAAATGTTTTAAACCAGTTCAACTCGTTCTTTAAAGACATCTAAGATACGCATGTAAAAACTTTTTCGATGAAATCGTGATTCCGTCACATGCAAATTTCTGTGTATTTTTAAACCGAAAAAACGTAGTTCTTCTAAAATAAAGAATTGAATCACTATTAAGATCAGCGCTGAGCAATAAAAGAAAGATAATTTAGCCTGAGGTATCTTCTTCCGTGTGAATGTTGCTGCGAGACAAAAGCATGCTTTTCTCTATTTGTAAGTTCATTTTACTTACTATTGCAATAATCGCAGTAAACTGTTCGAGAGATGTAACTGTAGTACAAGGAAGGCCATCTATGCTAGAAGTCGTTATGAGCCAGTTTGTTACTAGAGCAAGTCTCTGTTCAGTGCTCCCCTGGTAAGCCTTTTCAAACAGGTTGACTTCAGAAATGCTCCCTCGAGCAGAAGGTTTTCCAGCCCCGCACTTGTAGTTTCATATTCTGATTGGATATGAAAGAGGCAGGTTACACTTCAGTGCTCTTCGTTTCGTGTTCAGGGCTTTCTCGTCCAAGAGGTGTCCTTTCAGCGTGATCCAAAGCTGAACCATTCTGGTTGGTAGGTGAGCTACAGTCCTGATAATGATACCCCGTAGTGCTCGCAGTTCCATTGGGTACACGATCTTTGAAACAAGGACACAGGCATATCAAGTATCTGATATAGCCTCTTCTGAAGCGCCTCGTAAGGGTCCCATAAACCAGAGGATTAAGGCAGCTATGAAATATTGAGAGGAGGACGTCGAATTTAACAAACACTTGACCGGCAATGCGCCTTTGGGTTTCCCCACCAAAGTCTAACATCATCCACCTGAGCTGAAGAGGTAACAAACAAATTGCAAACACTAACACGATCACAGCTACGGTTTTTAATACCTGGATATCTTCTTTGCATGCGAGACGCGACAGTGCATTGCCATCACGCCGATTATTATTGAGACTTTTCCCTGGTCCAAATCTCTCTGTACTTGATTTGAGCAGATCCACTGCTATCCGTATATACGCTGCAGTGATAACGGCCAAAGGAAGAGAATACTGCAGCACGAACAAGCATGCTGTGTAAGCTTTTCTGAGCGCATCGGAATGCCAAGATTCGGGGCAATCAGCTGTTCCAGGTAATCCTCCCTCTATGGCCAGCACGAGAGGAAGAACAGCTATAAAGGACGCAACCCACACGCCAACCAACCAAGCCATGATCTTCCATTTTCGCATTTCGGGCTTAAACGGGTTTGTGATGACATAGCAGCGATGGATTGCCATGGATGTCAGTGTGAATATACTTACAAAAAACGTCATTGTAGCTATGGGAAAAACACTCTTGCAGAATGCCGTACTGTGGTGGAATTGTACCAGAATTTTCGCCGAGTAAACTGGTAGGAATCCAATCATCAAAAGGTCCGAGATGGCCAGATTGACAATGAAGAGATCGTTGACGGTTCGATGTTTTTTACTTCGAACCACCAGTAATACGAGGACATTCCCAAAAGAACCCAGCAGAAATGTGAGAACGTAAATAGAAAGCTGTGCTTTACCCTCAGGAGTGTCTAGAATAGATCGCTGATGAGTCTCTGTGTGGTTCGGTGATGACATTGTCATGTTATCTGTGTCTCCCATTTCTATTTTAAGATTTCTCCACGATGCTCTCAGGATGCGTCTTGAAGTTTTTAAGCAGTTCACGAAGTCACCGCGCTTTTTAATGTCTTGACAGGTAAAAAATCAGCTGCTGCAAATTTTTCTGGAATGTTTCAACGCTGACTTCACTAATCCGTTGATGTTTTGATAAATGCTCCCAGGAGGGATCTACGAATTTCTCTTATCCGTCATCGTTTCTGAAGTGAAAAATACCTCTCTGCCTGGTTGGGTTTCAAAAAGTCTTCATCACATTCCACGACTTAGATCTAGATGATAAGCATGGAACGTAACATTAGTTGATGTATAGCACTACGCTGACTCACTGGCAATGTAAGACATACTTTGCTGAGAAAGACCCAAAGTAATCGAATCATGCACCCAAGGCGAACCGCACAACTTAATATTCTTTAAGACGTGTTCCCCTTTAAATAAGATTCCAACTCAGCTGAGAAACACGCAGAGGCCAGTTTTCTCTGTAATGTTCCGCTGCACGTCAGAGGAAATGGGATGCGTGCTTCCTTTCAGAAGTTAAGTGCTTTTCCTGCCTTTGCCCTAACAAACTAAGATTTGAAATGATCATGCATTAGTCAATAGAGAATTTGCGTGAAATTTCTACGTGAGTTTTACACCTCCCTCCAATCGTTTTCGAATTTTTGTCCAAATGAACTAACATGAAAACCAGACATGAAGCTGGAGGTTGGAAACAACACTGTAAAGTGGTTTTTGAGTATAGAGTTACACCTTTCCCGCTGTAAAGACCTCCAACCGTGATACAGAAGCGTGCATTTGTCGGAAAAATAAATTTACAAATTGGGCCTCTTCAAACGGCAATTTCAAGACTAGATGCAAATATTCCTCGAAATGCAACGAAACTATAGTAGGAAAACGTAATTATGGACACAATGTGCACTACCTCAATTTTGCAGTTTTGTTTAGAAATGACGAGTTTCGAAAAACAAACTATTTGTGTTCACTTTCATTTCACCCCAAGGAATTTCAAACCTAGCCTTTGTCCAACCGGTGTTGTATGACTGTCAATTGTGTAGGGAATCAAAAGAAATTTATCCTTTTAATAGTATACAGGTACTTTACAAATTCACCGTTTATGCTCATCGCAATGAAAGCCAGTTCGTGGAAAAAAATATTTTCACACCGGCTTAGCAATGAGAAATCGGAGACTTTTTAGCAGCGTTCTATGCCCATTACTTCGTGTTTATAGTTAACAGTCGTTACAATCTAAGACAAACAACATCCAAAATAAGAGCTCCAGAATTTGGTATCGCAGCAAATAAATCCTCACAAATGGTAAACCAAAACAAGCCAAGCGATGTTAGTGTAAAATGGACAAGAAACATACCTGAAGGCACTGAATTTCAGAGAAGAGCGCGTCAAAGTCTATTCCTGACTGTTTATTGACACAATAGAACATGTACAGGTTCTATGCAAATTTCTCTTTGTGATTACTGGATAACAATCACGTTCACTTAAAGCTGATTATTCGGATTTTCTTGTACCAGCTGCTCCAACGGAGCTTCCGACAAAGGTTTGAAAAGCAGTTTTCACTAATGTCGTTCTTTTGTCATCAAATGCACTTCAAGACATTTTCTCTGACGTTTTGTCGGTATCGGTAGCAAACTGGCACAAAAATCCGCGCTTTATGGCTGGATGGACTTCACAATAGCATTTTTTCTGATCGATTGAGCGGCTCGGTTTAATCTCTGACTGTTTATTGTAATGGTCTATGTAAACAAAAAGCCCAAATCTGGACAAAGTGTTTTGAATGCTGGTAAAATAACAGACCCATCCGACGGAATAGCAACAGAAATCCCTTGGGTGATTGTAATGCCTCGGGATAAACAGGGTTAGGGAGGAGTACACAAAAGCTTCCAACAAAAGACGAGTATTGACTGCCAACTAATTGAAAGAAAATAACCGTTTCTAGAGTGGTCCAATCTAAAATCTATGTTCACCGCTGTGACAGTTGACCCACGTTTGACAGGTATTTAGATGCCGCGAGTAGCAAAACATTTTCAAAAGCCGCTATCTTCGTCTATTTCCTAGGTTGTGTTCGAACCACTTTTTCTGTTCACTTTTACTAACGAGCTCCGCGCCAAATGTGGATTGTCGCGATTTCTGGGCAGTAAACAATATTTAAAAACGAGTGTCAAAATAAGTAGGAACGACTTTAACTAATTAGCTTTGCTGAAAATAGAATGGGCTGTATAAATCTGGTTGATCGATAACTTTCTTTTCTGATGAGTTTCAATATTCTGTTCTGGATGAGCGTACTGAGTGAAATGACCACGTTGGTATCTTTTTCTAGCGTTCTATTGTAACAGCAGTACCCGAAAGAATCAGTTTTTATTGAAAATTCCCGCTGTAGCATCTTAGAGGAAGATCTTGGTAATTTTTTGACCAAATGACCCTCAGGTGCGGATAGCGAACGTTTTGTACACTGTGCTGCACGACATCTGCTCCCGAAAATAAAAGTTGTCTTATATCAGACCAGAGAATTTCTTGAATTGAAAACAATAAATTACTACAAACAGGATTAAGTTGTTTATACCAGTAATGATGTTATGAAACTCACTTTTCGCCATTTTCTCTAATTGTCGGGATAGTTGATCACAAGTCGAAAAAATCTCTGTCGATAGAGTCGGTGCATACGATGCTGACTTTTTCATTCTGCTGTTCATTCGTCATTGTTTTTTCATTTACAAGAGACCTCACGACTTTTAAAGTTTACATTGAATTGTAGTATTGTCTGAACCAAGCCATGAAAAAGCATTTATGAATGATGACGTCCATCCAGGTCTGCATTTCATATAATTTCTACAATACACTGAGATAGTTAATCGCTCTTCTTTGTGAAGGGAATTGTGAACAAGTCAATGCTAGACTACTCGATGAGAGAGTGTAGCCGGGTGGGTGGACACAAGCACGCAATGCTAACAATTGTCTAACAAGTTGCAGGCGTAGAATCGATAAAAAGCGTCAAATTTAAAACATCGAAGCCCGCCGGATGAAAGGAAATTGCATAGCATGAGTAGAATGTTTCGGGAAACCGCGTCGCTTGTTAGGGTACAACTTCAAAGAGCGCCCGCATATTCCTGAGTTCTTGAGTAAAACTAGGCTTAAATTCCTAACCTTTGACGAAATGTCTGCCCTCAAGCTTGCGGATAACATGGAATTATTACAAGTCAAACGCAGGAAAGGTTAGACTATGAGATCGTCTTCAAGGCGGTTCAGCAGCTGTTTGTGGATTTTCTTATTTCCCTCAAATCGAGCAAAAATAAAATAATCAATACATGTAACTTCTGAGGTTCATCACCGCCAAACAATAAATCTAACCCCACCAGTGATCTTTTCAATTTTTGAACCTGTTTTAATAAAACGGTTAGGAAATCTATTAATTTTACACCAAACAATTTATCCCCCGTTTGTCGAAAATAATAATCAATACATTACAGACCCACAAGAAACTTTGATTTCAAAATCGTGATGAAACTAATAGGCAAAACTTTCAATGAGACAACAAACAAAGGTGCAGCTCAAAAGACTTTCTAAAGAGACACAGGTTTAATATAATCAATAAAAGCTATTTTTCAAGATGTGATCCCGCTAGAAAATAAAGCGTATTTAGTATAAAACCATACTGATATTCTAAGCGGGTGATGATTTTTTTTCATTACAGGATTAGTGGGGTCTTACGGATAATTACGTCTACTGAGACAAAATATAGATAAAACACTGGAAAGACATTGGTAAAAAAAAAAAAGGTAGATGCTCACTAGGAAAACTGAGGAAGTAGGAATTCTTATCACATTTTTAAAAATACAAATTTCGCAGCTTTTCATAGCGACAACCTCGAACGATTCGTAAAGTTAAATTTGAGCTACGCAACTAAATTTTCTTGGCTAACAGAAGACCCTCTATGATCAGTTCTAAACCATCATGTTGCTTGACAGCCTAGATACAAAATTTTTAGGCTACAAATCTCAAGTGGCCTTGTTGTGGGGGAAATAAAAATTCAAAATTTGCAAAGTACTTAAGGGCCAAGAATAGTCACTTGCTGAAAAAATATCTCGGACAGAATATGAAACAATCCCTGACTTTCTGTATTTTTAATATTGCACCTGACCCAGCGAAATAAATTTGAGCTGTTTGATATTAGTAACCGGCTTGTCAAGTTGAAATGTATATGAAATCGACGCGCTTATCCGGTCACATCCACTTTACTTCAGGTGATTGATATCATAGAAAACCGGAGAAAATTGATTTACCCAAAAAAATATCTGTGATTGACCTCGTTTTTCCCTCACCGCGAGATCAGAATCCTTCTTTGAAGTTACATTTTTCCAGGACGTCTCAATCCCTATTTGAAGGTTTAAAGTGTTCATAAATGCAAATCAGCGCGTTCGAACTTGAAAAGTGATAAGCACTATGTACACATTCGACACGAGTCGCTTTGCAAGATTTTTAATACATCATAGAGATCCTAAAGCGTACGCGCCTACTTTGTAGTAGATTGCAAGTTATTAAGATTATTCGAGAGTGATTTGCCGGCGGGAAAAATCTTTCTTTGACGAATTTATTCACTCATAAAAACGAACTGCAGGGCAAACTATAGAAAGACAACCATGATATGAGGATGGATCAAATTATCTTTTCTTCCTGATATTGTCCATTCTTATTCCCTCCTTGCTGCCAAAAAATACTGTAATCAGACAAAATTAAAAATCAACTTACACAACTATCGTAGCCTTGAATAATGAAAGCTTGTGAACCTGATTGTTATTCCAAATCCTAGCAGCATATGCCAACTAATTGAAAGAAATTTGCGACGTTCGATTTATCTGATCCACTGTGGACAGCTTTGAGGCACCGAGAAAATGGATCCTTTGAAAATTGAAACTGGTGTAGAAGGTGATTTATAATGTCAGACTCAGGCCATACAAACATAGTTATATTTTTGGCGCAAAAGGTTCATATTTTCAATTTAATTAATGGATAGATCACTCAGGAAATAGTGAATAAATACTGTTTATTTGCATTTGATTGGTGACGACTTCTGGGCAGATGGAAAAATTTATTGCAATTGAGAAACAGTTGCAAGTTTGTCAAATTTGTGTTCTGCCAAAGTGATTTCCTTATCCCAGGGAAGCTTTCCTGTTTTTCACAACAAATATCTTTTTTTTCCGGAGTGTCTTGATCAATGATGATTTCCACCTAATTGGTAATGTCAGCTGAAAAGGACGGTCAGCAGAACTACGGGCACTAAATATTCACTCAGTAATCTGATCGAACACGTTACTTGGCAACATCTAGGCTACTAAGCAACCCCAAAATGTTCACACGACATTTCTCTCTCTGATTGGACAAATCATCTGTGAATCCGCGAAACCCTGTAGGAAGTTTTCAAAAATGGTTCCTTGTTTTTTAACGTGAAAGTCGAATCTAACTGTGTTGTTCTTGGTGATAGGCATTACTAAATAATTAAAAAATATTCGTGTTCACTTCGAAGAAGGTGCTTAAATGTTCGTAAAGTTAAAATAACGAATTTACCTCATAAGCTGGGCTGAAGATTTGAGAAGAAAAACCTTTTCTTCATGTACTACTTGCAGATCTAAACGAAAACTTGCCTGGAGGTTACATCAGTTCCAAAGTTGCCTTTGAAGGTCTTTGCATTAGTAAAGGGCTCTTTGCATTCATGCTGTGATCAAGGAATGAATAACCTCTAGCCTCTTAAAGCCACAGCTTGCACCACACGAGATGAAGCTGTTGCGCGCCGTAAAGATTCAAATTGATCAAGCATTCATAGATGTCATTTCTATAGGAAAAATATATCATTCAAGTGACTTATCAAGACTGATAAGTCCCGCCGAAAATATTGGGTGCTAGAAATCATAATGGTTGTTTCAAAGTGCACTGTCATCAGATTCAATGTGGTTATTGTGATTCCAATCTATATGTTGCCAAACGATTTCATACGGGTGCAGTTGTCTCGGAAGCAACATTGTGCTTGTGAAAATACATGAACAAAAATAATCTCATCATTCGATGAACAGTTGAAAAAAAGGGAAAGTGGGAAACTTATGCATTGTTTAGAAAAAGCGACAACTTGATTTCTGTTGTAATTTCAATGGGCCTTCCACAAAATTTTGCATGTGCGAGTCTGTCTTAGAATGTAGTTCGAAATAAACTCCAAGTGGATTTAGCCCGAGTATCAATTTGCAAAGGGACGCGACGAGAATCTATAGAAACACTAGAAACTAATTTTGAATACCACAGAATTTGGAATATTAAGTTGTATTTCAGTCGGTATTAAAGTCATTTTGGTTTCAAAGTTTGTTTTAAAGGTCTCGGAGAGATTATTGCTTTCTATTTTCGTTTATATTCCTGGATGGAGATAGGCATAGTGAGAGTTTAATGCAACGACAAAGAACCCAACACACAGAACAGACATGGACTCGAACCCAATTCTTTCGATGCGAAGTCCAACAAGCAATATTAAACCCTAAGTATTCCGCTTGTCTCCTTTGAGTCTAGCCGACTTTATAGTAGGTCACTGAGTGTCAAATCTTGTTAATGAGTGAGAAACATCCAAAAGAATACAGGGAGGTGATTTTAAGCAACTGTTACGATGAAACAAATTACAGATATTGTCTTTTAGAGGAACATTTTTGCTTGTTTGATAAATTTTAATTATTTGAAGGGTTTCATTGAATCCTAGATTGTTAGAATTTGCTTTTTTCAAACACTTATAGCGAATTTTATGAATTTTTCATACCAGTTTAAATTGTGTGGGTTCCTTTCCAAGTGAAGGAAACTTAGTGAGGTGAGCCCTAAACTTATTGAATACAAAGACGAAATTTTTTAATTTCTGAGAACCCTCGATATTCGCTTGAAGTGGTAACAAATTGTACTTAAGTTTTGGACTACGCACGAGACGCGATTTCTAAAAACTCCAAATTTATTGACTGATTTTATGAATTGTGGCGCCATGATTCTCGCATACGTGATCATAATCCAGATGAAGAGAAAAGTCGCTCTTGAACAGCAGCAGAGATCGATTGCAATTATGAGCTGCTGTTTTACGTCCAGTGCTCTTGAAAATAACATCGTGAATATATCAGTTAATTAAAACTTTTCGCAGAACAAGAAAGAAGCAGGAGTTTTTTGCAACAGCAGACGAGGCATATTCTTTCTGTTTTCCCGCGGGGCGCGAGGCCACAATTCATTATTTATAACTGTATGCAAATGCAAAATATCATTGATGTAGATGGTTTGTTGTAGAGACACCAAAATCCGGCAGTTAATTTGCGTTTGAAATGGTTTATCGTACAACTGGCCTTCTAATTCTGAATTGGTTTGATAAAACACCGCGGACCATGATTGAATGAAAAATTCGAATTGAGTAACAAAATAAAGTGCCGGCTACCAGATGAAATAAGCACGAGTTTATGCTCCAGAAAACTTGAGTTGTTTTTATTCCACGAATTTAAGAAAAACGAAGAATGTCGATAATACCCTTACTGTGCACTCCCCTTTAAAATATCAAAAAAACACGAGAGAAAAGATTAAAGAGAGTTATTTCAAGAGATCGAAAATAATACTTACCTGTGTAACACCTTGAAATAATGTAGATTCTCATCGACTATTGTCACACAGAATAATATGTTGAGTTTCTCCACAATTTCTCCAGAGAAGTGAGCGATTCCGAGTATACTAGACAACTGAGTTAGGTGTCAAAATTATTAGAGTTTACTGACAAAACTTAAGTCTCACATATTGACAGAAGACTGACGCCAAAATATCTTCGTCAGCGACACCCGCAGAGAATTGAAGTGTACCGCAAAACCATGCAAATCAGCAGGAAGTGTAACGAAAGCTGGTGTCACCTTTTCTGAAAAGGAACGCAGCAGAACATGACTTCCATAAGTTATAACCCCGCATTTTATTGAATGGTACGGTTTGTACAGGCCAAATTGAGAAGACGACAGGGCCAGTGGCTGTAAAAAATAACTCTTCTCTCGCGAAGAGGAATTAATAGCGTCAAGGAAACGCTGTGCAGATAAATCATGCGACAAAACAACAAATCGGTTCTTAAAAATAGCAAAGATAATGATGTTCATTAATTTCCCGACGTGTGGGTAACCACGCTTAACACGAAAGCGTCTGCACAACGTGGAAAAAAATAATTCTTTTCGCAGACGAAAAATATTATTGATGTTACCTTTCTTTGGCGCGCCTTACAGTTCATTAGCTTCTTTCATATAAGTTTAATAGCAGGTGCGCACTGCTCTTACAGAAATTCATTTGATGATGTACGTGACAAAAGTAAATTAAATTTCAAAACTAAGATGTACAATACAAATAATTTTCAATTACTGCAAGGTTTAGCTCCATTTCATTAATGGCTGTTGTGACGGAAAAAGTGATATGTTGACTCCGAGAAATAAGAGCCGTCGCTCAAGTACCAAACGCCCAAAACGCCTATGACTTTAGTGACAATCATTGATTTCATTGGCATAGCCTACAGTAATAATATCATTGAATAATGGCAACACATTTTCAGAAAGAAAACTTTGGGATATGAAGAGATGACTAGCAGATTTTTAAAGAAAACTTGCCACTTGACATTTTTAGATTGAGGCGTGAAACCGATTAAAATATATCGTACAGACATTTTGATAACTTATGGCTAATAAATGAAAAGGGAAACTAACTTAAATCTCAGTTTTCCTCATTACATGTCTCTGCAAAGCTTAGAAGGATATCAGTCGAGCTATTTAAGAGTGTTCTCAAATCAGAAAAATCTAACCTTCCCCTTAGCCAGATAGCTTTCAATCTCGGTAAGCTTACCTCTTAACTCAAAACGATAATATCTTCAGGATTAAGAAATCTCTACCGAGCTTTTGAATTATCCTTACGCAAAACAGCTTTTATCATATATGTCCAAATTATGTATTCAATGATTCATTCGATAAAATACCAATTTTGTGGCTTAAACGAAAAAGATGATTAACGCCTCCGCGGCTGATAGAACATATTTTTAACTTGCCCGTTTTTCAAACTTATACTTATACTTATACTTATACTAGAGTCTAATACCTCTGTAGGGTCTTTCGTACTCTTTTCTCAGTCATGGAAACAAGCTAAGAAATATCCTGAGCAGTAAAAGTCAATGAGCTCCCCCCCCCCCCCCCTTCGCCATGCCACTCATCAAGACAAAGCTGAAGGTAGGGGCTATGGGCAGGCGGGTGGAGGGAGTGGGAGTTGTCAACAAGAATGATTTCTTGCAATTTCCTTTTTCCAATGCTTTTAAATAAAAATGAAGAGAGGTGCAAAAGATGAAAAACTGCCAGAAAAACTTACCACAGATCAAGCAAATTCGGCCTCATTGATGGCGATGAAATTTTTCCGATTTTTTCGGTTATCGTGTGTCGAGCTCAAATTATCTTAACAAAAACAAGGTAAAGGATTTTCAATTGAATGAGCGTCATACAAAATTATTTTTTGTGTGTGTTTTCTCTCTTATTGAACAGATATTGAGTAGCCTCCGTCAGCTTAAATAAAGAGTTTTATCGAGCGTGTTGAAGACTTCCCCCCAACTTACGTGTTAGTTTACTTTTATCACGATGATATGTTTCGTACCGTGACCAGAAATCCTCATGGTGTGCGTCAATGCGTTATTCAGTCGCATTTATTTCCGTCTCAAACAAGTTAATGGTAGGTTATCTCAGAGAATGACATCCTGACTAAAAGGCCGCTTCAGAGAAACAATATCAAAGTTGGCACATCCTAAAAGAAATTATTTTTTGAACTCGTCTATTGTCAAGTTTATGTCTATCTGCATCCTCGCGTATCTCTGGTCTCGTTTAGAATTTTTCTAACCTTCCTCACGTTCTTTAATTTTTTAACCATAACAAACTGCTAAAATTTCTCTTAATTTAAAGCGGTTTTGCGGCCACACAACAGCGACTCAATAAAGGTATAATTGTTTGGATTTTTGAGCATCGCTGTCGGAAAGGAAAATGTTGGAAATAATGGTATCGTAACAAATTTAAGAAGTTCAGCATGAGTTTGTTTGATGAAAGGATACAGAGATACCAAGGAAAACACAATTGCTGACTGCAATGGACTAGAGAAAATAAACAAAATTCTATAAAGGGGTCGGGTAATGGTGTTTTGTCTTCACTGTATCAAAGTCAAACAGAAATAAATGCCTGCTGATCGAGTTGAAAGCACGGAAACAAATTAACAAACTGGGGAGTTAGAGACTCTTAGTTTGAGACGTAAGAAGGGAAGGAAATGGACCTATTTCGTTTCAAAACACGTACTGTCAATCGGTTAGCGCAGCGGTTAAAAGATGTTTTTACAGTGAAATAAAAAGTGCTGCATAAAATTCATCCCCTTCATCATTTATCAGCACTGGTTATTGTGAGTAAATTTTATGAATGACCCTCTGCAGAAAAACCAACTTAGCAATGTTTTTTACAAGTTTCAATCTTTGGCTTTGCTTTACAGCTGTCTGTTAATGCATCAGTTCGTTATGTGAAGTTGTATTACCTTAAAGTGCGTGTATAAAATTCGACTAAAATTAAAATTTATTGACGCTCAATTAAATTTCTTAAATTAAATTTCAATTAAATTTCTTTTTCAGTAATGTCTAATAATTAAGAAACTGTGGTGTATATTAACATAGAAACGCTCCTACGTTATACTCGCCCGCTTGAAAAATATTGGGCGATAATGGCAACTAATAGGCACAATTCGTGTATCTGCACCGACCTCAATCTAACGCCGTAAATAGCCAGTGAGACTACTATTAATTTAGACCCTGTTCACGTTATAAGACATAATTTTTATAATAGCTTTTTCACTTTGAAACGCAACAAAAGCTTCCCTCAACATCTGAGAGTGGACAAAATGTTTCCGTTCTCACTAAAACGATCAAATTGGCTTTAACACATCCTTAGGCATGCGTAGAATATAGAATGGATTATCCCGCCGAAAATGTGTGGATCTCTGATGTTAAAGTTTTCGTAAAGCTTCATCGGTGCGGCGTAGAAGGGGCGTTAGTCTTACGAACTCGTTTAAATGTAAATCTGATCGAGACAGAAAATGGTCAAAAATGTAATTGCTTTTTCTCCATAACACGTCATGTTAAGGCACCCGGCTCATGCGTTCACGCATACTAGCCAAAGAAGACTCCCACTCAATTTCGGTGCAATTAATACTTCCAAAACTCATTTGCAAAAGCTGATTCTTCACTGCTGTGAATTTGCATGAGGTGTAAGTTTACATGTGCGTTGAATATTCGGTGAGGTGAGGTACTAATGATCTCGCAAAAGTAACACTTATGCCAGCTCTTCCGTAGATTCTGCTCTGAATCAAGTTAAGCGTTGGAAACAGTGAACTGTATCAAACAGACCCTACAGCAACTGGACACCCTAACTTAAGGGAACACATTGGTGCCGGCTTTGTCTTTTCGTGTTCACAGAATGCAGCTTAAACAAGTTTTAAGCGAACGATAAATCTGAGCTCCCTCTCGTTTCACAACCTGTATTGCGCGAACAGTTATAAGAGCTTTTCACTGATTGTCGATCTATTTTAGTTCGGGAAATGTTATTTAACGAAATAGAGCTAAATTATGAGAAATGTTATTTAACGAAATAGAGCTAAATTATGAGATGAGGCTCCGTCCGAACAGAACAGACAGACAAAATAAAGGCTATAAAAACGGTTAAATAACTCAATACCTACGACGTCGACGCGGTAAAAGACCGCGTAGATAGACTTAGTGTCATTGGGAATTTTAATGGAGTTCCACTTTCTACAAGTCTTACCGTCTTCGCGTAGAATGAACTAGAATACTCTTGATAGGAAGGAGATATATATAAAAGAGATATATATTCAAAAATATCAAAGCGTCCCATGACCTGATGTAAATATCGCCTGGAATTAATAGAAAAAACTCATAACTCGATTTGAACTTTCAGTCGAAGTATTTGTTGTTTACGTGCGAGTCAATTTAAAGCTGAAGGTTTCAATATGTTCATTCGATCGCTCGTGAAACGTTCATTTAGGACAATATGGCTGTTATCGAATATAAAATGCCACCTTGAGGACGGCGAGTCCCATTGCGATCAGTGATGTAAAAACAAGTTTCACCGTTTTTCTCAAGTTATGTAGTTTTTCTTTTTTTTTTTAACCTGTACTCAATACATTGAACAATATAAAAGTTAAATTACCTGAATTAAAACTGTTCTAGCCTACGTGAGCTACGCACTGCCATCTGAAGCACCTACATCAAATATTAATTTATAGGGAAGTAGTCGAATTACGTCTAGGTGATGTCTATATCAGCTCTATTTTAAACATTTTGACGAATCAAACTGTTCTCACCTGTACTCAATAAATTGAACAATATACACGTTAAATTACCTGAATTAAAACTGTTTTCTATCGAAAGCCTACGTGGACTGCGCACTGCCACCTGCAGCACTTGCATCAAAATATGAATTTATAGGGAAGTAGTCGAATTACGTCTTGGTGATGTCTATATTAGCTCTATTTTAAACATTTTGACGCATCAAACTGTTCTCACCTGCACTCAATACATTGAACAATAAACAAGTTAAATTACCTGAATTAAAACTGTTCGCTATCGAAAGCCCACCTGAGCTGCACACTGCCATCTGTAGCGCTTACATCAAAATATTAATTTATAAGGAGATAGTCGAATTACGTCAAGATGATGTCTCTATTATCTTTATTTTAAACATTTGACGAATCAGGGTGACAGGTTTTACAATTAGATATTAAGTTTTTCCCGAAACAAAACAGAATTAATTTTCAAAATTACCATCTTAAAGTGATCAGCGTTTTTCTTTATATTTCTAACTATTAAGGTTTATTGATAGATATTTCTGCATGAAACATTAAATAGATTTATCTGTCAATTTTTAAACTTAACTAAGTGTAGGTCATAATCGAAATATGGCCGCAAAAGAAACATTCAATAACGAACTCTAATATGAAATGTGGAAAGCTAAAATTAATTGATGTTTACCCAGAGGGCCACAAAGAGAAAGATTTACAGCAATAAAGTTTCATTGTGTATGTATGGTTTTTTTTCTTTTTTTTCCACTTTTAATCAGAGGTCGATGAAAGAAAAATTTTGTCAGTAACCTGTCATAAAGGAGCGGGAAGAAAATAACATTCTGCACTAAGATTCAGTAATTTTCTACTAATAATTATTCTAGCGTATCGCAAGCTTGCCAAATAAATATTTCAGATCGCAATCTGGATACAAGTTTGACCGACACAATAAAACTCAGTTTTCCCATAAGTTTGATGACACACGGCTAAAATTTGTATAGCTGGCTGAATTGACATAATCAGTGACAACAATAGAAATCTGAAGGCTGTTTTTTCTCATAAAATTGATTTATCTTATTGATATATATTTCAAATTCATCTAACAAAATGAAAACAATGAAAAACTGCATTTAAAGTCTGTCTTAATGTGTAATTGTAAATTGAAATTGAACAAATAATTGATACAAATCAAATATTCTTTATGAAGCCTGTTTGCTCTTTTGTTTCTGAATATTAAAATACAGAAAAAAAATTAGTTAGGAAAGATAATTTAAATACAAAAATAAAATGTAGCAGCTTTTATTTTTAAGTTTCCAATACAATGTAGCAAATATAACATGAATCTATTCTAACGTGAAACCTAAAATAAGGTTTTGACCAAGATTTCCTTTCAACTCTTTCACTTTTCCTTTCTTTTTAACAATAGGTAAAATCATCATATGGTATAAGTTTTTAATTATCTCATCAATATTTAATTACCTATATAAATTTTAATCATAGATACTTATAACTGAAATATACCTAACAGCTAAAAACCTTTATGTATCCTCTATGAATGTTCCTCTTTTTCCAAGGATGGGAAGGGGAGGGGGGGTTGGAGTGTCAAAGCATCTCCTGTGTGGTAGTGTGGGGTGATGTGGATACCAAGGAGATGGGTAAGCTGAAAAGAAAAATGTTTTCCTAAGTTCTGACACAAATAAAACATCAGCTTCCCACAAAAAAAAATAGACAGTTAAAGCAAAATTTTTTCCTGCATTTAACTAAGACCTCAAAAGCTGAGTAAAATAATTTACAACTCTCTACATGAGGGCTGAACACAGATCACTGAATCAGCCACTTAAGCTGAAAATTGAGTTGTCAAAACCCCACCTCAAAATGCTGCAAGTTACTTACAACTGCTAAGGTCAAAATTTCTTTTAAAACAGTTCTATGCACTAAAAAGTCATAATGTGTCCTAACAAGATACAAGAAATTTGATATGAATGCATAGTATTATTTATATCAAGTTTGTAGTAAACAGATTCAAAAGCCTATATTGTAAGGCTTATTATAGCTTAGAAATTCCTGAGGTGAAATACTGTTTCATACAATAGTCAGTAAAGGTATTGACTTTGCTCAAGTATTCCTCAGGATAATTCCTATAATGTTGCACATGACCTGACACTTCCCAGCACTTTTCAAAAACCTTAATACCTTTCTTTTTGTGTGCCTCAATGAAAACCCAAACATCTCTCTCAGGAACTAAAGGATCAGTGCTACAGAAAAGGAACAACTCAGGACAACCAAAGGGGTAGGATATCGAGTCTGGTATAAGCTGTTTTAATTCCGAAGAGAACAAAAAAACTGGAGGACATACCAGTCCTAAGCCCACCCACACAGCAGCCTTAATCAGAGGATTTGGTATGGTTTCTAAAATTGTGGACTGTACACCCTTTAGACTATGCCAACCAGGAAAATGGGGGCAACTATCAAATATGCAACCAATGATATTGATGGATTTAAAATGCCTCTGCCCTGGGATAGATATTGCTTGTCTAATAAAGTGGCCAACATTGAACCCTCCCATACTGAAGGCATAAAGTATAAATGGCCTGTTTTTATTTGAATTCATTTCCTCTAGTATTTCTAAAAGTTCCAGACTGATCTCTTTGACTCTGTTTAATCGCAAGAAAGTGTTGTATGGGTTTGCCGGAATCCTGATGGTGTCAAAGCCTTTTTGTTCAAACATTTCACTGTATTTAGCCAGATGCTTATCTTGTGCACTATTCCAGCCAAGAAGAGCAACAACCGGGCTTCTACTTGATTCTGTTCCTGTTCTGGTGACAACAGCACCAATCTTATTACACTTATCCTCAAAGTATGGAGGAGAGGTCATTGTTACAATGTGATTCACAGAGGCAAGTTGACTGATTTTACGCCAGAATAGGAAATGCTTTCTTGTCCACAGTGTTCCAAGTGCCATGTTTATAATAAGTTAATCAAATTCCACAGAGGACAGAAAAACCAAATGTTTCTGAAAAATAAAGTTTAGTGCATAAATATTGCTCACTGTGTAAATCTTGCCCTGGATTTTCAATAAAGGGTTGTTTAAAATATATGAGAGAGCCTCAACCCTTCAACTCCCATGAGTGACCAAGATTGAATTTCTCCTCACAATATCAATACAATATCAAGCAAACGAGTGATGAGAATAAAGAAAAATATAAAGGGATTATCAGCAGATCAAACACCAAATTCCAGAATTAATAATGACACTTTAGGAGTGAAAGGGTTAAGAGCAGCATTCTTGCTCAAAAGCTGGAAGGTAAACTTCCATAAAATTCATTCATAATATTTGTTGGCTGCAAGAACAAGCTACAACACAAGGGCTACAACATTGTCCATTAATATCTATAACATGACTTTGGAAAGAGTTCCCTATAAGTCCATATCATTCTCAAAGCTGTAGTCCCAAAGGCAATTAAACCATCTAATAATTTGTCTCCGCCAGTGTCTTATTTATCCAAGAATTGTGTGGATAATGAAGTATGAGGCTGTGCGGAAGGCTTACCACGATTTTTTTTCTCTTTTTTCATTTGTCGATGGTTCCGTAAATTTATAAATATAAAATCATTTAAACTTTCAACTGAAATAAACTATAAAATACAATTATACAAAAATATAAATTAAAAACTACCAAATCACCCTCAACTTACCCCATTGCCGCCATTTTGTCTACGCAAATCGTTTGAGCCCACGGCAATGTTGTACATTTGCTTTTGTTACCGTGACGTCACTACAAACAAAGTCCTCGGAAGCAAAATGGCTCCACATATTCATGGTAAACTCGGTTAAATCAGCTTTTGAAAAACTGAAAAAATGACCGATTCTGATGAGGAAACGACAACAGACCATCAGCTTAAGTTTGTTCTTTTAGGTGATGGTGCATCGGGCAAGGTAAGGGTAATAATTGAGTTCAGGGATCATTTTTCAGTCCGTTCGAAGGCCTCTAATTCGAATTATCTTCGAGAATTTGGTTTACAAGTGGGCTGAAAACTTCCCTTTAAATAAGCTAGTTGTGATACTCTTTCCTTTGCAGACATCAATATGTGTAAGATATTCTCAGGAGAACTTTGACAAAGCTTACAAACAGACCCTAGGACTGGATTTCTTTCTGGGAAGAATTGTTTTACCAGGTTCGTTTCGAAACTTGAAATCTGTTGTAGAACAGGTGCTATTGCTTCGGCCTTATCACGTCTTTTTTCACAATTTATTGCCCACTGCTGCTTTTTTTAGGGAATGTCCACGTCACGTTACAAGTATGGGATATTGGAGGCCAAACCCTCGGTGGAAAAATGTTAGACAAATATATTTATGGCGCTCATGTAAGTATGATAAAGCAAGCAAAGCATATGAGCTGAATTGAAAAGTAACCCTTTCCTATTGATGTATTTATCCTTCAAAGTTCGTTACTCTCAAGTGGTGTTGAGTGATTCCAATTTAAGTCTTTAGGGTCAGAGAAAAGAGAAATAAAATCATATGTATTTAAACTTGTTAATTTAGGTTTTTTGTTGGTAGAACTGTGATAAAGGTAGGCTTAAATGTAGTTTCTGATAGATGTCAGTCTCAAAATCTAACCCATAAAAGAACCAAATAATTTTACTACCATGAATGATGATAACAATTATGATAAGTGCTAAATGGTTGGTAGTCAGTAAGGAGGATTTATTTCACGTTCTTGAATAACCAAGATACTAACATGACCTTGAAACAATGGACATGAGGAGCTACCTCGTGGATTGTCCACTGTTAAAATATTACTATTATTATCATCATTATTATTATCATCATCGTTGTCATTGTCGTCGTTGTCATCATCATCATCATCACTATTATCTATCATGTAAATTGTCATGGTGACCATATGTGCTATTCTTCTGTAGGCTGTGCTACTGGTGTATGACGTAACAAACCAGGATAGTTTTGATAACCTTGAAGACTGGTTTGATACTGTGAAAAAGCTTTGTGAGAAAGATGGCTCTCGATTACCTCATATAGCACTTGTAGCTAATAAAGGTAAGTGATATGTAATGGTTTTGTTGAGTTATTTTGGATAAAAAGAGATGTGTTTGTTCATCTCTGTTGTGAAGATAAATTAATATTTTTTATCTGCAACACAATTAAGAGCCATCATCATTGATAGTCAAAGTGACAATTGACAATCACAGAATTTTGCCTAATACTCTGATTACTTAGAAGGTGAATAATCAAGCTTCTATGGAGAATATTCCAGTTAAGTTTTGTTTTGGTCTGAGTCCTCTTTATTAACAGGGATGCAAAAAATTCTTCTGTTACTTGGCACTTTTTTTTTTTTTTTTTTTGGCGGTGACTTTTGCTTAGGGTTAGGCTTAGGGTTAGGTTGACTAACATTTATTTAATTTTTTGAACTTTTTTACTGCCTATTATCATCAGGCCACTGACAAAGAGCAACAGTACAGCTGTCAAAACATCATAAACCTCAACTGACACCTTGACTTTACAATTGACAGTGACAACTTTAAGTTGTGAGACAAATGATTTAACAGCCATGTTTATCATTTCTAATTATGTTTGCCTATAGATCTGCCAATTTGTTACTTTTTGTTTACTGATTTGTAATGTATTTCATCACACTTCCAGTTACAATTTAACCCTTTACACCCCAACATTAGCAGGAAAATTCTCCATACTCTTCTCTATCCAATTCTAAGTTGCTTTAAGGAGAATTTGTTGAAAGATCAAGGACTGCTTTTGTTGGTTATTGTTTCCCTTATTCTTTTGATCCTAATGTGCAATTCATGGGTGATATTGTGAGGAGACTTTAGATGTTAGGCACTCTGATGGGTCAATGGGTTAGGAGACATATCAGTGATTTTTTCCTCTAACATTTTTTACCATCCCTTTAGTGGACCTGGAGCATCTAAGAGTGGTCAGATCAGACAAACATGGGAAATTTGCTCAGGAGCATGGGTTGTCCAGGTAAGAATCTGGAGTCTCAGGGTGTTTCACTCTGCCTCTCTCCCTAGTTACTAGTGGTTTTTTAGTTTTTTTCATCATTTTAATGCCTGATGTGCAATCCAGCATTTAAACCTTTGGCACAGGTGAAATGAGTTCTTTTAATTTTTAGTGGAATTAAGGTACTGTTATTTTTTGTTTTTAGTTACTACGTATCTGCCAAGACAGCAGACCAGGTTAGTTGCTCTGTATAAAAAGATAAAAAATCAAAGTTCAAATGTTATGCCCGTTGAAATTGATTTTATACTGTTTTCAGAACTGATAACGAGTACATACATCTTTCACAAGTGTGATGACAGTAAACATTGTACTTTATTATATACAGATCAGCCTCTGCTTTCAAAAAATAGCTGCAGAAGTATTAGGAATACGACTAACAAAGAATGAAATGGAGCAACAATCTGTATCCTTTAAAAACTGTTATGCAAATGTATTATGTCCATTAAATACTTATGAAGATTGGTAGATCATAAGAGTAACTGTTTGTTAGATTAGGATTTAGTGATGTTACCATCTGATCACATTTCAGAACCTTGTGTGTTGTCTGTGTGTTGCGTTGCCAACAAATCATATAATCTTATAGTCTTTGCAATATTTTATTACAGTTTCCAGTATGTTTTTATCATTTAGGTGTATTGAGAGGACAATTGGTAAGAATGTGTTTTTCATTTCTGGTCCCATTTTCATTGGTTTTCCTTGTGCTTGTCGATTTGTCACACAGCTGTTGTTCAGCTATTTCTTCCATATTGCTTGGATTATAATTTATGTTCATATTTTAGTTTGAGAGTATTGAACTTGAAATCAGTCCAGCCATATTGTCATAGACAGAACTTTTAATTTGTGACTTCAAATGCCTGAAGCTACCACTAGCTTTTCTTGCTTAAGTCTCCAGTTGCATGGTTTTGATATTGAGAGTTAGGCTGAATGAGGAGTTGTGGTTTGCCATTTTCCTTGACACTGGTCTTAACATACAGAGAGTCATTAAGGCTGACATCATACAGTATGGAAATCATGAAATGCCTTCAAGAGCAACACCATCCCAAACCAAGAGTTCCTTCTGCTCTGTTCAGTAGTTACTGTAGATACTTGTCATAAGTAATTTCATATTAGACCAGATTAATTTGTAGTGGACAGCTGACAGGGTAATGTTCTGCACTCTGTTAAAAACTTACTGTACCAAAGGTTTTCATTGTAATTTATATTCCTATTGTAATTGAGAGGTAAAAAATCAGAGGATTTAGCATTCTTGTGGTTTGAAAAGAAAGTAGACCAAGCTCTGAGATTGATCCCACTATCTTCTCATTTGACAGGAAATTATGAGTAACCCTTTCACTCCCAAGATCTCATTAGTAATTTTCCTTACTGTCTTCCATACAAGTGTTGTACTGTTACTGTTTACTAGATAATTTTATACTGAATGAACTTATTATCACCATATAATTTTTTTTATTCCTATCTCCTGTCTGCTTGATATTGTATTAATATTGCACGGAGAAATTCTGTGTCTGTCACTCATAGAAGTTTAAAGGTTCTAGAGACTCAACATAATGGTCACACACCAAAAATTTCTTAGTATGATATGAAATCAATCTCTTTCAGTTGGTGCTGTAAGAGTTGAAGTGTGTAGATGCCAGTCGAGATAATTGAAAAAATAATAATGTTAGGGCTGAATGGTAGAGTTGATGAATGCTCTAGAAACCTTTTTTCAATCTCCATCATGAAAAAGTAGACTGAATGAATATGACACTGACAGGGCTTTGACTATTGACACCAGGGGTTTGGGTCTTGCTTAGCAGTATCACTGCATCCTGTGATGTAACCAGCCTCACACCTCTTTCACTCATTAACCCTTTAACTCTCAGATCAGATTGTAATTCTCCCTACTGTCAACCATACAATTCATGTAATGTTAGTCCAGAGAATTTAGTATTGGATCAACTAATTGACCCCAAATTGATATTTTTCTTTATTCTCTTCACTTATCTGGTTGACATTGTATTGATATTGTAAGTAGAAATTCTTCTGTGGTCACTCATGGGAGTTAAAGGGTTAAGAAGTCATATTGATTTCTGCCGCATTGCATTTTTCTATTGGGAACATTCACAATGCAGGAGTGGGACACCAGGCTTCAATTTTCATGGAAACCAGTCTTGAAATCAATGAAGTGTACAAGGGTATGAAGTAGACTGACTTTCACAGGCTTTCACATCCTCCTAGATCTAAATAGTTTAAGTGTTAACTGACTGCATGTAATATATATCTAGATTTTATACTTTGAGTTAAATTTTGTGATTATCATTTTCCCAGTTAATGTGGTGTAGGAGCAATATTATCCTGTCTTCTTTTGGCGTACAGTGTACAGTTTTAATATATCCTTAAAATGTGTGCATTGAAAGTTAATAAACATTCAACGTGGACTCTGATGCCATTACAGACTATCTTTGACCCATTCTACTTGCAAGAACCAAATTTAAATTCTCTGCAATGGTTGTCAAACAAGTCTTATGGGACTTAAAAGTCCCATAAGACTTGTGAGCTTAAAAGCTCTGAGAATTTAGATTCAGATAAAAATATCATGATGGATATTTTTCACTCCATTTATTGCCTTTCTCCTTGAAATGTATGAATATAGTTGGGAGAAATCCCTTTTTGGTCAATCCTGAGATTGGAAGAGTTTACCAGGCAAAGGACTGTGGCATAAAACTTCCAGCAGCAGGTGTGGTAAAATTCCTTAATCACTGTCTAGTGATAACAAGAAGTGTGTTAGGTTACATAGGGAATAGAAGGGATGCCCAAGGACACTGTAAGCCATGCCCTACTAAGATGGCATTGCATGTGCAAGTAATGGATAAGGGCAGTGTCAAAAGGACCCTGCTTCATGAGTATTTTTTTCCTTTTCAAGATATAGGGTCAGACCTTTGTCATTATTTTACAAATTGCACAAGTTGATTAGAAAAAATCTATATATTTCTCTTCATCTGCTCTGGATTAAAACAAGAAGAATTCAAGAAATTTGGCTTCAGCAGTTTGATTTTATAACTCTTGGTTAATTGGGGCATGGGATGGTGAAGTAAATAACTAAAAAAATGTTAGTTGAAAGCATCAGGGCTTGAAATAATCACCAAGAGCAAACTATGCCTCCCAAAAATTGCCCATAAGCAGCCCAGGTCTAGGGTTCATGATGACATCTACCCCACAAAGAACACAGAAACAGTTCTGCGATTTTATTTTTATTGGATGAAAGCAGCTTTGAAAAATCCTTTGCCTCTTCTGAAAATATATAGTAGGCATACTTGAACAGGTAATTTCTTGGACAAACTTATTTCACGCGTGTTGCTCCCTAATAGTTTGCACAAATCCTGTCAGATAATTTCGACTTGGTGAATCGCATGTAGCTGGAAAGAACTATCAGGATAATCAAATTGTACAATGACTTGTATAAAGGTTCTCAAGTACTATTAAGCTAATTAACATCATCTCGACTACGTTTGCGAGGCAAAAATACCTCTCTTGTCCCTTCACTACTGGGCGAGTAACACCGTGTTCGTTTGATCTGTCTTTGTGATCGCGTACTTCTAGACTCTTTGGTATCACTTTCACTCCTGTCTGTTGTTGCACCACTATCTTCACGTTCACGTGCTCTAGAATGCCTGATCTGACTTCCAGATTGACTACTGACACGTCTGTCATCTTTTCGAGGTCGTCCTCTTCTTCGGGGTTTGTCAACATCAGATACACTTCGTACTTTGTTACCCACAGTGCCGGGTTTTCTGGTCCTCTTCTCACCATGCCTTCGTTTATGAGAACTTCTGTGTTTTTCTTTGCTGGCTTCGCCCTCTGATGTTTCACTTTCACCTTCCTTTGTGCTCCTCCGTGAGCTGATTCTTGTTGAGCGGCGCCTTGGTGCTGCATCAGAATTCTGCTCACTCTGCGACACGCTTATCCTTTCTGTGTCACCATCTCCATCCAGTTCTCTCTTCTCTATTGTCTTCTTTGTTCCCTCTGCCTCCTCCTCCTCATCATCTTCATCATCAAATGACGACAAGTCACTTGTATGAACAGAAGACACATCGGATATGTCTGATGCACTATCTGAAAATTCACCCGTGGAGGATGGCTGTGTAAAGTCTACTCCAACCAAAGAGGATGCTTCTAGATTTGAATCACCTAGAATATCGTATCCTTCTTTCTGTCTGGACAGGAGCTCAAGGCTTTCCTCTGACAAATTCAGTCTCTGTACCTCATGACTTGAAGTGTCCATCTTGGAAGCATCTGTTCTTGCCTCTGATGGGAACTCTTTAGCAAGCTTTTCAATCCCACCATCACTTAACAAAGATTGAGGCATTTTTACAGTGTTTATTATATTTTTGAAAGAATCAACAGGGTTTCTCTCTTCACTATCTGTACCAATGGCTCTGGAAATCTTTTCAGAAAACAGCATAATTGGCTCAAATCTTTTCACATTTTCATCTTCTTTGAATTCACCAGCAGAAACCGTGACATCCATGGCAGGTGTTTCATTGAATACACTCCAGATTTTAGGAACTTCGTCATCTGCCGTCACTGTTTGAAAGCTGTCACTTTGCATACATTTACTTCCTTCATTCAACACCATGTTGTCCTGCTTCAATTTACCAAAGTTAGATATGACCTTTGTCCCTGCTTTGGCTCCTTGTTCCCCCATCAGTTTCCCTGGAACATTGCTCTCTTCATTCATTTCACAAACATTAACTGTTTCTTCTTTGACCTTGGAGTTAATCAATGTGTTTGCTTCATTTCCTTTGTCGGCCTTCACTATTGTTCCCCTCATGATTTCCTCCTTGACAGTCTCAGTTTCTGCAACTCCAGACGAAAGATAACATTGATTCGCATTTTCATTCTTTCCCTCAGATGTCATGTATTTGTCACCTCTTTCATCCAGTGAGGAAGAAACACAACTTTCCCCTGGACTGGAACTTGCCAGTTTCAATCTGTTGATTTTACTCATCTCATCCTTGACTTTGTAAAAACTCTCTTCCACTTTAGGTGTAAGACGACTCTCATCTCGACTCATATTCTCTGCTTTCACTCTTGATGTCTTGCTTTTTCCATCTTTAGATTTGCTACTCTCATCTACCTGTGTAACCTTTTCATCAAAGGGACTTGCATTCTTACTTTCCTCGCCTTTTCCTGCATGCAAATTTGACTTCCCTTGCATTGACTGATACCTTTTTCCTGTTGGAAAACTTTTTGAGGTTGCACTCTTTGAACCCTCTTGAGCCCCTGATTTCTTATCAGCAGTCTCTGTTGTCTTGGCAACAGTGCTCGTAAGGCCTGGTATGGGAATAAGGTCACTAATGTCACATATCCCAGCATGCTTGAAGTCAGAGCTTGAGTTAGATTTGCTATCCTCTTTTTCATCCACTGTCTTGTGTTTGCGATTTTGTTTGTCTTGATTCTGTGGATTATTTTGTGTGTAAATGTAGTTCTGTACAACACCTTCGATGCGAGTTTGGAAGCCTTTGGCTTTAGTGTCAAGAGCTTGGGAGATCAGTTGATTTATGCCTCGCTCCAACACTTCTGATCTAGAACATTATTGTATCTCTCAGTTAGTAGGTGCACCATAATTAGTCAATTCAGTTGGCCATACTTCACTGTATGGCCGCTAAATTTAATAGTTTGTTTGAATTGAATTGTTCACCCTCTATTAAAACCCAGAGACATAACATATATCTTACTAAGCTTGTTTTCACAGTCTGTACTGTAAGTTACAGAACCTTGTCTTTTTTTGCTCTGATTTATGGCCTGCACACTTAAGGCGTGAGCCATAAATCTGAGTGAAAAAATTTTGTCCATACCTTTCATTTTGGACTGAGAAAAAAGGTTAGTAAGAGGTATCATTTCACTAAAAATTAAAAGTTCTATTCCAAATTGTATCATAAGTGCTAAGTCAACTCTGTCAGTATAAATACAAAAACATTTCTTCAGAGAAACCTAATTCCATCTACATCCTTAACTTTGTTTAATTTTATCAGAGCAACTTATCCCATCCTTAAAACAAATCTGTATTAAAGTAAGATAAGCTGCAGAACTATTTTCAACTGAGGTTGGTTAAACCTACATACAAGAAATGGTAATGGTCAAAGAGACCAAAGGTAAATCTCACAAGAAGATAATAAGAACTCATAGTAAATATATGCAAAGGAAATTAAGAGACAAAGTTGCAATTGATTTAATTTAGCATCTGGCTCGCCTGTTTAGAAGGTAGGGCAAGCTTTAAGTATGATCACAAAGCAAAAGAAAAGCCATCCTATATTACCCACGACACTCATTTGAAATTTCTCCAATAGTTCTATTCATAGATAAATTTTCTGAGGGTTATTATCATATACTTACTGATTGATATGTTTTCGCAGACTGTCTCTGACTTGATTTTTGGGCAAAGCGTCTGTCCAAGTCTGTTTTGATAAGAATGTAGCCACATGGCTCTCAACTCTTTGCTTCAACTGACGATAGGATTCCTGAGCGAATAAGGTTAAAATCAATGAAGAACAATGTGTATGTGTAGAAAAAATTATAGGATTTTCTGTGCTGAAGTTACGATAACCCACCTGTCATACTCGTCCTAATTAACAATACTTGATTAAAAAACAAGAATACTTGTCGGTCGCTAACCAACCTTTTGCTCCAATTCATCAGTGCAGTCACGTCTAAACTGGTCAAAAATGCCTTGTGACTTTATATGTTGTACAATCTGGTCGACTAAAAGCCTCGATTTGTAATCAAGTTTGGCTGGTCGTTCGGCCGCCATCTTGAGAGTTTGTGAAAAACATCCATCCCAGAAGTCTGTGCTCCATAACCTCACCTCGGTCCAGTCTTCGTCGAAATTTATTACACATCTGAGATTCATGTTTGGCAAAGTAAGGCTTTGGAGCCGTGATGAAGTTTGACTCTTGAAAACGCTTTTTACCACTGATTTGCTTAATCACGTGGCTACGCTATCCGATAACAAAGTGTTCTCTCGTTTGGCGCGATCTCTCTTCAAGAACCGATCGCATCGCACATTCCATCAATGTGTGTTATGACTTTACGAAATTTTATCTCATGACTCTAAAGTTTGGCTTTGGATAATTAATAGCTCAGGATCAGAGGGCATATTTGTTTATCCTTTGAGTTTCCAATAGTAGGCTTGTTTCTATTATCCTGTTTACTTGCGCTTAAAATTCTGTGATCAAAATATCTGCGGGAAGCGATGTCAGGATATTGCGGAATGTCTTTACCGGCGCCAAGTATTCCAACGCCTCGAGGCTTAGAAACAATCTACTCCACTCTAAGACAAATCTATCCTGATCAACCGAATCCGCTACAAGTTACTGCTCTGATTAAATACTGGTGAGTACATAATGAAAGGAGACAAGCTAAAATACGGTAGAGATGTAGAAACGGCCATTCTGCAACTATCTTTACATACATCACAGTGTAAATCTGCTATAAGTCGTCACATTTTTTACCTGTTCTTAAAACTAGACTTCTCACTCTGTTATAGTTACAGAGCAAAATTAAGGCAAGCACTTTGAAATTGAGCTTAGAAGGCCTTTGCAGCTCGTTTTTTAGTCCCTGTGTCATGATGCAAAATGTATGAAGGTGACTGTCAAGGACCAGTCATGTTTCATCCCTGTTGAGGGGGATTGGGGGATTTTTGGGGGGATCATATGGTTTTCAGGGGGAAGAGGGGGGGCATCAGTCATTGTTAACAGGGAGAGACTTTAAAAAGTTGACTGCCAATTAACTGCTAATGAGAGGGGGGGGGAGATCATAGCAATTTTACAGAGCCTTACAGGGGGATCACCAAATTTTAATTTGACTCAAACAAAATTCTCTGACCCTCCTCCAGACGATAAATACAGATCAGACCTTTAGTGTTTACTATGGGTAGCTCAGAAGGCCCAGGTGACAAAACCCTTGAAGAGAGGGATAGGGGTCACTTTCCTTTTGAGACTTGATGTAAGTTACTGTGGCCTTTCTATGTAGGCTTGGTGGTCCTGATCCCCTGGATTTTATCAGTATGTTCAATAATCCTGGCAGTCCAATGGAGGGGATTCCCTCACACTGGCACTATATCTCAGCAGGACTGTCTGATCTCCATGGCGATGGACGTGTTCATGAGTATGTGTGATAAATTTTTCTATTGATTCACATTACCTAGTAGAAACATTTTTTTTTTGTTTCAGTATACTGTTTGGTTTTACCCAACGCTCACTTTCCATAAAATGAAAAGCGTTTTCCTTCTAATTTAGTCCTTTTTTCCTCCACATTTTCTATTTATTTCTCTGGAGTCATGATATTATTGCAAAGGACCTGAAAGAACTTCCTCTATGATTTGCTGCAGAGTCAATAGGCGAGACAGTTCAAGTGGGTTTGGTTTTGAGCTCACCTTTCGTCTGAAGAAGCAAGTTGGAGAGACATCACCACCCAGCTGGCCAGCAGAATTGCTCCAGTCCCTTGCACGTTATGTGTTCCAGACGGGTAAAGACATAAAGCTCTCTTGCAAATTGAAATATATTAATTATACAGTAGGTTTAGAAGTTAGTAGGGTTAAGGTTAGCTTAGGGCTAGGTAAGGTTAAGTCTGTATTGACGCACCTAGCTGGAGCTTATCTCGGTCTCCATGTAGCTTGAAGCGACCACAAGTTTTACTACTCTTCCCTGAATAGGATGCTAGTCCATTACAAAGTTACCTCCCCTCACTCCCACAGCATTTCATCAGGCTTCCTTGAAAACTTGCTTATACTCATTTATACTCATGGGTGGAGAGAGGCACTGCCTAAGAACACAACACATTGACTCATCAAGGTGTCAAATGGAGACCTCTCCACCCGGAGGCCAGTGCACTGACCACTGGGCAACTGCGCCTTCTACTGTTTATAGGTAGGCTTACATTCATTTATCTATCAATGAACCTGCTTTTGGAAACCTTCAGAGGAAAATGGTTAAATTCTTTTGACAAAAGGAAGAGGTGATATGCACATGAAAAGTTCCCTTTTCTTAGCCTTTGTTTAGTGCACTATGTTTGTTTTATATGATAATTTTTTTTTTGTAAGACAACATGCTAGTGAGTGGAGACCATGTTTCCTGGCATCTCCCATTAGACCAGACACCTTCTGCTGCTGGTCAATATAACTGTAATCCATCCCACATACAACACATGCTGATGGTAGATGATCCTCGTGTACCAGTTATTACAGGTCCCTTGGGATCAATTCGTTTCATTCAGGTAATGTAAAGCACTCTAGCAATAATTTTAATTTGTTTTTGTTTCTCAGTCTTTAATTGAATGGAATATAATTATAAACTAGTAACTGCACATACCAACAACAGGTAGTTGGGATTTGTATAGAAGAACTGCAAGCAGCACAACATTGGAATGGTATTGCTGTGTTGGATCTTTTAAAACAAGTACCTCCGTAAGTTTAACAAAAATTAAAATATCCATAAGTAATGAAAAACTACAGTTTAACCTCTCCACAACAGTTACCTTTGGGAAAGAGGAGAGTGTGAGTTGTATTATTAAGTTGGCCATTGATAGGAGGTTGGTAGGTGGGAAGGGGGGATGGGAAGGGAAGGGGAAGGGGGAGGGGGAAGGAGAAGGGGAAGGGGGGGTGGGGAGAGAGGGCAGTGAGGGTCCAATATCTTTATTTCCAAAAATTCTCATCATATTATATAATATAAATATGTAATACAATTGATTAGGCACAGGTAACCTTTGGAGAGAAACTAGATTCACAGCTCTAATTAACACAAAATATTGCCAACTTAATACCTTAACACCCTAGATCTGATTGTTAATTCTCCCCTCTAGCTGCTACACATTTATCTGTTGAATAGTTACAAGAATTTAGTTTTAGATCAAGATAACAACTTCTAGTGATTAGTTTGGCTGTTCTCATTACCTTTTTGCTGGATAATCTATAGATTATGTAGGGAGAAGTTGCATGTTAATTACCTCTGGTAGTCAAATGGTTCAACAAGTTGAGGAGTCATTCAGAGGGTTTGAGGCCTAGCACTATGAAGAGAGCTGTTGATAAAAGATGGATAATGAGATTTATGTAACAAATACATGTTTTTATTAAACTTTGTTCAGTAAATTGGTAAAAGGTAAATCAATGATTAAAATAAGTCTATCAATTTCTTCCCCTTGTTTTCAGAGCTGGTGGACCATGGCTTGTGACTGACATGGACAGGATAGAATCAATTTTTGTAATTAAACCCTCCCTGCGGGTAAATCTTAGTTATCTTTCATTGGTTAACTGACACAAGATCACTGGAAAAAAAAATTTTAAAAATGGTCATGTTACAATTATTTGATTAATTCAATTGGACACTCCACTGGTCATTGAATGTTTTCCATTTTGATGCTGTTTTTATTCAAGGACAGGATTTATTTTAAACTCATATTTCTCTAACCACTGACATCATCCACAGAAAATTGTACATAATATTTTTGATATTGATTTGTAAGGAAGGGGTAGATTACTGAGTTCTACCCTACTTTTTATTTTATTTTATTTTATTACAATACTCCAATAGACACTGCGTTTTTCTGATTGAGGAAACCCTTTTTTTCTGTTCAAGAGTGGCGTTGATGTGTAATTTTAATATCACTTGTGATGTTCAGTCTAAGGCAGCATTTTTGCAATGGCAGCATGTAATGAATAATAATGTAATGTTCAACTACTGGTATTTGATTAGAAAAATTTAAATTATTTGTTGTCATATTAAAATTACACAATTATGAGATATATGTCCAACTGATACAGAAGGAGGAGAAAAAACACCTACATTATTTATCCAAAGCTTTCTAATGACATAACATTTTTAGTTACCTCTAATCTAAGCTAATATAATATTATGTTGTCATTTTTATTCACAGGAAACAGTTACAAATGGAATTGAGAAAGAGGGCTCCAATCTAAGTGGTGTCAGTGCAAAATGCTGGTGGGAAGAAAGCTTTGTAAATAATTCTACCAGCCAACAAACAAGTTTTTCTTATGGGTCATCGAATGAAACCCAGACTGGGAAGGATCTGAACACACGCTTCCCTGTCCTACCGCCAATACGCAGTGGGTCTTCCTTTACATCACACAAGGCCACAGATGGTGTGACAACTGAAAGACGCTCTGCTTGTAGTAGTGTTGTCAGTGAAATTTCTCGCACACGAACTTTGCGAGGTATTCATCTTCGGTTTGGTTTGGAGGCAGCCATGCTCTTACCACTAGCTCTGAGGTATTCTTGAAAAGAGCTGTACACTTTCTCCATATGGTGATGAATTCTCAACTTGTTTCCAGTAGATAAAACTAGTGTTTTATAGTCACTGTATTATTTTTTAAACTCCATGTAAAGGAAAAAATTAGATGATGGTGATAATGATGATGATGGGGTTGCTAGATAAAAATGATTGTGGTCTGTTTGTTAAACAGGGGTCGGCTTAATCATGGACGACACTTCACATTCCATAGTTCAGTCAATGACATGGCCATCACACTTCTTAGTTCTAATGTAACTGGTTCCATTGCTGATAATGAGCACAGGTTTGCAGCATGTGGAACTTGGCTTCAGGTATGTATGAAAAAGATCAAATGTATGCTAAGTATCGAAGGTCATTCTTCTCCCATCACCTTCCCTCTCACAGGAGTAGATCTGTAAGTCTTGTGACAAAAGGAAGAAAGGGAGAGAAGGAAAAAAATTGACTGTGGGAGCTTGAGTTAACCCTTTACACCCCAACATCAGTATTCATTTTCTCCATACTGTTCTCTGTACATTTACTAAGATGCTGACAGGGAGAATTTGTTCAACAATCAAGAGTTACTTTAGTTGGTGATCAATTCCTTTATTCTCATGACACTAATGTTTGATACAGTAGGGATATGGTAAGGAGAAATTAGACACCAGTCACTCTGAGGGGTTAAAGGATTAAAGAAATGCCTGGGTGGTAACACCTTTTATTCTGACATCAGCATGTTTATTCTCCATACTGTACCATATACACCTGTACATTTCCCATGAGACTAACATAAAGAATTTGTTTAGCAATTAAGAGCTTCTTTAAATTTGAGATCATTTCCTTTATTATTGCAAACCCGGGTGTTTGATTCGAAAGTGATATTGTGAGGAGAAAATGGATACTGTAGTCAGCCTTTTTACATTTGAGAGCTTGGTTGCTAATCGCAATTTTCTTTCCCAACTGATTCATTACCATTAACATGTCCAGCATAATCATACAGGCTACAAAATGAGATCTAGATCATTTCTGTTCAAGTCGGTATTGCTTGTCAGTGTATTCTTTTTCTACTTCGTTTATCAGGTTCTGATAACTGAGGACTTCCTACAAACACTTGACAGAGACCTGGATGTTTTAACAAGGCCCAATGAGGTATCCTTGTGTCAAATATTTAGGGCTGTTTTTTTCAATTATTATTTGATTTAAAAGTGTTGTCTTTAAAGGAGAAATCTTTTATGATGACTTAGGCTGAGTGTCACATTTTTTTCAGCTTGTCCTCCCAAGAGAATATCGCTGGCCAAGATATGGAATGATCATCTCTGTCCTTCCTGATAATAACTAGCTAGGAAGTACTGCCATCATAACACCTTGTAGCAAGTGGTTAACTCTGACAATGTTTAATTATAAACTGGGCTTGGGATAGCTTCCAGAGGAACCTCTCCTCTCCCAGGCCTAGCTGGGAGTGGAGAATACTGATAAACACAGGATTCTCCCCACAAGATGACCTATGCCTTAAAATTGTTGAAACTTAAATGCCAAATATTGTTAATATTTTACTCATGCCTAATTCCAAATATTCTGATGAACAAAAACATTTGTCCTGTTAATGGGAGAGTACCACAAAAACATGCAAAAAAAGACCTTAGAGAGCCTTATACCCAGGAACCCTGGCTAGATTTGTTCTGTACTGCTTAATGCACAGAAAAATGAACTCTCTCCCTAAATTAAGCAATTCTTTTAAAAGAATATAACTTGTAGCATAACAGTAACAAGGAAAGGTGTAAAATGATAAAGAAAAAAGGCATTTCCAACTTTTTGACACAATTTTTCATGGTATTGTCATGTGGGGTTGTTTGAACAATTTTTAAAGTCAGGCTATCATGCAAAGGGAAGATAGAGCCATGTAATTTTCTGAAAGCAAATAGGTTAAATTGACATATTGTTACCAGCTTAATGCCAGTAAATAGTTTGTGCAGTTAAGAAAAGATATCTTACCTGAAGGGGCTAATATTGGAGTGGTGATTTAAACACCAAGACCCCTACAATTCTTAAGTAACTGTCCACCTTTAAGGGAGAGCAAAAGAGTGTCCCCTTCATTCTTTTCACTCTCACACTCCTATTGCCCATTGGAAAATAGCAGGAAAAGGAAGGGAAATATTTAGGGGGATTAGGGAGAGAAACATCAGTCCTCTGTTGCCTTCTTGCCTCATCCAGGTCCCCACCGATGTTTACTTCCACAATTTTTCAGCCATATAGGTTCATAACTGATTGAACCAGCCAGGCAGTATTTCCCATATCCTTTATTCTAGTGAGTGACTAGCATCCAGGTTTCTTCATCATTATCACTACTGAATCAAGTTTTAGGGTTGTGAAAATACAGGAAATGATCACCCACTCAAGAAGCCCTTTCTTTAAAGGTTCAAAGGTTGCGACAAATTATCAATAGAGAACAATGCATTTTAGTGAGAAAGAGCTGAATTTTATTCTAAAATCATTCACAGTACAAATCTTTATATTTAACTACATCTTTTCAGAGTGAAACTGGCAAACACTGTGAGACTGAGTTTGACTTCTGCTCATATATGTATAAACGTACACAGCCCTTTCAAGATTTGTTTCCATGCCATAATATAAATGATTAAGATACCTCATACCAGTGAAATGGCAAGACTGGTAGAAGCTCTTGCTGCCTAGAAGAGGTCACAAAACCCTGCAGAGAAAGTCTGTAGTCCTATCTTACTTAACTGCAACAAGCTCTGTGCCCCTCTAACAACAAGAAATGGCTGAAAACTGAAACTGCAAATTCTTCTTTGAAGAGCAGCCACCCCAAAATTCAAACATTATAACACTGTCTTACTATCATCATATTTGCCTTGTCATGGCAAACACATGGATATACTTTCCATGTAAAAATAAACATTGGCATAAGATTTGCAGCTCCCTAATGTATCAACAATTTGAATTAATCTACTGGTGCATGGTTAACTTCCTTTTTCGGTTTTATACTCTTAATAAACTACTTCATTCCATACCCTAAAGGCACTGTTAAGAGTTTTAAAATGCATCACATGATCTTCCATAAACACCTCAAACACTACCATCAGCAGTAAAACTACACTGCTTCCAAATTATGTAGAACTGTCCAGTGAGGCAGGAAGTGGCATAATAACACTGAAGCCGACATTCCTCTCCTTAACTTTCTCATCTACATTTTAAACCTACAACAAGACAATAGAATGAAGGAACTGGCACATCATCATTTAGACAAAATTCCTTCCTTCTATCTTGAGTTTGACTTTCAACTACATTAAAAAGCCACAGCAATACAAGGAACCACTGAATCCAAGCACTCCTTATTCCTTCCAAGGTGGTTTAAAACTTTCAATAATGCTGTAGTCTCCTTAACATATATGAAAACTGGCTAACCAGCTGCAGCCAAGAAATCCATCTTCATTAATAAGTTGATTAAGGCATTCCATGGAAGACTCTATGTGATTACTGATAACTACCTTTTCATATCTGCAGATAAAAGAATCTGCTGTTGTGATTTCTCCATGCCCATTCTTTTAAGCCACAGTGAGTTCATAATCAGTAGTCTCTTTCTCAGTCAGGTGCAAGAAATGTTTGAAAAACTCGTAAACTGACCAGCAAATAGCACATGATGGCATTTGATAAAGCACTCTAGCTTGAACTCCTTGGAAATAACCAGAGAAGCCACGAAGTCTGTAAATAGAGCGGAAAGCCGTAACCATTCCATTTAAGTAAACATGTCCTTCTTGTTTACTAACTAAGCAAACAGCTTCCCTCTCCTGGGTGTTAAGTAATGTCTTTGCTACATCCAGTGGTGTGGTTATGGCAGCTGCAACAGCTCCCGCAGTTGCCCCTGCTATCACATGAGTCTTTGGGTCGTAACCACGCGAAGGGTTTAGTGTCTCTCGCGCATATTCATACACAGTAAAGTGTAAAGTTTGGAAAGGTATATTCATTGAAAGCTGAGTTGTGTAACTGCGATAGAAGGCTCTGAATCCTTCCTCACGAAATACAGTCCTTATGCAATGAAGAACATTATGATATGGACTCCCATACATCTGCATTCTTTGCTTGATCACTGATTTGACACCACAAACAAAGAGAAATACAGTGTTAGTATCTATGTACTGTATGGCAACACTTAAGATAGTATTGTGTATGTACAAACAAATGCTAAATAATGGAGGGCCAATAGTTAACTGTATGATTACGTGTGTAATCTGCCCAGCAGCAGAATGGCTGTCCAGAATCTTCCCGAGCTAAATAATAGTTATCAAAGAGAGTGCCACATCACCAACTGGATGGCGAACTGGCTTCACCTTAAAATAGAATTGGAGACCTGTTGACTGGAGTCATCACCATTCAAATATAGCTATCTTCTTGAGTAACATTAAATAAAATGATTACAGATTACTTCAAGCTATTTTCAGTGACTTTATGTTGCATGGGTATTAAAAGGTGGTGAGGGATAAAACTAGTGATGAATTAGAAGAAACACTGTCTAGATACACCTTCTATAGGATTCATGGCACCATCATGAAATACTGTTGCACAAATACCAGCCAGACCTATGAGGAAAATATATTAAAAGCCAGTTAATGTCTGCTGACAGATGATCTTTCTTTAACATAAGATATTTCAAGTTTGCTTGACAATTTTTTTTTTTCCAAAAACAATTTCAATCCACAATCATTTGAGGTAACAAGAATTTCAAAGTTCGAAACAATGAAAAATAAAATAGAAAGAAAAACAAAGAGAGAAATTCTTCTTTTGTAGCCACATTATTTTATCAGTTAAGTTCAAGGCCAAATGATGAGCATGCATTTTGCTATAGAACTGAGAGAGTACATATAATGCAGTAATGACCAAAATTTTCCAATAACCAAGCAGTAACATCTCCCTCTACTAAGCAAATGACAAGAAAAAGGTAAAAATCTACCCAAGAAAAAGAAACAATAAAAGCTACAGATTAGGAAGTTATGCATAAATTTATGAACATGCTTAACTACATGTTAGCAAACCATATCTGGAATGTCTTCTCAGATATCATCTGGTGTTGCTGCAACTTAAGAAAAGGAACAACTGTTCTCCAAAATACCTAACGCTAACTACTAGCCAGCACCTGAATAAGTTATGTGAAGTAAATGTTTCCCTTTTGGACTGCCTCACTTTGAATCCATGAGCAAAATAATCAAGAAAGGGAAATTCTTCAAATATATTAGACAAGCTGGATCAAAAATATTTTTGTTGCCAAATTATGTGAAAGTGGTCTTTCAAGCTCTCCAAATCTCCAACAAAAAAATGAAAATACTGCCTTTGTTTTCTTTTGAAAAGCTGAAAATATACCAAATAACTAATCACAACCATCAAAAAATAGACAAGGGGATTAACTTTTTAAGAATCAACTTGCAGAATATACAATTTTCTTCCAGTAATACAGAGGAAACATTGTTATCTCTTGCCTTCTCTTCACTTTCACTAGGTTTACATTTTCTTCAGCTCTGATAGGTGTATCATTAACATTCTCAGATGCCTACAAAGATACCTACCATGTGAAAAGGGATTGTAAGTGTCTTGGTTCCCGTTCAGAAACTTCTTAGTGGCCTCGTAAGTGCTGAAATACAGAGCATGTGCAGGGCCAGCTCCTATTGCCACCACATTCATTCCCCTGAGTGGGGTAAAAAGTCCTTCCCTTTTAACCATAGTTGTAAGAGCATCCCCAATGTTTTTATAAATGGCATTTGGATGTGGACGCAAACTCTGCATCCTTGTCTGTAATTAAAAAGGAGGCATATCAGTTTTTTCCACTGCTAAATTTTGAGTACTTGACCATATAAAGCCGTCCATATGAATTAGTTTCATTCCTCTTATAAAAATAAATAAATAAATAAAAAAAAAAAGAGCAAAACCTGAGTGAAAAATATGATTTTACATAATCCAGACTCAAAACAGCACAAACACTGCTTTAACTTTTTGCAGTTTTCTACAACTCTTACATGATGGTCAAAACTTCCCACTGATGCAAATTTCAAACTTTTTTTTTTCATCCAACTTCCAAAATAAACAAGAAGTTTGAATACAAGGTACTTGTTCAGACTGTTTTGTTGATATTTTTTTCAGCTTTTATTTCTTGGCACCCTCACAAGTGACAATAAATGCAATACAGTTTATGTTCCCCAGCATAAATATATTTTGAGCTCTTGTCAGAGTAGTTACAACCCTTGCCTATCAGCTCCAACTAAAATGACTTTGAGTCCCACCCAAAACACACTTAAATGCATCGGAACATAGACTCTACTATTTTGTTATCGTGATTAATTTGTTAGCACATGCAGTTATCTGCAATACAAATAGACATGCTTCTGTATGAACTGAATTATTTAAAGGTGTGCTATATCATGACAAAAGTGTAATGCTCTTTTAATTCCCACTTCTTTGAATGCGTGTTAAGTCCAATGTTGCAGTATCAATGCTATCCTTACAGAGCAAACATTTCCCCTGCAATCTGGCCAGCAACGACAGGCATTTCCCGAAGCTGGCTAACTTGTTTATTGAGGGAGATTTCAACCCCAGAAGATGTAAATAAAACGTTTTACAAATTCGACCTCTAAGAACAACTTTTTGAGCTGACGACGATCTAAACGACGTAATCGATAATTGTAAAGCCTTTAATTATCTGCGGGAGTATTTCTGGTTAAAACTTAAACTAATGACCCAATATCATCCACAGTGACGGTGTCAAAAAATGAAAGTTCTAGATTTCTTGCCGAACATTAAAAGTGAACTATGTGTTATAAGCTATGCCTACGATTTACAGATGTAAAACTAAAATTGGCGAAAACATTCCACCCACCCAATGTGACCTAATGTTGAATTTCACAAGGCCACGAGTACTGATCGAGACCAGCCTACGTGTTTTAAGATAGACAGCCGATACGTTTCCCGCGCTCATTGAAGAGAAAACCCATGTTTTACCCATGTGAATTGTTCAATTTGATTATGTTTGATTTTTAGAATTCTCAACACGTAGATCAATCGTACCTTCACGCAGTCCACGGGGTACATTACACAATGTTCCATAACTCCTGCCATAGCGCCCGCTGCAAGATGTACCGTCACCTTTTCCGTTGGTAGGCTTTCATACTCTGAATCATCCATAACGCAAGGAAAACTAATGGACTCCAGCCTTAAAGTTGCAGTAAATCCCTAAAATTCGTTGTTTGTCCGCGAGTTTCTCACTATCTTGTACTCAGTTAAATTCCACCCGCCATATTGCACAGACTTAGTTAGCTCACGTGTCACGTGACGTGTATCATCCACTGAAAAAAGAGAATCTGTAAAAATAGCCAATCAGATTGCTCAATATACCGAGACAAAGGGAACGTGACGAAGAGTTTTTGGATGGAAGCCACACGAGCGGCGGAAGTTTTAGTTAAAAACAACTGTGGAAGCTAGTTGAAAAGTTACCGAAACACAATTGTTTCTTTCCTCCAACTAAAAATACACGATAACTTTGTGGCCTAGTAAGTTTCATTTTATCGTCTCAAAAATATTTGTTAGCGACACTTTTTTAGCATGATCAATATCCGCTGTTCATGACGTAATGATTACGTAATCGTACAAATGTACATTTTCACAATATTTAGGGATTTTAAAAGTAGTGATAATTCTTCCCCTAAAAATGGTTAGTACATATTATGGAAAAAAATTTCTTATTCTCAAGATACGGTGGACTTATTGGTGAGCGATCACACTGAATGCATTCTCGATAATATCATGGAAATTGAAATGCGGAACTTCGATTAACGGTGCGTAACTAGCAAACAACATCACAAACTTTCGTGGTAGAAATGTAGCTAGAATTCCTATCTACTACAAGAGAAACGACGGACGTAATTTTCCGCATTTCATAAGATCGCTTGTAAGTATCTATTTGGAATCATACATTTAGAGAAGATGACTCCCAATAGACTTGAAATTAAAAGAGTGTTATTAATACCTGAGGACAAAATATACAAATTAAAAGGTTTGCCTAAGAAGTAAGGTGACTGAATAATTCTTCTGTCTTGCCTTAACAAGTAAGAAGGAAAAAACGCGATTTTTGCGGAATTGGGTCACAGACCGCGGTTTTGCCGCAAGAAACTTGGAAATTATAGCAACTATGACCAAGCCTTAGCTTCGAGTAAACAGGAAAACAAACAAACCAATTCCATCAAGAGACGAACACAATTGACGTTACTTCAAAAATAATTAGCGAGTCTCAAAGTCCACTTGTTGCCACAAATTACGTAAATGGTCTTCCTGAATAAATTTCACACACGCATAAATATAACATCTTTAGAAACGGCTGAGCGCTGGAGTATTTTGCTTCCTCGATCTGTAAATCCTTTGAGACAGTGCTTGATGACGAAGCCTCCAGTTGAATAGGACAACAGAACTGTTCCGAAGGTCGACTTCTGTGAAAAGCAATATTTCTTTTTACAGAAGAGAGGTTTTTTGTCTCATGACCGGAGAACCAAGGTGTGTAATTTACGACATTGCGGAGGTGGGGAATTGTTATTTGGCATCTTGAAAACATCAAAAAACCTCTGGAAGTAAAGTATGTTAGTTAAGAAACGAAGTCAATAGAAAAAATTGCTGACCTTTCAAGTGATTTATTTACGAAACTTAAATCGTGATCTATAAAATTCGACAAATGGTTGAATCAAAACCAAACATCATATCGTGTTCACAAACAGCACGAAAGGCTGGTTAGAAAACCGAACACAAAAAAAATGGCAATCGGTGAAAGATACGCGAAAAGTCACTTGATTAAAATTAAGAATGCGCATGGTTGGTTGTTGAAACTGCATCTTCACTCTGACCGGTTGGATGGAACGAATTGGAATTTGCACTAAGTTATTCACTGATGATTTCAAGTGTCCTCGGAATCTTCTGTTTCTTTTTCAGGTTTCACATCCGTTTCATTTCCTTCCATTACTTCTTTAAGATAACTAGCGACTTCCTGTAACGGAGATGAACGAAATAAAATCAGTGAAATCAGATTTTATATGAAGCGAGATGTACTTATCTCTCGAGACGGTTTACAGTCAAGTCGCCCGAGAGTCATCTCGCCCGAAACCTGAGTCATGATGCCCGAAATTTAGTTATGTCACCCGAAAAAAAAGTCAAGTCGCCCGAAGAAGCAAATACTAAAAAGATCTGAATTTCAGACTGTTAATAGGCAATAACGTAGAGAAATTTTTATCACTAAAGCACTCGTTGTTTCCGCCGTGTTCAACACCATGAAGATTCTTAAAGCGTTGTTCGTTTCTAACAACAAAGGGAAGCGTTCTCCGTTTCTAACAAAAAAAAGTGAAGTGTTGTTCGTTTGGTATGGGCTCGTTTCTTATTCACGGACATTTCGTAAGCTTAAGAAACTCTTTCTCGTTTCTAAAAATGCCACGAAGACTTTGACTACACAGAAATCGATTGTATGGTCATGCAGAACTGAAATATGTTTTTTTTTCGGGCGACATTACTAAACTTTCGGGCATGACTCCGGGCTAGTTGACTCTCGGGCGACTTGACCGGTTATCCTCGAGACATGTAATCATTTTTGTTATTTAAAAAACGTCTTGTAACTTGACAGAAACTACAAAATATTACCTCGGCAAAAAAGAAAACACGAAACAGGCACTGATAAACCAGAGGGAAAAAGATAGTTTGGTTTTATCAACAGTAAAGAGTTTCTAAAGCTGACGTTTTTAGCGTTAGCCCTTCGTCAGAGCAAGAAGGAACAAAAATGTCTGAACCACTGTAATTGTATGAGCCTACATTCCACCATAAAGACATACCTTTCTGCCAAACGTCTCAGAAAAATCAACAGCTCTATGTCCATACTAAAAAGAAAGTAAAAAAAGATGAAGCAAGGAATGTAAAAAAATAATAATACTAAAGGAAAATAGAGCAATACGGAAATTGATGACAGATGCCCTGTTTTAACCAAAGCAAGTTGATATCTACACAGTAAATAAAGAGAAAAAAAATATTTATACTTCCTCGCTCTTGCACAATCTCTCCTAACTACACAATCTTAATACTAAAGGTACTTATAAACCTCATTTTCAGTATAAACATCTGCCCCTTTTACCACCAGTAGCTTAATCAAATCAACGTTACCACCCACTGCAGCAGCCTGAAAAAACATAACAAATGTTAAATAATTCAAAATTAATTTTTCAAAGTAGTTCGTAATAAAATGGAAAATCTACATTGAGCTGAGAAATATAACATTACCATCAAAGCAGATCTCTTTATCTTGTCCTTTTTGTTCACATCTGCCCCATTTTCAATCAAAATCTTGGCCACCTCAACATTTCCATTCAAAGAGGCTGCAACATAAATTCGGGAATTACAGAAGGTTACATTTTAAGGGATCTTTCAGCTAACATTGTCATATTCTGTGTGATTCTGAATTTTAGAGTGGATTGATTGGATGAGTGAAGTAATGAGTCTAACATTGACATCTATGCATATTAAAAGTGACTCAACCCTTTTTCTGCTGATTGAAGACTTTTTAACAATGAGATTATAGCAAATCAAAATTGGAAATATCAGAAAATATAAACTGTGAATTATTTACCACTGCATACCAAGTCTTACTAAAGGTGAACAACCAAAGTCATCTTCGATATCAACCTGTTGAAAAAATTACGACATTTAAATTACCCTCCAATGCTTCCATTGGTAAATTAGAGCTGGTAAGTTTATGTATTAATTATAATTGGTTGTGGAGCTGCATCAGAGAGAAGGATGGAGGAAGTGCTGTTTGCAGGCGAGGTAGACCCTTCCAACAGTGGAAAAAATTGTCGTGGTTGGACAAACAACACTGCAATTTTACAGGGCCTTATTTCCAACATGCAGAACAGGTAAAGCTTAGATAGAAAATAAGAGAGATGGTAGGTTTTGAGCTCAGTAAAGAAATAGAGAAAGAATTTTTTTTTGTCTTGTCACAAGTGTGGGACAAAGAAAAAATTCTGAGTCCCCATGAGGAATCGAACCTCAGACCTTTGGATTCCACGTTCCGATGCTCTACCACTGAGCCACAGAGACTCCACTGTAAGCGAGATCTATTGCCAAGATCATATGATACACGTCCTGCATACTGCTAGGATTAGCAATGTCAATAGCGTAATGTTTGTAGATCAAAAATAAGAGATGGTAGGTATAGCTTTATTGCTTTTTTTAAGCCAAGGTGCAAGGTGAATGAATAAGGGGAGTCATACTGTGGAGAAGTGGGTCAGTAAGAAGTTATAAAAGTAGAAACAATGTGATCTTTCAGCTCCTCCTCTCTTATATGACTCACCCTTGGCACTCACCTTACACTTGTCTCCAAACAAAAAAAAAAAGCATCCCCTTATCTGCAAGCGAAACTAGAACTGGACAGGATGCACATCTTTTACTGGACAGTAATGAAACAATGAAAAATCTGACATCAAACAAACACAACTTGGCATTGAAATAAAATGACTATTTGATACAAGAATGGTCATACATCAATTCCATTGTCCAACAGCCATTGTATGCAGGCTGTGTTACCACCATCCACTGCCCAATGAAGACAACAAGAGCCACCATTGTCTTTGCTATCTATAAATGCTCCTTTTTCAAACAGCATAACTGCTATTTTGATGTGACCACCAGCACAGGCCAACATCATACTAAAATATTTTTAAGAAAAAGCATTAAATACAAATTAATTTTTAATAATAGATTGTAGCTTTAAAAATATACTTTATAAAGCATATATCATATATCATTTATATATCAAGCTGTTTCATTAATGAATCAGATCTGGCTCTAACTGTTGAATTAATCATTAAATCACCTAGTTTTTCCACTTGTGTTGGAGTAGTTGACATCAGCTTTGTGTTCAATTAAAGTTGAAATAATGCTGAATAAAAGAAAAGTTACCAATAAATTATAAAAATTAATGTTATTTCTAAGAACAGTTATTTAGGAAGATGAATGAATGAACTCCCTTGGAAAATATCCCAGTTTAAGGAAGTACTTTTATCAAAACCTTTCACAGAAAATGGGAGACACTGTAGCATAGAAGTTAGTGTGTTGGACTCTGGACCAAGAGGTCTGGGTCTGAGGCCTGGCCATTGCAATATGTTGTGTTCTCAGGCAAAACACTGCATACTCATGGTACATCTCTCCCCCCAGGAGTATAAATTGATACTGACCAATTGTCAGGGAAGCCTGATGAAAGGCTGAGGGTAACTTGCATCCTACCCAGAAGAAAGTAGTAATACTCCTGGTGGCTTCATGCTCAAAAGACCCAGATAATCTCCAGCTGGGTGTGCCAGTAGGCTCAAGTACATTACTTTTCAAAGAAAATGCTTTGGCTCCCAGGCAAACATTTCTTCAATAACTCATTATAGTATCTGATCACCTGTGAATGAACACAAACCTTGTGTAACCCTTTTGAGCAGCAATCATCAGAGGAGACATTCCAAATGCATTAGGACAATCAACTATGGTTTCAGTACTAGTAAAATACAAGGGTAAAAAGAGCAAACTTAAATTTACTGCTCTTGATGTCAAAAATTTTTCAATTTTTCAAATGCCATGATCATGAGCCACTTTGAAAGTTAATAGGAGAGTCCACCAACCTTTCTTCAAGAATTGATATCACTTTCTCAACTTCCCAGTTAAGGACTGCATTGTGAAGGTCACGGCCAGAAAGTGGGATTTCTTCACAAAACAAAAAAAAAAGAGTTTATTACTTGTCACTCCAGTGCATAATTTTCCTTTTTTGCAGTACAGATGGCAATTTATCAACAAGTCTTTCATTATCCGCTACTTTAACTATTAAAATAAAAACTCCCTTATTTAAAGGAATATCAGTGGTTAGAGAAGATTAAAAGTTATCCAGTAAGTTGTCAAAAAAAAGTATAGCTCTCTGAGTTGAAGATTATGTCTTCAAAATGTTTTGAACACGTCATAATTAAAGGAACTTTTCACTGATGACAGGATCACCATTGTTTGAGCACTCCTAAGTTCTCTTCCTATCTAAATGCAGCATGTTTCTTATCAATTTCAACAGGAGAGAACTGTTGCAATCACATGCTCTTATACTGTGTTTCATGAATTATGACAAGGCATCATAAAGCAGTGTTCTCCTTTTCAGGCAGTAACCGGTAACATTTACCGCCTGTAGTGCCTCTTATTACTGTTTAAAATTGCTTGGAATTCTTGAAAATTCAACAGGATTGCTTTACTGGTTTGAAAATTTATTTTACCTGTCATGCTTAAAATAAGAGAGAACACTGCATAAAGTAAATGAATATCATCTTCTGTTTAAGATCAAAAGTCACAGATAATGCCCTTAACACGGACAAAAGTGAGAGCAATAAGACACATTACTTACTTGTAGTAGTAACAGATATAACCTGACTCCAAGGGCTGTTCCCATTATTATTACTAATTCGAAGACGATAGCGATAAGTCTTGCTTGGCTCCAGGCCTTTGAACTCATTGCTTTTAGCAAAGCCACTAAGGGACAATAAAAATTTTCATTTAAATGATTAGAATTCTGTTACTAACATAACAAATCTACACTACCAGTAAATATCATATGAAACTAATTCAATACAAACCATACAATGGTTACAGTCAAAGTTGCTTGATTGTTCCCAAGCATGAGACAATCATCAAATCATCAACCAATTTAAGATTTTTACATCAAAACCAAAATAATCATTCAGAAGAGAGGAAAATACTTTTAAGAGCCAGTTAGAACTCAAGCTAAAACCAATCAAACAAGCAGTTATTAGTTTTCATTTTGCATCTAATTGTTTGAGGAGTGGCGCAAGTTTCCTGAATCAATGACAAGGCAAAGTTTAAAAAAGGCAAAGAAATTGCAGCTTACTTCTGAAACTCAATTGAAAAATTCTCTATAAACCATCATAAAAAATTAAATGGCTCCATACTTGTAGACATTTCCAAATCCTTTTCGTCCCTCCTCTTCTTCTTCCTGTACACAGTAACGTAGCCTCCCTCCTGAGCTGTCTTCAGTACCTGCTATCTGATCCCAGTACAACTCAATGCTGTTGAATGTAACTTTTCCAACTACAGGAGGTGCTGGCTTCTCAGGAGCTGTGTATGGAAAGAAAGGGAAAAAAGGAACTATTTGTTAGTTCCTGTTTACACCAACAAACTGATTGAAAATAAAGAACAAAATCAACTTATAATCTCACTTTAAATTATATGATTAAAAAGTATGCCCTGATTCAATTGAAATTTTCAAAACAATTTCCATTTTATTTTCTGCAGTTTCAGGCTATCATTATGAATACAAGATAAAGATTGAACATACTGAAACAGAAAAACAACCACTCGTTTGAGAAATATCAAACTAAGAAAACACTAGAGACAAAAAAGTCTACAAATACTTAAATACTACTATATTCCTTATCTAGTGGGATCATTATTAAACTTTTTAAGGGATATTAAAATAACCTTCGTCATTTCTTCTTAGGGTGAGACTAGTTGACCATTGAAACCTGGCCAATGTGGGGAGATTTTCACATGAAATAAGAAATGTTGGCAGCTGTGGAGAGGTTTACATGTATTGAGTGAGCTTTTACTCTGTGGCTTAGAGGAAGAGCATCTACAAGACTGAAGGGCTTTGAATTTCAATTCCTCGTATGGAACTCTGATTTTTTGTTTCCACGTCATGATAGATAAATTCATCAAGTCTTACCTGACATTGTTATGAAACCACATCAGCTGAACTTTCCAAGGACTGCTTCGTAATTTGTGAACGAAAAGCAGCAATAAAATTCATGTCTGTTATAACCTCTGTTCTAAAATGACTAACAAAATTTTCTTAGGACGTACAAAACGAACACCAAAAGTATTTTGCTGTTGACAACCTTTAGTACACGATCACTCTTTAAAATATTTTCAGTGATTTTAATCAGATGGTACCAGGTGCTAATTAATGGCTTTCAACGCCTGAAAAAAACATGAATAAACGCTGAAAGGAATTTGAACAAAGTACAATGGTTACTTTGCTCTTAACCAGCTAATTGCAAGTACTTAATTACCATTGAGGTATGAACTCCCCAAGGATTACTAAGAGGCCAATTGAGAAGTATTTCACGAAATCGTTATGTCATACAACAAAATAATATGGAGTTACACATATAGAGAGGATCGGTGAAGGAATAGTTCAAAAAAAGTTGACTTAACTGCCCTTCGCCATAATCAAAGGTTATCCTGAAAAATTCTAAGCTAACACATACAAGGCGATGATTTGAGCTTACCATGTCAATCGCAGGTTTGCAGAATTACCAGAAGCGACAAAAGACCTTCTGTCCTTTTATAGGGCAATAATATGGTGATATTTTTTGCATAAACTACTGGCATTGTAGAGTATTGATAAGTGACCCCTCCAGCAGCCAGATGTCGACGCTTCTCACATTTAGTCCCAGGGCTTTAGAAATTGGCGCCATCGCTAATAGTAAAAAGCTACCTCTTCCAGGGTATAGAGAGATGATGGTCTAACTTTAATGACCATTGCCACGCTGCTTCTCTGCCTTTATTTGTTTTTAAAACTAGATAAATTTTTTCTTGAAATATTTTTTAAATCGTTCTTTATACTACATTCAGAAAATAAATGAATGATAGCATTTGTGCTGACCCTCTCATCCCTCCCTAAAGATAATTATGATTTTCGCTTTTTACAAACCAGCGGTCTGAGGAGTAAACAGCTGATGTGTTCTGTATGAACATATATAATGTACTGCAAATACGAAACAGGGACTACAATGGCGGAAATAAGGGGTGCCTTTGGGGTATAATTAAGGATTACTGGGTCTAGATCTAACTTTTTCTACAAAACCCAGTCATTGTGCAAGTTTGGATTCCGATATAACTGATTGAGATTTTAACTACCATGAAGCTGTCGCCTCGAGTTTTGCCTGGTGCTCTTCATAGTCATAACAGAGGAGCTTGTGATTGGTAAGTCTGCTGGCCTGGTTTTTTCCTCCATTGAAAAATTTGAACAAATTGAGCCCATTATTCAAAATCAATCGCACACAGTGACGTTCCTCGTAACTTTTGTATAAAGAAACACTCGAAGCTCGAGTATTGGTATGTAAATCTGTGATGTCGAAAAAGATGGACGAGGGACCAATTTCTTTATTATAATTGTTTCCTCTTAACAGTGTTTGCTTCCTATCCCATTAGATTCATATAACAATCTTGTGTTGTCTATGACAGTATGATGAAAAAAGGAAACTGCAAGCAATTAAAGATAGACCCCTTTCCAATATCTCGACTGAAATTTCCCCTATTGACTTTGCATATTATTTTGTTGGCTAGTTCTGATAATGCGTCATTTCATCAAATACATTTGAAGAATTTGTTGTTTTTTTTTGTTTGGTTTATAAGGGGACGACAGTCACTGATTGCCTATGGTTGTCAAAACTTTGTAGTTGTCTTTGATCCCAAATCAGTTCAGGTGAGGATAATCAGTTTATCTTCTAATCGTTTTATTTCAGATCTGTGGCTTGAAAACTAATTTCTGTATTTAAATTGTCTAATATTCTCGTCACTTTTTTCTTTCTTGACAGGTTATTCAAGTGCTAACCTTGCACACTGCCCCTTGCACAAAGGTAGGTAAATTTAGATCTCTAGGACTATCTAATTCTCCTGATTCATGTTTTCATTGTTTATTAAAATTGTTTTATTTATAAAGATGTTTTTAATTTCCCCACATTCATTCTTAGGTGAAATGGGCACGTGATAATTACCATCATGACAGTAATTCTCCATATATACTTCGTCTTGCATCTGGAGATACATCTGGTAACGTCATTGTCTGGGACATTTCTCAAGGGACTGCAGTGACTGAGTTCTCAGATGGAAACAGGCCAATTCTTGATCTAGAATGGCTTGCAACTCAAGATGCCTGTCATGATCTTTTAGCAGTTCTCCATGCTCCATCATCAATGATCCTTTGGAATGCTGATACTGGCACAAAATTGTGGAAAAAGACTTTTCAAGAAGCTCTGCTCTGCTTTGCTTTTGATCCTTTTATACCTTCAAATGTAACCTGTAAGTTGAAATTTTATCTTTAAAAAGTGCATACTACATTGAAAATATGGGTTAGACTTTACAAATGGTATCTTAACCCACTGATAAGGCTATGTCACAATTTATTACAACATCTGAGCCCAGTGGATTGCTCTTTTACTCTCCTTGAAAGAATCCATAGGTAGAAGCAGGAGGAAAGTGAAAAAAAGCAATCAAGGATTACTAGTGGGAGAATTCTGGAAAGCAGCCAGAAAATATTTTTGAGTGATCACTGATATCTTGCAAACACTTTGAATCAGTTAAACTGTAATTAGTTCAATCTATAAAAATATAAAAAAGCAGTATTTCTGAGTTTATGAAACACATTTGTTGGACATATTCAGGAAGATTTTTTTCCTAAAACTCATCCAAGAAAAAGGTACTAAGTTGCATTCCTTTGCCTTAACCTTGTTAAGTGATGTGTCAGGACTGGATTCTCTTCATCAATGACTTCTCCATCGGCAAAGCCCCAGAAAGCAATGGGCGTAAGTTTTACCTTACAAGCTCTGGCTCTGCATCACCCAGTGGCGGTTTTGTTGGCTCACCAACTGCTGGCCCAGACAGCAAGAATGCAACCAAACAATCCACACCCAAGTCTGCTCTCTCTAGGATGAGGCTATGGGGAGGAGGTGAATCAAAAAACAGGTAGAATTTATATGTTTCATCTTCTTTATCCATGGGAGTGTTTCACCAAACATGTCAAGTTGTATTTAACCAAAGGGGCCCTCAGGTACCTTTCCTAGTGGGAAAGAAAGTTTACAGTTCCTAAACCCTACCCCCTACTCTTTCTCTTCCCTGTATGATTGCTAGACTCCACAAGAATTTTTTTTCCAATTTGCATTTTTTCACATTTACAAAAACTCTGTTAGAGATTGTAAGAGTATGTCCTATATCAGTTATGGTTTCAGCCTTTAAGTAAATTAATTCATTTTTAGTAGATTTGCAAACAAGAGAATAATTGAAACTGGAACTAATTTCTGGGGATAATGCATTTGGTAAAAATGTCTTTTGGATTATAAAAACTCTGTTTCCTATTGCTTTCCTGTTTTAGAGGTGGAGAAGAAAGTGTGGCTCTGAGTGACTGTCTTCAGCTTGCATACCTTCCATCTGCTCATCATCATCTTTTAGCATTGTTTCCAAGGGAAGTAATGATTTTAGACATGGAAATCAACCAGGCAGTTTGCTCATTCAGTCTGGAGAGAAACAGCCCTTCTTTTCTTCAGGTCATCCCTTGTCAACAACGTGATGTTCTAATGTGTTTACATGAGAATGGCAGTGTGATCATGCGAATGCGTAGAAGAGTAGAGAACAATCCTTACTTCACTGAACCTGATGAAAGGAGTAATGATGTAAATTCATCTGTGGATATAATCTATGAGAACAAATGCCAGTCAGATCCGCTGCGTCTCAGCAAATCAAGCCGACTCTTTGGCTTCATGTGCTGTCCATCAAGTGAACGGAAAGTTGCCCTTTTGATTAGTGATGGAAGAATGATTATTTGGGAATTAAAGGCTAAAAGGCTTCAAGGAGAAGCATCAGTCTTGTCACAGGAAGCTTTGAAAGCTTCACTACCATGCAACACAGACTCTGAACGCCTGCAGTGTCATGTCAATCCTAATTTGACACTTTCTGATGTGATTCCTCCACCTCTTACCTCTGGAAATGTCATTCAAAATTCTGTTCATTACAAGTTTGTCATGGTAACCCTTTCCAGCTCAGTATCATCTCCTCCAACTTGTGCTGTCATGTGTCCGCCCTTGACTACTAAGAATTGGGGGAGTTACAAGCCTTTGTTAGCAGTTGGTAAGAGACTTCATTACATGTCATATTGTAGAGTTTTGCTACAACTTTGTTTGGTTAATATATAGAACATACTCAATACAACAATTTCTAAAAAGATTACTAATTGTCTTTTTGTACAGGAAACACCCAAGGTTGTATTCAAGTTTTCAATCTGGGTACTGGCTTACTTGCAAGAGAATATACGATTCACACTGGAGCAGTGAAGTAAGACAATTTACCTACTTCGAGAAAAATTCAGTTTGAAAAATACACCGAAAAAGCTAACTGTTGTGATAAATTTTTTTTAGGAGTGTTAAGTGATGTCTTAGTTTTAAACAAGTCTACTGCTGTAGTTCCTAGGAAATTACACAAGCTCAGTGGGAATTACTGATTAACCCTCTGACTCTCCAGACTGGATGCTATCTAATTTTTACCAACAGTATCACTGCTGAATCAAACACAAAAGTTGTGCAAATTTAGGAAGTGATCATCACCCTAAGAAACTCTATATTATAAAACAAATTCTTCTCGTCAAAACCTTAGGAAATGTTGAGAACAATGTGGAAAGTAATATGCATGCTAATGTGAGGGTGTCAAGGATTAATGTATAGGGAATTTTTTATTAAAATAATAAAAGATGTTTGTTGTTTCCATTACAGAGGCATTACATGGAGTAGTTTGGAGAGCTTTTTCTCCTGGGCCCAGGCCTCAGGGAGCACATCCAAAAATGAGCTTCAACTGGTCAGCATAAAAACTGGTAGGATGTCAATATACTTGAGTGTTCTAGGAATGTGCTTCTGAACTATATTTTGCTTGACCAAGAAGATTTTTATTTCCACATATCAATTATAAGTGTTGTTGTTTATTGTTGAAAAAATAATAGGTCAAACAACACCTATTGAACTTGGTAAAGCAGCACAGGAATCAACTGTTGAGGCTCTCAAGGTTTCTCAACTCAGGTAATAATTACTTTCAATTTTGTATGAGTGTTAAAAACAGACTCACTGCCACGGGGACCCCAGTCTGAACTGCAGCTCCTAATTGAATCCTTTTTCCTATTTTACAAATTTTTAAGTTTTATTAGATTATTTGCCTTTTATTTTGCAGGCAATATTTTCTTGTTGTGATTAAGGACAGACCACTGCAATTATGGGATTTAAAAAATCTCACAGTACTCAGAGAGATGCCATCAAACTTTCCATCAGTCACAGCTTTGGTATGTGTGGTATAGTAGGCAACCATTCAAATGAAAGCTTTGAAAGAGTCATTATTTTTCATTATCATTACAGTGTAGAGTAGATATATAAGTATGCATTTCATTAAAACTGAGTGATGTTGTTTTCAATAGTTAATTATAATTTAATTGTCCTTAACTCTCCAGGAATGGTCACCATCTCTTCACTCCAAGCACTTGAAGAAAAAACTGAGTCAGCAGTTAGAGCAGAATGCTTCTGGCATTGCAGCAAATGTTTTGGATCCAAGCAGGGCAAACCAAACACAGACACAGGTGAAAATACTCCCTTCAACAACTCCTCCCTTGTCCTTTGAATTACAGGAAAAAATTTTTTAGTCTACGAGCAGGCCCCCCCTTAATTAAGCACTAGAGCTCTAACTTCTCTTCACCCCCAGGCCCTGAATAATGTGAGTAGAGAAAAGGTCTGCTAAGGGTCTAGACTCTTGGCAAACCTCTTCCCAACCTCCCCCCAGATAATCCAGCCGGCAGAGAAAGGCAAGTCCTTCTACACTAATAAAGACACCTTGTTCACTGGTTTCTTTGCAATGGATAATCTTTCCTAATTAATTCAAGTGTAGAATCTTGGACTAATCTGCTAGGTTTTTATTTTCACGCAAAACATCTTGACTATATACATATTATGTGTTCCATCAAATCTCAGTGCAGTCTTAGAAAGCATACTGTTACAAATTACAATCAGTAACACCAAGGAGTGTTTTTTCTGTCTTTTGGTTCACCAGAAGAACTTACTGCTCATAAAAACATGTTTTTTGTTCAATGTTCTTTTTTTCCTCAGTCCTGGATTAAAGAGCACTTTGTGTGTGTGGATCAAGACAGAGTGTTGTATCATTTCCTTGTAGAGGGAACAGTGATCAAAGACGGCTCCAAAGTTCAGTGTGATGTATGTTACTCAATAATTTATGGTCAAACTTTTAGGTTGCAATAAAGTTATTTTGTCTTGTCATGACAATACTCCTGTGTTACTGTTCGGGAGGAAACATAAGGAACAGGTGGCAGAAGGTATGGCAAATTTCCCCCCCCCCCTCCCTCTTAATATTTAGAACTTATTCAGTGAAACCTCTCTGACTGTTATTGTTGAGTTCATTTTTTGTTTTAAACACTGAAAATTGTTTCTCCCACCTTTCCACAGAGTACCCTTGGAATTGTAACTTATGTTGCTTGGAAAGGTGACTATTTGGTGCTGAGTGATGTGGATGGCAATTTAAGTATTTGGGAATTAAAGGCAAGAGTAACCAGGTAAAAACATTAGTTCTGTAAGTCTGAAAAAAAATATAAAATAAAAAACAAGCTAAAACAGGATTAATTAGTGGGAAATGGAAGTTTGTTTTTTTTTCAGTTTTTCAGTCATTTTTTTTCCTAACCATTTTGATCTCTGTTTTTACATTACAAGATCTATTGCAACGCACAGAGGACACATAAAGAAAATAAAGTTTGCTCCTGGGCGGGGTAACTTCAAACTTGGTGTGCTCTTTAGTGATGGAGTTGATATTTGGGACCTACAAAAGGTAATTTATGTTTTTTTGCCAGCACATTGTAAATAATATAGATCTACTCAGAAACATGTTCCTTAGAATGGCATTTTTATAGCTTTCCATCACCTTACGCAGTTAACGTCAACAATATGCAAGTATTGGGAATCATTTTTTGCATTATGTAGTGAATTCAAGATTTGTGACATTTTGTTGGAATACAAAATTAAACTGTAATAACTATGTTTTTTTTCATCTTAAGTTTGAGATCTTCAGTAGCTATAAGCTGCCAAAGGAATCTCCCCCACTTATTGACTTGGACTGGTTGGCATCAGACCTACCCATAACCACCCACACTAATGGAGCTATCTTTGTGATGACCATGGATTTAAATAACTCCACCTCATCTATGGCTCAGATGGATCTTGATGGTATGTACCTGTGTTTGACCCCTCCCACTGCAACATATTTTGTGTGTAAACTGTGATCTGTTCAATGATTGGCTTTGCTGTGTTGTTATTAAGGTCCTTTATGGTGTCCTCACATCATGGAGCCAAAATCAAGTCTCATTCTGAAGTCCATTTTACAGCACTCACTTGGAAGGGACAGATACTCACTTACGGATATCTCAGACTTGTAAGGCTCAGATTTATTTGTTTTGCTATGTGTAGAGGTAGTGTTTGTAGAACGTATCCTAGTTTGGAGAAAGATGTTTTTCGTCTTTTCTCGAGCGTAGGACAAAGAAAAAATTGAGTCCCCATGAGGAATCGAACCTCAGACCTTCGGATTTTCACGCTCCGATGCTCTACCACTGAGCCACAGATACTCTACGGTGAGCGAGGCCTATTAAGAAGTTCACATGACACGCGGCCTGCATACTAAGATTAGCAATGTCGATAGCGTCATTTTTGTGTATAGAATGAAAGAGATGGTAAGTTTTGAGCTCGGTAAAGTAGTAGAGCATCGGAGCACGGAAATCCGAAGGTCTAAGGTTTGATTCCACATGGAGACTCAGAATTTTTTCTTTGTCCCACGCTCGTGACAAGACGAAAAACATGTTTCTCTATTCCTTTACCAAGCTCAAAACTTACTATCTCTATTATTCTACATCCCACTTCAGTTTATACTTAAACACTGGATAGTGTTGAAGGTGCGTTTTGATTGGCTACTAAAACTCTGAATATCCTTTGTTATTCACCTCCGAGCGATGCGCGCAGGATTTGATCCCGAAAATTGGCAATCGTTGAGGAAATAAATGAGTTAAAGTCATCTTTTTGTGCTATGTTATCTCACTGTTTTAAGTTTTGTGGCTCGGTAAATATCCACCACTAACCACCTCCACTTCGGTTTCTAGTTGTTAATTGATACTGAGCTGTACTTTCCATTACAAGGAGTAAATTATTAAAATATAAATTTTGAGGGTTTTTTAATGTTATTGGTGATAAACACAAAAAGGAGCACAAATCAGGAAAGCACAAACGGTGAAAAATTCCTCTCAATTGTTGGGTAGAAAGTAAAGCTTTTCCTGTTGTCAGTTCTATTGCTAAAGTCTCTCAACATCTTTGTATTTACTTTGTGTTCTTTACTCGGTTTAGGGAAATCAAGAAAGAGGAATCTGTCAGTGCAATTCAAGATCAACTAAAAATGATTCCATTGTGAGTACAAGAATGTTTTTGTCTTTGGGAGGAAATTGCACTTCACGGCCTGTTCTCATGAGATTCCTGAGAAAAGTTCACAACTGTTGCTACCCGATGACTGCATTCTTTCCCATACAGAACATATAACAGACGATAAAGCTGAAACTCTGGTAATAGGAAATTTCTTTTTTTTTTTGTACAGGGCCATTGAAAATCTGCTCCAGAATTCGACTCTAGGGACTGCACAGAAGTGCTACCTTGCTGCTTTGTAAGTTCAGTCTCATAAAAAAGCTTTGGGTCAGATTCAATCCTTCAATCAAGTTAGTATGTTCTGTTTTACAACACTCTTTGGTTTGCGCCATTTGATATACGGATTACTTCGGCTGTTAAATCTGTAGTCATCAGTGAATTAACAAGGAGAGCTATTCTCTGAACGTTATTAGCTTTACTGCCAAGAGTTAGTTTCAAATCTCGTTTGCGCGTGAATTGCGGCTGGACTTAAGTCTCTCCTTATAATTTATCATTTTAGTTTATTTGGAGATGAATCCGAAACAGCCTTTTGGGAAGTTGCTCTTCACTTCCTCAGACGAGAAAAAGCCAGGTTGTTGTGTGCAAAGCATCAGGTACGTGTTAATTTAACTAATAATAACATTATCCTCAGCAGAAAAAAACTACTTAGGTTGTGTAACAGTCAGGAGGGAGGTTAGTCTTACGAGTTTAGTGGTACATAGGTGCTGATCCATAACCTGACTCGACTTTCTGACTACTCCTCCTGGTTGAGAGAATAGTTTATCGCCGGTATCTCCCCCACCCCACCCCGCTGGTATCTCCCCCACCCCACCTCGCCTCCCGATCTACCTCTATCGCTCAAACCCAGACACCTCGAATCCAAATTATAATGCACTTACCGTGTCTGCCTTCATAAGAGGACTGGCCGCGCTTAAAAACGTCCTTATGAGTTCACAGTTGTTGATTTTTGTTTACCTTGCAGAGTGACCATCAGCCCTTGTACAATCGTGCACGATCATACTCAGCTGATCTCTTCAACCCGTCAGAGGCTACAGCTAAGCTGAAGCGGAGCTTTAGTGCTAGGAGCCTGGACTTACTGTCAATCGACGATGACCTAGACTTGTGTGGCCAAGAGGAGACTGGTACGAATGGAAGCGAAACCTGTTGCTGCTACCCAGTCTCCCTCGACACTTGTTATGACATCCTTAGTGACACTGATGCATTCCAGGTGAGTCGACTCTTTAGTAAGTAAATAAACAATGTGCTTCCTTACACCTGTTCCAACAAGGCTGTAACTCTACTCCTTTCCCCTCTACTTACTGGAAAACCACGGTCACTCATGGGGCCTGCAGTCAATCAGCCCACACCAACCACCTTCCAGAACGACCAGTTCAAAAGGAAAGGCTTGTTTCTGTGTTTTGTAAAAATTTCACTAGAGTGGTTTTAAATCATGAAAGATATTGTTTGGATTCTAGTGGCCAAATTTAAGAAATCAACAACAAAGAAAAGCGCTGCATTTTCCGTATCGGAAAAAAACAGGAAGACTTTTTGGGAAGTTTAAACAATCATAGGCGTCGTCTAGTTGTACAGAAAAATCCTTAAAATTCTTCCGAGTATTTCTTTAGTGACTCTGTTTGGAAAGAGGAGTACGCAAAGTCACGTAGTACTTCTCTTCACTTAAGGTATGGCTTTTCCTCAATCGGTGGACAAGAGTTTGTAATGATTCAGTTTTTTAACCATTGCATCTTTTGATCTTTTCTTAGAGGAGTCAGTTGGACCGACTCGCTCTACATGACAGCAAACGATCCACATATGAACATACGAAAAAATGTGCCGATACTCTGGTGCTCTTGGGACAAGTACGAACACAGTTTGACTTGATTTATTTTGTATACTCATCAAACTATGTTTTTGTTGATGAAAATGGCAAGTAAAGCTTGATCTATAGATTGTTACAGTTTCAATTTCGATAAAGTATGGTAAATTCAGTTCTTCTTTACAGCTCAGTTCTCCCCCTTTGTACGTGAAAAAAAAACAACCATATTCTGTAAGGTCCATTTCCTGTAGTTCGCTTTGTAATAGGCAAGCCTTGAACGTTTGGGCTGTGGTCAGCCCCAAGAGATTTTCGCCAGGAAGGAGGGCTTAATGATACAATTATTGCCTTAACTTCGCTACATTATTTTTTTTATTTATTTACTTTTTACACGATTTTGTTACAGGCAGACAGAGCAGTGCAGTTGTTCCTCGAGACAGATTCCGCCAATGATAACTATTATGTGGACTCTCTAAGGTATTCTTGAACATCAATTTTTTGCTCAATAAATTTACTTGGTAGCAAAATTTGACTCGGGGACTGAGTTCGGTGATAGTGCATTTATCTGTCGCAAGTTCTCTGAATTTGCGTTAGTTTTGATGTACTTCGCTCTGATTGGTCAAGAAAACTCGCGCCACCTTCTCAGCCAATGAGATGCAAAATTTAAACCAATCACGACAATTAAGTCTAGCGTTTTTCCGCGCTTTAGGCCTTTTACATACATTTCCTTTGAGTTCTGATTGGTTCATCGTGTTACCATAGTTCTGATTGGCCTTTGTGACCACTTTGAATTTGTTTCACGGCATTTGATCAAAAGGTTCACTGAAAAGAAAAAGAAAAAACGAAAACGAAACAAGATGTTGAAGTGATTAGCTTTTTGTGGCCTCTTCCAGTGTCTTAAGGATGGACTAAAATATTTCTCAATAGGAGCGTCCTCCCTACGCTATTATTCCCTTTTATTACCTCTCATCCTTTTCCTCCATAGGGCCTGTCTTGTGGCCACGATTCGTTCGTCGGGTGCTTCACAGAGCACCATCAAACTTGTGGCCACAAATCTCATCGCTAGTGGTAAACTTGCAGGTGAGCATTATCGTGGCAATTAACGGGCATGTGCAACGTAGCTGCCGATATTGAGCGGGTTCATAATGAATCTTTTTTTTGTTATTATGTACAGAGGGAGTTCAGCTCCTCTGTTTGATTGACAAGGGACTGGATGCCTGCCGTTATCTTCAGACATATGGCGAATGGGATAGGGCTGCGTGGCTAGCAAAGGTAATATCTTCGCCCTCTGAACAATTTCTTGTACTCCTCCAGTGTTTCTCTGTTAAGTCGCCACTTTTCCTTTCTTGGGAAACCGCAAAATAGGGCATATTTAATCAGTGTCGATTGCAGCCTGGGATTCCACTGGTCTTGCGTTACTACATCTGGGAAGCGCGCGCCATCCTCTCAACCAAAATGCGAAAATGTTTGTTATTTATATCGTAATAACCTTTACTGTAAGGTGAGTTATAAAATTAGTAAGATTTAGGTATCGATACCTCTCTTACGCATATATGTTGTTCGTATAAGGGCACCATGCAGTTGACTGTCGAAAAATTGGATAATCATAAAAAAGGATAACATCAACATTAGCCAAGGAAAATTCATAGTAAAAACGGACAAACTAACAAAAGCGCGGGAAAACGCGGGTGACCAAACCACGTTTGGTCCTCCTTTTACGTTTGATTAGTTAAGAGGATGGCGCCAGTTTCTGGACCAAACACAGAGCGAGGTGAAGCAAAGACAAAGTAATCCCGGATTACTTTCGCGATTTCAGCAAATAATCGATTAGCACTGCAGTTTTTTTTTGTTTTCGATTTTTTGGGTTTTTTTTTTGTTTTGGTTTGGTTTTTTTGTTTTTCAATCAAGGTCCCATTGTGCTTGTTATTGCAGGCAACTCTGAGCTATCCAGACTGTGCAGAGGTGGTTAGAAGATGGATTGAACATCTCTCCAGTACACACACCAGTCAACAGGTCAGGATAGAACAAAGAAAATCACAACAAATACTAAATTAGCGACACCCGTAAATATCATTGACAAACTAGTTATTTTCCTCTCGCATGCAAACAGCCTAAAAATGGTACATGACGAATCAAAATGAGAGCGATCATACGATATTTCCCAGTTTGCGACATGTTTAGGCCAATAGTGTAAGGAAAGATATTTACATGTTTTACCCGTTGTATTTTACAATTATTTTTTTGGAACTTTTTTCCATTGTAACCGTAATCTTTTCCCTAAAGAAGTAGCTTTACTTTGTAGAACTTATTGCAAAGAACAGTCTCTGGTGCCTCTGAGAAATTGTCTCTAATAAACTGTTCATGGACAAATTTTTGCAAGGGCAAGTTTGCTATTTGTTTTAAACAAAGTTTCTGTTGATACCCTTTCTCTAACAGAGCAAAGCTGTTTTGGTGCTACTGTCCTTGGGAAAGTTCTACAAGGCGCTTGATATGCTCTACAGGTATGAACAAGAACTGAAAGTTTTACTCCAGAGTTTTTGAAGTATTTAATAGTCATCAAAATTACATTTTTGTTCATTTTCAGCATGCGTTACTTTGACCGAGCAGCAATGTTTGCTGAAGCCTGCCAAGAATACGGCTTTCTTTCGCCATCAGACGAAAAGAACAGTATCCTCTTGAAATATGTTGTTGTTCGAGGGAGCGCTCTCAAAAAAAGGGTTTGATTACATAATTCGACGATGTTTTAGCGCTCGCTAGGATTAATGTGTTCTGGCCTTTTGAGAGTAACTCTTCTGCAAAAGTACTCGGGAAGGCTACAAAACGGAATTGCAGGGGGGTGGGGTAAGGGCTGATTACCTGGGATTAACTAGCGTCGCAACCAGGTGGAGAACGGATACTTATGGTAATTTATGCCACGGTAATCGATATAAACTCTGCTGTTTATGCATGAGGGAAAAGGTTTGGAAAATAGGTTGTGAAGACTTGAGGTAGCCGTTCTGTCTCCTGTAGGTCTCGCTTAAGGCGTGAGACATGTTAAAACAAAATCTTACTGTTTAGAATATGTCCTTAACACATTGATATCAGCTGCCCTGGTACACGCAGTCTATACGGAATATGCTCGATATCTCCATGGTCTTGGACTTGAAAAACCAGCTTATTTCTTTGCCAGTAAAGCTGGACCAAAAGCACGACAACTTCTGGATGGACTGTAGAAATACAAACCTCAAAATGACGTAAAATGAAGAATTGATTCATATGTTTAATAAAGTCACTCGACATTTTTGTATTTTGTCAAAGGTTACTGGATACAAACAGCAGATAATCAATGCCTTTCACGAATGAGAAGAATGTATTAAGAACACACGAAAATTATGCGTTTTACCGTTTTCAGATGATGAGTATTAAAAGAAGAAACAAAAGTCGTAGTTAGTCGTACGGTTTTTCTCATTACTAACCAGATATTGGGAGCCACAAGCAAGCATTTCCGTGAATAAATATTGGCTAAACGTCCGAGATAAATTTTGCAATTCTCAGAAGATAAACGTCTGTATCCTAAAGAAGGCGAGTCACTTATTCTAAAGGTATTCAAGCATTTTACAATCGGCAATGCTTACAAGGCTGGAAATAGAACAAAGAACAATCTCGCGCTCTCGACGGAAATCAACGAGTTTAATCACACTGTACTATGTATTAACAGTAATGACATGTAATTACAGTCACCTAGATAAAGTGAGTTACAGGGAAACCGGGGAAGTAAGCTGTGGTCATCTTTTCCGCTACAATTTTCAGTCATACAATACCAATACACTTTCAAAGGCCAAAGGAGATGAGAAGAAAGAAAACATCAATGAGGGGTTATCGTTTGATTCAGCTCTAAATTCGTGGAGACGAAATTATGAGAAATGTATGGTGACATTGATGAGAATTGGCTATTGGACCTCGGGATTGAGAGGATTAACTGACAGGTCTGACAAGTGTGACAGGTATCTTCAGTTAGAGGCAATGTTAAAAGCCGCTCGTTAAACATTACAATCACGAATTACAGTGATAGAAATGGAAGGAACATTCAACTCTTTAGTGAGTCAGTCTGGTCAGTTTGATTGATTCCTCAAAGACTTGTTTCCTTTGTTCTCAGAAATGAAATTATTTGAGATGATAAAAAAAAGCTTTACTGAAATTCGACAACAACCATATGTGCAAGCTATGAAATTGCAAAGGCTTCAGTTCGTTTATAGATTATTTATGGGAATTATCTATAATGTTAAAAATTCCCATCGGTGCAACTTCGGTCAATTACTTAGTCAGATCGTCAGGCAAACTGTGACTAATTCGTCAGACAGTCAGTTAGTCCTTATGTCAGTCGGTCAATCAGTCAGTCAGTCAGTCAAATGGATAAAGGGGGTAAGGCGGAGAGAAAAAAGTGAGAGAGCCTGTCCACTGTCACCAACAGTCACCACCATTGTCACCAACAGTCACCACCACCCTGTCACCACCACGACGTCATCATAAGGGCTAAAATATGCGCTTCGTTGACGTTTGTTTTTTTTTCGACTGAGTTTGATGAAAAGGACATGACCACAGTACCTGGAAGCCACTTGGTTGAGCCTCAAGTTTACTCTAAAGCATCCTTTTTAATTATATTTGGTGGAAAATTTTAAAGCTTTGCATATTCGTGTGCAGCTGTATAGTATTCCTATAACCTGTGAATTTAATTTAAACCGCGATGGTAAGCTTTAGAACAAAAGTTCCCCTCCACTTGCCACTATGCAATAACAATCAGGCGTTCCATTCTATCCAAAGAAACTGGACACTAATGTTGGTATCCAGTTCCTCACAAGAAGTATATTTGTAAACAAGATGGCGTCTTCACCAGAAAAGAAATCTGCAAGACAATCCACACTTGCATTTCGATTGATCAATCCGGAGTTATTTATCAAACCTGTGAGTATCCTAGGTTTATTCTCATTTTATTTGATTCAATGGTAAAGCAATAAACTTCAGAGATCACTCTCGGACTGACTTAGATTTATGTTATCCATTTCATTAAGTTAGTAAATAATGACTCATCCGTTAAGCTCTATGAAAACCATCCCTATTCACTCTTCCACACTTCTTCATGCAGCTTCCTAATTCCCCAGTGAACAAACACCTACAATAATTGCTACATATCTTAACTCCCGGATGTGATTATTGTGTAACTTCTCCTTAAAGGTTGAAGTTGTTATCTTGATCTAACACCAAAGCCCTGTCACTATTTTACAATGAAAAGTGTCACAGCTATAGGGAAGAATTAACCTTTTAACCCCTAAGAGAGACTAGCATCTATTTTCTCCTTACAATATCACCCCTAAATCACTCATTAAGGTCATGAGAGTGAAGAAAATGATCAATAAATTAACAAGCTCTTGATTACTAAACAGATTCTCTTTGTCAGCACCTTAGGAAATGTATGTATGACAGTATGGAGAATATGCATACTGATGTTAGTGTGTGAAGGGTTAATAATCAGATCTTTGGAGTTAAAGGGTTAACTGGTTTGCCAAACATTCAGGCTGATTTAGCGACAGGGTACCTGTAAACACAGAGGAAACAAATTGAAATGTAAGAAAGAGGCCTCATTGCTTCAATTTGCCTAAAATTTTGTCAAGTGCTAATGTCTGTAATGTTCAATAAAATTTTGCATCACCATTTGTTGTGTTAACTTCCTGTTTATATATCTTTTTTTTTCAATAAATATGTATGACTACTAACATTCTTAAAGTTGTGAAACCTAAGTCTTATAGACATTAAAATCAAAGAAAATTAATATTCCTGTCAGGTACTTATGTACCTTACATAGAGGATTGATTATTTGAAACAAGAAATGATTATCATTTTATTTATAGAAGTATTGTTAGAAGGAAAGCATTGCATAATTTTATTTTCTTCTTTTTTTTTCAAGTTTCAAGTTTCAAGTTTATTAAGTTTGCAGGAAAATCTTTGTACAATAATCACCTCCTGCAAATAGCGAGCTAATCTAGGCAGGCGGTGTTAAGGACATACAACACGAATTACAAAAACACGAATTATGCGAATTACTCGATTTTGCATACATTATTTGACAAAAGAGGGAAAAGGTGATAAGAAGTAAATTAATATATTATGTTTGAATTATAATTAAGATGCCTTTTTTATTTCAGAAATAAGAGTGCTAGTGTCAGCATAACTATCCAGACTTCCTAGAGTTGCAAATAGTAATGCTTGAATTTTCTTTTTGAATATGTGCTTCGGCAGACTTCAATAGCTTTCGGGAATACTGTTCCAAATTTTAGCCCCAACGATAGAAAAAGAGTTTTTATGATGATTAAGCCTAGAATAGTTAATATAGTAGTTATCAGAAGATGCTGATCGGGTATTATACTGATGTATGTCTTGTGTAGAAATAAAAAGATTGCAGATATTTTTAGGTGCAGAGTTAGTGGTTATATCAAGCATTAAGATTGATGAAAGTTTGAAGTAGAGCATTGTTATTGGCAGGATGTTAGATTGCGTGAAATATGGAATCACATGCGTTCTGAAAGGCAGAAAGTAGATCAAGCGAACAGCTCTCTTTTGGAGTATAAGAATTTTTTCTAAATAAGATTTGGAGGCTTGGCCCCAGGCAATGAGGCCGTAAGACATATAGGGAGAAATTAAAGAATTATAAATACTTAGAAGTGTTTTTAAGGGGACAAAGTGTCTTAGTCTCGAAATAATTCCAATATTTCTGCTGATTTTTAAAGCAATATAATTAATGTGGTGTTTCCAAGATAAATGTTGGTCAATTATTACCCCTAGGTATTTAACATGATCCTTACGTTCATTCTTAAATCTAGAACAAAGTGATCATGATTGGAGGTTCAGTTGCACTTGCTGGCTGTGTATTGTTCCTGGGTTACATGAATTTTGGAGGAGAAAAACAGACAGTTTCAACATCGGCACATAACCATGGACGTGTGAAAAGCAAGTGGGACTAAATGGCAAGTTATACACAGGAAAAGAACACTGGAAAAAAACATGCATGTCATCTGCATTATCAATAGACATATTCTGCTGTGGGAATGTGCCGAGGCAGTTCTGTGCTCTACCTCTCAACAAATCAAGCACTCCAGTTGAATTTAATGTAAACATCTCAGTAACTGCCATTACTGGATTGTGAGTAGAATGTTGTCACCAGAAATAGGCTAATAATGCTAAGAACAAAATTTAACACCGCCAGTATGCAAATGTCAATTTCCATTCTGAGTGTTGAGATCATAACAGGCAAAATTGTTTGGAGCAACTTCAAACTGCCACACAAATTGTTAAAATTTAAAGAGGATGAAAAAAAAACACTTCATCTATCAATAAGATAAAAGAGAAATAAACTGTAAAAGGATTCTTAGAAAATATTCTTATGTATAATATGTCTTTTGACAGCTCTAAGGTGAATCGTTGATTACGTGGACTGATATCAAACCAGTGATTGGCAATTTTTTTGGAAAAAACTCCTTTTTTCCCTTCCTTCCTGTTTTTAATCAATTGTTATTATGCAGCCAATTTATCTTGTTTGCTGATCATCTCTTGTGAAAAGAACTATTTAGTGGGTATCCAGTTACCTCGCTACCAAGCAGACTCGCCACCAGCGAACTCGCCACCAAGGAACGATCTCGCCACCAAGGAACGATCTCGCCACCAACGTATTCTGAACGGCCCGGCGACCAGAACCTGAAGCAGAACCTGGAACATCAAAAAACGGCTCTTTTAGGAGCCACCGCGCCCTGGTTGCGTCTTTAGGACGTTTCCAGGTCGCTAAAAATGGCTCTTTTAGGAGCCGCCACATCTGCAAAAGTCATGATCAACATATGAGCTGCTCTTCTAGATTTAATATTCAATAAAGTTTGTTGTTATTTTGCCGCGGGGAAACTGGGTAATATAATTCGACCGAATATTGAATAAGTTCCCTTGACAACATCACAGACGTCGAAATTTGCATACAGATAAGTAAACAAACTCGTGAGTCGATTCGTTCGAACTTATAACATCACAGACGTCGAAATTTTCATACAAATAAGCAAACAAACTCAGGAATCGATTGGTTCGAACTGTTAACTCTCCTTGGGAAACAATTGTAGTTGCCTTAAGAAAGCTTCAGTCCGTCGACGCTTACAATTTCTCGCACCGACTTGACAATTTCACGGATCTAGTTTTAATACAACTGCTATCGAGTTTCATTTCATCACTTATTTCTTCCCATGAAGTTTCATTTTCTCTCAAGTAAGTTTTTATTCCTCGCATCGAGTTTTGCAATTTCTCCTCGCTTACGTGCAAAAGACAAACACGATACGTTTCGATGTCAATGAGTTAGGAACGGAACACATCTAACACGTCGCTGAAGGTCATAATTTAAATACAGACAAGCGCACAAACGTATCGGCCGATTTGAATTGTGCTTGTTCGAACATCCTACTCTCCTCGACTACTTTATTCTAGTTTATCTCTTTATTGGTGGTTGGTGGCGAGAAGACTTCACTTGGTGGCGAGTACGTTGGTGGCGAGATCGTTCCTTGGTGGCGAGTCTCCCTGGTGGCGAGGTAACCGGTAACCATTTAGTGGGTTTGTACTCCCTTATCCAAGATTTCCTTTTATGTGGAATGTAGCAATTAAACCTCAAGAAAAACTTGTTCAGAGCATTCTATTCTGAATGACTGTGGATATATGAATATCATATGAAAAAAACATTTCAGGCCTGTACAGGAGTTGAACCCATCACCTCTGCGATACCGGTGCAGTACTCTACCAACTGGGAGCTCGTCATTTTGTTGGTTCGTATTTAATCCGTGAAGTGATGTTCATAACTGCTTTTCCATCAGACCAGTTGTTTAATCAGTTTTCAGAGAAGACCGAAAGTGGGGTAATTGTGAATAACAACTCCCTGAAAAAGCCTATCGGTCGTCAGTCGGCCAACAGTGCGCCGACTGTCAGCCGACAGGTTTTTCTATGGAGTTGTTCTACGTGATTACCCCATGTCCTCTCGACGAGCTCGTGAGTACGTGAGTACAGAAACAATTCAAACTAGTATGTCTTCCGCTATAATTACACATTTCCTTTCAAAGGAAGTTGAAAGTAGATTTCGACTGTCTCTCTTTCACTCTCTGAGGAGAGGGTCAATGGGATGTGGTTAAGCAGTTTGCAAATGTTTGAAATTTTTGTGGTTTAAAGAAACGCTCGAACTTTTGGAATAGTACATCTTATAGTTGTCAGGATATTGACCTAATACAACTGTATCGCATATAATCAAGAATTTGCGATTTTCCGGAAGCCACCGGACATATTGCAGGCGCAAATATCGCGTGGGGAATTTAATAAAATCCATTTGTTGTGGTTTATGACACGATTGCCTACGTTTTTGTTTTCGGTTTGTTTTGTCTCAGTTTGGTGTCTTAAATCATCACCCATCAAAGTTACTCTCCTAGCCCTCATTCATCTTCATGGGGTTAGGAAAAAGATGTTATAGGAATCTTTCTTGCGTAAGATAGTTTGAATTTAGAGAAGTCTTCTTATCAGAGTCTCTTCCTTAGCAATGGTAGTATTGCGTTACATGAATTGTATTTTCGTCATAAATGTCACGAGCCAGTAAGCCACTGGTTTAATGCATATTTTATGGAAAACTTTATCGCTGAACGACCAAAGCTCTATCCTGACATCTTATCTTTTGTGGTAGAAGACCAATCCATTTCTTTTGTTCTATTGTAATATTATGGACGACTCTCAAGTCTCTCAAGGCGAGTTTACATTTGCCACTTCCATGCGGCAAATTTTAAAAAAGATTTGGATCCATGTCACAGTATCTTAGCAACTGCGCACCTACCCCTCCCCTAATCCAACAAAAGTCACCTTATCGCAAATTGGGCCTTATGTTGGGTTAGGGGAGGGGTAAGTGCACAGTTGCTAAGATACTGGCGTTGATCCGAAGACTATTGTTTCTATGAGAATATTTACTTCAGGTAAAAAAGATACGTGACTTGGATATTAAAAAGGAAGCAAAACGTGATGAGCAGTGTCAGGTCGTATTGGGAATGTAGAGATCATGGAACTCAGTGAAATCGTGTGTTATACTATGACCCTCATCTAGTGAAATCACTCCCTTTATCTTCGATTATACTGATAAGGTCTGCAAAAGTAGTAACGATCACGTTTGTTTCAGTACTTACTTTGTTTGGGGTCTCGTGCGCTACCGATTGAACTGGCTTTCGGTGTATTTTACGTCACAAAACGTCACGAACTAATAGCACCTGTTCGTCATCTGCAGGGATCACGCGCTTCCTTCGCTCATTAAAAAGCTTTGAAAAATATGAGACCTTTGTCTTGCGTACTTCTCTCGTTTACATTTGAGAAAACGGGGTTTTATCAACGGAGTTGAACATGTAAATTGGCCATTGTAGAGAGTTTCTTAATCTTACATTTAGAGCGTCAGCTATTTCGTCACAGCGAAATCGTCTTGAAGGGCCGCTGCAAAAAATATAATTATCTTTGCACACCGAGATATCGGCTCATAAAACACTAACAAAGAATAAGTTTCCTTGTATGATTTAATAAACGCTCTCACGAGTAAAGTTCTACTCGATGATTCAAATTGTTTCTTTTTTTGTTAAATAATAATATAGCAGACAGCTTTGACCAACGAAAATTAGGATCTTTAAGATACTTGTCGCAATCAAAAATGTTTAATGTTTCATTTGTTGAAATGCGTAAATGTGATTTAACGTAAAATTCATGTCTATCCATCCTTGAACCACGAGCAAAAGGTAATTTGTGAAGATTGTAGTGGAATCATGATTTAATATTTAAATTAGATATCAAACATATCTACTGTGTACTTGGGTAACATCAAACAATTCTGCGTGTGATACACAAAGCGTGGATTGAATTTTAGAAACAAAACTGCATAGGCAACTGAAAAAAAGGCTCATACAGAGGTTTCCGACTTCCGTCGCTAGGGTTAATCTTGAGGGTCTCAAAAGGTTATTGTGGTTCACGCTCTGACGCGCAAATTGATACTACGTAATGCCGCACCGGTCACGTACGGCTCAGCAAGTAGGATCTACAAATAGTATATAAACAAACAGCCTTCCAGCTACTTCTCATAATCAGAGACAAACATTAGTACTAAGACTATTTATTATATTACTGCAAAGGTGAAGAGAATCACAGAGAACAGAATGGAAACAACTCCGGTAAGATTTTAATGAACGGTGCATAGAAGTTCAGTCCATTTTCACCCTTATTACGATACACGTTTCGTTCAATTTACACCTGTATAGATCGGCAACTCATGGAGTGAACTAGTTTTAAACAGTAGTCAGCGTATATTTGATTAATAGTTTTCATTACGCTTGCGGATAAAAATTTGGCAAAAAGCTATTGATGAACTTTCACTCAATGTACAGAGAAAAAAGGCTTGGTGCTACTTCGAAATTGATTAAAGAGGTTTTATGGATAAGGTTATTCGCGAATGAGTCTGAGCTTTAGTAATGAAATAGCGCTGATGTTCCAGTAATTGGTTAAAGCATTGAATAAACTCATGGCACGTACGACTTGATGCATATGAGGAAATTCTCGTAATATATGTTTGTGAAAGGTAATTCAATTTCAAAAGTTGAAAGTTTTTGTTTTCAATCCGCCCACACGGGGCGGAAGATTGAAACACGGATCATGTTGTCATACAATTTGTAAACGGACTGGAAGACGATGCCCGCTTAAATTTGAAGTGATAATTTAAACATAGCTATATTAGTAAACGTAAAAAGTTTCGGACATCACGCGATTCAACTGATTTGGATAACGTTACAGACTTGCTGAAAACAAAGTTTGCCATTCATTTCTGCCAAAAATGTGACATAACAGAATCAATGCAAGACGCGCGAAACGAGTTGGAATGCCATTAAAGCCATCATAATTCCTGACATCGCAGTGTCCAAGAAAAAACGATATTATTTTCAAAGTGTATCCAAATTGTGCAACTGAGTCAGTTGCACAATTTGGCTCCGAAAATTTGAGGTTGGATGCAATTTGAAATTCTTCGGAGCAGACTTTTTGGTCACCAATAAATTATATAATCACAGAACAGTCAAAAGGCCTCGGGGCGATTGCAAAACCTGTGATCCTATTACCATTTACACAAACGCGTGAAAAATTTTTGGCTGATTTCTATCAGAAGGATTCAACATGCCAAAGGATCTAAATACATATTTATTGCGCAAAAGCTGTCGCTCTATAACAAAGAGAGGTTTATCAAATCTAACCATATGTCAGGAGATGCCTGTATTTTTGTCTATGGCTGCATGGCATTGATTCCGGAAATTCGCCAAGAAACGATTTTAAAAACCAAAGTATTCAGTATTACGGAAATTTCAGACATTCCGTCGCTCTATAGCTCAATTTTTGCCCTTTTTGGGCGTGGCTTTCGCCCAATGGGCCAATTGGCTCGCACAATCGGCCTAAGGTAAAAGGGTAGCAAAACTTGTTTGAACCCTGATTGCAGTTAAAATGTCAAGAGGTTTTCCCTATACTTACTCAGTGTAATTCTTTTACTAGTTCCAGTGCTCCTATCGCCAGTGTTATGAACTCATCGTCAACGTCGTGTGTGGAAGGAACATCACACTTGGCGCCTGGAATGACACCTGTGAGTCAACATCAGGCCGAGTAGTTTAGCTGATAACAAACAGAATCGACTTATAAAGCCACGCACTCTAACTAAATAACTTACTTACTGACTCACTGACTTCCAAACAAACTAACTGACTTACTAACTCACTGACTTACTGACTCATTGTCTCCCTGGCTGACTCACTGATTCAATTACTTACTGATTGACTTCCTAAGTGACCGACTCGCTGACTCACACACTCATTGACTCACTTACTGATTCACTAACTCACCAACTCACTGTCTGACAAACTAACTGACCGACTTAGTGCCAAACTAATCCACTGGCTCATTAACGCACTATCTCACTCACTGACTAACTCACTGACTCTCAGGCTCATCACTTACTGTCCGACTTGCAGACACACTGGCTGACTCACTGACTCACTGACTCCCTGACTTACTCACTGGATCGCTGATTGACCAGCTGACACACTGACTTGCTGACTCATTGATTTTAACTGACTGACTAGTAAGTGAATGGATCATTTATCGATCTGTGCTTTTTTTCTAGTCGACACACCAGATCCATATGTAAAGTTATTTATCCCTACTGCTCCGAATGGACGGAAGAAAACACAGACGGTATCCAACTCTGAAAACCCTGTTTGGAACAAGGAATTCAAGTTTCTCATCGACAAAGAGTTGGAGAACGTTTTATGTGAGTACAACTTCCTGCAGATGGAACTGATTTTAAACTTTAAGAACGGAAGATTTCTCTTTTCTTTCACTGTCTTCTTAATCATCAACTTGGTTTTGGTTTTCTCTTCCTCAGATATTACACTGATGGAAGATGATACATTTAGTGATGATTTGGTCGGGGAAACAGAGACATTTCCCTTGAGTGGTCTGGAAATCGATAGAATTTTGCGCAAAACTTTCGTATTTCGACAGGTACTGATTTTGTTTACAGTTTAGGAAATTGTGTAACGAATTAACGAGACCAAAAGTATTGTAAACTGTCATTTTCATCTGCAAGTATTTCCGTGATTATTTTTGTCAGAAAGTCTAGATTATGTTTACACTGATTGATGTTTATTGTTTAACTGGTGGTGAGGAGTGTGTACTGATATCTGTTTTACGACGTAGGTACACTTCTGTGTTTTACATATCAGTGATTGAAAAAAATACAGCACAATTTAGATAGAAATTTCTTGTTTGTACTAACCAATCCACTTTTTACTCGGACTTTAAGCTCGATTAGAATTTGTGTCAAAATTGTGAAATGTCTTCAAACAGTTCTAACGTTGTCTACTTCTTTCTTCATTTTTGCATGCAGACTTCAGAGGTGGACATTACGCTCGAGCTTAAAAACTGGTAAATTTTTCATTTTGTCTTATTAAAGGTCATCCTTCCATCAAAAATGCAAACAGTAAACTAAAAATGATGATTTGCATTATAGTGCAGAGCCCCGTGACATGCGATACAGCTTGAAACTATGTGAGGATGAAATCGATTTTCGAGAGAACAGGATGCCTTTCTTGTTTCAAGCGATGAGGAAGCTTCTCGGACCAAGAGGACCAAAGAGTATGGATGAGGTTAGCCTATTTTTCTATTTTTTTCCGTGTAATTTCTTTCTCACGAACACCTTTAGAAGTCAGGCTCGGTCAAGCGTTTGAGGTATTCAGATAAACAATATTTTCGTTTTTCAATAACTTTTTTGTGTTTGTACATTGACAACATTCAACAACTTTCGGCACTTTATGGTATGAGGTACTAAAGCATTAACAAATTTAAGGTATATTTTTATCTCGTGGGGTACAAATCCCTACCTACCCTCCCCTATCCAACCCTTCCCACCTCTGGTCCAGCTCGTCGATTGCTGAACGGGTGAATGTGAAGTTCCCAGGAACAGATGAACATGAGGTTTCTGATGGTAACCAATTTAAAGTATTTGGAGACAGTGTCAAATTAAAGCTCAAAGATAAATTGCATTGGTTTGTCTTACTTATTCATAGTCGTTATTTCCTCCTAGATACCAACTGTGGGTATTGTTGGGTCCGGAGGTGGTTTTCGAGCCATGGTTGGCCTTAGTGGTGTGTTTTGTGCGCTAGAAGATATGGGTGTGTTGGACTGTGCCATGTATGCCGCGGGATTGTCAGGATCAACTTGGTAAGTTTATACAAAAGACAATAGTCTCTCGAACAGAAGACAGTCTACCGTGTTATACATAAGGGGCTTAACCTGGATCTGTTTTTCCCAGCAAAAACGATATAGCTTGAAACTGCAAGGAGAAAACTTTTGTCGATAAAAACGACCTCAAAGAAGACAGGGAAAGGTATTCTTGGAACGAAAACAATTGCGTTTCAGCGTAAGTAAAAAGATTAAAAAAAGATTTTGATGCAATCAAAATATTCCGCCTTATTGTTCCTCTTTCACCTGTAATTTTATCTTAGTTTGTAATGAAATCCGTCGTGCATGCAAAAGAATCAGCAAAAAAAAAGGGTTGATTTTTGCACACCACGCGGGAGTGTGGAAGTGAGGCACATAAATGTTACGGTTGCTCCTTTTCGTGCGCCTTACCTCAAGAGTTCCGCGCGGCGCGCTAACATCAATTTTCTTTTCGCTGTTTTTTTGCGCGATGTATCACGACACATTGTTAACCTTTTACATACTTTAGGTACCTCTCCACGTTGTATTCTCATCCTGAATTTCCAAATATCCATCCAAAGAAAGTGATGGAACAGCTGAGGCAAAATGTGCAACACAACTGGATCTGGATGTTGACACCTTCGTGGTTGTACAAGCACATCAAGATCATCCATCAGAAAAAAATACTAGGCCAGCCAATCAGTTTTACCGATTTCTTTGGCTACCTCGTGGGTGAAACCATCTTGAGAGACGTAAGTATTGATTGAAATCCTATTAATCCTTTTCAGATTAATAACTGTAATAATAATAGGACAAAAAGATGCCACAAACCGTGCAGAACCATACACAGGTTCATTTTAGGTCTCACCGCAGACGCTACTACATCGTGACGCCGGTTTTTAGATTTCAATTTGCATTCAATGTATGATCACGCTCAGTCTGTGATCACCCTGTTGTCGAAGGGTTTGCCGTCTAATCTAAGTCTGCTAATAATATCTTAGTTGAAAGCGTGTTTGTTGAATATGTTAAGAAGACAGGTGTTTCCTTTTCAGCCGCTCTTTAAGTCTGCCAAATGTAAGAGCCGTAATTGTTGTTAAGTAATTGTTTTTTTAATTTCGTTTTTAGCGCAAAAATATTCCGAAACTGAGCGATCAACGTGGCGCAGTCAAACACGGGAACGTTCCCCTTCCGCTTTACACATGCGTGCACGTAAAGAATGATGTTTCGGCAAAGGCATACAATGGTAAGTTTTCAAATATCGTTCGTTTAAGTTGCGCCATATTGTACAGCAATTCCAAATAGGCATAGACAAATTTAGTGTGATAGTAATACAAGAATCATGGATAGTGTGAAATTTTGGATGCGTAAAAATTGTGGAATTAACGCGGAGCAGTTAGATTGAGGAAATGATGATAAAGCCGTGAGTAAAATATATCACTACTGATCTTGGAGAGACCAAATCAAATTATCGATATTGTAACATAGAACTGCATGCGTACTTCACTAAAAAATGATAAAGATATCAAAAGTGCAAAATATTATGAAACTTGATCAAAGAGATGAAAACAGCGTAAGAACTCTGTCATTAGCCTCGACGTAGTAAGAGTCAGTTGTTGTCAAGTTGTAAATGCGTCAGCTTGTATGATACGTTCTTTTTACAACAGAATGGATGGAGTTTAGCCCTTATGAAATAGGAATGGCTAAATATGGCACTTTTATGAAAACGGAGGATTTTGGAAGCAAGTTTTTCTGTGGGCACCTTCACACAAAGTATCCTGAGCCTCCACTTGAATATCTACAAGGTTAGTAACACTTAAACAACTCTCCTGTTTTTTGTTTTTTTTTACTTTCAAGAAGAAGATGATTTTGTCTGGGTTCGTGGGGATGCTAAACTGTAGATTAATAAATATAGTCTCAAGCTGTAGCTGGGGTGATCAAATTTAACGGAAACGTACGGCCTCTTGCCATAACCAGTATAAGGAGGTTACAACCTGAAAACGTCAATATAAGTTAATTAAAAACTTTTGTTGGTGACCTCTCGTGGACTTATACTCCATTTAGGGTTTCATATAGGTCGCCATTTTTTCAAGGATCGACAAGTTGAAAAATTATTATATCTGGGATGTAGGCAGAGTACAAGAACATTCTTTTTAGGGGAAGATATGCAAGTCATTTTTTCTGAGAAAAAAAATTCTTGCATGTAACATTTGAGCTTAAAAAACATTTGCAAAGCTTGAAAATTTCCCTTCCCTCCCCTCCCCCACGATAAGCTCCTTGAATATTATGTTCTGTCACAAAGGTTATCAGGTAAAGACGATCTAAATTGAATTGCAAACGGAACCAAGCGTGTTTAATATACCAAGCTGACATTCCATCTTTCTCATTGCATTTCGTAGGCATCTGGGGCAGTGCCTTCACCATTTTACTGCAACGCATGCTCGGTGAGGGTCAAGCACCGAGTGCAATTAGAAAATTTCGCCGCAGCTCCTCCAGTATGAGAGAGGACTTACGTATGTATCTCCTTTGCTATAATTGTGGCTAAAAATTACCCTTTTAAGGCTCTAAAGTCTATGTCATGCGAATTTTCTGGAATGTGACTATTATTTATATATGTATTTGGCTTTGCTGCAAGCGCTCTGTGATGGATTAAACGAGGACTCGGCAGCCAATCAAATATCTTGCCCGCACTAAAGGCTTAGTGCGTTAAATAATACGAGGTTTTTACAAAAAATATCCCTCCATCCCCCAGATAAGATTCTGTATCCAGACAACGGACACGATGACGAGGAAAGCGACAGTGAAGATGAGGAACATGGCGTTGATGGTCTAAAAGAAGTACCAGTCTTTGATGAAGAAGACATGGAAGAACCAAAGGAAGATCATAACGATCCTGGATTGTTGGGCAGAATAGCGCAGAGATTTATGAACAAGTTCCCTGTGCTACAAACTCGCTCCGGCCGCGCGGGAAGGGTGCATAATTACTTGCGTGGTCTAGGGCTTGCGTTCGCTCCAGTCCCCTCCGGTGAGTCACCGTCGTTTGCTGAGTTAAAAGCTAAAAGCAATGAATTATTTTTTCTCAAACGTAAAAACAGTCCGTAAACAGTTGTCGGTTGTTAGTGGTTGTCCGGGAGAACCAGTGCAAAATTACATCCGCAGGAAACTCAGAGTGAGCATAACCTTCCTTACATCGCAATTTTTTTATAGTCTTGTAATACATATTTTCACGCAGAATCTGAAGACGTCACTGATACCGCTGACCATCCTACCCTGAAGGCTAAGCGCATATACCTGGCTGACAGTGGGCTCGTGTTCAATTCTCCGTATCCATTGGTTATAAGACCCCAGCGGGGATGCGACGTACTCCTGTCATTTGACTTCAGTGCAAGGGACAAAGAGATAGAGATGCCCTTTGAGGTGATTTAATTGCATCTACCTAAGCTTTACTCATATATAACAAGATAAATATTTGACAACTTACTTCCTCTCTAGGCTCCTTAGTGTTTTCGAATCAAGGTTAGTATCGAGCAACTGAGCATAACCCAACAACAGTAAACAGGACAGGATTAATGTTGGGCAAGACAGGGTCAATGTTGGGTAAGACAGGATCAATGTTAGGCTAAGGGAGCGTAAGGTACGCAGTGGTTCAGATACTGACAATGATCCCTGTTTCCCCCTCATTTTGGTCAAGTTTAATCTATTTCTTGGGCGCATTTCGGTCAAGTTTGTAGACCTCAAGTTTTATAGAAGTCGTTCTCGATAAAGAAGAAATGGTGAAACAGAAGCTGACAGTATTGCTGATTGATAACAATCCTCTTTTAATCTTCCATAGGAACTTTTGCTGGCAGAAGAATGGGCACGAAAGAACAAATTGAAATTCCCTCCCATTAATGCCGAGGAACAATACCAGAAACATGGTCTGAAGGAGTTCTATGTGTTCTCAGATCCTGAAGACCCAGAATGCCCCGTAGTCATACACTTTGTGTTGATGAACGGCTCTTTCAAAGACCATAGCCGTCCAGGTATGTTCGGTCACATGATCTACCCCAAGAAATTCACCAAAAAGCATCCCTAACAAACTTACTCAGTTGACTTTTCATAGCAACACTTATCACCCAAAATTGGTTGGCTTCCCTGACCAACATTAAAAAAAAAATGTCTATTTATTCATTACTTTTCTCCGTCCACCAACCTGTCAGGAACCGGTCATTATTTATCGTCTGGGAAGGGGGTGTGGGTCAGAGAATTTTAGTTGTGCCACAATAAATTTTACCTGATCCCACCCCCCCTCCCCCCATGGTTCTGTAGTATCCTAATGATCCTCCCTCATTGGCAGTCAATTTTCTATAGTCCCCCTTCCTTTATACACTGTTAGTGACGTCTGATACGGTGATATCCCCTCCACTCCCCCCTGAAAACCATGTGATCCCAAAAAAATAATGACTAAATAATGGCTGGTCTCCAAGACAAAACGCCAATGCTAAACAAGAAGGAAAAGCAAAAGAAGAAGAGACTCATTCTCAACTGCACAATTTTAGCTCATCTGGACTATGCATTGCGGCTGCCAGTCCAATATATCTCCCATATATCATTTGCTGATGTTTTGCGGTTTGACCTCCCCAGGTGTACCTCGCAAAACCTCTTCAGAAAAGGAATTCGGAGCATTCGCAATTTTTGAAGACCCTGATAATCATTACAGCACATTCAACTTCCATTACCCTCACAAAGCATTTGATCGCTTGACTCAGCTGATGGAATTCAACACACTATTGGCGAAAGAAACCATCAAAGATGTTATAGCTGATGGCGTCAGAAGAAAACGTCAGCTGAAAGCGATGAGGAGTTCGAGATAAAACAAGTAACTTGCTCAACCAAAGAAACCAAAATATTCAGAGGAGGTTCGATTGAACTTCGGCTGAAAACAGATCTTTCATACACCTCAAAAATAAAAAACACCAATTTGGACACATCAGAGCATAAATATTTGCTAAGTTGGTATTCTCTGGCATTCTCAAGATGTTATACATCATATCTCAGTCCCCACTCATGACTACGCCTTTTTTTAAAACGTGTGCAGTTGCGTAACGCTAATAATTGATAATACATCGCGCAGCGTATGCACCAAGATTTTTCGAGTTTTCCCCATATAACACATATTTTTAAGTGATAAATAATTATTACTTTGGTTTTCTGTAATTGACCAAACTATAGCAAGACAGTAGATGGTTCTATTGCATGATGAAAGAGGGCGAGGATTTTGAATTTAAACAACATTTAAAGCTATTCAACCAAACTATATCCGGTCAATTCATAAAATGTATTACGGCCAGTGTTTATAAAAGCATCGAGATAATTATTACCAAACTAATTGTACAGTTGTGAGATATGATAATAAAGATACTTTTAAAAAGTATGTGAAATCGGTGTCAGCTGTGTACAAAAGCACTTGTCAGTAGTGTGCGAGTTGGCCGAACGAAATCAATTTTTTTAAATTGATCGCATGAAACGCTAACTCAATATATGTATTACAATGTGGACACCATGAAGCCTGCTGAAAATATACAAAATGATGAAGGATTTTTTGATCTTGGAAAGATTACATTCAAACTGACTGGAAAGTTGCCAAAGATCTGCCACAAAAGCAGCAACAAAAGCCAACGAAAAAAGTGCAGAAAATGTTGGAAGCAAAACAGGTCAGCTTATCGGAGTAAAATTTGTGACAAATTTAACACTCGCAAGGGAGAAAAAATTCATGACACTCCCAAAAAGGTAGGAATTCGTGACACTCCCAAGGAAGATAAAGGAGAGGAACTAATCAAACTATTGGAAACACAAACAGAAACAAAAAATAACACAACTAAAAGAGTCTCCAAAAAAATATTTTCTGTTGTCACAACGGGGTTACTCATATTTTAAGAACCGAATTTGTTGACACTGCGATATAAAACTTTGATATCTTTAAGTGGATAAAATACTTCAGAATCAAAAATTTCAATGGTGTTTTTTCGATAGATCAAATACGGAATCAATTCAAAAAAGGTTATTATTACGTCACGAATTTGGATGACCAAATTGAACCTGGAATTCATTCTGTCCAACAGAAGTTTTTCAATTGTCTGATAAACGGGGATTGAATTATCTTTATAACAGTACTAGTGTCAAAATTTGATGAGTGTGGTGTGTAGTTACTATTATCAGTATTACATTAATGAATCAAGCAGGCAAAAAGATTATTATGATGTCATAAAACCATTTTCACAAACTGGCACCAATCATAATGAAAAATTAATCAAACACTAGTTACATTAAAGAAAATTTGAAAGGTAATGATGGAGAACGGGGTAGGGACGGGCCTCCAGGATCCGCTGGTCCTCAAGGAGTTCAGGGTCCAAAAGGTGATACCGGTACTTAACGACCAAAAGGTGATACCGGTGCTCAGGGTCTGATAGGTGATACTGGTGATCAACGACCAAAGGGTGAGAAATTTATGAAATTCAAGGGCCTAAGGGTGATTCAACTGGTTTAAAAATTGATAAAAATAATGCATGGGATGCTGATAATAAGACAATGACTGATTTAAGAAGAGGTCAAAATGATGATGATGCCGCTGTTACATTATCATCAGATGACTGACATAACTAGCGAAAAAGTCGATATGGATAACTTGCTTCCACAGACTTTGTAATCAGGACTGTTGATTCCATACTATGACAGCAGCAATTCATCACCACAAGATGTTATGAACAAAATATATATTGATTCAAAAGCCTTCTCCCTCGATTTGTCTGACGGCCTCGATGTGAAAGGAAACGCAATTTCTAATCTAGCTGACCCGATTAGTCAAACAAATAGTAGTAATAAACGGTACATTGATACGAAGACGAACAATTTTTTTAAAAATCGATGGGTCAGAAATGGTGTCTGGCAATCTCAATATGAATACAAGAAGTATCATAAACTTCAGAGAACCTCAACCATATCAAAGCACTTACGCTGGTAACGTAAATTATGTCATTAAGAAGACCTCTGACAGCAATGCAAACCTACAAATCAACGGCAAATTGAAAATGTATTTTTTTATATTCACAGTCCTAGTCACAACAACGAAAAAGTCGTCAAATTTGATAACAGTACCCTTAACACTGTCAGTTCAAGCAGCTCGCATTTTGCTGAGGTCAATAATGAATTGGTTGTCAAAAAACGTGGAAGTTATGAAATTCATTTTAGAGATGGTTGTAAGAGAGGCGCTGCAGATGTCCTGCTAAAAAGAACAGCATAGGAGATGTGTCCTTTGGTTGACAATTGGGATGAATTATATTCACAAAAATTCATCTCCGTATAATTGTTTTGTTATCATCACCGATTACTGTTTGAATTTTACACCAAGATTGCTTATAAAGTTTTAATGTTCTTTTTAATTTGGATATTGGTATGCTTTTATAGGGTAATTTTATCACCTTGAATATTCGATTAAAATGAAATTAATATTGATCATCATCCCTTTACGATCACCATTAATCTGAGGTAGCACACTCTCAGTCTTCAAAAATCTCTAATATCCTATATTTTTATCGTTCGTTGATATCTGCATGTTATCTTTACTGCATAAAGTGGTAATCATATTATAAAAGTGATACTTTCTATGATAAACGAACTTTCCCCTTATGTTATGTTGATTCTCATGAAATCAACAAATTCATTAACAGTGTCATATTTATCAACCTGACCGCAATAAACTCATACATATTCTTAATTATTGTTTTCAAGTTTCACATTCTTACAACATTTTTCACTTATCACTGTATGTTCATGAAGTTGCTCGTCACATATTGGACAATAAATCGACGACTGCGCTCAAGAAAACGAGCCCAACATTTTGCGCGACAGTAATAACTACTTATTAACCTAGCGCCAATATTCCCCGGTGTGGCTCGAACAAGCAAGGTAATTATTATATGGTACTCCGACCAAAATTTTACGGTCAGTTGAGTTTTACCGGCTTCTGCCATGACATGTTTTCGATGACCCGAGCAACTCAGAAAGATCAAGCTTCCATTAGTTTGAAAATAAATTCTGTCAACCGTGACGTTAAATCATAACTGAGAGTTTTCATCTTTAGCTCGGAAACCGCAATGTAGGCATAAAAACGACTATACCGTTCTCTGAAGTGCAACTCGACTGAACTGGATTGGAGTCGCTGAATTCTGGTTTTTAAAAGAAGATCTTGCTCGCTTTCGTCAGTCGTCCAAGCGCTTTGTATTTTTTACTCCGCAGGTAGCATTATTCTCAATTTTTCAAACTCATTGTCCTAGGCATAGGTTAAACGATATTTCTTCTTGTTTTAGTATTGCTTTCTACTTTTTACTGGTCCTCGAATTGTCGGAATAGTTTTAAAAATGTTGAAAATTTATTCGCTACGTGCTCTATCGATTGAAAAACCGAGGGATATGTTGATTTTTCTGACGAATTTGTAAAATTTATTTCGACAACCACAAACCTAAACTCACAGAAAGGCCAAGGTGTCAAACAAAAAAGAGGTTTTTCCTATGATGTGTAAAGACGTATCTGAAAACTAAAAGGACGAAGCTAAAACAACAAGATCTCTCCAAGCTTGTCAATCCAACAGATGCACAGAAGGAATGGCAAGGTTCCCTGCCTCGCTCGTCAAGCCTCGGTGGGGTATTTGAGATCTTGAAATTTCTAATCGTTTCTCGCACTTCAAACTTGCAGTCTCCTCCTCTTCCCCCAAAAAAGATCCAATAATCAATCAATAAATCAATGAAAACGTCTGTCCAAAAAAAAAAAAAAGGTTGCACTCTCTCACCCCTACGAGGGATCACAGGTTTCAATAAATGCCAATTGAAATTTTGTACTAAGGAGAAAACAGTAAGAGGGGAAACAGATTTCACATTTTCATCGCATAGATTTTAAAAAATCCACGAATTGCAAACATACCGAGAGGGACTAGTCTTAATGAAAATATTTGGCTGCGAAAACATTCCCACTAAAGCAGAGGGGATGAATTGATGCCAAGCGACATTAAAATGTTTGCATTTATGTTAATCACGTAACCATCCAATTTAGGATAATTTACTTGAAGGGCGCCGTAATTAAGGTGGAATGATAAAGTTTATTTTCATTGTTGCTCACGCCACTTTTTGACTTTAAAAAGTCGCTCTTGAAGGCTGTTGAAGAAGCCTTGATTCATATCTATTCATTTCTAAAAAAAAAAGAAATTCGTTTTCTTTTTACAGAAATTTCTCTTTCAGGTCAAAATTCATGTTTCGACCTGTTCAAGCAAAACAATTTGCGGTTTGTGAGCGAAAGCTTTCCGACTGACAAAATAAGGTCAACAAGGGCACTGATGCGCGCGAAATTGCCATTGATAACTAGCTGATAAAAAGCGCGCGAAAGTGAAATAGCTCTAAAAGAAAGCTGTCAAAAACAGACCAATCAGCACTAAGATTAAAATTTAAACAGCCAATGATAATCAGGACATGCTTGGACAAGTTCGCTCATTGTCAAGCCTTAGTATCCGGTGCGATGCGCCCAGCTTCCGGCGCCATTTGGGAGAAATTCAAGTCCATCGAGGGTTCGAACTACTGGTTTCGAACCGAATACTGAACAACATTATTTCTTTTTGATACCAATTTATACCTGGTTTTGTCGTTTATTTCTAAATTCCTTTTGTTCGAGAGAGGTTTTTCTCAACAGAAGAAAATTTTTTTTAGAAAATCTAGCTGTGTTTCAGCTGAAAGTTTGGATGAGGATCAGTCTGAAATTCTCCTAAGTGTAGAAGCATTTGTCTTCGAAGTCCATGGACTGAAGGCAAGGACATGAAAGTTCATGTGTATCGGTGAGCGCGGAGTGAAGGGACTGATAAGAAGGTTATGGATGGCGCTTTGGTCGAGCAGAAGGCTTGGTAAGTTAGACTGTACTTTCAACTATTTATGAGTCTAGTTGTTTGATAAATTTTGTCATCAGGAGCCCCAAGTGTATCGATAAGTAGTGTTACTATAACTTCCTTCAGAGCGAAGTCGGCTTGTCCGCAATTCACATCTTGCTGTTGTTTGTAAGCCCAACCTTTTCGCTCTCTGTAGTTATTTCCTTGATTTTATTGGTAATTTTGCGCTAGGGTTGCTTGAATAATGTGATTGTGATAGTCAGCTAAACAGACATTTGTTTTGCAATATTTTGAATGTAAAATTCAACCGTGAATATTTTTTTGTAATCGCATGGAAAAGTTATGGCGAAATCTCCCATTGATTACAAAATCCACGGCAAACATTTAACTCGGGATACATTTTAATTAAGTAATTTTGCCGTTTCCCTGTTTTCCATTGCTGTGAATACCACAGTTCTCGCCGCGCTATATCTTGGGACGTGAAAGGACATATCCGAAATCTTCACAGAATGGTACCCACGCTAAAATACACTTGAGAAATGTAAGCCGAGAATTTTCGCGCCCTTAGTTATTTAGAAACGTAAGAATTTCACTCGAATTTTAGAGGTCAGTGAATCTTAGGTGATGAGTTGATTGTTCAAGAAAGGTTTTGTCCATTCATTAATACGCGAGTTACATGAACATAATCTGTTGTCCCATGTGAAGAGGTCGAGTTACACGTTACGGCCTTTCATTTTCGTCGGAGGTATCTCAAACATGTGTATTTGTTGAAGACTCATTCTACTTATCTGTGAAGAATTATTATTCCTCAATCGCACTACGCAAATTGAAATAAAGCCCGGATTATGGCTCTAGCCGACGACTGACGCGGCTATAGCAAAATGTTAAAGGTCGTTTTCCCACGCTCAACGCCAGACCGTATCTAATTTCTTGGCATCTCTGTTTTTACTTTCCTTTCCCTCTCAATCAGACCTCAGAACATCTGTTTGTTATCATAAGAGCCTTGCTGTTAAGATTCTGAATTATTCTTCTCATTTTTCGTCCAAGTGACCCAGGAACCAACCCACTGTTTTGCCCTCATCTTACATTCGATCAGTGTGTTGTGTGATATGATCGGGTTTATTGTTTTTTTTTTCTTTTTTTTCATCTTCTTGCCGATCTTGACATTCTTTTAGCGATATTAAGAGCTCAAAATCTTTCGGTACTTAGTGGCTTACATCGTCTGATAAACGCTGCAATACTTTTATCTCGTCAACAGCACACTGCTTTTCGCTTCACAAAGCAAGGCCTCGTGTTATTTTATTTGCATTTACATGTTGTTGACCTTGGAGAGCGTGGTGCAAAATAAGTTACCGAACTGTTAAATGCACGGTATAGAGGCTTAAAGATGTCGTTCGTGATCTACGATCGCCAATAAATGACATTCGCATTCCATCCTGATGGCTGCATCACTACGGTATTGATACCTAGGACAAGTCGAGGCTTGTCAATCGAACGAGTCTGAACAACTGCCCCAGTGCTATTAGAAAAACGTGGTCACTCCAGCGAAACAATCTCACCCGTTCATTTAGATTTGGTTCACTGCTTTCAAATAATATGAGTTTAAATGTTATATGTTGCTAAATTATACAAACTCACATTTTTTTTTATCTGCATCTGAATTAGGCTACCAGATTTTTTCCTTGATGCATTCACTGCTATAAATGCAATCCCCCGATTAGGATATATTCATTAAGCACAGTGAATTGATATATAGTGGAGGTTCTAGCAAACTGGTGTGCAAGATAGCATAGGTCATGAATTTATTGTAGGACTTCATGAAAACTGGTGAATTAGTGTTGGAGCAGCACAGCATGGCACCAATTAGCTTATGCAAAATTTTCTCTATTTTTATAATGCTATTTTAATGCCCCATGCCTGTTTTTTTTTTCTACAGCAAAAAGATAAGGGCTCTTCTTGGGCTGGCCTTGGCATGCTCCCCGGGTTATCAGGGTGGAGTAAAAATGTTTATTTCATTCTTTCAACAGAACATAATGCGCAAGCCCTGCATGAGACATAACTGGAACAACTGATTAGAATTTTTAATGTGCAGTGCAAACTATTATATTGTACATCTATTTCATGCAGTTTTTTAAAAGTCCCAAGCAGCTGGACAAACCTTCCTCCCTTTATTTCCTTTCCAATACTAGTTAATTATGAGAATAAGGGATTTGATCATGCCAAGATTGTCAAAATAGACCAAAATTCCCCCTTGTTTGTTAAGGAGTAAGACACTTGGTAGCACTTAAAAGGTGCACTTTATGTTTCACCCTTATTGATTTAAAAGGTGAAATCCAGTGTACACATATGTGGTTTGTGAATTGGATGTACATGGAGAGATTTTGGAAAAGGTTGAAAGATTCATGGTTTGGAAACTGTACTGAACACAATTTTTAGGGGCCATGGTTATTTATGTCAATGTACCTTAAAATAGAGGCAAGCTCTCTCTGAGATGATAACTTTGCTGAAAATTGCATTAAGATTTTGGACATCTATCCATGATGTGACAAGCTTCCTTGTACCAATAATTGTCTCTTAATTTAATGTTATTTATGTGAGGCTTTTAGTATGATTTAACTAAACAAGTTATTTATGTTTTGTTGTTTGTGTGACCTTGTGCATGGAAAAGTTGGGATCTCCAAAACCAACTGTTATGAAAACATCTCAGAGCTCAAAGGTTAATCCTTTCACCCACCTTCTTTTTGTTGTAACTCAATTCTATTGTTTCTGTTTGTCAGATTACAATCATATGACCTCACCATACATTCATGAAAACAGATCTTTAATGAAATTCATGGACCAATTTGAAGGAGTGTTACTTAATTCATCCGTTATTTAAAGCTGTACTCATTTATATTCATGAATGTTTATTTATTTGATTTCTCTAGTGAGATACGGATTGGTCCACAGTGTGATAGTTCAGACAATGAGCAAGGTAACCAATGTTCAATGTTTCTAGTGTCCAAATTAGCACCATGACTATGAGCATGTTATAACCAGCATCTAACATTTTTCATTTTTATTATCACAGACATGTTTTTGCAACATGTCATTAAGCCATCCTTGAACATACCAACTCAGTGCCTGTGAAAAAGTGTTCTCTCTTAACTTAATAAAGCAACTACTTCCTGCAATTTAGTATAGGATGAAAAACATTGTCATCTATTGTTAAGCACCCTCTTACAGTAAATATTATGGTAGTACTGAGCAGAATGTTTATCTTTAACCCTCTTATGGCAATCTGACTAAATGTTCTCTGTAAGGAGAGTTAACCACAAGGTATAAATATATAGTTCTTTCAGAGTAATGTTTACAGCATTTGAATGTGAAATGCAAGTAATGATATAATTCTGTTATGAGATTTGAAGAGATCAATAAGGTTGAAATGCTGTCATGCCAGTTTGTGGCCCACATTCAGTTTTGGCAGGTTACTGAAAGACCCATTATACCTTAATTGTTTTAAATAATACAGGAGGCTTTGGTAAGAAGAAAAGTGTGGAAGGTAGAAAAAGAAAACGAGGATCATGGACAGGTATGGAGATGCTTTCTTTAGATGTATTTTTGTGGTCAGCTTTCTTGCTTTAAAAGGAAATTAGTTTCAATTGGATAAACTGATCCAATCTCATTATTTGTAATTTAAAAAATATTTGGTTATTTTATGAAGGAATTTAACTGATAAAAAATATTTGTCTTCTGCCAAAGGTTGTGCCCTGAGATGCAATTTCAACTATGAACAGTTTTGTTGATAAAGTTGAACCGATTACGTTCTTAAGTGTTCCCTGTTTTTGAGTATTTGATTTGAAAATTCCCTTCTCTACCTTTGAAGGCCAAGACCAAAGTACATGATATCTTGCTGTGCATGATGTCATTAGAACATTATTCATAAACAGACCACTTACTTGTCATGTTGCCAGTTAGTTTCATTATAAAATCATGATTCTTAATGCTGGTGTATTTAGAGTGAAATACACACTAATTGTGGTATAAAACCATGCCTTTATTGATTTCTGCAATTGTAGACAACTCTACTAAGTGTGTTACTTGTATGTTTCATAATAAAAATAAATCTGACTGTCATATTGAACTTTAACCTGGAGTGTTTTTCTTGTTTACCAGATGTTCTTGGGGTGAAAGGTAGTTACAGTCCTCCAGAGCGAATTCCTTGGTGTATTGGGTTCAAATCAACAAGAGCATCAGAAAGTGAGAGTGAAGTGTCTGAATCATCCAGCACAGTTTACTTTGTGAAAGGTTACGAGTCTGCTGTGACTGCTATTGTGACTGACTCTGAAGATGATCTCTTTTTTCTGAATGGTATGCAAGTTAGCATCTTCTTAAAACCTGCAACATTTAACCCTTTCACTCTGATGATCATATTAGTAATTCTCTATGCTGTCTGCCTTCATATTCTTATCATGTTAGTAAGGGGCTTTGGCATTAAATCAACCAATAAACCCCTAATTCATATTTTTATTTACTCTCATTAGTAATCTACTTGATTTTGTATTGATATTGTAAGGAGAAATTATGTCTTGGTCTCTCATTAGAGTCAAAGGGTTAAGTACTGCTTTGCTGAAATAATGTTACTTTTGTGCACTTGAGCTGTAAAGAAGGGAAGACTAAAATTTACTTTGAGGGATCTATAAAGATCAGCTGTAATTTCTCCTAAGAAGTGATAATTTGTAAACTTATCTTTTTATGTCAGTAATATTTGAAAGTTACTCATCTGATTTGTCATTTTTGTAAAGAGCAAGGGCTGGTTACAGATGAGGTACATGCAACCTTTTAGGAAGGGGTGCAGCCCCTTTTTTTTTTTGATCAGTTTTTTACTTAACTATGATAGGCTGATGTGTATTTATTTTGTTGTAGGAGATGTTGAGACTGTGGAATATGAGCCTCCTGATTCTGACACAGAAGAACCTGAGGAAGAAGAGGAAGATGACGATGAAAGTGATACTGGTTTGTGATAGTAAACATTGTTTGCATTTTTAAGCAGTTGGTCAAAGAACATATAAGAGGGAACTTATGGTACATAAGTCTTCTGCTGGAATCACCAACTTGCCAACATTTATCAGAAATAAATGTGAAGTCATAGGAACCAAAATTGTAATTATATTTAATTTCCATGGAATGTTTGTTCCCATCCTTCTAGAGGGGCAGATTCAAAGTGTTGTCTGGGATGGTTTGTTTAGTACAGAGCAAGAGATATTGAGCTGCAGAGTTCAACGTGTACATTTTAGTGCAAAGGCATTTTCACAAGTTGAATTACGTGAAATTTTGGATCAACCTTTGAGATGCCCAAGTAACTTTTACCATAGTGAGAAGTCATCCCTAGGACCTTGAACAGAGAAAAAACAGAATTGAGGTAGATATGTAACAGTATTTGAACTCAATACTCATTGGCTTTTACTGTTCTCTATAAGAAAATATAACCAGTTCAGAAGAGGATCCTGGGGCTGAAGGAGGAGATGAGTATGAAGGGGATAGGGAATCTGATTCAGAATTTGATGAAGATGACTTTTGGGCATGCTCACATTGTGACTTGAAAAACCATCCATTTTCTCCCCGATGTGCTCGTTGCTGGATTGAGAGACATGCCTGGCTGCCTACATTGAAAAGGTCTGTACGCATTCAGTTTAATTTGTAGTTTTACATGCATTTTGACTGGATATTGGAGGATGGACACATAGATGACATCATCATTATCAACATTTTGCTTTTTTAGAATTTCAATGTTGTTGAGGGTCTGTACAGTTAAAGATTACAGAAGACTTTATGATGTGGCAAGAAAATCAGTGACACACTTGGCTGTACATTGTATGTCCCTTTTTGTTTTCCACATTGTGATGTCATCTGTGATCTTTTGCCAAACAGGCACAGCAACATGGAATCTATCTGTCAATTTTCAGTAACTCAACAGTAAGTTTTGATTTGAGGTGTTTGAATTGAGTCTGAAACTCAGGTTCATGATAGCTTGACATAACCACAACCAATATGGAAGCAGTACTATCTAAGGTATTTTTACATTTCTCTTTTCTATTTATAGATTGACTTCAGAACCTAATATAGATTTAACAGGATCAACAGACAAATCATGCTCACATTCTCTTCAAAAATCTTCATCACTTGCCGTTACACCAACCATTGACCATCCATCCTCAACAGTGGCATTACCAACAGTTGCGCCACTTCCTAATCTTGCATCATATATTGAGGGTTCATCTTCATCAGTAAAGGAGAACACTGAAAGACTGTCTCATGCTTCAAATCACACTACATCAAAAGCTGAAAATCCCAGCAAAACTTTGCTACAGAACTTCAACAATGAAAACTCTGCATCAGGGTTTACACCTGACTTGTGCATAATTTGCTTGACGCAACCTCGAAATGCTACTATTGTTCATGGAAGAACTGGTCATCTTGTGTGTTGCATTGGATGTGCGGAGAGACTAAAGGAAGAAAAAAAGAAATGTCCAGTGTGCCGCAAGAAAATCAAACTGGTGGTTAAAAATTTCTTCTAGATCATTAATATTCTTTCATCATGTTTGCCTTCCAGCTTTACTCTTTCTCTCTCTCTTGCTCTCTTTGCCTTCTTCTTCTCACCCAAAATAATATCAGCAAGTGAAAAGATGTATTTCTGAAACAATTGAAAATTTGGGTATGTGCAATCTTTGGAAACAGGAATTGTATTCAGAGGTTCTTCAAAGAGACACCCTTCTTTCCCAACATGTCTCTTCCTTTAGCACAATACATTTGTCCTGTCATATTTTAGGACTTTTTGACAAGGTGGCATGGTTAATCTGTTCCAGATAAGTATCTCATACTAAGGTGGGAAGACAGTCATCTGTGGCTAATTTTTTGCCATGTCTGACTTGCGGGGTGATAATTTTTTCTTCAAGGTGAAGGTAGCAGTTTTTTTGTTTGTCTATTTTAGAATTAAGTATAAGTTGAAACATTTTTCCTACAATTTAGTTCAATTTTCAATACTTTAATATCAATAACACAGTCCAGCCATGCATATTTGAAATTATGTTAAATGTTTTATAAAATTATGTTTTTAACATTGATGTAGTTTCCATAAGAGGAACACTGTCCATAATGTTACTGTGTTTTCAGGATTTTGTTAAATTGTGAAGTACAAGCTTACATTAAGCAGAAATTCATGAACTTCCCTGAAAACATTCCAGTGAAGAATCCCCCAATTTTAAATACTTTTTTATGTTTCTTATAATAGTATCTAATTAGATGTTTAAAAAGTTCTAATTTATTTCACTTTATGTAAGAGATAAAATGCCTACGTAGGGTTTTTCCATCGTGTTTACACGTAATCAGTAGTGGTAACATTTTTACATCCAAAAAGTTCTATTTACGTACTTTGGTTGATACAGTAATGGTTAAGCTAAAGGAAACTAGCTTTTATAGCATTGCTACCTGCTGAATTTTAATCAAGATTATTTTCCAAGTAATAGCGATCTGAGAAAAGTATTTTTAACAAAATAATGACTTTTTTTACTTAGTATCATGTGGAAACTGTTTACTCCACAGTGTCAAGAAATAACCTCTTCATAAAAGCCACCGTGTTTTGATTTAACTGTTTCCACATTTGCCACAGTTTAAAGTCAATATTAGTAGAAGATGACAAATGAAACGAGTTTGAAAACTAAAGTTTAATATTGTCTTACAAAGAATGAAATATGAATGATAGAGAACACAGCTTGGGGATTCATTTCTTTGCTTTTTTTTTCTTATGTGTTATTTACTACGTAAAGTTTATCAAAAATTGTGAATTGCTAGACAATTCCTATGTCTGTACTTATTGCACTTGCACCGTTGCATGATGGGTTTTGGTCGAGTGTTTGTAACAGTTTTAACAACAACGACATCGTTGTAACCACTGATTGTCTCGGTTTTTTATCAGATTAGGAGAAGATGTTTAGTCTGAGGACTTTTTAGCGGGTAATTTTCTGGTTTCTTTTCATAGTCAGCATGTTAACTTAAAAAGATCTCATATAATAAGAATGCCTTTGTAAGGTTATCTCGTAACTGTATTGTGACAAACTCATACTCACGGGGCTCTTGGTATTTTTGGTTTTACTAAAAAAAAACTAGAGGACTGCCACATTATCGTATCGCTTTTTGTTCTATTAATCACGTTTTTTTTCAAAAGATGACGTTATTATTCAATTATAAACTTAAATTGGTCTAAGATAAATTGATTCAGCTAATGACCTTTTAGTGGATAGGAAAAATTTACTTATTTCTTATAAAGTCAGCATCAAAGGAGATTTCATACGTAGAAGTTCCGTCTATTTCTTTACTGGATGTGTAGAAGTTTTGAAGAGTAATAATTTTTTTTTATAGAAGTGGAAAGCATCTTAGTACTGTATGTGATACAAACTTAATTTTTAAAGTGTGTGTCAACATATTTTATTGAAGTTAGATTACTGAACAATATAACAAATATATTTTTAAGGCAATAAGACGTATTTTTATCATATTGGTTTGTATTGCACCAGCATAATTCAACTGAGTGTGCTGAACTATATGACCATGTTATGGCTGGACTGTGTTACTGATATAAGTGTATATATTATATGAAATCATAGGTCTAATATTACTTAAAATTTAGGTATTTTAGAGCGTGTTTCATTCGAACGTTACAAAATTGCAGCCAGAGTTTTCACCAAGACCAGTCATAAGGAAAGAAAGAAAATGAAACAAGGAGCAAATGAGAACACAGGGTGAAAACAAGCTAACGTTTTGAAGCGCGGGAAAACGCGACTGACCGAATCACGATTGGTTAGGATTTTATGTATTTGATTGGTTGAGAGAGTTGCGCGAATTTTTCTTGACCAATCATAGATCCCGGTGATGACGATCAATTGAAAAGTACTCTAATTTTTGTTAAACGAAGATAAAATCTGTTACCTCCCAAATACAAACGGACTTTTTTTAAAATTTAATTTGTTGCTTTGAGTGATGTTTAAAATTCTGAGAATTTTCTCAGATCTGTGGAGGCGATTCAATGGTATTCCAACCTGTCGACCTGTTTGAAATAATCAAACACATCAACAAGCACAACTGCTATGGATTATTTTAATTTTATTTGCTTTAGAAGTGCACTGTATACTTAAATAAGAGTAGTGTCAGTATTTTTAGTTTTTTCCTACTTCTTAGGAAAGTTAAAAGAACAAGTTGTTTGTTTTGATTTGTCTTTAGTTGTTGTTTTTCATTTAAGTTTGTACGTGTACCTTAATGTAGCCTGCATGACAACAATTAACTTCCTCTGCAAAATCTTAAAGGTCAAGACGTAGTGACTCAAGAATGTGCTCAACCCAGGGTGTGTTATGTAGATTAGCGTTTTCATATCTTTTTAGTAGCTTTATCAAACCAGTGTATGACCTTAGAACTGACAGATCTAACTTGACGTGCTGCGGAGACTTCTAGCAGTAAACTTTGTTGCTGTCAATTCGTAATAGAGTTTCTATCGTTGTTCTGTGACACAGCAGTTCGAAAAACAGCGGCTCATTTTGGACTCCAAAAAATGATTCAAACATTGTGCTGTTCTTATTGTGCTCTGCTGCTTTATTAAGGCCTTTTATTTTTTTGATGTATTCTAGTTTTTCTAAATGTGTAGCTTTGTCGCAATTCTCATAGAGGAAGAAAACAGTTAGATAGTTGGCAACCAGTTGTGAAAAGAATGTGTACTTTGTTAAAAGCAAAGGATGATCCTTTGCTTCTTTAGAAATCAGGTCAATTAAAGTAAAGTATGTTTTTTTTTCTTAATTCTGTAGGATTTTTGTGCTGTGTAATAAACCCTAACCCCTTGTAAGAAACCATCCACAGTGTGTAGCCACAATATTTGCACTTAGAACATTCTGCCGTAAGGTAAAGTAGACCTACAATACTAACACAGGGTACCCGGCAGGAATTGAACCTGTTGAACAGTGTGCCTTACGATAAATAAACCTACCAAGCAGGAGACCCAACATTAGCCGAAGATAGTAGACAAGGAAGCGAACCTTCTGCATGGGTTGTCTAGTATTTGGTGAACCTCTAGGACAGGGCACGTAACGCCTGAACCTATTTATCGCATAGAGAACCTAGCGCTGAGAGGACTACCACACAGGGCACTTATCGTTTGGTTAACCCTCGATAAACTGTACCTTCTACAACATGCGACAACCGCACAGTGATCTGAGGTCAGCATCTACGTTATTATAGAAACACGAGACTCCTCAAAGAAAATATTTCTTTTTTTTTCATCCACAGTGCTAAAGAAAACTTCCGGGGTAAATATCGAGACAAAAATTCACGTACCCCTTCACTTTTTTCGAAAAATGTACCTAAGATTTAATTCTGCCTTAGAGATAACTTAGTGGTTATCGCAAGCAATGTAATTAAAAATTTTATGACAAGTAACTGGGAGCCGTAGGCTAAACTGTTGGCTCAATTTATTACAACTCCTCTCGCAATCGTTTGCAGTTAGTGTCATAAAACTGTATTTCAGCTTCGAAATGTCTAATGCATCTGGGGGAAACAACAACTTCGTTTGTGGTCGTGCGTTGATATATCTGTTGAAAGAAGTGAAAATGAATTGCAAATTACTTTCTGCGATATATGACACTACTAATCAGTCTCCTTTCAGAAATGTCAATTCTTACTAAAAGCCGGAAAAACAGAAGACAAAGGCCTTGTACTTAGACGGCAAAGAAGATCTCGGCAGACTCTGCTCAAAATAGGATTCTCCCACATTGCCTCTTCTCTGGCCGGGTTTTTCTTGAACTGAAATTGTGATAAATAAGTTGTTTTGATGGTAAGACCGGTAAGTTACATTATGAGCTGTTAAAAAGGACTTAAAATGTGTTCTTCCAAAATGTTACACTAATTAATTCTTAGCGCAAGAGACTCTTAAAATTGCATATCCCAAACCACTGCAGCTTCAAAAATCGTAGCGTACATTTTATCTCTCTTCCTTCCACAATAGTACTTGTGATTTCATTTCTGTGGACCTTTTTTATATCCGAGCGTGGCATTTTGTAATACTCAATCTTATTTTGTTTCCTTGCGTACTATCTCTATAATCAAGTGTTGTGTACAAATTATGTCCCCACGTTAACATCGAAATTTCGTAAACAACAGTCATTTAGTTTTCAAGACAAGATGGCGATACTGTTTTTGGGTGTTTTTCAAATACAGAAAATTGCCCGGTCTGATTTCGGTCTGATTTAGAATGGGAATAACTGATAATAAAAAATGTCAATCTTAAACGAATCTCTATGACTCAATTCCCTCTTTAAAAACTCTTCCTTGAATTTTGTGTCACTTTGCCACACTCGTAAGTTTTCAGGAGTTCAAACCTATTTGCGGTTTAATATAATTTTTTTCGTCTGAGGAAGCCAATCCAAAGACAAAGAAAGCCAATCTTTTATTTCAAAAACAGCTGCAGTTTTCATCAACAACTGATTAACGAAAACCAAGAAAAAAATGCTGATCGATATTGTCTTGAGACACAGCAATAGGTTTCCAATGTTTGTTAACGAGAATACTCTAAGAAAAATATTCTGTCTTTAAAATTCAGTCATAACGGTGTTTTCTAGGACTCATTTCATAAAGTCAGCCTAAGGTTCCTGGTAAGGACTTACCAAGACTCGTGGAAATGAAAAGCAATTAAGTTTAATTTCACTTTTGAGTTGGTTTGACGCGTTGATGCACTACCACAAACAAAATCATCCCTTGTTTTTATCTCATATGTCACAACTCGAGAGGAAAACTATTAAATCGCGATTGTTTGTGCTACGTCGATTCACGATGTTAATCTCTAAAAAAAATAAGGTATTGAGGGTACCATCTGAATTCTGTAAACATCATTAAATTTTCAAGACTAACTGCTATTTAACATGCCAATTTCAGTCATACGTTACCACTTTGCTTAACAAAAAAAGCATCGTTGATAGGACAAATCCAATTTATTCACTGATATTTATCTTATTGTAGAAAGACCACGTATTGCTAATGTTTTCACTTTGTTCAGTATAAAAGTCAAACAACAGCTTCTCGATACAACTGTTAAAATACACATACTCCATTGCTGGCGCCATCGAGTTATGGATTACTCAAGAGCTAAATCGCCGAATATTGGAAATGTTTTGAACGCGCGGAGACTCGCACGAAGGAAGTTACAAAGAAGCGCGATAAGAGAACGGGAAAAGCAAGAAATAGAGAAAAAGGTAAATAGAAAATACAATGTCATTCACCAAATACGTTCGACTTCCAATCTGCAGTCAGCTCTCGATCAGAACCGCTTACAGAAACACCGAACGTCCTTATATCAATTATTTTTTTTTTGTTTTATCGATGCGAACTTTTGAAACGAAGTTGAGGGCAAAAGATTCGTAATCAGAGATGACATACCCCATGTTGCGGTCGGGTACGCCGGCTTAAGTATTTCTAAATTAAAAAAGGACTGTTTATCAATAACACCACAGTTTGTTGCCAGTGTTGATACAAAAAAAAAATTGAAATTTCCTCACATCAAATGTATTCAAAACAAATACCCTTTTAAATGACTGAAAAAAGAATCTTATTGCATGCAATTTAATTTCATATCAAAGATGTATTTTCGTCTATACATTTGTAGAATCCTCTATTCTCTCGTTGTCTAAGTAACCTAAACCCAAAGTAAGTTTCACATTTAATACCGTTTGGAAAAAATGACTCTCGAATCACAAATTATGCACAACACTACAGGTATGAGGGAGTCCTGACTAGTGACTAAAGGGGGCGCCCTTAGAGTCATCTTGGTAGAAGAACTATATCTCGGTTTTTACTACAAGCTTGTTTATAAATGCGGGAGAGACGGGATGCAGGGTGGGGGTTTAGGCTTCCCTATCTAGATTGGCTGCTGCTTTGTTAATCATCAGTTGAGGGGGTTAACAGTTAGGGGGGTCGTAGGATGCATATTGTCCCCCTCCCCTGGTTTGAAAAGGCAATGATTTATACCAGGAACCTTATGCTAATAATACATCCCAGTATGCTCCTCAACTCAGACAAAAGACTGTACAAGACTCTCCCCCATCTGTTGTGGTATAAACTTTTAAATTTAACGAAACAAAGATGATATGAACTACCGACATATTAAAGGAAGCTTCCAAAGCACTTGTTAGATAGTTGTTTATTACAATCGAGAAGAGGTTTTATTAGCGTTGGGGTAATTTACAACGACGTGAAGATGGATCAACTAGTCAGTCATTACAACCTTTCAAATCACAGCTTTGCTTGTTTAAAACACAATGCAACGCTTTATCAAAGTAATCTGTTCTTGAAACCTGTCAATATTTCTTTTGTTTGGGTTAATTAGACGCTTAAATGAAACTAAAAAGTACAACCATATTCAACTCGTAGCGCATTGTGAAAGCATCCATACTGTTATTAACATGGAATATCATAGAAACTATAAAAGGTCCAAAAAAGCGACTGGTATTTTGAAAAAACGCTTAGTACCAGTTCCAGCACCCACACCGGAAATTGTGGTGAAAAAAGTAAGTCAAGAAGTTTGTTGAGGGTAAAATGTAAATTACTCGAGTAGAGTCGATTAAGGGTAGCCAAGTGCTCATCATGACACTCAACGTCATTCACTTGATGGCACAGATTACTGAATTGTATTCCAATGTTCGAGTAGTTGGCTTGGCTCCTTTGCCATGTTTGTGTATGTTTTCCAAACACAGTGCATGTACTGAGAGACCTCGGCGACGTGAGAGAGGACAGTAGTTACTCCTTTGTGAGGTAGATGTGGACAGAAGCTGGGGGAATCACAACGGTTTTATAAGTTTATTATGATACTTAACTCACCTGATGACAGTGCTACATCCCTCTTTGGGAAAAAAACATCCCTAAACTTAGGGCTGAAGTTGAGCACAAGCCTTTGAAATGTCAACGGAATCTTGCAAACGATAGGCTCTTCAGTCATCACATTCCCCTTGAAACCTTCCTTCAACTTGTTCAGCATGTTTCCATATTAATTCAGTTCATCAGCTTCTCTTGATCACTTTCCTTTGCACGTTTTGAATCCTAAAATCAGAACTGGTGTAAATTACTAGTAAGCGATGTTTATATTTTTCGGTCGCTTTCCATCAGGAATTAGAAAGTCTTCGGGTGTTGCCATGGCAATTATTAAAATATCGAAATAATCAAATGAGATTGGTTTGCATATAGGTGCAATAGTGAGCGATGTGGCTTGTCGATAGTAGATTACTCATGATTGGAAGGGTAATACTTTCTATGGGATACCGCGCCTCTAAGTTCTCCCTGCCTATTTTGATGAAAAAAGAAAGAAAGTTACCACAGCGTATCAAAAGACCAGTAATAGAATTATCTCAGTTTTTAGAGCACTTTGGTTCTGCAGTGGGGGAGATAACTGCATAAAAAAACACAGTATGAAATTGAATTACAAAACCAAGGAACGAATAATTATTTTCATTGGCCTCTCGAGACGTCTCTACCCCCACCCCACCTTGTACGTGATTTGGGTGCAATCAATTTATGACGGGGGAGGGGTGGGGGTAAGGGTCCAACTAGGAATTCGCAACCAATTTTAATTAACTTTCGCAAACTTAACAAGCTTCTAAATCTTATTCAAAATTGTCGAAAATAATTAGAAGAGATTTCGTCCGTTATCTTGCAAACAACTGAATGGTCTCTAAAGACTGTCGGCATTTTGAAGTCTCTTATTACCGGCTAATTAGCTTCTCATCCAAACGGTCGTTTATTGGACGACGTATCAGAGTTATTATGCCTTTGATCTTGAGCTATTCAGTGGCTCAAAATTATCGTACACAAAAAGTATTGCCAAGTCAATCCTTACAGTACCGTTCGGAATTTACAGAGCCGCAAAGTCTAGAAGTTCCAAGTGTATAGTTTTTAAGATGCATGATAATCAAATTTGATTTTTAGAGAAGGTATGGAAAATTTAGACGTTCCACACCGCTTAAAGCGCGGTAAAACCCCTCCAAAAGTTTCACGCAAAAGAAGCGAACTCGCCACTAAGGTAATAACAGTAGTAACTACGATATTGACCTCTAAAGGTTTGGTCGTTTCTTGTCATACGAAAGCAAGTATTTCGCAAAAGTCATGTTGTATGCTTGGTATAGAGTGACTAGAATTTTAATCCAGCTTTTTAAATCGATTTCTTGCGAAATGTAGAGCATCCTGTTTACTAAAATGCTAATTACTCCTTCCCCCCCCCCATCCCCCCAGTCCTACTACCTGCACGGAGATTGTAGGTCAGTTGCATAGCAACGAGTGTCACCCAGGAGCAAGGCCGTATTCAAAGATGGCGGAGAAGAAGTCTAGATCGGCCATTCGAATAAAATCTTCGGAGAGAGAAAGGAAGAAATCTGCAGCGAAACGGGACTCGGCAACAAATCGAAACAAAGGCCAATCTGTTAGTGTTTTTGTTATTTTCATGTCTTTATATGTAGATCTGGATAGACAATGCGTTGTTTTGTTTTGCAAAACTTTTCGACTTCAGCTGATGCTTACAGTACTTTTAACTTTGTTGTGATCATCTTATTGTATTTCTCTCTGTACTGCGACTTCGTATGAGTTCAGGATTTCTATTTGGTCTTTATGGCAAAGTTATACGGGAAGAGTTTTAAGGCGACATTGTTCTAAAGAGGTCGTTATCGTGACTTAGATGTAGTGCAAAGAACGATTTTCAACTTAACGTTTTATGGAAGCAGCATTTTGTTCATGTTTTGAATGTTGCAGTAAGAATCCAGGTCTGAAGCGTCATTTAATGAATTTAAATTCAAAGTAATCGTGCACTATTTCTATGTGATTGTGCATTATTTCTGAATAGATGTCAATTAATTGTTTGAAAAGTAACGCGAGACCTTAATTGATCTCTTTGTGCTAGTGCTGGTGTTCATCAGTATGACTTGAGTTAAGTTTCGTGTTCTTCTTACTAAGGAGGAAGAGGAGAAAGAGTCACTAGCATGGAAGGTCCTTTCAGAAGAACAGACACAGTCTCTGAAGGAACTTACTGTCCATGAATTGGAAGCGTAAGTCGATTTCTAATGAACCAAACTTAAATTTATTCACACTTCAAAGGACCTAGGGAGTTTGGTAAATGTAGATTAGGAAGTCAATTTCCTATAAAATTTTCATGCCTGACGGATAGACCTGGATTGCTTGTTCATTAGTACATTAACAAGAGAACAAACTTCGGTTTTGACAAAAATGAAAATAAGTTCTGAAAATGGCACAAACAAATTTGCAAACATTTTGTGAAATCAAACGAATTTGTCCACTGTCAATAGACTTTGCACCCCACTATTTAAGATAGTAACAATTCGTTTAACTTCTGTATGTACTGATTGACATATATTATTCTGTTATGACCTCAGGAAACTTGCAGAAGTGCTGTCCATTGAAAATTATCACATCTCTCTACCAGAGGCCTGTGTACTGGATTACTATGTTGCAGGGTTTTGGTATCCTTTGTAAAAAGAAAAATCACTTTTTACTAAAATCGGAATCAAAGACAAAAATCAAAGTAGATTTCTTCAGAAGGTGTGAATATCAAAATGTAGGGAAATTTTTAACAGAAACATTATTCAGTTAACCCTTTAACTCCCTGAAGTGATAAAGTTGTAACTTCTCCCTATAATATCCATACATTATCCAATAAACAGGTGATAAGAATACTCAAACTTATCAGGTAGAAATTGTTATCTATATCTAACACCAAATTCTTGTAAGTAATTAACAAGGAAATTTGAAGCAGCTGAAAGGGAGAATTTGTAAACAGTTCTTGGGAGTTGAAGGATTAAATGAACCAACCTATCAAATGATTGTGGTGTTTTTTTGTTTTTTTTCTGGTCTTGCCCACCTCATTGCATAGAGATTAGATGAGAGGTGATCATTTGTGATAAAAAAGTTTATTCAATTTATGATGACAGACAGTAAGATGATTCTTCCCTATATTGTAATTAAAAATAATTTGATAATTTGTAGTATCAATGTGCAACAAACTGAGGTTTTAGTTGATAAGAGCAGTCCTTGCTTAGTTTTACCTTGACAATGATATTATGTAGGTTTGCAAAAGAACAGAATTTCACCCTTCAGCAAATATCTGCATTTTTCACTCTTTTGAAGGAAATGCTAGACAATATTAAAGGTAATAATTGCATATTATTGATAGTAATGGATGCCCTTGGCAGCAATTCAACCAGTTGTTTACTAGTTACTGTTGAGACAACTATTTAATTGTAGGACTTAACAATTTTTTTTCCTCTCAGAAAAACAATTTTCATTGGTTGACAGTATACAAAAGTTCAAGTCACTTCTGGCAGGGATTGGAGTTGAAAATTGTCCACTAAATGGGGGCCTGGAATGTTTTGATGTAAATCAGGCAAAGCTCATAACTGATTACTTTACTGAAAGGTAAATTTTGCATATTACATTTGATTTCGTGGAGATAATGTGCTTCTGTTGATGTGAGTGGAAACAATTTTAGGCAAAACAAAGGATCATTATAGATTATATGGTAATGATTATGATGAAGATTGCGATGACAAATAACCAAGGATGGCACTCTAGGAAGACTTGGTCATGGTGACTTGTAAGCTGTAATATTCAATTTAAAGAAAAGAAACATTAAAGTTTTGGGAATCTAAATCTAACAAGGATAGAGCTTTTTTCGTCAAATATGTATGAAAGGTAAAAGTATATGAGTTTATCCTCTTTCAAGATGTTTAATCCATTCAAGAAAATTGAATCCAATATAATGAAGGGTTTTTTATAATAAAGCAATCACACAGGAACTCCTATTGACTTTCAGCTCTCAATGTGATTGGATAAAACCATAATTGTTGATCTTTTGCAGTTTGTTCCAGCATTACAAGTTGTACCAGTTTCTTATTACTCAGGAGCCACAAGAGGAAGTCGTCATAACTGAGGTTTGTACTTTAGTATTACTGCATTATTCTTAGGGTTGTGTCCTTGTGTACCGGTACACAAAGGAACGAAACATTAACGAACTGCGTCACAACTCCATGTATGGATATGAAAACAATAAGAATTCCCCCCTGTACCGGTACACCAGGACAGCCCCATTCTTAGGTTTAAAATTGTTTTGTTAAAGTACAGTGCATGTACATTTTCAATCACTTCTCTAGAATTAAGGAAAAAAATTAAGTGGCAATCCCTTATTTTTTGCACAGTTGGAAGTTGAAGTTCCTCCACTGGCTAGCATTCCATTTCCACCTCCATTAGATGAAGGCATGACTGAGGAAATGTGGAGGGAACATGTGATGACACCACCACAGTCACCCCAACCAGAAGAACAGACAGAAGTAAGCATTGCCCTAGCATTAACAGAATTGATATAAATATATAAACTGGGCAAATTAGACCAGCTTTTGATCAGTTTAATTTTGCATTTAATGAAGGGTGACTTCAAATGAATTTGTTCATTGCCCTCTGTTTTTTTTTAGACTGTTCACTTTGTGAAACAAATTGGACATTAAGCAGGAACATAGAGTAGAGTTCAAGGTCTAATGAGAGAGGAAAATAAGTATATTTGGGTTTTGTTTGCCTCCCCTTTGTTGGCACCCTTGTACCTCACACTTGCAGTTCTTTTCATCAACTTTTCTACTATGGAAATGACTGTGTTACTCAATTTCAAAATGATATAGCACTGAAAAGACATTCTTTGTGAGTCGATTTTTACATTTCATTATTATGATAACCATGCACATCTATGAGGTCACAAAAATTGACAAATTTCAACAGATTAGGCTCATTAGACTAGATTTCAAAAGCTATTTTGATGTTGGCTACCTAATCTTACCTGTGTGTTTGTAGGGAGAAAAGGAACAATCAGGAGAAGAAGGTAGATGTAATTTCTTGTTCTTGGAAACTGCACATTACACCTCGTCACTCTGGTATACTCTTAAAGTCCTTAAAGAATACTGTTTGAGCTAATGTAGCCTTTCTTAAGGAAAAAAATACTTATTTTTATCACAATTTTTATTTCTTTCATTTTTCTTTAGTTACAGTCCTGTTGTAATACTTCCATGTCATGTTTAATTAGTTTCTGTTTGAATTGTTTGTAGCTCATTCAGATAATGTCGCCCACTCCAAGGATCAAACTGCACAGAACATTTTATCATCCATAGAACCCACCCAGGTCAAGAATATTGTGAAGAAAGTAGCTGATGAAGTGTTGGGAAATTTTCAGGTGGTTATTATAGCTGAGCCTTGTTGAACAACCACAGTCAGACTTGAACAATACATTGAGTGAAGGATTAATTTTTATTTACAAAGTAGTTTCTTCAATCTCAGCCAGAGTCACTTGTTAATATGTTTAAAGGCAAGATACTTCCCTCAAGTTTCCCTCTCAGAAACACAACACAACTCAAAGGTGTTTTTAAATCCTCTTAAAGGAGAAATAAGTTCTTGTCCCATGAAAGTATTATTAATCTGTTTTTTTTCCTTTGTTACATAAGGCTGAAGTTGAGGTACGGCTCAAGGAAAGAGAGACAGTGTTGGCTGCCAAGATTGGAAAGCTACAACCAAGATAGCAGAACAAATCTAGTATTACAAATTTTGGAGTCAGTTCATAGCACTTGAAAAAGATAGTCTGTAAATACATTGCTCAGTAGGTTAAAATTCAATTAACTAATAGTTAAGAGCTAAATCCAACTGCATTTCTGGAGAGAAGCCATACTCCTCAGTAAACAACTGTACATAATAGTTAAACCTGAAAGAAGGAACTTTGAATATAATAGAATGTGAAAAAGGAAATTTGTAAATAAAGAGAAGCTGACACAGTAAACATTTGAAGGCTGTGTTAAATACACTTTGTTAGACCTAGAAGTCCCTTTCAAACTTAGTAGGTATGGAATGTAAATATAAGTAACTCCACAGTTACTTTGTAATGCTTTATATGGGAAACAGAAGCAAATTCAGAAGATTTTTAAGACTCAAAAGTGTGAAATGCTAGAAGTAGGCAGATTAATTCTGGTGTTTCCTTTGGCTTTAGTATAATACTATCTGAGGCAAACTAGCTCAAAGAATTCTTCATGGGGTGATTTTACAGCATAGTTTATAGATTTCATTCAGACAATCATGAGACAAACTTAGAAACAAGATCAAAAGAAAAAGTGGTAGATGTAAATTTACTAAATGTGACTGGAATAAGCTTTTAACTCTGGTTTTATCCAGATTTTTTTCAAAATACAGAAACACCATTCCATTTGCTTCTGAGCAAAACTCCACTGAAAAAAAAATTCACTGAGTATAGTTGCAGTAGTAATATATCTGTTGAGTGATTAGAATTTTCTATTTGGGACAATGGCAAGTTACCAGCATAACTTGTGATTATTAGAATTAGCTCATTAAACATTGAAGTCACAATTATTGAATCTTTTAAGAAATTTAGCATGGAGACCTTGCTAGGAATATTTCCATCCAGAGAACCAGCTAGTTTCTAAAATATTGGAGACGATTATTTCCAAATTCTGCAACAACAATGTCACCATTCCGACAGACTGCCAGGCCCGTTGGCTTATTCAGCTGTCCCATTTCATCTCCATAACATCCAAACTTTGTTAGGAACCTTCCATCTTTGGTAAAAACTTGCACTCTGTGGTTGTAGTCATCACAAACTAAGAGATTTCCTGCTTTGTCCACTGCTAGTCCTGTTGGTGATTTAAACTGGCCATTCCCAGATCCCTCTTCACCGAATTCAAATAAAAACTCTCCAATGTCATTAAAAACTTTGATACTATGGCCTTTGAAATCAGACACATATACATTGTTTTCATGGCAAGTGCAGTCAAATGGTAATTGAAGTCCACAAGCTCTACCATCATAGGTTAGGAGAAGGTCCCCTTCAGAGGAAAGCAGTTGGACACAACTTTTTCCTGAATTGCAGATAATAATGTTTCCCTCAGGATCTAGTGATATCCCACGTGGTTCTTTCAGTCCTCCCTCATCTCCAATCTTTTTGCATAATACATGTTGGGAATTGAACAGAAGTATTCTGTTTAAACTTCTGTCTGTGACATAGATCCTTCCTGAAGAATCAGTGCAGATTCCAGAAGGAGAATACACCACACCACGTCCAAAGGTTCTTGAAAAAGGCTCATGATCTCTCAAAACCTGCACTTTTTTATTGTTCAAGTCAGTAACATAAATGTCATCTGAGGTATTAACAGCAACTCCCCATGGGTTATAAAAGTCTGAATGAATCACATCCACAGATGCATAATTTCTCCCCTTTATGTTAAGAAGTAAAGTCTGCTTTATAGGTTCTCCATTTATTGTGAACTGAGCCCTCACCTTTCCCAACAAATTACTGTAAAAGGAAATTATATACTTTCCATTTTTCTCATCCACTGTCTTCCACACAAAGTCATGTGAACAGTCTGTTTTCACAAGGGAAAATTTTGAGGAAATGCTGTCATTTGAGCTGTAACACTGATCCCCACATGAATTCCTTGACACAATCTCAATCTTTGTCTCTTCACCAACCATAGCTGTACATTTTGCAGTTACAGTACACTTACTTGCCACAGTTGCACTACACAACAGAGTACCCAGTGCTGTACTTCCAAGATCATCAATCTTTTCAAGAAAAGAGTGGTTTGGAATGAAGTCCAAAATTAAACTTTCCTCACCTTCATTTCTACATGGGGGTTCATTCTTCAATGCATGAAGGGACTTACTAACATGGGATTGCAACTGCACGACTTCTGCAGCAGTACTTCTGTTAACCAAGTGATCAATTTGTGATATGGTTTCTTCATATTTGGTCAACTGTGCCTTACTTTGTAGCAGTTTTGAAAGTTTTTCAAGTGCTGCCTTCCCTCATCTTCAACTTCTGAAGTGAGTTTTTGCTCAAACTGTTGAAGTTTACCAATAATTGACTGGGTTGTATTTCTTATTTTTTCAACGGTGGCTTTAGTGCAATTTTCTATTTCGTTCATCTCTTCTTTGAGGTATGTGTGAGTTTTACCAGCACTTTTAGCCAAATCTAATTGAATCATGATGTTTTCCTTGGCAGCTTTCGCCGTTAACTCCAAATGTTCAACATTATGACCGACATGGTCGACTATGACACAAGTTTGACAAACGGGGACGTTGCACATTTTACAGAAAAATTTCAGCACGTGTCGCTCGTGGAGTTCCCTCGAGCAGAAAGCCGGTCGTTTAAGAACATCTTCAAAGTCTTTGTCTTTGAATCCTTTAACGAGAGAACACGATGATCCTTGTTCTCACGAATGATATTGTGTCCACTTAGACAAACACTGCACCAAAACTCCCCACAATGGAAGCGATAAGACACTTTCTCGTTTTTCTCACCTCAGTTACCGCAAGTCACTATCGCATTACCGCACTTCTTGATGGCCAAAATATCCGGAATATTTTTTGGATAAAAACAGTCTGGTAAAGACTCCATTGTACCACAATCAGGCACAGCTATGTAGACAAGGCAGCTGTTTGGGATCTGTATATAACTGCATACATACAGAACAAGTTCCTTCTTCCTTTAGGTTATGAATCAACGTTGGAACATCCATAACTACTTCGATTTCAACGTCAAGTGAAGGTATCAGCTAACCAAGAATGGTGGCGACAGTGAAAGAAGTACCACGTTAACTAAGACTGGGGCCGAAGGTTCCATATTTGGTTAATCCAAACTAAAAATACCCGTGTCAACATGGAGAACATAACAGACTTTGTCCGGTGGTCTTTAATTTAAAGGTTTTCCTAATTTTTCCCGTTTCTAATGTTACATGTCACGTCATCTGTGAAGAAACTAGATATTTAATCATCGTGACCTTTGATTACCTCTATCGTGCGCAGTCGTTCCGAGAAATATGATGAAATAAGAAATTACACGGAATTAGTGAGAAGCGATTGACGGCATTGATTTCTCGTAATGACTAAATGTTCGAAGACAGGGTTCTAAATTTATCTTGATTTATCAAAAGCGATCTCATGATTTGGACTGCAGAAGCGTATTGTGTGTATCGTGAAAGACGCGTGTACAACTGATAGTTCTAAATGCGTCAGTTACTCCTTGTGAGCACTTGTTAATCATCAGTAGACATCAGCCGTATAGCTGCGTGTAAATAATGGAATTAATCGAGATAAGCGGTACGTTCTTCTCGCACTGGGTAGAGAGTTCTTCTTCAGATATAAAACTGCATAGAGAGGACTCCAAAACGTCCAAAGGATCCAGAAAATTATCAAGATCGAGAAAAACATCTAGACAAGATTCGAGAACTTCTGTCTCTAAACTCTACTTACCAAAAGCAAGATATTCTGAGGATGAATTTAAAGAAGCCTTACAAATGTGGATACAGCATCCAGAGCACGAGGAAACCATGCAGTTGAAGAAACTAGTTAGACAAGGTGTCCTTCCCAAACTCAGATCTGAGCTGTGGAAGGATTCTAGCGGTGGAGCTGACATCGTTTTTAACTCTCCTCACTATTATGAAGAAATGATTGATGACATAGGTGAGCTATCAGTCATTGTCTCAACATTACTGTGTTACAGTGAAAATTAATGATTGTGGGCAGGATCAACAAAAAAAAAAGCAGCAGTAACCAGAGACATGTTCAGAGTCACAGTGGAGAAACATAATTTTGACCTCTTGCATGCAAGCAGGCATCCTACAAGATAAGACTGATCTTTCTGTAGATTTCAAGGTCTTTTTCTTTATATCTTCAACCTTGAGACTTGTGATGTTTGTCAAATTCACTTACAAACACTTTCTTTGTTTGAACTTTTGTAGACTGACTGACACAAAAAATTTGGTTGTTTCATTGACTGACTGGCTGACTGTCAGGTTGCCTGACTGTCTGTCTGGCTGCCTGACTGACTGTCTGGCTGCCTAACTTACTCTCTGGCTGGCTGACAGACCAACTGTCTGGCTGACTGACTGACTGACTGACAGAGGGATGGGGTATGGTTAAGCTTCCTTTGCAAACTTTATCTCAACCATACCAAATGTAAAAGGATGACTTTTTCAGCATTATTTTATGAGGAGCAAAGTCTCTGTATGTGACTCTAAGATCATTGTCTTGAGACTGACTGATTGATGATGTAACCACTGTTTTGCAGGTATTCAAGTACCCTCCAGTATACCTTCAACAATTTTTAGTGGCAACAGAAATGTTCCTTCATACCTATTATCACCAGATGGAGAGAAGACCTGTCTAAAAGTCCTTTATATCTTGTCTCACATGCACCCTGATATCCAATTTGCTCCTTTAGTTCCACCATTAACATCTCTTTTCCTTCATTTCATGGAGGAAAATCTTTGTTATACTTGTATGTCTGCTTTAGTGAATTCTCACCGCTCTATGTTGGATCAAAGTCAGAGGGCCTTTGCTGTGATGGCAAAGACATTTCAAGATTCTTTGAAGTCTTATTTTGTAAGTTGATTTGTCAATGGGTATTGCTAAAACTTTTGCACAAGGCCATTGGATGATTTTTTAAATATTTGAAAACTATGTGAAAAATTTTGTGTTGAGATTGGTACAAATTATTTTCTTTAGATTTTTATATGGTTTTAGCCCTTCACACCCTAACACCAGTATGCATATTCTCCACACTGTTCTCTGTACATTTACTAATATGCTGACAAGGAGAATTTTTCTAGCAATCAAGAGTTTCTTTAGTTGGTGATCATTTCCATTATTCTCATGACATTACTGTGTGATTTAGTGGTGATATTGTTGGGAGAAATTAGATGCTAGTCACTTTTAGGGGTTGAAGGGTTAATGGTACTGTTTGTGTATTGCCTAGGGTTGAAAATGAATAGTTTAAAATGAAGTTTAGATTGAATTGTTTTTAACCCTTTCTCTCCCAAGATCTCATTAGTGATACTCCTTACTGTCTGCCATACAATTCTTATGATTTAGGGTGGGAGAATTTGGTATTGAATCAACTAATAATCCCTTAATTGATATTTTTCATTATTCTCATTACTTATCTGCTTGATATAGTATTAATATTATAGGGAGAAATGCTGTCCTAGTCTTTTCCTTTGCTTCATATACATTGCAATAATCCTTAAACAAAGGAAAAAAATCAAACCAGTTTGAAATAATTCTAGTTTAAACTACTACATAACCATTTATGATTGTTCCTGTTTTTTTTTTTTTGTTCTTGATTCTATGAACACAGATGCCATCTTACAAACAGATCAAGGAATTTATCGAAACAGCAAAGGGAGAACAGTTGCGTAAAAACACTATTCTTATTCCTGATTGGCTAATCTGGATGTTCCATTACATTGATTTTTGGACACTGGTAGGTGCAGGGTTTTGTTTTTGTCAAAGTTTCTGCATGACATCAATAAGTTTAAATAAAAGAATTTGTCTTTTTGTGAGCACTTAGTTCAGTGTAATTTTTTTTGTCTTTTTTTAGGTCTACATTGTTGATAGTTTTGTTGTCCAAGGACCCAAAGTTTTTGTGCGTGTTGGTTTGATTGTATTCAGTCAGTTTGCAAAGTTTATTGAACAAGAAGGTACTTTGAGCTATTGATTATATTGATACAAATTAATTAAGGTATGAGGATTTTTTTAATGAGATTTTCATTACCCTTTTGTAGTTAATTATTGCACAAAAAGTGCTGGGTGTTGTTAGAGTTATGGCTTTGTAATGGATCAGATCTTTTTCATTTTAAAGCAGAAGTATCAGAAAATGGAAACCTAGAGGATCTGTTTAAACAGTTTGCATCACTTATGCCTTTGAGGGGATACAAGCTTCTTCAGGTTAGTGATATTGTATGGAGAAGTGGACAGCTCAGGACAACCTTCTCTTGAGCTGTCCAAAATGATACTGTTATCCCTCTAATGTTTGTTTTTACTCACCCAATTTTATTTCTTATTGTCTTTTTTGTCTTTTTACAGGCAGCTTTCAGAATTCGAGGTCTCTCAAGGAAACAGCTAGAAAGACTGAAAAGTAAAAATATAACTTTATTGGAGAACGGATTGTTGGATGTTCCTCAACAGACCTGGGCACCAGTTCAGACCCTGACTGTGTTTGCAGTTAAAGGTTCCAACTTGCTATCATTACAAGAGGTTAATATTGCTGCTAATTAACCCTTTATATGTTAAAAGTGACTAATATCTAATTTTTCCTCTTTAGGACCTCCTAAAAACCCTCAGGGCTCTCTGGGTAAATATTTCTTATTCCTTTAATCTGTTTGTTTACAGTGGGAGTTACTGTCATCATGGCTACCAGACAGGTTACGCATTAAGAGACCTATTTGCTTGTTCACCACAGACACTGATGGATGCAGGTATTGTGTAATACCATAAAGCTGAACTCTTTTGATGTATATAGGAGTCATAGGCACAGATAAACTTATACAGAGTTTAATGAAGATTATTTTCTGTCAATTTTTAGGTGATATATTTCAAAAGATTCCTCCTCTCTTTAGGTATTGAATGTCTGAATTAGAGTTTTATTTTATTTCAGTATAAGAACTTTATACAACAAGTGTGAAGGTGATGACGAGACAGTTCTTCTAGTCAAATCATCTGTTGGTGAGGTGAGATGTCAAGTTTTGTGTTAAATCATCAACTGTGATGAAAAGTGCATATATCTGGATCACTTTATTGTTCTTTGGGCTATAATGCCTCCTGTGATGCCTTCATTTTAATGGCCTAAATCATCCGGAGCCAATTACAGATTTATTTCTACCTGTGAAATGGAATCCTTTCTGAAGGCATTTATGTGGTTTCTGTAGCAGATCAAACATTCTCTTGATGTCAAATTGGCTTATTATTAATTTTGTTGTATTTATCATCCCACAGATCATTGGAGGTCTTGTCACATCCAGCTGGAGTGAGAGAACCACAGGGCCCAGAACTCTTACATATTTTGGTACTGGGGAAAGTTTTGTCTTTAGGCTGAGTCCCAGGCCTGTTAGATATTTATGGACAGGACTACAGAAGGAGGGCCCAGGTACCAAGGATTTGTTTATGGCTGGAGATGACAAATGTCTCATGATTGGGGGAGGGTGAGTAATGACAATTGTTTTATGACTAGGGAAGGGTAAGTCAGCTAAAGTGGTATGGGCAAGAGTAAGGCAGATGTAGAAAAATTATGTGGTGCTTGTCTGATATGCCAGACTGAGTTTTTCTTGTTGGTTTGTTTGTTTGTTTCTTTTTATAACCTTAAACCAAGCACTGTTATTTTTTCAGGGGTGATAATGCCATTTGGTTAGATAATGAGCTTTGTCGGGGACACAGTGGTCCAACTGAGACATTTGGCAATGAGCAACTCACTGAGACCCAAGATTTCCTTTGTGCCAGAGTTGAAGTGTTTGGTTTTGTCCCAGAAAGCTGATCAGTGCTAAGAACTTCAATAGCCTGTTAGTTAATACATAAATTTTAGATATCACTCATTCATATTATCATTTTAATACTAACACTAATATCAGTGGTATGATAATTGTAAGAATGAAAAAAAGTAGTATTTACCAACAAAAAGGACACACTTAGTTGTTCCAAAAATGATCCACAAATTTGAAAGTGCCATTTGGATCCAAAATGGAAAATAATTTTTATTGCTTTTTTCATAATTGCTTTACCAGGTAATGCTCATAGTGATCCTTCTGGAATCCTTAAAATGTTTTGTGCAAACATCATGTATTATATTACATTTCAACTGTAACAATATGGCACTAAGGGGGCTTTCTGTTATAGCATGTCTAATTATGGTAAATCCATGCATTTTTATGAAGCAAATCTTAATGGAAACTCAAAGCTTGATGTTTATCAATAATTTGTTAAATGTATTGAATTATAGGAATTTTTTAATTATTTAGTAGGTATTACACAGTGATTTCCTGGGCATATCTCAAAGAGCTTTCTTGATTAATTTTATGATGTGAATTGGGAAATTGGATACAGTAATATGCTGGAAATGAAACTTCCTACCAAATCATAATTACTTTTTTTGCATAAAATTTACAAATTGTTTTTAGTTCCATTTGTCTGATATAAATTTATGAAATTGATACAAGTATGGAATATGATCTGTATGGTTGAAAATTATTACAGTTTAATGTGAGATTAGTTAATTTTTTAATTCCTTGCAGCTTTTAGGAATATCTGATCGAAATACATGTAATTCAGTGTTGTTTGAGGGGTTTATTTTATAACTGTAGATTTCATCACTGAATTAAATGCAGTCCAAAACATGCGACCATGGTTTAAGGTCCTTTTTAAATTCTTCGCAAAGGGATAGTTTTTTTTTTTTTTTTACTTCTATGTATTGTTTAAATTATTGGAATTTTTCATATTCATGTTTTTTCCTAGGTGTTAAACATTTAACTGTATCATTCCCGGCAGAAATTAAAACCACCTTCATTTCCTTAAAAATTGAGGGTTTATATTTTATGTAGAAGTAATTTATTGTTCAAATCGGATCGGTCTTTCGCATGCGCCAAAACAACAGGTAATGGCAGGTTGATCCAGCCTTTCCCCCGCCTTCCCCGAGAAAGAGAGCGTCTTCTTCATTTTGCGCGTCTTGTGAGACCTTAAAAATGAGCTCCGAGGTGAACGCGGTGGGAGAGAGAGGACAGAACAAACTTTGGTGGGGATTTTTAAACAAAAATTGAGTAACGCGCTCTTTAAAATGAGCTTAACTAGCGCAGGTGACGTAACGGAAGGTGGGGGTGGGGATAATATTAAAAAATGAGGTGAATCGGAGAGTGGGCGCAGGAATTTGTAGCTGATCGCAGGGGGAAGGTAAAGCTTACCGTAGAAGAGTTTATCAACTTCTTACTTACCATTTCCCAGGCGGAGAGCATTCTTACAGGTAGTACAAACCCAACACAATTGACGCATTTGACTAAAAGGGAAATGCAGCGTCCTATTCTACAGCTATTATATTGAGCTGGCAGCTTGAATTGTAATTAACCTTCAGCAAATTCTGCAAAACCCCACAGACTTTGCGATGATTAAACAAAACTTTTAGAGAGCATCTTTTGTCTGCCAAACTATTTAAGCGTATTTGCAATCCGTCTCTTTTAATCAGTCCTTTTTAACTGAGTGGCCAACTGAAGAGCTCACAGAAGCCAGATGGACAATGCCAATTGAGCGAAAAGCTTAGAAGGTTACCCGAGGGATTTCCCAATTTATTCTCCCTTGTTATGTTTCGTGCAGGACTGAAGCGTGTAAAGATTGTTTAGAGAACCTCTTAGTTTTGAGTACTGGACGCTATCGCAGTTGTCATCCTAACAAAATACACTGATCAGAAATACCTTTTTGAGTACCACGATGGACTAGACTTGACCCCATTGGAATTCATCTCTGAGGTAATTTAGTTCCCTATGACTTATAAATGCGTCTTCATTTTATCCACAACAATGAAAAGCTTAGAACTAAAAGGCAAAAATTTCACTTTAAAAATCGCATGAAACAAAAATTTCGTTCAAAACTTCCAGCGATTTAGTGCACTGGGTAAGCTTCAAACCGCCATCAATATCTAGCATCAACATTATAAGATGGCAAAATTTTCTCCCGAGTGCAAGGTCATCGACACACATACCACTTTCAGAACGGAGCGACGTTTAACTTAAAACGCTTAAAATACAATCATTAGATTTTTACCGTTTTAATAGCAAATGTTTCTGCATTCTCTTTGCAACCTTGAAACCTCTCTTTCTTTGCTATACTGGAAAAGATAGAGTGGGACTAATCATGTTGCTCCTTTACAGAAGAATTTACATAAACGAAGAATCTACAGTTTTTGTCATGGTCCATTTGTCTAACGACAAGCCATAAGTTAAGTCAAACATCAGGAATTTTTCCTCGCGGCTGTCGGACAGTCATTTATTATCGGTCTTCTATTAATTAAAAGTGAGAAAATGGATTTCTCTTCTAAATTTGTTTATATGTATATATATATATATATATATATATATATATATATATATAGGTAGATCTTCGAAGATTGATCTTGGAAAAAAAAGCATTGTTGTTTTTGATCAGCAGACCATAGCACCATGCATTGTTATGACAATGGAGTCTAAAGCAAGGTAATGTGGTGTTACCAACTTGGTTGGTAACGTAAATTGGCGAATGATTCGCTCTGACGAAGGGCTAACACAGAAATGTCTGCTTTGAAACCCTTTGCGGTGGCCACCTTACGTTATTAGCTCGTTTGATAATACCAAATAACCTTTTTATACTCTCCCACCGACGCAGCAACACAGTTTCTTTAGAAGTTTACCCCTTTATTGTATTGAAAATTCATGCCGCTCCGTCAGTCTTGTCTCATATGTTGATTGATCGAAGGATTTTCTTTTGTGAATTATAAGCTCTTCGCCTAATTGACAGTACTAAAAATCAAATCATTGTTTTGGTTATACCAACGAGCTCTTAATGGGATTTTTTTTCCAGATTCCGATGTTAAAAAAGGCGCTATGTTCAATGCCACACCTCAGTACTCTTATAACAAGGTCCCTATGGAGGTACCACAGGGAAACAAGAAAGATGCCCCAGAAGAACTATCATTTTGGTCACGTGTGACGTTCAGTTGGGTACTGGGAAGATTGAATAGTGCCCAGGAATCAGTTGATAGGCTCGTTCCCGGGCAACGCTCGACCTTCTGGAACTGGAGAGACCTGCGTGACATATGGATGAAACACGCGCGATCAGCACAAGCGCGGGACAAAGCGCCTCGTTTGTGGAAAGTCGTCCTCTCTTTTCCGAAAATTGAGGGTTACACTCAACTGTTCTTGCTTCAGATCTCCATTCTTTGTGCACGTATTCTACAACCAACCATGTTCTCGTTTGTGTTCACCTCAGACCCATTGTTCGGCTCGCCTGTACCGTGGTATTGGGCCGCACTCACTGGCTATTGGCTGTCTGTCTCGGTTGAGGGTCTGGTGCGGAGTCATTACTCTTACTCTGCTGAAATGACAAGTGGGTCGGTAAAATCTGGTCTGGATGGTTTGGTATTTGATAAGGTAATCCTTATACAAACACGCGTATGCTTCTGATTTATAAACTTTTCTTTTCTTCCTCTTACACTCCGCATGTGTTCACTCGGTGAATCGGTAGAAAGATCGGTATACTTTTTAACTGATCACTTTGTATCCATTTTGATAATAGATCAAATCAAGACCTGAAAGATTATAAACTAACTACAACTTTGCTTTTCAGGTTATGCGCCTCAAGAAAACTTCTCTTGTTGATTATACGAGTAGTCACGTGGTTAACTTGATATCCAAAGATTTGGATTCTATTGGTTCATGTGTCTATTCGGTACCATTCCTCTTCACCGCGCCTGTCGAGCTACTGATTATGTCTTTGTTATTGCTTGTGATGGTTGGCTGGGAGGCTCTGTTGGGAGTTTCCTACATCATGTTCTGTACATTTTTACGCTGTGGGGTGGGGAAAGTGTACAAAAAAATGCACCTCGGCACTACGTTTTTCAGTGACCAGCGGATCGCCCTGTTGAGCGAGGTTATTTATGGTATAAGAGTTATAAAAATGAACGTGTGGGAAGAAGTGTTTGAGAAACTGCTCGGGAATAGTCGCAGGTTTGTGTCACGGATACTTTCCACTTAAAATTAGTCGGATGGTCAGTCAGTCAGTCAGCATGTCAGTCAGTCAGTCAGTATCTTCGTCAGTCAGTAAGTCTATCAGTCAGGCAGTAAGTCAGTCAGTCATTCAGTCAATTGATCAGTCAGTCAGTCAGTAAATGAGTCGGTCATTAAGTCAACCAATCCGGTAACTTTTAAACTGAGTTATCTGTCGACCAGCCTCTGGTCAGTCAATCGGTAAGGCAGACTGTTAATGTCTCAGTGACATGTTGAGTCCACAGGCAAAAGCTAATTAAGCAACCGAACAGACCCTCCTTACTTACTTGTTTGCTTAATTTTATTCTTAATATGCATGTTTTTCTTTCCAGGAAAGAGCTGCCTTTCATCAGGAATAAAACGCTGGCTCTTGGTGCATTTGTATCCGTTCAACAAGCCGTTCCCATCATAGCCTCTTTAGTTTCCATAGTAGCATTAATGATGAGTGGAAAAGAACTCACCCACGAGAACGTATTCTTGATCATATTAGTAATGTACATACTCGAGTCTTCATGCGGTGAATCTTTTGCCAGAGGAACAGATGTCCTTGTAAGAACACTTGGTCTGCTCTGTAAAATAGAGAGTTTTCTCCTAATAGACTTTCCGTTGTCATCGTTTTACGAAAACGTAGCAAGTCGTACGAGTGAGGTCCCTCCCTCCGACAAACCTCCGAGTCTTTCTTTGATTGGAGTCTGCTGCGAACGCGAATGTGAGTTGGTGGATATTGATCTAAACTTCGTCACTTTTAACTGCGAAGGTGCACAACTTGTCGCACTCACAGGGCCCCCTAAGGAAGGGGCCGTTACTTCACTGTTCTGTGAGGCTATACTGAAAGAAGTTCCACTTTCAAGGGGGCGTATAGTCCAACATGGTGACCTCGCCTACGTTGGCCAAAAGCCATGGATATTTTCAGGAACTGTTCGGGAAAACATTGTTTTTGGGGAACCTTACATCAAAGAAAGCTATTCAGCTGTTTTAAGAGCTTGTAAACTGAATGAAGCCATGCAGTGTTTACCGGATGGTGATATGACTAAAATTGGCCATGGTGGTTACAAACTAGCACTTAGTCAGCAGGAACTCATAAACGTAGCACGTGCATCTTACTCATCAGCGTCCATCGTCCTAATGGATAATCCTCTTAGTCACGTAAGCATCTCAGTAGCCAATCAGGTCTTCGATGATTGCATCCTAAGTTTTCTCTCGTCTCGTCTGCGTGTCGTGGTGACGGGTAGAGCAAGTTTCCTCGAGAGGTGTCCACGTGTGTTGCAGATGGTTGATGGCCTTATTATCAGAGAAGGATCACTCGATAACATTCGGGAGTCTGGTGAAAATCTCACGTGGCTGAGGACAGACACTATCCATGAGAGAGAAAAGAGTGGAGTGGTCCAACAATCCTTGTCTGGTGGAATCCGTTCCGCGAGTTTGAGGGAACCAAGCGTCAAAAATATCACTGATCGAGATGCTGAAGGATTTTCTATCTATCTCAGATATGCGAGGCAAACAGGATGGCTTCCATTACTGTCAGTTGTAGGTTTCCTGTTAACATTAACTCCAGGAGGTAAGGAATGTCTATTCAGAAATATCTGCTTCGAACCCTACCTTAAAATGATAAATAATCCACAATATTTATATGCTAAAAGCTGTATTCGATAACGTTGTTTTCCCCTTTCAGTCGTCCTCGCAGGTCTTGGAATATGGTTTGCACGAATTGCAGATCTATCTCGTGATTACCACTACCACCACTTCAGTTTGTCTGCAATAGTTGTGGGAGCCTATGTCATACTGCTTCTTCTTAGAGCTCTGTTTCTGCTCTTGTGTGGCCTTCGATCGTCCATGCGCATCCACGACAGAGCTATTTCTACACTGCTTAAGACATCAGTCCAACATTTTGAAAACGAAGAGAAGGATGCTTTCCTAAGAGTATTTTCTAAAGATGTAGAATGTTTGGACGAGAAGCTCCCCTCCGACATTCTGCAGTTGGCACAGTCGGTGGTAGAACATGCTGCAGTGGCTGTTATGATCATGCTAGTAGCTCCGTGGACGGTGCTTGCTTTCATACCTGCATCTCTTATCTCATTTGTGGTTGGGAAAAAATATCTCTGGTTGGAGCGACAGGCCAGAGATAATGAAAACAACACCTTAACGCCCCTGATGATGTATTTTTCGGATACTATGATGGGTGCGGTCACCATTCGAGCCTCTCAAAAGGAAAGCTACTTAATGAAAGAGTTTTTCAGGTAAGTTTTGTTATTGATGTCACGACCTACCTCCATGTAATTGAGGATATCCTGTCTATCATTTCGGAATTCATTTTACTTCAGTCGGACAAACGTTTCAGTTAGGGAACAGTCATTGATTATTGCCAAGGGGGGGGAAGGGAGGTTGGAGGATTTGCGGGGAGATCACACGGCTTTCAGGGGGGAACGGAGGGTAGAATCGGTCGTCACTAACAGAGTGTGAACAGGGGAGAAGAAAAAATTGACTGCCGTCATTAGAATACTACAGAACCTTAGGGGGGGATCAGATAAATTTTATCGTAACAAAACCAAAATCATAAGACCCCCACCCAGCATGTTTCTTTTAAACAAATCCGTACAGTGAAGTCCCACTGACTCGCACTCCTGTTCTCTCCGCGCCTCGTTTCCTCGAAATTAGGCCTCTTATCGGGAGTGGACCGTCTCATTTTCTTCTGGATATCTCGACGCATTTTTACAGATCTCCAAGACGTTCGCGATCGTACCGTGTGCCGTATTGCTAACTCGTAAAACTTTCTGATCATCCAGATTGCAAAATCAGCACATGACGGCAGTATGCATGCGGTCAGCGGCGGAACAATGGTTGGCAGTGAGACATTTGGCTGTGATGTCATTGACCATGTGTGTTGCCACTGTGGTAGTCATCTTCACAAGCAACAACAGTAAGTGTAAGTCATGATTGACTGATAAATGAAACTAAATAACTCCTAAATGACTATGTCGAAGCTTTGCTTAACTTGCATCCCAACTTGACTTCTGAAAGTTAACGGACTCTAATGGAACCCGGTAGATATGACCGCCTTCCGTCAGGAATATTTTAGTGGTATTACGGAGATATTAGATGGGGTTACACTGAAGAACTGTTGCCCCCCTCTCCTCTGGAACCGAAGCATTTGTAGCTAATTCTCCAGCTTATTTGCAAACATTTTGTCAGATGTGCCTAAGTTACTTTTGGTTTTTGTCCGGGGAAAAATTGAAGGGAATCGTTGAGGCAAAACCAGCTTACCCCAGCTAGGGCTTGAAGGTACGGTATTGAGTAACTAACTTCTTTGAAGCACTTACCAACATACATAGTGCTGGTTGACCAGGAACGAATTTTTTCTTTTTCAGCTTTTGTCGCTCTGTCGTTGGCATTTGTCAGACAGCTTGTTGTAGGAATTGCTATTATTCCATTTCTCGTCAAAAACATAGAACAGGACATGACTTCAGCGGCCCGATTGATGAGTTTCCATGACATGCGCTCCGAGTCTAGTCACCAGAATGACACGAAGCCACCCGAAGATTGGCCGAAGGAGGGCGCCGTGTGTATCAGCGATTCCTTATTGGCTCACACCTACGGTCGTCGACGGGTATCATTTGAAACGTTGTCTTTAAGCATTGAGCCAAGAGAGAAAGTTTGTATCATAGGCCAAAAAAACGCAAAGACGATCTCCTTTGCTTCTAAACTTATGCTTCTGTCAAAAGAATCCCAACAGGAGGTATGGGTCGATGATATTTCACTAGCAACGATTAGTCTCCGAGAAGCGAGGAAAGCTTTCTGCACACTTCAGCAAACACCATTCATTTTTACGGCTTCAATACGAAAAAACCTTGACCCGGAAGAGAAACATGAAGACGAAGAGTTGTGGAACGTTTTGGATACCGTGACAATGAAAGAATATGTGAAAGGACTGCCTGGGGGGCTAGACTACATGATGACACAGTCTGTGAACTTCTCCAATTCTCGGCTGCTGTTGTTGTCTCTCGCTCGTGCGATACTACAGAAGAAGAAAATCGTGATTTTTGATGGAGTTGTCTCAGGCGTCGACTTCACCACATTGCGCATAATCCATAGTGTTGTTAAGAACCAGTTTGCCAATTCTTCAGTGATCACGGTTGCGTATGGACCTATTGGACTGGAAACAATTCTGCACCACGACCGCGTTGTTGTTATGGAACAAGGGAGGATTGTGGAAATGGATAGCCCAAATGTTCTACTCGCCCGGAAGGGAAGCTTACTGTCAGAATTTCTTGCCCCCACGTGACAGTCACATTGTATACCCGAAAGGCTCCGCAGCGGTGCCCGAGACTTTGAAATTAGTAATTTACTTTTAATAATAATCAAACATACAATAGTCAAAGAATACTCTGCTTTCCATGTTCGTGAGTACACCAGCCCTTTCAGTATTGATTTCAAATGTATAAAGCTACGTTGCCTGTAATTTTTTTGCCAGTTTGTATTTCAGTGTCATCTGTTCAAATGTTTTTAAGTGTTCCATCACTTCTAAAATGTCAGCTTTGTTTTTAAATAACCAAAATCAGAGCAAGTAGACCAGAAGTAAATTTTTCAAACAGTCTTGAGGACGTAATTAGTGATTCCCTTTTTATCTGGGTGACTGCATCTGTCCAAAGAATTTAGCGTTTCAGAGGGAAAATAGTTGTTAGCTTTTTTCTTTCTGATACCCAATCCTTTTGAAAACGTATTTATACAGATTTAAATAAAATTACTCTGGTCGGTTTTCAGCTATATTTTCCACTCCACCTCTAAGTATAAGATACATATCATAAAATATTAAGATATCAAAGCGTCCTCACCTATTACTAGCACTAAAAAAATCATTTTCAACGTCGTGACAGTTTTCTACTGAAAAACTCAGCTTATATTCTAAACTGGGAACTTTTAAAGTAAAAAGACTAATATTAAGGTATAACTGAGCGATTAAAATTTTTTCGATTAAAATGTGGTAGCTTACAATACACGAATCTTAGGACGCTGTCGAAAAGCAATAACCAGAAGTAATCCTAATGACTGGAAGCAACAACGAACCAACTACCTGTAGCTGGGTGAAAGGAATGGAAACAAGTCGCGATTGATTCTAGTTTTGAATCTGATCGTTCGTGAAGGTGGCATGACTTAGGAAACCCGTCACGGCACACTAGATCATCTAAGCCCTTTGAAGTAAAAATAATAATGAACCCTAACCTTTTAGTTTTAAGAACGTTCTTTTCTGCGCTGAGTGTATGGCTTCGGTCGATCCCTAACTAAGGAAGTTCTCTTCACGTGATCGCGCCTGAAAGAGTCCTCTCGACTTCTTCTAGGTCGACTGGAGCTTGCATATGTTTCATATTTCCTACCATATTCACAGTAATTATCAGAATAAAAATAACCATCACCGCGATCATTATAATTCCTTTCGGGATAATTACGATGGTCACGTTCAGGATTATAATAAGTTCTATCAGAATCATCGTAGCGAGAATAAGTATCATGATTATCTTCCCTGTGTCGTTCGCTTCTAAACCTCCTTTCCGTGTAATGTCTACGTTGGGTTGGGGTGCCTGTAGGTTGATAACGATCGACTTGTTGATAACGCGATCTGAAGTCGTTGTAACCACTTGTACTTCCCCTGATGTAGTTAGAAGATCTCGAGTTTGTTTTGTTCTCTTCAAATGCGTCGTTCCTTGAGGCATATCTTGAGTTGGTATGGAGATGTCTTGGTCTGTCAAATTGAATTTCGTCCTGTTTCCGGTTATCCCCAACACGAACGAAAGACGTGAAATCGCTATTAAAAGTGACAAAATTTCATACAAATTTAAATGGTATGCAGGAAGTGGCTTGCCATACATTACTTTGTGACGTGCATTTATCTTAGCGTAACAAAATCGTGTAAAAAGAAATTGAATAGTTAACTCACAATTCGGGGATTTTTTTATGAAGATCCTCCAGGTAATTCTCACGCTCCATATCATGTCCTCGAGCTTTATTAAATGCTGGAAAAGTAATTAAGAACAAAAAAAGTTTCTAAGTGTTATTCTAACTTCATTAATCACAACAGTAGGTCTCAACAGATTGGAAATAAAAAGCAAGTTAGCAGATTACTTTCAGAAACAATCTGGTCAAAGAAGAGATGACGGCGAAAATAGCTATTTTCGTTTTAGGTAAATGAGAGGTTTACTCAGTTGAGCGCTTTTCGATTGAGTATCGTAAAACCAAAACTAGAGTAACCACAACAGCCAATCAGAAGAAAGAAAAATACCTTTGAAAATGAGAACTCAAAAACAAAACGAGAAAACGAGGGCAATCTCTTTGATTTGATTCAACTTTTCAGGACCAATCACAGAGCAAAGTCATTGATTATTCAACTTGTTATCTTGAAATCTGAAAAGATTTTGTCTTTGACCTCACAGCTTATTTTACCTTTGATAGCCTCTTCAGGGGTGTATCCTCTGCATTCAATAAGATATCTAAAATGAACAAGTGGATTCATTACATCAGTTGAAACTCAAATGTTATTCTTTGTTGAAATAGAATTTCCCAATCACATAATGAAATCACTTTTTGTACTATTGTATGTCACTTCTTCTCACCTACAAACTACATAACCACTTCTGTTTAGACCATGAGTACAGTGGACCCCAACAACAGCATCTGGAGAAAAATTAAAGATGGTAACATATCATGTGGGATTCAACAGACTAAAGGAGTAAACTGTTTGCGCCATTATGTTTCTCACCTGAGTTACTCCTCTTATCCAGAAAGCTGCAGACGTCAGTCTTAAACCTTTGGAAGAATGTAACATTGCTTTTTAAATGTACCAAGAACAGTTATCCAGATCCCAATTCCATTATTCAAATTATTCCTTACCTTGTTACCACATTTTCATCTGGAATTTCTTTTCCAACACATTTGATCTTGCAATGAAGTATGCCATGGTCAGAGAGCTCCTTTAACAATATATGATCAATAAATCTATTACTGTTTTGGTAGAAATCATGATGCCTAACAACAAAGCTTGTCTAATTTTCAAGATCTTTCAATGTGAACACCATTGCAATAACCTTTAACTTATTTTTCCTCCCACAGAGTTGCTGTATTAAATGTATGAAAAATATGTATGAAAAAAAGAAGCTAACATCATTCTTTGATCTACATACCCTGTAATTATAATATCTGTAAGTGTTAGTGAAGTCCACAACCATTCCAAGTTTTATATGCTTTCGGTTAAGGCAATTCAGCAGATCCATCGGTGTAAACCTTAAAAAAGATTAAAAACTGATGAAAGATATTGAAAGCGCAGTTTTTAAAGTGTGTGATGAAAAAATGTGAACAGAAATTTTAAAAAATTAGCATCCACATGTCTAGTAAATAACACTGTACCTACCTTTCATGCGGTTTGATTCCATTGTCTTGATCACTTTCATTGTCATATCGCTGCAACAAGATAGTATTTCTAAGTAAATTCAAAGCCCTGTCAGTTCTAAGATGTAGGGTAGTGCTAAAAAAGACAGCAGTTGGTGATTGTTTTCAGTACTGATATCTTGACAATATGAGTGATACTTCATTTCAGAAATCACTGACATGTTGTTATTTCACCTTACATGTGACAAAGGTGTCTTAAATGCAATAATCCTCTCTCCTGGTATGGGTACTCCACATGGTTTATAGTCTCTCCACCTGTTATAAAATAAATCAAAGTCATTGCTGATCATTGCTGACAAACAATCTTAACATTTCCTATCAAATTCAAGGGGTTTTAAAAGGTTTTTAAAATACGTCAAACAAACCTGTCTTTTAACATTATATGTGAACAAAAATATGTTATTTGTGTTTGACCACTTGGTTTGTCAGAAGGGGGTAAGATTATAAAGAAAAAGAGGTGCTGCATTGGTGGGGGGGGGTACTACAAAGATAACAAAGTTTAAGGGGTAGATTTAAAGTCATTGGTGGGGTCAAAGGAATTGGCAACTGTCAAATTAAATTGGCCACCGTCAAAAGTTTCTGAAGATACCTTTTTGAGTCTCAGCCCTTTGTAGTATGCCACAAATCCAAGAAATAGGAGGATAGTGTGCACGTGACAAGACGAAAAAAAAACGTCTTTCTCTACATAGGTGGATAGTTATCAATTTTGTAGCATGCAGGTCCAGCTTACTTAAATCGTGATACAGTTCACTGAAAAAGTAGTTCCTTCTCATATCCAGATGGTTTTTATGGTATCTTTTATAATAGTCATGTCTTTTAGAGAGGCATAACACCATTCCATTTTATGATGACAATGACTGATGACGTTCTTTAAGCCTTTTACACCATAACGTCAGTATGCATCTTCTCCACGCTATTCTCTACACATTTTTTAAGGCACTGACATGGAAATTTAATCAACAGTCAACAGCTGCTACAGTTGGTGATCATTTCATTTACTCTCGTGACTTTATGTTTGATTCAGGGGTGATTAAGTGTGGAGACACTTAATCTATAATCGAAGATTGAAGACTCACGAAGAACACCACACAAACCAACTTGGTCAAAGTTCCTTTTGATATAAAGAGGTAATAGAAAGATATACTCACTTATCAGGTATCCTTTTGTCAATAACTGCTTCTGTATTCATTTTCCTGCAAAATCTAAGCGAAGTTAAAGATAAAAGCCTTCCTAAATACACAAATCCCGGAAGCTCTCGTGAAAAGCGAAACATCATCGCCGAAAACGAGAAGGAATGGGAACAAAGCGAACGCGATGGAATGCCCAGCGGTTTCTTTCTTACGTGCTAGCGAAAGCTCATGTCCAATCTTCTGACGAGCTAACGGGCAGCTATCTCTCCTCGCATGTGGGGCTGTTTTTGCTGTTCTCATTCTGTATCTTTCAAGTTTACACTAGCAACTCATAGGAAATAAAGAAGAGGATAAGTATGCAAAGAGCACCTCAGCCAAGCTGTTTTGACCGGGTTAAAGTTGGCTTCATGATCGGATTTGCTATTGGAATGAGCTCTGCTGCGCTCTTTGGAACCTATTCTGCGTTCAAGTAAGATGCTAATATTACTACTACAACTTTTGGACCTGTAGCGTTATAAGTACCTAAACCTAGATTTAGAGGAATTCTTTCACTCTATTTTACTTGTACTTAATTGTCATCTGTTCATAAGGAAATCGCAGCCCGGTTACTGAGATGAAAAAGGTGTCGTCTTTCGATGCAAGTTCGTCACAGTTACACTTCGGATAAAGTGTTTATATGGCAATGTTTTATGTATAAATTTCCTAAGATCCTGGATAGAATCAAAAGAAACGGCTAACCACCATACCCCTCCCAAAGTAATGATGAAGATATGTGAATACCGAAATGTGTCATTTGATGTGTCATTTTGACGTCAATAAAATAGGAGGAGGGGGAGGGTTTGTGGGGTTGTACAAATGTTAGTTATTTTGTCTTAGGTTACAACCTGGTTAGGTAGTAAACAAAACTTTGACATCAGTGGGCAGGCTCAATTGCATTGTAGCATTTTTATCTTACTTTTATGACAAAGGAGATTATTGTGAAACAAGATTTTAGTAACTGAAATTGTCCAGATGATCATGTTTATAAGCAGAGGTCCTACTCAGAGTATCACACTTTAGATTGATTGCTAGAAAAGTGAAAGAAACACTGCAGAAAGCTAGAAAACTTGACACTTATTCTTTCCCTGCCAGATATGGACTAAGAGGAAGAGAGTTAGTCAGTAGTGTTGGCAAGATCATGCTTCAAGGAGGAGGAACGTTTGGAGTGTTCATGTCTGTTGGCACAGCTATCAGATGTTGACTGCTAACAGAGTGGGATTTTTTATTCTGTATCGAACACCAGTCATTGCTAAGGCTAGGATATCATTATGTGAGAGATGCTTGCAAACTTTCAACACAGTCTGTGCTGTCAATGTTTATAATGATTAGAACACTGTATCCTGTCATATATGACATAAGTTCAGCAGAAAACTAAGGAAAAAAAGATGAAAATAAAATGTTACCCATAGAAAAGGAAAAGTCAAGTCAAATCATTTGTTGGTGTCAATATCTTATCTGTGTCATCTTTTCTTGATTAATTTTTGTTTAAAGTGTGGCAATTGGTTGTAGTTAAAGAATTTACTATCTTAACTCTTTAAACCCCAATATCTGTGTGTATATTCTCCATACTGTTCTGTATACATGTCCTATAGTGCTGACAGGGAGAATTGGTTCAACAGCGTAAAGCTTCTTTAGTTTATGATCATTTCCCTCATTCTTGTGACCCTAATGTGTGACTCATGGCAGATATTGTATGGAGAAATTAGGTGCTAGTCATTCTTAGGGGCAAAAGGATTAATTGCAGTGGAGCTCTAGCCTTATTTAAAGACAATACTTTAGACCTTTTTAATTTTTCCAAGGAAAAGTCTTGGTATGAAAATCAAGGTTTTCCATTTATTTGAAAACAAAATTGTGACATCTGGAAAAAAAAATGAATTTGGGAACTCCTACCAAATGAAGAGGATGGATAAGATTAAATTTACTATTCATGGACTTAAAGCAACAGCAATGATTCAAATAAATTTCACTGTATATATTGGTATTTCAATCTTTATTTGCTGTTTTTGCTGTAGGAAACCTTTTGTATGACACAACTCAAAACAGTAACATTTATTTGCTAAAGATGTTTATTTATACGTTTCCATAAGCTTTAGTCTGTATCCTTTACATTGTTGTATGAAAGAAGTGCTCTTTTTACTGGTTTGTTATAACAGAAAGATTTACTGACACCTCTATACCAAAGCATTGTGAACCAGTGTCCCTCTCCCTTTCCACTAGCCGCTGGTTACTGTCAAGCTATTCACTGTATTTAGTTACTTTGTTATATGACAACAATTGTTTCACAACACTCAGAGTAGTTTTGATGCAGTTAGTTATGTTGGCATTGCAATTTAAGCAGTCCAGCCTACTAATTTTTGGACACAAACAATAGTAATCTGTTATCTGTTTCAGTTCCTTTCATCCTTCATACTTAATGGATCATCTGAACCACAAACGCTTTGACAACCCTTTCAGTAGTGCTATGTCAGCAGCATTAGTTTCATGTTTTTTTTTCTAAATCTAATTATTCAACACACCGAACATTTGGGGTTTTAGCGACCTTTTCTCGCTGGTATAAATAGGTAGATACATCCATAAGACTTGCAAAGCTACATGATTTGAGTGTGAAAAGAATTCCTGAAAAAAATTAAAATTTGACATTCCATCCAATATGGAGCAACCTTTCTCTGGTTCGCGGCACAAAAAATTGTAGTAGTAAACGAATCTCTTTGGAGTTGTTCACCTCAGGGAGTCAAAGCCAAAAGAGGTCACTATTTTTTTCTCAGTCACTGTCAATACTATGGCAGTTGCGGTGTAGTCTCGTACGGTAAACCTGGCGAAAAAAAAAATTGTTTACCTTCTACCCTATAACTTTTGTGAGGTTCAGCTGTGTACATGTTAAAATCTTTATTATGTTAATTAGCAGAATGATTTGAAACCAGTCTTAAGCGGCACGTTGCTATAATTGGGAAGATGGATGCATTATAGATCCGAGTTGGAAATACAATGATGAGTAAAGTAGAATGGAACGACTTATAATATATTGTCCAGTTGTTCATACACATAACTCTGGTTCTGCCATTTTGACGTTTTCCTTGGATCTTCGTAATAACTTTCATGTCAAATTTGCTGTTAAGTGTTTCATTTCGTGTTACTGGTGTCAAGAGCACTTCGCTTTTTTTCCTCCTAGGATACGTTGGAAATTTGTTCCAGTCATTTCAATTTTTGCGAGCTGTCGATAATTTATTTGAATTTTTGGTTCAAAGAAATCTGCAATTGATAGTAAAAAAAGAAATAATTCTATTCGGGCCCAGAGATGAAACTCAATACAGACTTAGTTCAAAGTCCATACCAAAATAGAACGGTAAAACAAATTCTGCTTTGAGCTATTCTTTGAACACAGAAATATTCAGCAAAGTGTTATGCAATATATCTTAGAACTGGATGTACTGCAAATGGAAACATGGTCTTCACGTGAATTGTTAAAGAGCGCTAAAACTGGGTGAAACGAGAAAATAAACTAATCGATATTAGTGTATTGTTGCTTCATTGAATCAGTGAAGCTTTTTTTTCTATGACTGAGCGTATGTCGGCTTTTTAAGCTTTGAAATGAAGAGAAAATTAAAGGAAAAGAAATGAAATATGGGTTTTTGAAGTGTTTTATGCACGGATGGTCACCAGGTGGTTATTGAGGTCTATTTTTAGCATCGTGCTCTTGAAATATCCATCCGGTCATTGTATTGGACTGGCATCGATTCATCACCTAGAGACCACCTCTTCACTTTTTCCCGCTCCAATCGAATTCAATTTTAATTTGTTAATGTAAAAGAAATCGGTGTGTCTCACATCATCTTGCTGAATTCAAACTCTCGCCTTGCTTATCCGCGTACACCTGTTTTAATGGAAGGGATCAATCGACGCGAGTCTTTTCAATTTGAAAAAGCGTAGTTAATGGCATATTATAGAGCTCGAGGTTATTAACCACAATTAATTTCTTTTCTATATTGACCACTAATTCATATCTTAGGGTGAAGTTTTTGAAAGACATTTAAAAATCGTGCCGATGTTGTACAAGTAGTTGCTGCTCTTTGTTGGCAAATTTTAGACGCTTTGTTTTTTCGTGTATAATAATATTCTTTTTTTTAAACGATAGCGAATTCAAAGATTATTCAAGCTTCCTTGGCCGAGATAGTAAGCAAGATCTCTCCCTCCCAGAATCACCAGAAAACAACTCATTAAAATGTAAGTTGAACGAAAGAAAACCTTTCCTTTATTTTAAGGGCGTTCATTGCTAATTATGGCTTCTTTTATTCCTCCCGGCTTGGTTTCAATTTGCATTTTTAGCTTTTTAATTCTGTATTGACTTCCATCGTCTTCGTCAAAAAGTCTAGCATTATGACAGGTTATTTCGGCGGAGAATTGGAGGTAGAAAATGGTTTCTGAAATTTTTCTTTGGAATTAGGAATTTTCTATTTCCGGTGGATTAGCGCGCGGATGAACTGGGCATGAAGTTTGTTATTATCAACAAAGATGGTAGATCAGGCACTGACTGAACGCTAAACAGATAAACTTTTTTATTACCATGTAGATCTTTATTGTCGAACCAGTCCTGTGCCAGACGTCCTACTACCAAGATTATGCTTTTTCTGCCAATCTGTTGTGCCGCTGAAGGAAGAAAGCAGGGCAGCTTAGTTCTTTTTGAAGGGCTATGAATTTCAGCTCGTCTTCGGCAGCCGCTAGCAACGATGGCATCAACAACTCTTTCCAAAGACTCTCTGTTACTCAAATTGCCCCAACGGACATAAAAAAGAACATTTGGACTCTCAAAAAAGCGTTCAAAAGTGTAAGTTTAACCAGAAATTCGTGCTTGAAACCTCAACATGTTCCCGGCAGCTTTGGGCATTTTGAGCAAGGTGTTCCTTTGTGCGAGATTTTCACCGATATCGGCCAGAAATTTCTTGATCGCTCAAAGATTGTTTTGGCGAGAGAGTGCCTGGTACGCCTTGAATCTTCCGCTAAGTTTGTACAAGAGCTAGAAGAAACAGTGGAAAAGTATATGGCCTATTTAGATGGTGAAATGCCAATTCCAAGCGAGTTCCCATTCAAAGTTGAAAGATTTCACGACATTTGCCATGCAGCAAAAACACAATGTATGTACCGACTGGCGATAAGAAAACTTATCTTTTCCGATCCATGGCTTCGCAAATGTGTGCCAGACATGCTGGAGGACTTGGAAGTGGTGAATAAAGCGCTCTCGCAATTAGCAGATACGAGTATATCGCTCATTTCAATTATTTTATCGTGCGTGTTGCGCCTTGCCGAAAAATGCAAATGGTGGTTGAGTCAGCAAGGTTTAAGTGCTGTTTGCCAGGGAATTGAAGATTTCAATCGCCTTTTTGAGTACACTAGAAATTTTCAGAGCGACGAAAGAGAACTTTTAAGTGTGAGCGAGATTAGAAATTTTGTGCAGTCGAAGGGTCGAGAAACTGCAGTTTCAACTACAGCTGTTTCTAGTGTTTGTTTATTGTCACTGAACAAACTTTTGAATGGCGTTGCTTGTGAACGTTCTCGTATTTTGGCCGGTCACGTTTATGAATTGGTAAGCGAACATCAGGAGGTTACTCGGACGTTAAAGTACGACTTTGCTACAAACTTCGAATGGAAAGACTTTGGGGTGGTATGTACTGGAGGGAATGTAAGACTTGAGGGAGGTACACTCAAAAATGGAGTGTTGTCAGTGTTAAGCCGCAACCAAATCCCACTCCTGAAACTCGAGCCAGACTCTCCATTGCTTTCATTTGATTCAGAGGAGCAGAAGTTTTTCAGTAATTTAATATCACAACTTGCTACCTCAACAACACTTATCTTAAGCCGCCATGTTAGTGGTGAGAGGAAAAATGTGATTCAGTTGCCGCCATTAGAGCAGCTGACCTCAAGTTCAAGGAGTGAAGATGCTGATCTGCAGGGGACATCAACAGCTGAGGAGGCTGGAGGGTCAACAAGTTCATTACTGCACCATCAGGAGGGTCATGGCATTCTCAGGCACAGCTCAAGTCCAGGATCACCCAGACTCAACAAGCGTGTTCAGTGGAACGCACCCTTAGACTCTGAAACAACAAAGCAGTTACATTATGATTATAGCACTATGCTTTGGGCCAGTTTTGGAGAGCAGCTGGTGGCACTGATGGCAGAAAATCAAGAATCTATAGGCAACTTAACGCAAAATGTGGCCTTGGGTCCATTGTTCTTGTGGTCTGATTTTCTTTTGATGGTTGTTGTTCGCATGATGGAGTCACTACGTCTGTCAGGTAAGTTTGAAAGAGTACAGGGGACATCTGAGAAGTAAAGGAAGGTTTGAATAAGAAAGTAGAGGGGAAAAAAAACAAGGAGGAAAACATTTCCTTTACTAGCAGTTTATCCAGAATATGAAAATACAAACTGTTGAGTTATCTTGAATGAAGAAATTATTAATTTTTGCTTGAAATGTATGCAATTATACCCAAATGTGTGATAAATGTAGAAAATGGTAAAATGCCTTATAAGCCATTATAATGTACCAAACCTTTTGCTTGCCTTTTTCTGCATAATTGTTCCAGCTGTTGAATAAAGATCAAAGCTCAGAAAACTGTTTGTATACAGACCCATCAGTCTCCTCTTTCATATTCTCAAACAGGAATGGATGTGTAAAGATGACTTTTTTCTTAACTTGGAAATAATTTTGGCCTCATAGTGGATAAATTTCTCTTTTTTTAAGACCCCCAAGATATTTTGTTTTTCCTTCTTTGGGGAAACATCAATTTAGTTTTAGTTACTTCCTTCCCTCTGAGTCTAAAGCCATTGAAAACTTCATGTAATAGTAATTAATTAAGCATTGTGTTAAAATCTACATTTATGCCAATGAAAATCCTATCATGTACATTTTGTTGTATCTGCATATGGTGTTCTTGAGTGATATCTATCACATCAGCTATCACTGCTTTTGTAAAATTTACATTTGTGGTCAAATCCTTAATTGATCAGTGTGAGGATTTTGCTCTCATATTTTTTTGTAATTAAGATTGGTCTGCAACAAATGGATTATTATTTTTTTCAAAACTCTATGAATTACATCTATGAATTGGTCAATACTTCGGTTTTAAAATGCCAAAAATTTATAGCTCATTTCTGACGTCACACTGCAATCACTAGCAAACCTAATATTTTAAAAGTGAATGGTTTTTAAATAGTAATTGTTAGCTAGAAAGAAATTAGACTTCTCCTTTTTTCTCTCAGGATTAATTAAATTTCTTTTTTTGAATGTAAGTTGCAGATGTAAATTAAGTTACAATTTTAATATAAAGTAACATGAAGTTTTTTATTTATCGTCTTTGTGTGACAAGATGTTAATGGATACACCAGCTGTAATGACGGAAATTTGTTTGATTTGAGGAAATTCTGCCTCGTGCAAAATGAGAATAAATTATTACCTTTTATAGTCCAGGGGATAGGTCCTTATTTATATTGAACAATGACCTTTAATTTACAGTGCAATATCATTGCAAAAAATATGATGATTCATCCTTATCAAGAAATGCTTTATTTATCAAGTTGCATGATTCATTTGAAGTCATTTCTGAAAAATTACATGCTTGTACTTTTTCTGCAAGCTGGGCCTGATGTTTAATATGATCATAATAAATTAATTTTTTAATTCATCTAGATTTTATTTTATATCTTCCCTTGATTTTGATGCAATAGATTTATTTATTTTTGTTGTTTGTGCTTGTTATTTGCATAGTGCCTTTTGGCTTTGTCAGTAGAGCTGAAAATGTTAATTAATTCATTTTTGGTTGAATCACAATTCTAAGAGATGTTGTTAAACAGCTGGATTTACAGTGCAACTAGGCAAAATTTGCTTATTATGAATGCAGTTATTTTTCTAGGTGGATCCTGGTAGAACCATGTCCACTGCTTATTTAATGTGTTAGCTGGTTGAAGATTAAAGTTTTTCCTTGTATAGTTCTGGGTGACATAACCTGTTCTATCCTTTCCATGAATGATTTCTTGAAATGTTTGTACAAATTATTGAACATAATGTTCACTGGTTGTTTCATGTATGATAAAATGGCTCCACACATGGCTGTAGTGAGCCAAATATAAATTTTAAAGGAGGAGAATTGTTTTATTTTTCCTTTCTGTTCACAGGCTGTTTGCCACCAGCTGGTACTAGTCCCCTTCAAGCTGTAAGCTGCTATCTTCATTGTCTGGCCTCTGCATCAAGCTGGGATTCAGGTAAGATTAAGATCTGCTGATCTTCTCTGTGTGCACATAAACATTGCCCTAAAAGCTCTTCAATAAAAGTAGCAATAGTTTCTATATTATGTGCAACTCTGCACCACACAATTAAATTAGTGACAGTCCTAAAGGTTCTTGTATCTGTTCATTACTAGGTTTCATTTCATTTGAAACTGATAGTTAATTTAATAATTGCTTCTCTTACCTTGCCTTCTACTGTGACCAGTTCTGAAGTTATTGCATTTTTTTCTCATTAGCTTTCAGTGGTGTTCTTGGTTCCTGTCTGTCTGACAAATGCCGCATGGACAGTGAACTTACAGACAGCATCCCAGGTACACAGACAGCACAATCCATAGTTAGTCTCTTGGATCCACTTGAAAGCATTTTTGAAATGGCAGGTTACTGGAAACGATCATCTAGCCACTTGGAACCTCATGCCAATAGAAGTGCCAGAGCTCTAACACTGTCAGTTTTTCCCAGTCTGTGCCGCTTTCATTCGTTGCTGTCCTTTGGATTTAACTGGTTTGATACCAAAATACATCATTTTTTATCCTTATGGTCCCTTGAGCAGTTTCTGCTTCTGACGCAGTGGGACTTACCACTTTTTCTACAGTCAGTGAAGAAGACATTTTTCCTTGTACAGTCACTGAGTGCAGTTCACAGTGATAGCATCAGTTGGAACTCTCTTTCTGTACAGTACAGTCTTTTACAGGAGCAAAGAAGCAACTTGGAGGTCAGTTCTTGTCATTTCCTTGATGTGAAATGTCATAAATGTTGTCCATCTTCAACATTTTCTTTATTATTGTCATATAGTGCTTAGCAATCAAGTGTGTCTGATTGCCCTCAGCCACCATCTTAGAGTACTTTGTTAAGTCTGCACAAAGGTGTTATGGATTCACTTGAAAATGTTTCAAGTTGCTAGGTGGTTTCTGAGACTGGCAGGAATAAGTTCTTTATACTTCGTGCCAAGATCTGGTAGTTGCATGTATTTTGATTGTGATGTGCTCTTTGCAAAACCTGTGATTTTTCTGTTCACTAGGGTTTATTGAAGAAGTCATGGGTTCTGTTCTCAAGAGATCTGACGAAAATTTCAACAGAATTCTTTCAGGAGGCCATGCCTGTTGGCAAGAGTTGGAAGAAGAGTCGCCACTCTGGTAAAATTAATGGAACCCTAACCCTAACCTTACTTCCATCATTTGAAACTAAAATCACCCTCCACTGGGATTAACTGTTTAGGCCACAACTAGTTTAGGCTGAAGTGGTCAAAATCTCCCAACAGAATATTTTCTGATGTTATTCTTTTTCTTTTCTTTTTTTTTGCCTTAATTCATGGTAAAAGCTGTGATCACATTTCTACGCATTCACAAGTTCAGGGGAAACACAGTATAGTCGAACCTCAATTATCCGGACTCATCGGGACCTCGGTAAATAGTCTGGATAATCGAGAGTCTGGATAATCAAAAATATGAATATTAATGAGATAGAAATGTGAAATAATTATCTGCTTATCTTTAATCAATAGAACGGCTAGCTTTTGCTTCATAGGCATGTTTTTTATTTGAGTTTACAATTGATCGCTCATGTGTTTACATAACCCATGCAGAAGGAACTAATCAAGCATGAAATTCCCTTGGCAACAAAACAATTGAGCCAACCATATTTTCGCTGAATGCATCAGAATATTTCTTTGTCTCGTCGCACTTTCAAATTTTGAAAAGCACACAGGATAATATGCTGTTTCAACAGTCTTTTGAAAGAATCATTGGGCTTTTTGCGACTTTGAGTTTTCAAGATCACAACTAATTAATATTCATGGGAAATTGGGACCAGAGAAGAAAGTCCAGATAATCAAATAGTCCGGATAATTGGGGTCCAGATAATCGAGGTTCGACTGTAGTCAATTTTTGTCTTTTGGTGTGATTCCCATGGCTTTTTGCTGATTTGCATGCTTATGAATCCATCTGTTTTTGGTTGTCTCATTTTGGTTTGATGACAACTGAAAAAATTAATCAACCAGATGAACTAAGAAAATTCTTTTTTCCTAGCTTAATACAGAAAACCCAGCCAACCCTAACAGTTGTTCTCAAGAGAGCCAGACTTAATAGCATGACTTAATTTTGATGATATCTCATTTTCTCTTATGACTTGTTTTGTAATACTTATAATCAGGGATTCCTCATCAGCGGAGCCAATATGTAGAACACGCAGTGTTTCAGATTTTGGAACCAGTTGTAGAGAGCTCCATGGGTTTGTCTTTTGAAAGTCGACTGAATGTTCTGACCCTTGTTGTCAACACCATGATGGAATCATGGAGTGATTTCATTCTCAAAGAGGAAATTGTTTTTAGGTAAGAATTTGTAGTATATGATGGCCTTTTCACTAGCATTTCAGAAAGAATGTGTTTAAATGCAGATATCTCTGGAAAAAGACAACCAGCCCCACCCCACAGGGCTTCATGTTAAACCTTGCTTTAAAGATCAGGCTAAAGTAACACAAAAACTGACGAGTTGGTGAGACAACAAAAGTGAAAAATAGCTGGAAAAGAGAGGAACATTTTCAGTTATCAGTGATCATTGTTGAATTTTCCTTATGCATAGCCCAGGCTGGAATTATTGAGTAGATACTCTGATTAGGAGCTTTGAAACTGGCTTAATAGCTTTCTTTTGATTCATTGTCTAAGCTCCTTCATTGTACAATCAGTTGCCAGTCAATTGTGGTATTGATTACAGAGGAAGTCAGCAAGTGAAGAATTTATTTTTCTTTTCAAATCAATTCCACAGCTTTTATGGTGCCCAGCAGCTTAGCTTAGATTTTGGTTACATCAAAGTATGGATTGCGTCTGACTCAAGCAACCTCTCATCTGAAATTCAGTCACACCTCCTGAAGTTAGATGTGTTTCGGCATCTTGATGGTGCTATCCGTCTGCTGATGTTGCAGCCAAGGAAGAAGAAATCAACTGTTGAAGATAATGATGGGGAATTTGAATCTAATGCTAGTACCATGAGTAGTAGTTCAGTTCTGTCATCATTATCAGGGGTGGATATTGATGCATATGACATTGATGTCCTCAATGACAAGACAATTCCTAACAGGCAGAAGTGGTTGGATCTACGTCTGCGAGGAGGAAAATCTAAGAAAGGGTTATTGCCATTTTGCTTGAAGGTGCAAGAAATGAAATGAGCATCTACTCATATTTATTGTGAACCAAATTGCAGATCCATTCTACTCTTGAAACAAAATGGAAGAATGATGATGACATGCATTTATTCATTGTTCAGGAAAGTTTTTAAACTGAATGATATTTTAAAATTATCACAAATGATTATTGTTAAATATGTTTACCCTTTCATTTCTGAAATGTTATTAATTGGATGTGTAGGCAGATGAATTTATGCAGCCTTTGAAATCAGGCTTTTGTGAAAGACATGTTGTACAAAAGAAACCATTCACTCTTCAAGAGATGATGAAAAAGTTAAGTCATAACTTATTTTTAGAGCTAACTGGCCAAGTTGGTTATACTTCTGGACATGTAATATATTTTAGAACCACAACTTCGTGTATTGTTGTATACTGTTTCTGATGGGTTATTTGGCCAACATATGAAAAGAGAAAATGGCCACTGATTCAGCTACAAAAGAATTGGATTACAATAACTTAAACATGAGATGTATTGAATATTTAAGTCCCAGAGGAAAATGTTGCAAATAATAGAGCATAATACTGTGTCAGCAAGGAGAAATTCCTCAAGCTTAGAATGCTCAGAAGAAACTGAAACTATTTAAAGCTAGTAAAATGTTTAATTTACAAGAAGTTTATTTACCTTTTAAGCTAATGATTTCTTAAGTTGGATATGTTTTCACAAATTATTTAAGGTTTTTTTTTTTCAAAATTAAGATCCTGTAGAAGGGTCAGGAAACTGTTGCAGTAAATGTTATAAATTAGAGCAGTGGTTAGCTAATGTACTTTGCAGACCTGTGTATTGCTTTTCTCGAAGGCAAGTCAAGGAATCAAGAATGCTTGCTTTAACATAATAATTAATGGTGTAATTATATATTGTTGTATAAAAGTTGTCAGGATTCAAATTATTAAATTTAAATTATCAAATTACATTATTAAGAAACTTCATCTTTTTATTGAAACTTCGTCTTATTTTGCTGTTCAATCTATTTTAAAATACTGATAAAGAAAGATGTTGTGGGTGTTAAAAACAGTATTTTAGGGATCACAGAAACCCACTTCAGCTGTTGCTTTCCCTGGATTCTGTAACTTTCTAAAAGGAAATTTACAATTGCTAGACTCAGAAAGAAGTCAGGTTTACAATAGCAGTGTGCACTGTGAGAGTTGAATTTCTATTTTTGTGTCAAAGAAGAAACCCATTGAGCTGGACTAGAGCTTGTAACACTTGAACCATGCAGGACCACTTCAAAACATTCTCTGGAAATTAACGTGGGAATGTAAGGTATTTTATCAAGGAAGGGGACATGGATGCTGTTGTAGTTTTGAATACATTCAATTTGGTTTTCCATTCTACAATAGAGCTCAAGGCTATAAAGTAAACTGGCCTTGACTTTATAAAAACCTTGAAAGCAGGTTCTTAATCATGCCAATACTAAATCAACGAGAGTAAAAGGATCACAACCTCCTGTTTGAGATAATAGGGAATTGACTGAGTATGAATAGCAACAGACTTGTCAGAAGGTAAGTTGTTCTCATTTGTAGATTTCCAAGCCCAGTAATTAGTTAACTGGCTCCATATCTTTTGAGTCTTTCCAATTCAATTTGCACTTTTATACTGGCACTGTAATAATAGTTCATGACATTTAAAATACTAGAGCACCTGAGTTTCTGTTTAATAAAATGATTACAGGGGAAAGTGCAGCAGATCACACTTAATATCAGATACACTATGACACAAGCAAGTGAAAAATTCACAAAATTCATAAAGATGTTCATTACGTTTATTCTGAATTAAAAACACTACATTTTAAATAATGATTTTCTGATTAATAATGAACGTATGCAGAGCCGACTGCCAATATACCATACACCAGACAAACAAGAGAAAGGCCTGAATGATTTTCCCTTCACAGAACAATGTGTGATCAAAAGCAAGGACTTTTGATCAGATTATGGGTTCTTAATGTATTTTGCATTTGGTATAAAAAAAGGAGGGAAACAGAAATGAAAGGAGGGAAGTTGCTACCATAATGTACAGTACTACTTAAAGATTAACATTTCAGCCTTCCTCTAGTTCATCAAAATCTAATGCACTTGTAGCGTGCATGGGTCTACCTCCAAGATACCAAGAATTTGCTTGATGATAATGAATAAAACTTGTACCAAAGGCTTTAACAAAACAGTCAAATCCTTTCTTTACAATAATATGAAGTTCACATAAATCTTAGAAAGTTACTGGTAATTACTCTGTCAGTTACACAGTAACCAGAGGCATAAAATATCTTACAAATGGTAAAAATCTATTCACTGTTTATTAGCCTAGAGATTCAGCATACTATTTTGATTTACCTATGACTTGACAGATTACTTCTACCATCATAATTTGAAAAAGTAAAATCAACTGTGTAATAGCATTGAAACCTGGCTTATCTATTTTCATACAATAAATGAATGGTGTGTATTTTCATCATTTATTAACCTTTTGTGTCTATAAACTACTTTGAATATGAATGGTAATGTAATCCTTGTTAAATAAGCCTATATCATCACATTTAGAATTCTACCATTCCATACTACTATTGTTTAACTATTCAACATCAACCTTTTGGAAAATATCAATTAATGTCAACTCTGCATAACAGGTAGTAAGCATATCCCACCCTTGGCAAAGAATTGGGGTTCCATGGTGTTTATCTTTTAACATAAATTCTATGTCTGATTGCGGCGTGTATACCTGTCTAACATTCTGTAAAAAACTTTGTCACCACCTTAAATTTACATTCTGAACTGGATTGTTAAACTGCACATTGTCTCTCATGTTTTCTTCTTTAACAATAGTTTTTGCCATTAATTTAACATCCTCAGCAATGATAGCAAACAAACAATACAAAAACATGAAAAGTACAGTAATAAACACTGTCACAAGATGAACGTACACTACTAACAACACAGTCACCTTAAAATACAAACTTCTACACTTAAATAAGACAAATGGCTCTTGAAGTCTAAAGTAACTAGATACCATTACAGTTAATCTTTGTTACAGAAAGATGAATGTGTATTCTTTCATAAATATGCTGCTACATTTTACAAAACAAAAGAAAATAAAAAGTTCATTGCACCAACACTGAAGCAGTTTATGTGATCAACTTTGTCTTGAGAATAACTTTATAATGAGTATTATGTAATAATAAAGAAATGAAAAAATAATTCACTGAGAAGTGAATGTCCACTTGTGCAATTAAAAAGGAGATTATAGTACCCTCAAGGAAAAGTGTCCTAAAGTATACATGCAGGGTAAAATTACTCATTCAAGCTCAAAATTAAAACAAAAACAATTTCTCAGGGCTGGTTTCAAAAGAACAAAATAATCTTGGAAATAGCAAGATTTCCATTGAAAAAGCTTAACTTTCTAGGAACAATGAACAATAAGGAATATCATCTACATACATTTTGCCACAGAAGAATTTCAACACTTTGGTTTGCATCTTCACATTTATCAGCTCAGACAAGAACAATTGTAGAATTTAATATTTAGGATTTGACCCAGATCTTCTGCATGCATACCTTACGGCACTTGTCTTTTGACTTTGAGAGCCAAACTAACAAACAAACTCCAGCCCCATAAAATAACAAGACCTTTTTTCTATGTTTTGCCCGATGTCTCACACTTATTTAACCTACCACAGCAGTAATTTACTCCTCAGAAAACCAAAGCTCTAATTTGTTGCAAGGAAATGTTAGCAGCAAGCAACCAAAATTACATGCCAGAAAAAAGTTATCACCAAAAGTATTCAAAACATACAATATAAGATTTTCCTTGATTTTTCATGTTCTTTTCTAGAACTGTACTTGAAATTATTAACAACTGAAGGTAAAAAAAAACTATTTGTCGACCAACATGTCTTAGTCTGTCCAAATTTTGATCAGAAATAATTCAAAACAATTGACAAGCAGTTTCGTAATCACAAATCTCTCTTGAAATGTACACAGTCCTGTCAAATTAAACAATAAAACCTTTTCAAATGCTCAAAGAAACAAATGGCTTAGAAACCATTCGAGCTTATGTCTTTCAGATGTTTTTTTTTCACGAAATCGCACTAAGTAATAATCATTTTAAACAAGTAATTTCGTAATATCCTTTAACCTCTGACAAATATACCCCTTTCAATAAAATAAATAGCAACTGCAGTCTTCACCGTTCGCAATAAATAAAGCGCTATTGCTATTTGTATACGAACGAATGATCGGTCACACGAATCGAATGATTGATCGTTCGAATAAGTCAGGATTCGAATATACTGGAACTGTCTTCAGACACACCTTGCTTTTGGAAGGCGTGTGAAATCGCAGGCATAATTAGAATAGTGCGCGGTAAAACTACAGCTTAGCGCTGGGCTGAACGTGCTTTAAAACGAAACAAACATGTCACAATTGTTAATTTCACATACAATTAAAAATCTTTTGAACCGGAGTATACTGCCGAACAATAGAAAATACTACGAGTACATTCTTGTAGAAAGGATCGTACAAAAGAGAGAGGCGATGACGTGTGAAGCACATTGGGCAAAAACATAATAAACTCATTCTGTAAGAACAATCATTTGTGGCCTCCAGATTGTCGACCCTTGATGCAAGTGTACATCAACTAGGTACACAATAGAAAGGCCTGTCACACGTGCACTGAATTTACAATCGCAAGACAGAGAGAACCCACAGTCAGAGAGTAACACGACTGTTCTAGCGAGCGAGGAAGTCGTAAGAAAAGTACCATGTTACAAATTACTAACAGTAAATAAATAAACACAAAATTTAGGGTTAGTACTTGCACGCTATGGCCTACCGAGATTTATGAGGCAGCCAGTAATTTAAGATTAAATCCGACATCCCTCAGCTGTTTTCACCTCAATACTCTGTCGATGCTCTGCGTTTGACGCATCAACTTGGTTCTCAGTGCCATTTCTCGACACAGAAACAGTCAGAACGGAATTATTATCCACCGCATGTTGGCTTTCCGAGGTTTTGGGTTGGACAGGATCCGAATTGGGCGCCACAAGTCCTGCAGCCGCAATAGTGGCGAAATGATTGTTCATGGGCCCAGCCATTGAAGCGGGAATGCTTATGGTAGCCAGAGGTACGTTTTCCGTAGGTTTTTCTGTAGCCATGTTTGTATTGTCGGTAGAGTTAACCAGGTTATTGACACCGCTCGAAACAATAATCGGCGCTCCAGCGTACTGTGTTAACGGGATAGCATAACTTGGAGTCGCCAAAGTTGTTGCTACGGTAGATCTGACCGCCTGCACGGTTACAGAAGCTGCAGGTTGGATTGATGTTGGATTCGTTACTGCAGTTGTAACGAACGTTGGTCGTAGAATCATACTTCCTCCCGGAATAGGAGTCGTTGGTACGTATCCTACACTACCGATTGGCGCATACGTTACCGTGCCTCCATTGTTCACTGCTTGTACTGGGACTGTCTGAATTCCTTGAGGAAAAACCTGAGCCACTTGGGAATTCTGTGTCAAAGCTGTAGTGGGAAAGGTGCCGTTTTGAGCTGCGATGGTAGCCGTCCCGTTCATTGCGATTGGAGTTTGAGCCTGTCCAGCAGGCCACCCGGGTGTCACAGCAACTCGCGTTTGAACATACGGACGTTTCATCGGTTTCTGCTTCCTTCTTGGTCGATATTTATAGTCTGGAAATTCCTCTTTGTGTCTTTTGTCTAGCCTTGCCGCCTCATCCACGTACGGTTGCTTTTCAGCGGGGGGAAGCATTCGCCAGAGTTTTCCGAGCATTTTGCTTAATTCAGCATTATGTACGTGCGGGTACTGTTCGGCGAGTTTTCTTCTCGCTGACTGCGCCCAAACCATGAACGAATTCATCGGCCGTTTGACATGATTTTCCTTCTTGGGCAGCTGAACTTCAGAGTAAGGGCCAGGCATGATCTGTGTCTTCATTGGCAAAGTAGCAAGCTTTAGAGTAGCAGCATCGATTTGAGGACATTCTGCCACTACTACATTATTACTGTTGTCCGAAGACGTGTTTTCTGTTACGGTTGTTGTTGTGTTCAGGGAATTGGCATCGTTATATGAAGGCACCGTCGTCGTTATTTTCCAGTTGAAGTTCTGATCGCTCGTCTTGATCTGATCTACTTTCTCTATTTTCACTTCACCAAGTTCAGGTCCGTTTGGGATCGCGTTATTCATTCCACTCGCAACCGTAGCCATTGTTGGAGTTTGATCACAACTAGCAATATCACTGGAACACAAATGACATTTCTTGTAATCACGTGATAGAATAGGAAACACGTCACGAGGCGCAAAACGCGCGAGTTATACAAACTAGCGAGCTCGAATTTCAGACGCAAATCTTCAACTCGGAACCTTCTTGGTGGTCCCGAGGCGAAGTTTCAACACTGGAATAGAAACAAATGGTGGAAATCCAAGCCGTCTTTGAACAATGCCGAATGGAACAATATCTGTTTTCCTTGTGGCTATTCTGCGTGTGGGGCGCTTTGTTCCGCTGTGAGCCAATAGAATTCTAGGAATTGAAAGCATGCCGTATGGCGGAGAATGGCGGAAGTTGGTAACAAAGCCGCCCTCCACAGTCTATTGTTCTCACAGACAAGTGAGACACATTTGATCCCAATTATACAGTGCGGTTGTCAAGGAAAATAATTGAACAAAAGCCCATTGTAATTGAATATCTGCTGATTGGCGGATTCCTCACAAAGATTGTCAATGAAAAAATATTGCTTAGAACGCTGTGTAAAAACGAAATCCCGAATTACACCAATTCTTGGCCGATATCACAAATTTAGCTGATTAGTAGATGACTTCCTTCGCAGCTTGCGACTGAAATGCGATTTTCTTCTACTTAGACGACAAAAAGAAAAATAAAGAAAAAAATAAGAGGTCAGTTATGATAATCAGGCAGTATGTTAATCTTCACGTTGAGACAGATGTTTTGAACCTCGATCAAACAGAGGCAGATGACAACGTTTGGTTCGCTAATGAAAAAAAATTTAACCCCCCGAATCACGAAAAAATGGTTAATGGCTTGTAAATTTTACTAATTCAGTAAAAGCGGATGTATTTTTTGTATTGCAAGAACTCATGTAATGCTATATAGATAAACTGCAAAGTGAAATTCGTTCCAAAATAGTTTATCAAGGCTATTTTGCTATTATTATATACTCCATTGGCAATCTCCAAACACCGTGGGATATGTTCCGCTTTTTCAACAAAAGGCGGCACGCAAATTTGCAATTCGTAGCAATTCCCGTAACGGGAACAGCTGCAATGAAAACTTTTTCTCAATTTTAAAGTTATTGTTTTTATTTCTGTATATCCGACTACTCTTATAATTAAGCGCAAAGTTGCCACCACCTTTACCAATTTCAATAATTCTCTAAATGTATTTCGTCTTTTTTTTTTACTAGATTTTCCACCGATACATCTGAAAAGGCTGAGGAGTACCCAGCACTGTAGTCAAATAAACGTAACACGACCAAGACACCCTCGTATTAAACACCAAAAATGGAGTTTCTAGGTTTTTAATCGCTTAGTTGCAAGGGTAAGGGAATGAAAAAAGGATTTGGGAAAAATTATAAACTTCGATCGTGAGTACTCCACTGAATAAAACAACAAAATGAACATGCGGTCTCCAGAAAAATGAAGGAACTGGCGATTGCAACAAATTTTCCAAGACACTCGGTTTAGTCAAGTCTGCTCCGAAAATCATCTGAGTTGTGGGTGGATGCAATGTTTCGTTTGAGGAGAAACAAGTTATGTTTACACGGGCAATTTTTCCTACTTGGTTTCATGGCATATGCTATTAAGTAAAGTTAGTCGAATTTAAATAATGAAGTATTCATGGGAGGTAAGTTATTTTAAGCTCGCTAAAGAGTTGAAATAAGACCCTGGAAACTAATAAAATCGATGAATCAGGTTGAACTTCAAACTATCATCATAAATAATGGTGATCCGTGTTTTAGCGGTCAATTCTGGAACTTTCATTGAAAATAATGCTTGACCATAAGTCAATACAATAATATATTACTCTACAATCCACTCTAATTCGATATATATCAGTCTATAAGTGAAAAATTTTACTTTCTTTAAATATACTACTTCCTTACTCAATTTGTATTTACAGTTATTTTCCATAAGAAAATACCGTTTTGTTTGCTACATTGAATGTCTTTTACCGAATCTTTAAACAAAAGCCAAGAAATGTTTGATATGACCGTAGGGGAAAAAAGGATCTGGTGCGCATCCGAGGATTTTTTACGTATTTTTCAACATGTTGCCATCAACACCTCATACAAACGTGATGCGGAGCACGAACTTTATCGCGCGCGGCTACCTCGCGTGTGATTGACGCAAAGGCTCCTGTAGGCATTAGAGAAGGAATTGTCTCAGTGTGGAAAGATGAACTGAATATTCTTGGTCCCTTCTTTCAACTGAAATGTTCTAGTAAGCGATTTTTTTGTTGTTTAATCCTCCTTCAAGGTGTTATAAAGAAAATACTACTCAGTTACGGTCTGAAATGTCAAATTCACGTCTCTCAGATTCAGATAAGGAAAGTGTTCATAAAAGCCGACAAAAATTAAATACAGTAATAAACGTGCTGCAGTTTAGGTGGCGATAGAAAAATCAGCAAATGACAAGACAAACCATCAACAATCTTATTTATTAAATTATTCATGTCATTAATTCTTTCCGACGACAACTCTTGTCTGTGTAAAATGTGATACACACGTCAGGTATACACAGATCTTTTCCCACCACTATTTATTGCCATTTGAATTGTCCATCTTTAAAAGGAACTTTCCATTCGTTAGTGTGCTGAATCAATGCTTTAAACCAAAGATTCTAAATCTTTATATTTTTTCTTTTTCAAATCTAAGTCCTTTATTTTTTGGTTCCATTAGTGTTTTTAAGTGCGAGTGCACAGACAACTTACAGTTTAAAAACCAGTCTGTTATCATATTGACGAAGAAAGTTCACCTTAAAATTACTGAGTACTGTACTGTACTCCTGAGCTCTCGTTATCGGTCTCTAGCTCATCATTGCCGGCTGGGAAAAGCCGCTTGGGGACTGGTACAGGTTGAGAGGCGTTTTTCCATCAGTAATGAGGACATTCTGTATTCCCAGTCCCTTGAGGAGCCCGGCCTGTCGATAAAACGGCAGAGTATAAAAGAATACATATCTATTTAGTTCGGGTCATATCTTTCCGTTTACCGCGTTGCGTTGCAATGTTTACCACGCTTAAGAGAAGTTGGTAGATTTTATCAATTTTTACTCGTGGTGGAATACTTTCAATTTTTTTTAAGTGATCGTCACAACACACGCGGTAACAGAAGTAACCGGGAGCAAATCAAACCAAAACATGTGATCCGTAAAAAGCGCGGGAAAAGCACGCCAAGTCATAAACGAAGAAAAGCGCGGAAAAAGTACGAATAAAGATATTAAAATTTAGATAAAAAGAACACAAGCCCGCATATAACATCGAAGATTAAGATATTGGTTAGCAACCAAATAATTACATCTTCAAAATCATCTCCATCCGTCCTCCGCTGTTATTAAAACGCTCCTAGTGTAACAGTGTAAAGTTTAAACCTCACCTCTGACTCAGGACCAGAGCGCGCAATCTTACGGATCGTCTTTGCACTCAAGGCTTCCACCATGGCGGCAAACTTGTCAGTCTACGATAACGATCGAGTTTGAAAATAAGCACGAGGATATAAATATTCTCTTGATATGAGTCATGACCACTTTGAAATTGATGCCAGAACACAATGCTACAAACCTCGATTTCTGCCAGTTCTTTGGCCTTCTGTAGATCGAGTTCATTAAGTCGCTTCTGGTGTTCGAGTTCCCCATCTTTCTCCTTAAATAAGGAATGAGAAATGATAAGATATACACGCATTCCGCTACAGTTGCATCTGATCAATTATCCTCCAACTCACCATTCTTTGAGATTCTAACTCAGCAAGTAGCTCAACTTCAGCAGCTTCTGCTTTGAGTTTAGCGACTAAACACACGGGAAAAGCTAAGTTAGAATCAAACATATCTGCACTTTCTATTATGTATGAGTGGTATACAGGGGTACTATGATACACAGCCAATCAGAGAGGAGTATTTTGTACCACATGGTACAAATAAACCATTCATATGGCCGGATTGGCCTCAAAGATGGTGATTTGAAATAACTCAATCTCTTTGTCATGCCTAAGTGTCAAGCAAGGATTAATACTGTTACGCTGCGCGGAAATGACGCAAGTGGTACAAAATAATCTCATCTGATTGCCTGTAGACCATAGTGCCCCCGTATACTAATCGTAAGTAAAGCACAACTTCCACGACCAAACTCGTCTATACCTTCTATTGCACTCTCCCCTTCAATAAGCAAACGTTCTGCCTGAGCCTTTTGGAATAATAAGAACATTTTGTTACTAGAGTAACGTTGATTTAAATCTCGAAGAGGTTGTTGAAATGAAACAAACAAACACGAACTTGTACATTATCGAAAGAAGCGTCATATGAAGAATTCTGAAAAGTCCCACAAATTAGAAGATTAGCAATATTTATGCAAAGGGTGGGTATATATGAAGTTGGCTGACCTGTGCCTCAGATTTAGTTTGTCCTGAAGATTCTACTGCGGCAGTAATCGCTCTCAGTTCAAATAACTTCACTCGCGCATTTTCAGCTTCCTAATGAGAAAGACACGTTTTTAATTACAATCTCTATTTTCACAATGAAAAATGAGTATAATTAATAATGGTAATTGAACTGAGTGGAGTACAATTTGGGCTGAAATCATACGCGTGATTTGAAATCACAAGTATGATTTCAGACCAAAATTGCACGACACGAGGTTCAATTATCACTTTATTACATCCACTTTGAAATCGCCCAAATACAGGCTTGGTCAGTTCAATTATTTTATTGATGCAGTACTGAGCCGATTTGAAATTAAATTCATCCATTTTATGGGGGGATAAGAGTTTTAGAAACAAACGTTGCAAAATTTGCCACATGATACTATTTGTCTTTTATTTTCTTGAAATTTGATAGGTTACTTGAAAAAAGCCTTGAAATCTGATTGGCTGTTTTGTTTTTAGTGTAGCCTTCTCATTAGCTGGGAAAAAGATGTGATTTAAAGCAAATAATGATGTGATTCGTGAATAAATCGCACCGATTAGAGCCAATCAGATTACAGGGACCACCAGTGATTTCAAAATGGGTGTAATAAAGTAATAAATCTATTCGTCAAGTTATAAATGCATTTGTAAATTCATCCACTCCGACCCAATAAAGGTTTTAAAGGGAAGCAACTCCCTCCACACTCCATTTCCCTTCTCCTAATAACTTGGTAAAAGGAAAAATAGGGTAATTTAGTATTATCAACTGAGTTGATAACGTAAATTGGCCAGCGCAAAGAGTTTCAAAGCTGACGTCTCGAGCGTTAGCCCTTCATCAGAGCGAACGGCTATTGACAAAAACACGTAATAAAAACATAAGCGGTGCTATGGCAAGTTTAAAAACATAAATTTGACTTTGGCCCTGAGAGAAATATCCAGAGAGATGGAATTTTTCTACATCACCATAATATTTGTGCACAGGAGAAGACTATGGAATCAAGAGAAATTGTGGATTAAGCGCCTAAACTCAACATAATCTAGTCTTGAGAATCGGGAGTGGAACCCGGGCCACAATACTGGATGAGGATAAAACAGCTTCTAAACCCTTTACCATCACTGATTCGCGTAACACAAGTTTATAATAAACTGGTCCTTTACTCTGTTGTAAGCTCCTTCACTGCACGAACCTTCTCGTTAGTAAGCTTCTGTCTTTCTAACAATCCTTTCGCCATTTGTTCTGTTCTTTTAGCTTCATGTTCAGCAGCTCGCTCAATGGACCTGATATGTAAACTCTACTATGATCAGTTTCATTTTCTCCTTACACTACCAACTATACAACCATCGCATCCACTGCTAGCGATACTAGGATACACTTCACCGGCTCGTTGCTCACCTAGCGCCCACTTACAGTCAGCGTCTTTTAACCCTTTACATGTTTACATCCTTATGTATATTCTCTATACTGTTCTCTATACATTTCCTTAGTGTGGACAAGGAGAATTTTTTTAACAATCAAGAGCTCCATTAGTCGGTAATCATTTCTTTTTTCACGTGACCTTAATGATTGATTAAGGGATATTATTGTAAGGAGAAATTAGATGCTAGTCAGTCATAGGGTGTTGACGTAGAAAGTTGCTTCTTGGAAAGGAAGGTTGCTGAACTTACTTTGTAGAAATCTCAATGGCCATTTGAACAGATTTACTGAGGCTTTCACTCATTTGCAAATCCACAGGCTCGATGCTTTGGATGTCAACATTAGTTACCACCTGGTGATTTAAAAAAAAGGAAAACAACTCCTACTTTTCCATTCGTAACTTGACCTCATGTATTAAAACAAGCTAGAACTAGACTTTGCCTTTTTTAGGTCAAATGTCTTCTTTTCAAGCAATTTTACAAGGAATTCTGTGCCAAAAGCGTTCATATGTCTTGATACAACTTAAAAGGATTCAAAAAGTCCCGATAAGATTATTTTAGAAGAAATCGACTTCAACTGACGACAAAGAAAGCTTTTCATTCCCTTACCAGTTGATTAGCGTCAAATCGAAGGCGTTGTTTGATTGTTCCATCTTTCTCGACTCCGAACACGGCCTTCTTAATGAGAGATGTGGAATGGCGATGAAATTCATCAAACGCTACTTGTGCTACTTTTCCGCGAATTCTACTGGCTAAATATGGAGAAAGAACGCAAGTTTCTTTTAACACACATACCTTCCATTTTTATGCTTAATAAATGGTGGGCGGAGGGGGTGGGGAAAGAGCGGGAGACTTATCTATAGAAGAGTTTTAGTTCTTAACCAATTGGAAAAGCCCTTTAAAGAAATGCTAGGTTTATCTTTTTGAATCAGAGTAATACTGTATCTTACCAACACTCTTGCAAGCATTTCCAATATAATCTGGGACAGAAAAAATTGCCTGTTCTGATTCATTATTCCCTCTCTCGACCTGAAAGTACACCAAACCAAGTTAACCTTCTCCCAGATTCTGAAAGATGATTGGCTCACAAGTAACTGAACGTCTTAAGAGAATTAAAAAACCAAATTACCTCAAAGAAGTTGTTCATTGCAATTCTGATCTTAAGCCTAGCATGGTCAGATGTTTCCACCTGCAATAAAAATAAATGAGTATTAACAAGTGGAAATGAAGTGAAATAGAGCATTTTTCAATTGAGTGACGAAGAACCAAACCCAAAGTAATCCCGACGACCAATCAGAAAAAAGATTTACATTATCAGTAGCCAATGAGAAAGTGGAAAAAGGCACATTACCTGAAGCGCGGGAAAACGTAGCTGACCAAATGATACACAGACACTAACTGCCTACCTCTATAATATCTGTTATAAAATCCGTTCCCAGCATCAGACAGATGGTTTTCAAGGCGTTTGGCTTCTTAGGTTTCCCAGCTGGTAATTTAAGTCAAAAGGTTGATAAGATTACTCATGAAGGAAAATTATTTTGTGTAATACACAGAAAGACTATGTGTTTTGTTGTGGCAGAGGTTTTTGAAGTGAAAGAAAAGGAATAGAAAGTTCACTCACCACTCAAGCTAAGCACATTGAAGTTCTCATGTGGTCCAAGTACAACCTGAAATACAAAAAGCACAAAAATGAACAAGAGGCTTTCAATAACCCTTTCCACCCGAAAATCAGTATGCATATTTTCTTTTCTGTTCTGTCTACATTTTCTGAGGTGCTGGCAAGGAGAATTTGTTTTAGTTGGTGATCTCATTTATTCTCATGACCTTAATGTGTGGAGAAAGATGGTTTTTTTGTCTTGTCATGAGCGTGGGACAAAGAAAAAATTCTGAGTCCCCATGAGGAATCGAACCTCAGACCTTTGGATTCTGCACTCTGATGCTCTAACCACTGAGCCACAGAGACTGTTTGGTTCCTAGATGATATTGTAAGGAGAAACTAGATGCTGATCACTCTTCGGGGTCAGAGGGTTAAATTCCATGTTACCAGCCAGAAAGGTGCTGGATAAACAAGTGAGTGATTGCTAGTAATTAGACTGCTGATGAATCAAAGTGGTTGGGGCCTCCTATCAGTCATTTTCCATATCATCTTAGTCATAATGTAATGATAAATTATAATGAAAATCATTCACTTTTCTACATACCAGGTCTGGTCCAAAGATGACTCTTGCAGTTTTCCTTAAATAGTCATACACCTGAGAAAAGCACATTAAAAATATTGCTCTCATTGCATTTCTCTTCATGTATAAGGAAATTTAAGGGCTTATGAAATGTTGTAAATATGTTTTCATGGATACCAAAAGGAGATTTACCTGAACAGCAGTATATCCTGGGCAACGGTAAACAATAACTTGAGTCTTATCTCTTCCCTGAATGGAGAACATACATATTACAGTTAAAATATATAATATCAATAGCTTTTTTATTCCATCATTAATTTTCATTCCTTTTTTTTTTACAATTCAATTATTTCCGAAAGTAAAAAAATGTTTCCCTTGGTCTTTGCTTTAATCGGTTTCAAGCAAATAACTTGGCACACACCTCAGCTCTTGTGAATGAGGGATTAATAGAAGATTCAAAGTATGCCATTTTCCGAATGTCACCAGAGCCAATGCCTCCACCATTCCTGTACATTAGATGAATGAAAATGTCAGTTTCTAAAATGTTACTGTACAAATACCCTTTAACATTTCAAACACAATCAGTTTGCAAGTTCATCTGATAGACACATAGAAAATTAAAGAAGGCAAACTAACCAAGACAAATGCATTTTCACAGCAACAAAAGAATATAGAAAACCAATACTACGGAAGACAAACTTAAGAATATTTTCCACATCATCAGTGAGGTCCTTTTCCCATAATTCCTCATAGGCCCCCAGTAGATATGCTTGTGGTCCCATGACAGCACGTACCTGAGACAAAATAACAAAGATGAACACTGTGAGAACTTGATAATTATCAATAATTAATTAAACCAAAGGTAACTACTCACTGCACCACTCTGTGTGTCCCTAACATAAATCCCTTCATTTTCACAAAGAGGGACAGCCTTCCTATTGAAATAAATAATACAGATTAAGTCAGAATGTTAATTAAACATCTTGGAAAGATAACAATAAAAGTATTTTGTGATCACTGCTTCTCTGCTTACTTAAGATCATAAACTATCACAGGTACTGGTAGTGGTCTGTTCTCTACTACTTTTTTCCTGATTGCCCATATAATTCATTTACAATAGTCACAAATCAATATACGTGGTTTGAACCAGTAACAGTTGATCATGTGGTCTGATTATCCTGTGAAAGTAGTCATGATATGAAAAGTTGTTGGAAACAGGGGCAAGTGACATTTTGACAAACTGAGTGGATGTAATCAGGTAAAGTGAAGCTGATGCTAGAACTTCTACTCAGACTTTTGAAAAGGCAGTCAGTATCATGGACAACAGATGATCTAACCATCACAACCAAATGGACTGTTTGGGTAGCCCAACAGTCCAACTTGCAAACCAGCAAACTACCATGTCCTAAACCATCCCAATGTCAAGTCTCAAACCATCCCAATGTCACGTCTCAAACCATCCCAACTCAAGAAAAAAATGCCATCAACACTTATTAAAAACAGCTCTCCAGACCTTCTTGCTTTAACAGCAACTTCTATTGGTGGAATGTATTCAACTGGACCAAATATCATCCAGCGGTCCCCTGGAGAACGATGATACTTCTCTGAAAGGATAAATATCACAAATCAACACAGTACAGTCATTATATGGGGATTTTTAGAAAACATACGATGAACAACTTCCAGATGGTTTGAAAGGGGTTATCATCATCATGATTTGAAAAGGGTTATCATCATCATCATCATTATCATTGTCATCAGTCCTCTTCCCATCAAGTGGTGCACAGGACATTGACTAGCTTCTTTCCTTTAAATCTTCTTAAAGCCACAATGCCTGATTCCAGCTGGGTCTAGGGTCCTGAGTTGTTCTCTCTATAGTCCTTTCCCAGGGTGATTTTGGACTGTCTTTTTTCTTTAACTCTCCAGAGTTCCCTTGAGAGTTTAGGGATGCTTCAAAGAAAAGTTATCATCCATGCATAAATCTTTAACTATATGTCATTTGTAGCAATCACTCACTCTTTGCATATTCTTCATCAAAATGATCCACTGCTGACAATACCAAGGCTTCATCTGCCTCCAGGATATAAGAATTCAATATTCCACCATCCAAGTCTTCTCCTGGCAATCACAAAATTTATACAAGAATGTGTTGTCTAAACAATCCCCCAATGAATTGTCACTTAATATATGACATTCCTTTTAGTGTTTGTTGCCCCTGTAAAATGATCACAGCATGCATTGCCCTTCTTAACTCAATCAGAGCTCCTTTCCTTCTTCACCAATCAACAGTGATGGATAGAATGGTGATAGATAATACCATCAAATGGCTGCTTCACCAATTTCGAATGTTTGCTTTTTAATCTTAAGAATTACCTGGATGTAAGAAAAAAGAGGCCACTCCTTTGCGAAGTTCTTTCTTGCCCAGCTGGTTACGGCCTTTGCTATCAACAGGGTCCATAACAATACAGTATTCTTTACGAGACAAAACTGTCTGAGTCACTTCAGCAACAACTTCCTGTTAATTTCAAACAACACATTAAAGGAGTTTCCTTGAATGTGCTGTTGTACTTAATTGGTCTTCAGTTTTGATAAAGAAGAATTAACAATTATAACATAGCTCTCATACTACTCAGTTGTCTACTTTACCTCAAACACTTCAGGTATATACATCTCTGTATCCTCAGAGGTGACAAGCCACTCCTCTCCTGCATTTCTAACAAACATATTTCTCACATTTGGTTTTTAGACAGTCTGATTAATAATCTAAAGATCAATGCAAACTTGCACTTTTGCAAAAAGCAACTAAATGATTATTACAGCTAGAATGACTACTAACAGTTATTAAACTGAGCCATAATTCATTGAGTGAAACCAAGTCTGATATCTTTACAGCTATTCAACACATCACCTTAATTTTACACTTGTCTGATAAAATATAATTCCCAACCTCTTCTTCCCAAGTGCATCAATGCATGTCTGTTTTGCTCTCATGTGCAAGGCTATTGTCTCTGTCAGAGTGTGAGCTTTCTCTACACCCACCACCTGAAGAAGAATGGAATAAGTCATCACTGACAGAAACTTAAATGATGGCAGCAGGGCAGGAGAGGAAAGGAGGGCTACATCAGCCCATTTAATGAAGTTTTGGGGGCAAAGAGCCCCCAATATCCCTACCCTCCATGTTTTAGTGTGCTCACTATTGCTTGCATAGGAGAAAAAAATTTGTTTACTACAAAATATTAAGTCTCACTTGTTTCATATGGATTGCCCTTAGCAACACAATATAGTGATGGACTTTTTTCAGAAAAAACTGCCTTCAAATTGGTTGTGGAAATACAGTAAAGACACACTTAACACTCACCTGTTAAGATTGCAAAAAGGTTTACAAAAAGGTTTGGAAAACTTGTGGGAGGTTATGTATCTCACTTTGTGTTTACTGACTTTCTACATGGTTTAAACATTGGTCACTAAATGACAAAGGAAATATTTTTCTGGTGTGCAGGCTAACAGGGGCAGTAATATAAATATTATTTTTTTTAGATTACCTATGCCAATTAGTTAGAGTATCTATCAAAAATGATGATGATGCACAAATTGCATCATAGTTATGGTCCTAATCTGGTGTCCAGTTACTCTTGCTAGACAAAGGTTTGTTGGCTACTTACCTCCTCATAGGCCCCAGGCAAATAAGCTCCAAGATCTCTTATTAACCATTGCTCAGATGTAACACGATTCCTACAAAGGAAATGAAGTTAAATGAAGTTAAAACTCATATCCAAGAATGATCAAATTATTACATCATAGAAGGAATTGCTATTATCATATAAAACTTGACTAATATACAGCAAATAAAATTACTTTTGGTAAGTAAATGGATAATATATGTGATTTTGGTATACATGCAGTAAAACAATGGATAGCATTGAAGGCATGCTCTGATTGGGGACTCAAACTGCAAATATCCTTTGTCATCCACCTTAAAGCAACTTGCACGAGATTTGCATCTGAAAATTTTGTAACCATTGCAGGAATAAATCAGGTAAAATCATCTAGTTGTGCTTTATTATCTCAATGTTTCAGTATACATCAAAACAACAATAAACATTAGTGGCTAACAGTGGATATTTATCTTGATGCTTAGCAGCCTGGTAAAAATACACCTCCACTTTGGTGAATAGTTTTTAATACTAAGGTAAATTTTATTCCTTCCATCAAACTAAAAACCAATGAACAATTTGATTAAATTCTCACAGGTCAATTCTGTACTGACAATCATAATGCATTTAAGTACAAGCAAGCAAGTCTCAAAACCACAACTTACTACCATAGCTGTTCCAGTTCAGTTTCTTGATACCAAATTGGTTTTTCCTTGAGAAAATTTCTCTTGTTTATGTTTACCTGAGTTCTAGAGTTACTAACTATATAAAAATAGTAACCAAGGTTTGCTTTTTTTTATTCTGAATTAATTCATTTAACTCACTTTCCTGTCTTATCCACTAATCCCTGACTGGCCTTCAGCCGCAAGGCTTCTCCATGTTTGATGATACAAGGTCTTACTCTTTTTTCAATTTTCTGCAGGAAATTACAGCCGTTTCTGACGTTAAATAGACTGAAGGAAAGTCACCCATAACAAAGCTGTTTTCATAGATAAAGGTTAAAATAAATTCCTTAGAAATAAGTTGTTTCATTTAATATTAACGTACTGCATATGGTGTTGGTCTGTAAGTCAGAGGTCCCTCCAGCTGCCACATATCTCCTGCCTTGCGCTCCTCTTCACCATCTATATGATCTACAATGGCTTTTAAATGAAGACCTTCATTGGGTCCAATAACTGGGAGAGCCTTGATTCCAGACTTACCACCTGTGCAATCAAATTAGAAAAGGTAACTCATTTTTAATCAAGGATTGTTTGCCTCAGAGGAATCACCTGTCCTAGCACCTCTGTACAATTGTACTCCAAAGATATCACAAAGTACTGTCCATAATGTAATTTAACATACACATTAATATGAATCTAAATCAACAAACTGGACACCTACCAGACATTTGTCTTGCTCCTTCAATGGCTTCACCAGGATAAAGAGGGAATGGTTCCTAAACGATAAAAACCACAAAGTAAAATTACAGGCTTCTTTGATACCCAAATGCATTAAATCATAAAGAAAAATATGAAGAATCATCATTTGTAACAGAAACTATTTAAACCTTGAAAAATCTCATTTCTCTGTGCCCATGGTTCAAGTCACACTGTTTTCCTGGTTCACAAGGCTGTCTAAAATGTGCAAGAGAAAATGCAGTTATGGTTTGAGATCACAAATATTCAGGGAGATAACTGTAGAAATAACACAAAAATATTTTTTTTAGGACTCACTTGACTGGGTTTTGTATGACACAGTAATGACCTGGTGGAATGACAACAAATGGCAAAGGACCGGCCACTAATTGGTGATTATCCTGTAGAATCAAACTCTTTGGACCCACTTCTAGTACAGTCACATTAGTGTTCTAAAAATAGCAAAAGGACTCATAGGATGAAGAAAGCCAACTGACTATGTAACTAGTTACTTTCATATCTGTCTTAGTTTGATTTCATTCTCGGTTCACTTGTTGTTATCAACTTCAGCAGGGTTACACCCCCAGGTGTGACGTCCAACACTATTGACGTCACGAAAACTGTTTCACTTTCCCAGGTGAGAAGAAAGAACATGAAGAACATTTTAAAAACAATACGAAGAAAAATATACTTAGTTCAGAAGATATTTGGTAGAGCTAATGCATTCAATATCTAGGAGCATTTAACGTTCAAATCCCCATGGAAAAGTGGAATTGGTAACTTAAACTGATAAGCTACGTAAAATTAAGCGAAATTGAAACTTTTCAAAATTTCAGAACATACATTTCGATTTTTGTCGAAATATTGTGCTCTTTTGCCCTTAATAGCTGCATCAACTGGCAAAACGGAGAGATTGACAGAATTAAAATGTCACTACTTAGATAAAAACCATTTGGAATCATCGACGATTAGCAGCTGAACATTTTAGAACTTACAAACTCCTTGAAGAATTCCTCCCCATAGAAGAACAGTTAGGAGCGAGTCAGTGAGCAAATAATCCAAATGCATAACTACGATGTACCTACCAGATCTAGAAGATGAATATATTGCATAGGCTGAATCCGGACAATATTACTCATTATTCTCCTCTTGAAGCGATGTAATTAAGAGAGGTCACCACAACCCGTCCGACTTGTGCAGAGAAAACGAATGTTATGCAAATCTTATAGAAAGTTGTTATTTCCAGTCTCTCATCGTCTTCTCTGGGGTCCGCCACGGTTACTCCATATTTGGAGTGTTTGTTCCAAATATGGCATTGTATAGAACTCCCGCTAAAGTACAAAATTGATACTTCGCGTTGCATTACCCTAGAGGTATATTGCTGGAACTCGAGTTCCGTTTTGGAATTTAGTTTACATTGAAATGCTAAGCACTGGAGAACTACTTAGATAAAATACAGTGATCAGGATCTTCTTTGCTGCCTCTTAAAAGCATATTCCAAGACGATGATGGTGGAAAACGAATGGTGGAAATCGCAGCTCGCTCTGGAAATACACGACGTTCTCCGAGAGAAAGAAACCAGATTGCCACCTTTTACTTCATCTTCACCTCAGTTAAAACTCAGGCGTTTTCTTGTTGATTGGCTTGCTGTATTCTCCGAGAGGATTAAAAGTTCTCATGGTGTGCTTCATTTAGCTGTGTATTATATGGACCTCTTTATGGATAAATTTGACATAGATGAACGCAAACTTTATCTTGTTGCGTTATCATGTTTGCTGCTGGCAGGTAAGTGTTATACTCTAGGTGCCTGCTTAAGGTAAGACTCCAGCACTCCTTTCTAGCATTTAGAAGAAACGGTTATCGGAAATAAATTGTTACATGTCGTATTGTGATGCTATAATATGTAAATATATCCAAGTTTGATAAAGTTGATCATGATTTCCAAAAAAAATTATTGAGCTTACGTACCTTGCTGAGAGAAATTGTTTTGTTGCTTCATAGATCACAATAAGAAAAGAAAAACTTTGAGTCATATAGTCATAGATTTAATTAATCATTTTGATGCCATGTAAACCAACTTCTGTGAAGATCTTACGAACGGAACCCTCTGAACCTTCGAACAAAGCGCGCCTTTCGACCTAATTAACATTGTTCAATAAGGTATTCGTTTTTCCCCTTGGGGGAATTTTTCTCCGAATTACAAAATGTTTTTAGGCATCTATTTTTTTTTCTCGTTGGCAGAGATTTTATAGGCAAACTGATTATCGCTTTTTAATAAAATGACATTAAGTTGTTTTAAGAAGTAGATAAGATTTAACACTTCGACCATTTTAGCCAAACGAATTCAGAAAATTCCAACAAAACTCTCGATTTAACTTTGGTAGAGGTGTTTTCTAGTGCTTTCCACCCGGAAAAATGATGTATTTTAAAGTGTTGACCATGCATTCTTTTTTATTTTTAACAGCAAAGTTTGAAGAAAATGAGGACAAGATACCAACTATATCAACACTGAATGCCTACGTTCATAACCTGTTCAGTGCACCAGAATTTCATCAGATGGAACTCCTGCTACTGAATTTTTTCTCATGGAACTTAGATTTACCTACACCTGTACACTTCATGGAATACTACTTGATTCATGCAATTTCAGCAACAGACTGTCAGTCTGGTGGAAGAAGTCTTGAGGATAACACCAAGCCAATGGCTTATACCAGGAAATATGTGCATTATTTCCTGGAAATTGCTTTGCAGGGTAAGATATAATTTCAAAAAAATATTTGGACTAACCCTCAACCCTTTAAACCTTTTGAGTGACCAGCATATAGTTTCTCCCTACAGCAATACTGCTGAATCATTGATTACAATCATGATAATAGAGGAAATGGTCACCAACCTAAGAAGCTTGGATTAATAAACAAATTTTCCTTGTTAGATCCAGATGAAATTTAAAGAGAAGAGTAAGGAGAATGTGGGTACTGATGTTAGGATGCAAGGAGTTAAAGGTTGTCTTCACACTTAATGCATCTCACATCCCTTGGTCCCACAAGTTCAAAATTTGGCATATTTAAAACTTCCTGGTTGACAAAATGTGAGCTTATCATAACACTTCACCCAAACATTAAACCATTCCAAAATGGAACAAAAACAAACAAGCAAATAAAGTGTCCTTCCATGGGTTTAGGTCCCACTTATATGGCTACATTTGTATATCATGACAGTGGAGGGGATTTTCCAGTGAGGTACAGTAAGGAAGTATTACTAATATATAGATTTAGCCAAGCCTAAAAGTGGAGCTCACAATTTTTTTTTCCCCACACAACTTGTCCTGTCCAGGACTAGAACCCAGGTTGCTCGGAGCCCAGTGCACTGACCACTGGACTACTGAACAAAGCCATGGCATTGGCGTGCCCATGGTACAGTTGACCAGGCATGTCAAAAGTAGCACCTTGAACAGTTGTATGGTCGTACAATCAAATTTTTTCAGCTTGATGGGTTACTACTATTTTGTATAATTATGGGGCTATGCTTTGCGAGCTCTGCTATTATTTGCCTAACTATTTCTCTGTTCTCCATTTTAGATCATTCATTCCTGGCATTTCCTCCCTCAGTGATAACATCAGCGGCAGTAGCTGCATCACGACTGAGGCTTCACCTCTGCCCATCCTGGACACCCCTACTGATCAAGGTTACATCCTACACATGGGAGCAGATCGCACCCTGTGTGCATATTATGTTAAGGTACTGGAAGACATAGACTTCAGATTAACAAAGAATGGCAATATCTATTACAATTTAAAGGTGGTACTTCAATCCTTTAGCTTGGTGAAAGGAAAGAGTAATCTGATTTTGTATCTTAGTAAAAGAAAAAAAAGAATTTAATTCATCTTGAATTAACAAGGTAGCTAAGTAGCTAATGTCTTCAAGAAATAATTAATTCAAACAAATTGTAAATAAACATTGTAAACAAACATAAACAAAATGTTCAAGATTCCCAATTGGTAGGAGGCAGTCCAGTTGGCTATATACAAAGTGCAGCAAAGGAGTTGAACTTGAGGCAACCAAGAACAAATCCAGTGAAAGACAGAATAGAGGGCTTGAACCAAGGACCACTTGATTACAAGAATAGTGCCCCAACCACTTAGCCACCCTGCCTCCCCAAACGTATTGACACATTGTATTGTTTCTGACTTTAGAGCACACGATGCAGATGAGAAAGCAATGTCACAACAGAAAGCAGTTAATGCCAAAGGATGAAAAATCTTCATTTCCTGGAAAGAATAACAAGCTGGACACATAAATGTATCTCAGGATTCATATAAAAAACAAGCCACTGGTCTGAAATATAAATTGCTAAAAATATCAGCTGCAATAAAAACCCCTTTCAGTCCACTTGGTAAATGAAAACTGGCCAGCAAGAATGAAACAAACTTGCTTCAAGTGACAGTCAGTAATTAATGATTTTGATAAGAATTTGACAAGGCAATAAACTTTTCTATGCCCAAAGCTTCTCAAAGTTCATAGGTGAGCTTGCCTCTGCCTTGTTTAAAACCTTTGTATCAGACTTCCTGGCTCATTTAAAAGTTCAATACTTTTCAATGCCAAGTTCAAAGTGCATTGTTTCCAACATGTATGAAAGTACTTGAACTTCTAATAATATCAATTCTATAAAAATATTGCTGGCTTCCACAGGGTGTGAATAAACTATTTCCATACTATCATTCAATCTGTACTTTTTATATTCTAGTTTAAGACAATTTTTTCTCTATTAAATAATTAGAAGTAAGCTGAAATTCCAAAAACAGAGTACAATGGTGATATTTAATTGAATATGTAAGGTAAAAAAACTGACTCAGAATTCAGTTTACACTTTGATTGTCACTCAATTTTTTTTAATTTTAATTTGAAAACTACATGGTCTCGCAGATGAAAAGTAATTTTTAGTAGAGATGTTTGTGAACCATATAGAAACTGAAGGCCCAGTAACTTTGCAAGAAACAAATATGATTTTACAATACAGTCCTTACTTTTGGTCCGAGGTTGTACATGCTCTAAGGGTCTGAGAAACTCACACAACCTTTATAATTTTGCTTTTACCAACAAAGTTGTTTATTTTCCACATAGCTGAACACAAAATCAACTTCCAAATGCTAAATCACTCCAAAAGCAAAGTTCACATGTTCCTGCAGATCAGCAGGTTACTGGCTAATCTCTTAAAAAGTTCAGATACTCTAGTCTAGTATGAAATTAATTGTGATCTGAAGATAAGCCAACTAGAATCATTACTGACACTGTCCTTCTAGTCTAAATTGTGAGAAAATTAGAGTGATTTACAGTCAAGTATGATTTTATGTCAGTGATATATGAATAAGTACATGTAAGTATAAGTACAATAAGAATATATATATATATATATTTCACTTCTGTGGATAAATAAGAGTTCCTTCATTCACCAGTTCAAATAAGGCTATCTGAGTGTATTTAAAATAATGAAGCATCAGAAAATCAACTCAGAGCTTAAACTTATTAACATAAAAGCAGCTACATGTAGCTTTAAATACAGAAAAATGATGCTTATCCATATGTGCTGTACCTACATTTGAATTACATCTTGAGTACTTACTGTAAACAATTCTCAAGATTGATGCAACAAAATACCCATAAATAATGGTTATAGAAAAATACTACTGCACAATTTTTCATTTCATGGGAATTACAAAATACTTAACATTTTGTAGGCTTCATAGACGATCATCAAATATTATTTCTCTCTTTTGGCATGTTCTTTAACAACCTGCCGTTAAATTAAGACTTAACATCGCTCAAAACTTTAAGGAATCCTTCGATAACCAGCTGTTGAAGATGGCCTGCATCTGAGCCCTTTTTTCCGCGGAATGGACATTAACAGTAGGAATGATCTTCTTTGGCTGAAGAAACTTAACAAATCTCTCCAGTTCCCTGAAGCTGCTATGCTCACTATAAGGAACACCTAAGCATAAAGACGAAGAAAACAACAATATAACAAACCCTAGGAACTACATCATTGTCAGTAATGAAAAAAACTGACTTTAGGAGAGGAGTGAGGTTGGGTGGAAAAAACAAGATGGGCTGAGTAAGTTAAATCTAGCATATCACTGTACTTACCATATATTGTCACATTTCCTCTCTTGGAAGGTTTAATCATCGTCAAGTCCTCCCGCTTTTCACTGTGTTCCCACCCAGTGGGTTTAAATGCCAGGAGTTCAGCATACTGTGACTTATGAGCCCCCAAATATGTTGTTAGATTCTATCAATAAATAAAATTGATGATGAAAATATGCTTTTAAATTATATTCCATCTTAAACATCTTTCTATATGTATCTTATTTTAATTTGAATACTTTGCAACTGATAAAACCACAGAAGAGACATCTAAAAAAATATCTGGAGTTCAGAATTTGTTTCACTCATAACATCAAATTCTCCTAACTGTATGTGACACAATTCTTATAATATCAGCTATGAAAATTGGGTATTGAATCAACTAATAATCCCCTGATTAATACTTTTCTTTACCCTCATAACTAGTGTACTTGATATTGTAAGGAGAAATTCAGTCTTCATCAGTCATGGGAGTTAAAGGGTTGACTGAATACATGTTCTGTTGTCCACCATAATAATAAATTTCAAGTTGCTTTATCTTAGCCATGAAAGTGAAAAATACAATTTCAGCACTAAAAATTCATCATTTACCTGCAGCGTTAGCTTTGCCATTGGCAACACATGAATTCTTCCCGCCTTCCAGTCAGTTGTGATCAGAGAATTTATTTGATTGGATTCAAGACAGTCCAGAACCTTTTTCTTTTGTTTTTCTACACAAACTTTACACCCAAGTGCTTCTGCAATGGCTTAACATAAACACAAAACAATATCAACCAACAGTTCCCATTTAATTATTGGTGCCTATGATAGTTAAGCATCAAAATTGAATTCAATCTTATAAAAAAGTGACTTTATCACACAAAGCCTTCATATTTGCTGAAATTGTACAATCGCAGTCTTCTGTGTCTGAATTAAGAATTCTCTCCTCTATACCATCTCACAAAAATATATTAAACTGAGATTTTAAAAGTCCTCACCAAGAAAGACACGTTCTTTTCCAATTGTATATGAGCCACAAACTATCAGTGTCTTTGGGTTTTGTTTGCATGCTTGCACAGCTTTTGAAACAGCAAAGTTGATTGTTTCCTCTTGAGGAGGAAAGGAGTAGTTTGGATCACAGTACCTGAAATGTTTTTAAAAAAACAAGTTGTAAATACTGCAGATTATTCAGTAATTACATAACCAATCGAAAAAACATGTCAGTGTAGATGTACTTACGTGGTGTCAAGGTACAGGACATCAATCTTACAATGTAACTCTGGATACCTTTCCATTTCAGGAGAAGCTCGAAAGTCACCTTAAAAATAAATCAAGTAATACTTTAAAATGTACTTGAGGAAACTTCCACAGGTAATGTTGTCACAAGGGATGTAGAAAGTGATACTTTGATTGTAAACTGACAGTCTTTAGCTAGGATGTCATGGACTGTTCAGGGTCACATTCAAGACATGACATTGTTCATCAATTGGTTGGTTATGTCATGAGAGCAATCACCAAGCATGCTGCTTTGTACGTGGTACATTAATGACAGCATGATGAAAAGCTACAATCTTTGTAAATCTTACAGTAGAATAATTGCATTTTTGAATACTTACATATCACATATGGCAAAAGTATCTTAATTTAATATCAACCAAAATGAAGCTAAACCTGTGTGTAAGTAAGTCTGGCCAGAAGAGAACTGGAACACAAACAATACAGCTCCAGGGCAACTGAAAAAAAAAAGTTCAATGAAAAATATAGGCGATGTTTTGCTGAGAATGCCACTCAAAACAGATTTTATCCTTCTGTCTAAGTCATTATAAGTCATTATTTTAATTACTAAACATATTTCACTTAAAGTAATTTTATTAATTTTAAAGTGATAAGTAACAAACTTAGTAGTCCCTACTGGTTTGCCTCCAGAAGTGTAACTTGAACATTTTCCACAATGGTTGGTGCATTCATGGGAAGTGGATGGACAAACTCTTTTTTAACACACAGCTTGGATATCACCAGATTTGCAGTGATCTTAACAAAAAAATTATAAGTGAGCACTAATTCTTCAGTCAATGACTGGCTGTTTTATCAAATAATATACCATATTGGAGTTATATTACCCAATTATGATTGTCTTCTCTAATTGTCTGAGTGAGACCAATCCTGAGAGAAATTTTTTATTGGCAGTTCAAAAATATGAGCATATGTCTTTTCTAGAATCAAGTGAAGAGTTGTTTGTCAGTTAAGGCTTTGGAGGTTTGGTATGTGAAAACCGATTGGTCAGTTATGCCGTTGTTCATCTGGTTGTCAGAGCCAAACAGTGTCAGTCAGTTTCAAACTATCAGCAAAGTTGTGTTGATGTTCTATAATAAGAGGTTTATAAGGTGCAGGAAATTGTTAACATCTGTCAAAAAGGAATCTGTTCTAAGTTAATAAACCAGCTTTCCAAAATCTTTCACAAATCTGATCACCATGCATGACAAGGCTTGTAGCAATGAGATACATAAAAACAGAACCCAACTATAATATTATCCTTACTATTATTAAGGATATACTCTCCCACCGATGCAGCACCACAGTTTCTTTAGAAACTTAACCCCTTTATATTTCATTTGAACATCAAGAAGTTATCATTTCTGATCGAGTAACCTCAGGATTAGGGTGCCCTCCCACATCAAATATTAATAAACCCTACAGTCTATTACCTTGCTACAATAGATTGGATTTTTGAATTTCCCATTCAGTCCCATATAGTGATCATAATGAAAATGGCTCAAAAAATAAGCATGACAGCCAGGAATGTTGCCATAGCGAAAAGCATCAACAGTAAAGGCACTGTTAGGGATCTTCTTGTAGAATGGACAACTGCGTTGAGTCTGGGTTCTATTACTACCAGCTAGACCTTCACTTTGACTTGAACTTTGACCTTCAGTTGTAAATCCTGTGTTTTTACGATCATTGTTGAATGTTTTTCTTGTTGCCCAGTGACCCTGTCTTTGGGATGCAGACTGTGATTGTGAAGAGTTTGTTATTCTGGCACCATTCTGAGAAGTTGTTATATTTTTTGCAGGCTTCTTCAGTGGTTTCAAGCCAAAGAACACTCCTATATCAGTTTGTTTCAGAGATGTCTTTGATTTAGAGGCTTCCTTCCCTTTTCTGAAAAATGCCAAAATTGACTGTTGTTTCTGGCTTATACTTGAGTGCTCACCCAGATTATCTTCTTTGACATTAATTTTCTTTACATCCAAAGGATGTGGACTTGGTGTAAAATTTACCTCAGCCTCATTTGTATGTTCACTTGTTTTACTCTTTTTCTCCACAACTGAAGCAACAGGTTGGATAAAACACTGCTTGGGCTTATCATACACATCAACACATTCAAGACTGTGATAACTCTGTTGGTCTTTTGTTAACTGATCTGCTGCATAAGAACTTTCACACAAATTTTCCAAGACTTCAAGATCTCCAAACAGATCATCATCAGAGGACATTTGAAAATCTCCTGTCTCAACTTTGGTCATTGAAGCCTCACTTTGTAGAGGCAAAGAATGAGATTTGCTAGATTCTCCAAGGTTTGAATGTTGTGGTGAACTATGAATATTGCATAGTAATTCCTTTGATGTTTTATTTTCATCTAATTGTACTGCTTCTATTGCTCCATTTGCTCTACCATAAGGTAAACCTACTGTAGCACCAGGGCTCCCAGAAGATTCACACTCATCTTCATCTTTATGGAGTGATTCAGACAAAAATGGTTTTTCTGAAAAGTTCAATTGTCTTGAAGACTTGATTGCTCTTTCATGCTTTTGTTAAGGAAAGAATAAAAGTTAGTTCCAATTAGTGTCAACACCAATTCATGAGAAAGTCTGATAGTAAGAGTTTTCATGCCTTAGATATGGTTTTAAACTTACCAAAATTATTTCAGATTCCTTACTAAGTTTATGCCACAGGAAAAGAAATGATGTAGAGTTTAAAGGTCTTTACAGTATGTCAAACTCTTACTTGTTTGTGCATCAGATTATCTATGTTTCCATTACTTTCTCCTTCATCTCCTCTGTATATGTGACCATAACTCCTGACAGAAGCCAAAAGCTTGTGAGAGTATCTTTCATAATGAGGAGAAAATGTTGATCTGCAGTGGACACCTTCAGGACAATCACCTAACAAAAAAGAAAGGCTCTGTTTTGTATTGATTCAGTTGTTTACGAATCGGATTTGTTTATCTGAATCAGTGAATAAGTTTTCCTATCCTTGCAGTCAAATGGTCCCACAAGGAAATTTTACCTGATGCAAATCCACGTATGTCCTGAGGTTCTGCATAGAGCAAAGTTAACAAGTAAATTTACACATACTTCTGGCTGGGCTAACTTACAGGGGGTATAACTGTTTGAACAGCAGTGAAATATTAATGACATTGTTCTAACTAAATCTACTAAGCTAAGTACGCTTTAATTACCTATGAAAGAATATTTCCTTCCCAAACAATCACTGACGTGCCACCTAGGAGATTCTCCAACCAATGCAACGAAAGGCATCTGGCATCTAGGGCAGTACCCATCTACGATGCTCTTTTGAGGTGTGATCTTGTTGTCAACCACAGCTGAGTCACCTTGGCTTCCAGATAATTGATGACTGAAGGTTGAGTCCTCATCATTCAATTCCTTGCAACTACTGGAGGAATCTTCTCTCTTGCGTTTTAGTTTCCTCCCACTGTTCTTTATGATTGTCTGAGAATTATCCGTCTTTGTTTTCTGTGAGGCTTGCAAACGACACCGTCGTTGAGGTTTGTTCAAATTACTGGCAGTGCGCTTTGATTTTGGGCTTTTGCGCGGTAAATTCGTTGGTTTTTCATTTCTGCGTGCCGACTGTCCACGCTTTCTTTCAAGCTGCTTTAAGGATTTTTCATCCCAGATATCATCCTCCTCCACCTCTCCATCCATGCCGTACAAAGGTGATATATTATGTATATTACCACGAATAATCTGCGCTGAGTTAAAACCGTCAAAATCGCTCCGCGTCCACCATATTTAATTCATTTGAAACACTACGTGTACGATACTTACACATAATGTTCTCCATGACGATAACCGCTGGATAGAGCATTGTTGCAGTGATCAACAGATTGCTTCATCTCTTGCAATCTTAAAGCAAGAGAAGAGCTAATCAATTTCAAACGGACAGTGACCGTTTTGTACATCCCAAATCTTTCAAATTAGGTTAAGAATGAGCATGCAAACTTTAGAAAAATTAAGCCTCGAGAGTATCGCGAAGGACATGAGCCTGTGGTGCAACGCATCGGTCGCAGATCTTAATCGGTTCAAGTATGTTCTTGGTCCGTTTGATGGCTTGAGTGAGTTTAACTACGTACATGTACTTTGAACTATTTTAAACGGTTTTGTAACCCAGCATTTATAATTAGTTTGGCTTTTTGGGGTAACATACACGGTAATGGCTCGGGCCATACTCTGTTTGTGGCAGAGGTCAACTGGGGTTCATGGGGGATGGGGCAAGGAAGCTGGAGTAACTGCATGAATCTCTCGTGTCTTTTTCCTAGATTCTTATTGCATGAATTAAGTAGTGAGTCAGACTAGCTGGATTTGAAACTTGGAATATAAATGATAAATTGTTGAACTGTGATATTTATGAATGAGGGCCTGAAGCCTTTCCTAGCTTTAAAGGAAGATTTTTGGTTATCCAAACATTTACTTGATATGTTGTTGTTATTTTGTAGACTCTGGCCTTATTCAAGAACTTTTGAATATTTTGAGTCAAAAGAAGAAAATTAAAGTGTGTCACCTTCATGTTCTTCTCCACTCTAATGTTAAGCATGTGGATTTGAGTGTCTGTTCCTCACTCATCAATGATCAGATCATTTCTGCTGTGGGATTTCGTTGTAAGGTTTGTATTGTTTAGTCATCAGAGAAAACATGATGATTGTTATTAGGATATAACAGCTTCATAGAGAAAATTTTACTGGTCAATAAATCCTAAATCCTCTATTAAAAGGTTTAAAAGCATAATGACTCATTCTTCTTTATAAAGAATATAAAGCACATGATGCTCTTGACATTTATTGATCATAGCAGTATGTAGGATGGATGTCATACACAAACACAGTTTTTTACCTTACTTTTCCAAATTTACAGTAACTGGATGAAGCCTTAGTTTTAAAGGAAAACAGTTGAAATTATCTAGGACTTCAGGAAATTTCTTCAACATACCTTTGTGAAAACTGAGCTAAAACGTTCCTTTTTTGAAAAGAAATTGTCTGTTAAGTCGAGACAATGCTCTTAGGAAGGTGTGCTAAGCCATCTTAGGGTACTTTCATTAGTGATTCTTTGAATTAAGGACTAGAATTATCTACAGATTTTATTGTCTTTCTTCAGAAAATTACACAGCTCTGTCTGAAGAACTGTTCACGCCTCTCAGCAAAAGCATTGAAAGAGATTCCTTCAGACTTAACACGTCTTCAGTCCATTGATCTCAGTGGATGTTTGGCTTGTACAGATGAAATGTTAAACTTACTTGGAACATCATGTCCTGAGCTGACAGTATTGCGGGTGGAGTCATGCACCCTTCTCACAGATGCTGGTATAGATGGTTTGTGTGGAGATGATAAAAATCCAAAGTGCCAAAGGTTAAAAGAAGTCAACTTGTCATCAACTGGCGTAACCAGTTATGGAATACAAAAACTATTGAACTCTCAACAAGAAATACAAAAGGTGTCTTTTGCAATGACAAACTCAGTTGATGAATTTGACATAAGTACCCCAAGCTTAAAACTTATTTCTTTGGATTTGTCGTACACATTTATCACAGATACATGCATGAAAGTTCTCTGCAAGAGGTGCCCCTTATTGTGTGAGCTATCACTTAACTGCTGTACTTCACTCACAGCAATGTCTTTAGAGTTCATTGCTTCACTAACCCATCTGAAGGTTCTGCACATTGGTGATAACAAGGCAATGAAATTTCATCCCCATATTGCACAATTCTTGGTCAAAGCTGGAAATTCGTTGATTGTGCTGGATATTTCTGGAATGGATAGAGTGGATACTGAGATCATTGGGGTCTGCTGCAGGTCCTTACAAACTTTAAATATGGCAGACTGCACTGAAGTAACTGGCAGTTACATACGTGTTTCAACTTCAGAGGAAAGCAAATGGATAACCTTGACACAAGCTTGCCCAAAGTTGTCTATTCTTAACCTCCATGGCTGTCATTTTTCGCATCACAAATCACTCGCAGAACATCTCTTAGCCATTTTCTCCAAGTCAACAGAATTACAAGAGCTAGATTTATCTGGAATTGAAAAACTGAGTGACGGAATCATTTTACAGTTTATACAGTCATCAGGTTTATCATTTTTGAGGTCTGTTAATTTTTCAATGTGCAGTAAAATATCAGTAGAGTCAGCAGAATTGCTTGTTAAAACATGCAAAGGCCTCTTTCAGTTGAATCTTTCACATTGTAAGAATATTTCTTTGCGTGATGCTGAGAATTTAAAGAAGGTAGTTAGAGACGCTAAAAGTACAGCAAAGATTGCCTGGATATAACGTTCATATATAAGTTTTACCATCGTAACATTGTGCTACAAATTTTTTTTTCGAAATTTTTTTTTAAATTCTTACTCAGAAGTCTTTTGACACTTTGGAAAAAATTAAAAGAATCTGCCGATTTTATTTTGTAGTCAAAAACTGTTAGAGTTTATCGCAAAAAGGAAAGAAAAAGGAAAAGATAAAGTCGATTTCAGGCACAATTTTATCCTCCACACCTGGCCAAGAGGGTTTACCTTGCATATTAATGTTAAAATCACAAATATGAGACGAAAATCGCGCGCTAAATGGTTTGGCGAGTCAATTGCGCATGGAAAATATTATGAACTGAGCAAGACACCGTTAAGTTGTTGTTTCGCTTCGTTCGTCTTACAAGAAGAAGAAATTGTAATTTTTGAAATGAAAGATGATACTGAAGCTAAACTTTGATGTATGGTGCCATCTGAACCTGACAACTGCTAAGGGGCCCGTGCAATATCATCTGCAATTTGCATTCGATATTTCACCAGAAGATCCCATTTCAGACACCGTGTCGATGAATACAGTTTCTGTACAACTTAAGAGATCCACATACTTTTATTAGTGGCTTACATAATCAAACCTTATAAAATTTAGTTATGCCGAAATTTAGACGAAAATAAGGTGATTTACAATGATCGGAGAAAACTTTGCAAGCCAAGACCGCAAAAACGTGCGAAATAACGCTGTCAATTTCCAGAATGTGCTGATGCCTTCAATGTGGGTAATAACGTTATTACCATTCACAACTAAAACGGGTAGCTGTCTTCAGAGACATTTGCCGAAATGACTTCAGGCGAATTGTTACTTCGGCGTATTTTTGCCCAATTGTTAGGAACCGTAATAACCAAAGACGTTTACTAAACATAACTTGTCTAAATATTTGGTGTGTCAAGTCATTGCTTCTCAAAATAATATTGATTCGATTAGAAAGGTGAGTTATCCGCCAAGCCAACACAAAACATAAGGAGCTGTCACAGATACTTGACAGAGTGACATTCATTCGGAATGGGCTTGCATAAGCAACATGATATATCTACCATCTGCATGGTTCTTTATTGACATATTAATATATAAACTCGGTGATGAATTTTAACTTGGGAAAATCAATGACATCAGTTTAGTTTCGGTATTAGAGAACCTTTCGTGGAGCAAGGTTGAACAGTTGTAGAGAACAGAGGTGAGTATTGGCATTGAATTGTTCATGTCTCTCTATACTCCATGTTATATTTTTCATTCTAAGGTCATTTTTTTAGTCATTTGTTCCTTTTCCTCCTTTTGTCGCCGAAGTGACATGTTGACAAGCTTTTATTCATTATATTTTTTGAGGAAAGAGTAAGTAAACCTGAAGGACAAACTTATAATCAGCAGTTTTATAAAAAGTATGTCTTCTTGTTTATGATTCTTTAATATTTCCGGGTGATATAGTATGAGATCCAGCAAGAAGCAGATTTCTGTTTTTTCACCTATTCTGTTCAACACATCCTCCAGTCTTACGTTTATTAATCATACATTTTTCCGCTCCGATTAACAAGATTTCCGTTATTTTATCGGGGAAACCACGTTACACAATATCCATTTGTGTTTCCTCAGGTCTCAATAGGTATAACTTTTTTTTCTCTCGCGCTCCTCAGAGCTTATGAATTTTAGTTAAATGACGAATGGTGTTTCGTGTTGTTGCCTGTGTTAAACAGAGATGGCTGTCAGATGTTTTAATATGAAAAAAAGAAAAGTGACAGAAAGAATAAGTCAACTTTAATTTATTTCGTGAGGTAGGAGGAGGAAGGGAAATAAATAGAAAATCTAAACCTTTTAATTTAATCATCCATACTGAGAGCAATGTGCTGGTAACCCTTAGTGGTCTTCGCTAACGACCGGTTCGCCAACACCTTAGGTCGTACCGCTAACTTCCGGTTTACGGCCAACCTACTGCTTGGAGTTCTGGGAAACAAAATGGTGTTCGAACATTACCGGCGGGATGAATGCGTCGAAGGTAAAACGAATTGATTGGTAGATTGGTAGGAATTGGTAGATACTTGAGCCTAAAACGTTACCGAACTGGCCGTTTGCAAAACCAACTGCTTGTTTCTTTTCGGCCTCTTAACGTAAACAACTGCTGGAGATTTTTGAAAGGTCAGTGAGTTGCGAAAGAAACTGGTGATATGGACCAACGATGATCCGTTCTTGGGTTTATCTTTAAGTTTGTTTGATATTCAGGGATGTGTAAAAATAAAGACGTGATAAATTTGCTCAGGTAATTGTATTTTTTTCGGTGGGCATTTTGAAAAAAATAGGGTAGTGCTAGTGAAGACAGTTTAAAATGTCAAATGGAAAAAAGTGAAGTGCTCGTCATGATCACGTGAAATTTGTAATTTGTGCGACGAGTTATCGCCACAGCTTATGATGGAATCAGGTTAGGTTGTGTTATTATTATTATAATTTTTTGTTCAATTTTCTTTCACCTTCGGGGCGTACTCACTTTTGTAAATGTTAAGACGCAAAGTTTTGTGTCTTTTGACAGACTCCTGGTTTTAACTTGGGTCAGATCTGACCATTTGAGTCTTAGATCGGGAAAAGTTTTGTATACTCATCGTAACTAGGTTCTAGGATCTTTTATTTTTTTATTTATTTATTTTTTAGGTACAATTGTGCCTATTTTTATATCATTTATACAACTGGTTTAAAAAACCATGAGAAAATTATCTTTTTTTTTTGAGAAAAGGTAAGAGTTTCAATATTCATGACGGACGTTCTACCTAACCCCCCCCCCTGAATTTTTTGAGAGCATTCCCCTGAGGAGTGCTAGTCCTGTATGCGTGTTTCTAGAAATTGAAAATTGCGGCAAAAAGCGTGCTATTTATATAAGTGCCTCAATATATCGCCTCAGTGTTGAAGTGAAGTGCCAGCTTGTGGGGGCATCATAATGTCGAACATCATGTCGTACTCGGCTAATTAAAAGCCATAACCTAAAATGAATAATAATTAACAGACGGTTTATCAGTCAGTAGTTAACAATCAAGACTCATAGAAAAATGGCAAAGATATATTTGTTTTTTTCACATTTCCGTTTAATGTTCTGCTCGCCTCCCACTCACTCATCTCGCGGAAAATTCAATATCGCTTTGGGCGGCGGTCATGTTTCATTAATAACTGAATTAGGTCAAAGTTCCTTGTTGACTTCGTTGAAATCTCCGGTGCAGACTGTCGACGATTTGGATACAAAAAGAGAGCGTCCTTTAAACAACTCAGACAACAATTTTCAAACTGACTGGCATTATTTGGGTAAGTTGTGGTTTAAGAATTGGCATCAGTACTGACAGAATTAAGACCGATGTTCGTATTTCAATGATGTTCACCGTTAAGTTGCAAAGGTACGGGAACCGGAATTTACTAGAACTTGGGATCCGAGTGTCTTTATTCACTTATGTTCTGAAATATGACAAGTATCCAAACAAAAGAGTATAAACATAATTGTCGACGTTAGATAAAACGAGGGAAGAAATAAAAGTTTTGTGGAAGAGATCTTAACGATGAAAAATGATGTAAACGTTACATACAGTCACGTTCTCTCTTCACTGCTACGGATATCTGTTTGTGTGATGAACTGAACAATTGAATCCTTCTCGAAAACCAAAGGTCATCCGCTAATCTCATGTCACACATGATCCGGATTTTAAATCTAAAAGTTGTACAACAATATTTTGTTTTCATCGACAACAACTCAGACAATTTTTTTATTTTCACGGTCAGTGGCTACGATAATTATTTTTTCCGAACAAATATGCTAGGTCCATTGGACTTTTACTACCTGTATTCAGTAGCTGACATAGGCTAAGAGCGCCTGTTCAGATCAGCAGCACTGCTTGATATTGCGGTCCGATAAGTCTGATCTCATCTTAGACATGTTTGAATTCGCTGCGTTCCGTCTTAGTAGAGCTAACGAGTGAAAACGTTAGTCAGTGGCAAAATTGAAAACTTGATGGAGAGAATTTACATATTTTAGTAATAAACATGCAGTAGTGAGAATTGAAGCTTGAATAGAAAATGTGCAAACTGAGTCTTGAGGAGCATGGAGATTTATGTAGTGGTGTTTAGAATATGATAAAACTCCGATTTTTTAGTTAAACGTTACATCAGCATTGTCATGCGACTTGCCGTTATTCCAAGAGTCCTCGTGATAGTAACAAGGATTCCCGAGAAAATGAAACTGAAATTGCTGACTCATCATTTTCATTTTCATTTTGGTTGTTTATCAAGTTATTGTTTTAATCATGCACTACGTAACCTGCGTGTTTGATTAAAATCTGACAAACGTGAGATGCGCTTATTTTAAAACTTCTACCATCGAAGAATGATTTCGTCAAAGCTTCAGTGATCATTAAGTAAAGCGGATTATGCAGGCTTCATTTAACAAGGCTGGAAATTCAAGAGTTATGGCTAAAAAAATTAGGAAATAAGTTCTGTAGTTAAGGGCTTTTAGCGGAAGAGGGTAATTTTATTGATCACAGAGGAAATGCAGACCATTCTTTACTAAGCCACGATCTGGTTCCCAGTCAGTTCTCTTTCAACGAAACATCAGCTATCAGTTATTACTATCAGTAGTAACTCAGTTCATGGGGAAACATATGAACAGATAAAACGTTATATGGAGTCGAATAAATACTTTAGTGCCCAGTTTGGCGTTAATTATTCCCTTTTCAGGCTCAAAAGTTTTTGCATTTGATCTTATTGCAGTTAATATTGAACACGAGGATTGTAAACTGATAGAAACCTGATCTTCTGTCATTTTTCAGTGCTATCTCGCAATCCTTACCAGAATTATGAACTGAAAATAGTTCAAAAGTTGTGGAATTATTTATACCCTGGTAAAACTTTTCAAAGTCTTTTAAAGGCTTGAAAGATTAAAAATTATGAACTTCTTGGGGTCATTAGAAGAGATCGAAGACAACATTTTTGGACTCTTATGTAACTAACTGATTTAT